AGGCTAGCCATCTGCTGGGCCACTGAAGCTCAAGAATGGTTCCAACAAAGATACAAGGAGAATTGAGTCACATGAGTGGTAGTTTTGGAGCCGACTGCCGCCGCAGAGACCACGTATGTGATATGGCTAGGAACGCAGCGCTGGCGCTATAGAGCGTACTTCTTTATCGTTTAGCTCAAGAATGCCTCTTACAGCCGGTGCTGGCGAGCTGGATGTCATAGAAGATGGCTTTTCTATGACTGAACTCCCGAGTGTCCGGTTACGACCCGAGACTGTTGTTGCCAGGTCCTGGGCGGCAACGTATCTGGCTTGTCGAGCACGACAAGACGCGATTGACACGTCTTACTGCCGCACTCAGCATCTGCTGGAGGTTTTCTTGATCAATACTGGTCAAGCATAACTTAAATCTGCGTCGGAACTTGCTCTACGGTGATTGTGAACGCTTGTCGCAGCAATTGGAAACTCTGGGTCCTTGGTCTGGCTCGCTCAAAGACATGTCGTGCAGACTTTAGGCTCATGGTTTGTGTATGACGGTATACGGCAGGGGTGATGAAGGCGTCCTTATTCCATCGACTGCATGTTCAAGTTCGCAAGACAGCGCTACTTCAAAGGCCTACATTGTCTGGATGGGAGGAGCACATCCATGACGTGCCTGCTCTTTTTTTTTCTGAGTCGGCTTTACTAACAGAGACGCAGCCCCCACAAAATTGCTACAAGCCGATGAACGAGACTTTGGTCAGAGTTTACGTTTTCAACTGTTCCTCCATCGATGGCCGAGCGGCTTTTCAAAATAAAACGAGCGACCACCGGCACATTGAAGTACGTATTGAGGTCGATTTCCTCGCTGTGGCTTCGGTCGGTCATGGCACCACATCTACAATCAAGCTTGCAGGCATTTGCTGCTGGGCTCATATGTACGCATCTACAGACTATCTAGTGCCAAGACTGCCTTCCATTGGCTGGGGAATCATTCAACAGGCAAAATTGGGCGCCTCGCTGTCTTCATGCTCTTTGCCACTGTCCCCCTTACAGCCATTTCCTCCGGCGAGATAATCGCGTTGACAGGAGGTCTTTTAGCGAAAAGATGGGCAAGCCATTGGAGCTCCGCGCAAAGACACGTAACAAATGCAGACATTTGGCGTCTAACCGAATCATAACCGCAACACAGCCTATGCTGCTATGAGCTCAGTGCATCGGTCATGTTCCAATGTTTTTGTTGACCACAATGCTTCATGAAGAGCGCAGAAAGTCGTCTGGGGTGATGATCAGTCTCCTGCGTTGGGTCTTCGACACAGGCTACCTGTGCAAAGGGTTAAGTCAGGCACAACGCATTTGAACAAACCATAGTCAGCAACTGTGCCCCACTCTTGTTGAGGTTATGAAGCTCTGGGCCTGTTTTGGGAAACTTCAGTCTCACTTATTCTGCTATCAATTATACTCCTATCCTCAGTGATCGACAACGTTTATATACGCTGTTGAGGATACGGAATACTTCCTGATGCTGACCAATCACATTCTCTTATCTGCTCTCTCGTGGGAAGGCTGGACGGTCTATATTCTCAACAGATACTAACAGATCTCGCTGTTTTGCTGAATGGACTCTTCGCGCCCCTTTTCAGTCAGCTATTGTCTTTGTCCATCCTTGGTAGTCGATCAACATTATGCGAGCAAAAGTTGAACATGGGACCAAGCGACAAGGCTGCGTAAGGCTGATGTTGTGTCAACATGCCGTTTATGGCTTAGTTTACTTTCTCCCGGGCAAACCGATAGTAAAGGGGGAAGTATCGAGTGTTGAGCCGGACGCAGCAGGGTCTTGCGAAGGAGCAACTTGCATCATCGCTGCTGTCTCTAATACGGTTGTCATCAAACAGCGCCGTCCTGTTTGGAAAGACACGCTTGGGCACAGCGCCATCTCCCAGAGAACAGCCCACGAGTTGGCCGTTGAAGAAGCCATCTTTCAAAGATTCGGGGCCCATCCCAAAATCGTAAAATCTGTTATGTGTCCCCGCGGGCCATATCCTCTTAACGTTGCTCAGGTACCTAGGATTGTCTCAGGACGGCATTCGACTTTGTAGAGCAAATTGAGGAGATCTTCAAAGATATCTAGAACGATACTGTGAAATACTTTCTTAGTAACTCGCGCGACCCGATTTTTAGATGTCAGTGCTCCTACTACACTCTAAGCACGAAGCCGATCTGTACAGACTGCCCACTCAATCCCCACCAACACCCGCTTTCAAGACTAACATAATGCGTAACCTCGCCACTCAACCTGCGTCCGAAGGTGAATCTTCCATTCCGCAGGCAGAACTGGACGCTAAAGCATTTGATCGCGACACCAGACAATGGATTCCGACGATGAAAGTTTTGGTAGACCTCACGCAACAGCTTTTCCTGGTCAATTTGATCGTTCTGCGATAAGACCCTTCTATCCGAGAAACCCTTGAAAACGCCCCAAATGGCGTTGGCTTTGGAGATACGCTTGTGCTACCGAAGACGAGTCGAGAGGAGTTTATCAACTGGATGTTCACGTATCACCGTAAGATTCAGTGGAAGCTCGAGCACTGGGATAGACGGCTGTCAGGACAATATGTTTGTGAACGGGTTAAGGACGAGACACATGCAATAAAGAGGTAATGGCAATTGCTCCTCCCAGATAGATCAACTCTAGCTCTATTACTAGCGGCTCTAGCACTGTTGCATGCCATCGTATATCTTCTGATGGAGAAGCTTCAAAGGTCGATAGACCTTATCGTAGAAGTCTGTGAAGATGTCGAGACTGTATGCCGTCTTTCTTGCTGTCCAATCACGGTTCAGCCATCCGTCAGTGCGCCATTCCGGCGGTGTCAAGCTGGGTCGTCTCTGCAGACAGAAATCGATCACATCTCTGTAAACTTGGCCAAGAAGGTGCCCATCTGTACCGTTCTCATCAAGAATGCCACGGAGCGCCAAGATAGCAGACTTGTACCGCTGCTCATCAAGCACCTGGACATCTGTGACGTCCTCTTGACTTGCTCTTGGCGAGACCATTCGTTCCCGAGACTGCTCATCGTAAAGATTCCATTCTTGCCACAAATCATCGTGACCTTCGGTATCAATGTGGTCGAGTATGATAGAGAGCGGCACGCCGGTGGCTATCTCCATTAGTACTATCCCGAGTAACAAGCAATGAGGCTCGACACGATCCAGCGATGCTTTTCGATGTGTCTCTGCAAGTTGTTGGAATTCGAGCATTGCACGCCCTATCTTCGGTGGTGATTCAACTTTTGAGCAGTGCTGAGCGACTAACGCAGAACTTTGTAGATAGTCCATCCAAGAGGTACCTAGGAGATAAAATGCTGCTTGCGCAAAGCGAAGGCACAAGGTTACCTTTTGATAACACCTCGGGTATGGACGTGGTATCGCCTCGATAGCCTCCAGATGTTCATGCCAGCGGATGTGGCTGCAGCCTGCGTCGTGTTCTGCGTGGGTGGACGGTGTGAGCTGGAAAGCCAGGGCAGTGGGACCAAAAGGCGCTGTGGCCAAAAATTCAATACCACGTGTGTGGCGCAACTGCTCCAGATCCATCATAGCATCTTTGTAGGACTTCGTGGGACAGTTCATGCCCTGATAGTCCTCATTCGTACCTGTGGCAATAGTCGGACCCCGCAAAGGCCCAACTATGATCACGTCGCGAAGCCGGTGACCGGTGAGCTGGTCAATGGTTACAGGGAACGAGAGCGTAAAGACTCGAACGCTGTCGCAAGGTTCGATGTGCATCTCGAGCCATTTCAAACCACGGTCTGCAGCCTGAGAGTTGTCACCAAGTGCTACACATGTTGAGAAGAGGATCTCCGAAGCTTCACGGGTCTCATTGCCCGTCAGGAGACCAAGGGTACGCATCGCAGCCTGCATTCGTGTACGTCTAGCGTTCAGGGACTCAGATCCTGCATCCGGATGAGCCAGAGCCCAGCCATCGTCGGCAGAGGTGCGGAGGTCTCGACAGCCATCTTGCACGCGCAGGAGCAGGGCTTGGAGCTTTGACTTCTGCTTAAGGATGAACCATGCTTTCTGTCGTGCGCTGGACGCATCTCTGGCCTCTATCAGCAAATCATCACCATCCGAGTTGTCATAACCAGGATCCTGGGCGGCTCTTCTTCCGCGCCTCCGAAACCATGCCTTGAAGCCGCTCAACTTCACAATGCGTGGTTGTCTGAGTTCGTCTTGCCAATCGATATCTTTGCCCGATAACGCTTTCAGGATGCGGTCGAAGCGCCGAAGGTCTTCGGTGATTGTAGCGATCCGTACACGGACATGCAATGTACTCTCCCCAAAGGCTGCTCGATATTCTTCAATGCCATCTGTAGCGGTGATTGTGTGATTTTCGAGTATGTTTCTTAGGTCTCGACGGATGGCTAGGAGGCTCCCTTGATGACGCCTGATTTCATCAGGGGCATCCCTGTACTCGTTGATTTTCTCCACAAGCTTAATTAGCTTGTCAATAACGCCTAAGGAGCCTGCGATGACCCCAAAAACCTCGAAACCCGTCACCATGGCTTCCAGGCGCCGTCAGCAAGTATTCCGGAGCGACAGCAGGAATAACATTTGCTGCGCCCATCTGCGAACGCCCGCACTTTTGTATGGCCATGTCTGCCTCGGTGCGCTGCGATCCGGCTGAGACATACGCGCCCAAACACGAGCCCACGCCAATCAGAGGAGTGCTCACCAGCCACGACTGCTGGCAAAACCACCTAGTCGTGCAGTCGCATCAGCGCCCTGCGCCTAGGCGCTGCATGAGTTGTCAAGACCATGTTGATCCAGGCTTAGATGTGGTCCAGAACGACCCGCGTGTCCGCTTCATCAGGTCAACCCTGCTCTGAGCTATAGGACTTGGTTACGGGAACAGCCTGATCGCCCATATTTGGTTTCTGATTCTCGTCGTTCAGCTTCCCTCGGCCACCCATCACAACGAGTATCTTTGTGGCCGGGGCACGATATATCGTCAGCGGGACAGCTTGACGATGGAGCAGCTGAGAATTCCAAGGGCGGCTGACGAACGAAGTCTAGCGAAGCAGACGTCGGACATCGAGGCACCCGCAGGTGGCTCAAGCCAGTCGGAGAAAGAGCTTCAACTAAGGAACAATCTTTCACGACCCGTGACAACAAGGGCCAGTCAACACCTGCTACAACAGCAACACAGTCTGCTTGCCGATCTCGCTGAGCTCTGCCGCATCATTGAGGGCATTTCTGCCCTCGATTTCCTTTCCTCAACGTATTTTGAGAAGTTATGCAGCACTTGCGAGTCGTTCTACCTTCGTTTCTCGAGCTATGCGGCATATGTCGGTCTCGAACCGCAGCAAGTCGAGCAGCCTGGAAATGATGAAACAAAGAGACTCGTGGTGCAAGCGCATCTGCTTATAGTCAGGCAGCTGGCGAAGATAAAAGATTGTGCGCTCACTTTTCTGCCGCAAAGGTCAGCATGTTTCATTGCTTTTTCCACAGTCTGACACTAATAGAGCTATAGATCCAGCTCTACGCTCGAGAGATTTCGGGATGAGGTTTTGCTATGCTTCGCCGACATCAATGGTGCCCTCGGAAATCTCGAGCAACTTCAATATTCTCTACGTGATGACCAATTCACATCAGTAGACAAAAAAACCGACGTCTCTCAGCCTGAGGGGAGCGAAAGCCCAGTATCCGAGATGAAGCCACAGCAGCATTTACGTCGAACTTCAGCTACTCAAGACATCGCTTCGAGCAAGCAGTCTGAACTGCTGACTAAGACCGCAGAGCCTGATAGTGTCGTGCCTGCTGAACAGGATGCTGCAGTTAGCAAGAAGCCCCAGAACTTGCCGCCATATGATACAGCTGCGCCCTCGAGTATAACGGGCACCAATTCGAGGCGTCATAACTTTTACAGTCATCCTGCAACAGAGCCTCCAGAGCACCATGGTTTGCGCCTGTTCGGGACCCGAACCTCTAGCTTTGCTGCGACAGGTGAAGCATTACATGAATTTTCTCGTGCTGATGAGGTCGTGGGTTACCTCGATGACAAAATACACGATCAACCAATGGGCAGCATCAGCGGAAGTTGGATACACCTCGAGCTTGGTCATGAGTCGCGGCAGACGCATAACGAGATTATGACTTCGCTCGATTCCTTTGGCGTACCCAAGACGTTGCTTGACTTTGTCGAAGACTACAGGATATCAGTGCTGCGTGCTAGGCGTTCCCAGAACATTTCTCGCAGTCTACCACAGGTTCCACAACGCAACAATTCGGATCGTCACATCTACAACACATGGTACAGGAGACCCCTTGGCCGAGCCCCGTATCTAAGCAACGCAGAGGTCCGTTCGCTCTGGGATGACAGCCTGAACGAGCATGGGCTTCGAGGTCGAGGTCCAACAAAAGCGCGCATGTGTGTTGAGCCTCTTGGTGTTGAAAAACGTCGATTCTCAGAGCTTCCATGTCGGGCTTGGGCATTACAACTGCCATCAAATGAGCCATATTTCGACAACTTTATGGCGCCTGCTAATGCTGGTACACATGGCTATCTCCTTATAAGTTGGCGAAACTCTTTGATCACAATCTCTTACGCACCGGGCCTTTTTCCCTTTTTCGACCCTATGTGGATCAGAGGTAACCTACTAATGGGGTGAGATGGATCCCCTGGAACTGTGCGAGTCATCGCTAAAGTATAGATATAGTAACTCGTTGTACCCATACCAGGTACTCTTGGAACTCCTACATGCACAGGCAGCCGAGTTGATGTCGCCCATCGATGGCACCGACATCAGCACATGGTACTTCGTTCTCATTGCAAAGAGAAATGAGAGACAGCTCGAAGATCTGTTGCGCATGATAGAATACATCATGGACCGCAGTCTGTTGCCGAAGGGCATCGTCGAGGAAAGCTTCGCAGATCTGAAAGCTGAGATTGTGTATGAATCGTTACCTCGCCTTAAAGACAAGCTGAGCGATGCACGAGGACCAGATCCCACCGCGGAGGCCAGGAAAGCTTTTCTCGCGTACGATCGCCGACAGCGTCAAGCAGACCCCACTCTTCCACTCGACTCGGACGATGATGCAGCCATTGAGGTCATCAGGGGACATATCAAAGACTTGTCGATGAGCCTCAGACGACTGTGCGTAATTCTCCTTCTGTTCTTACCCCCGATTTTCTCCTCGGTAAGTTCTCTTGACCTTAAAATCATAGCATCTCGTACTGACAAGACATGGACTTTTTTCTCGATGGGCTTCTTCAGTACGTTCTCTGTGGATCATATCTGGCTTTGGTTTGTTGTTAGTGCCCCGTTGGGAGTCCTCTCATTCATGACCTGGATGCTCATGGGTTGGGGAGTATCTGACTTGTATTCTTCTCTGATGGTCACTCTCGGGGTTCCCAATGTTGGACAATTAAAATACAAGAAGCAGTCCGGCGCATCTGAGAAGCGAGCGATGCACGGGGTAGTCTGAGCTGGGCTTCTGAGTGACTGTTATCTCGATATGGCGCAAGATGGAGCTACCGTCGTAGACATGGTGAATACGTAAGAGTAATTGAAAGTGAGTCATGGTCCTTCAACAAGTGCTTCAAAGCAACCACAGTCGATTTCCACAGCGGATTAGAGGCCCGCAACGTAAGCGGTATGCCTCGGTGTCAGGATGTTTAGTTGTTCACGAAGCATCCGAAGCTGGACGACGACTCCTGCTTGCAACACCAAAGTCTACACTGTGTCCGGTCAGTGCTGCCATTATTTCTGAGTCCATTATGTACTATTTCTAAACAATGAGCGTCTGCAACGACCACCAGCCCAAAACTTACCAAATACGAAAAAGTGTCGGTGCTGGAGAACAAGACTGCTGAACGGAATCACCCGCCAAGCAGAATATTTATGCCACCCGAAGCGTCCAGTGACATCATTGCCGCCTGATTGCCTTCTTTCTCCTGACGCCACCACCTTGTTGCATGCTCGCGACATACCGTTTATCACAGCTGCCCATCCCATGTGACCCATTAGGCATGGCACTCAACACCCTCCGCCTCAACCACCAGAAATCTAGCCACCCTAACGACCGTATTGTCTTCATCAAGCCACTGCCACGCCCATCCACCCACCAATCAGACTACGACACCGCAGACCTCTTCTTGCGGGCAATCGCCGCGCAATGTCTCCCCATCATGAAGACTCACTGGCTCGCAGTCACGACACTCGAAGAGTACGAGCCGAATCGTGAATTTATGGGCCGCAACTTCAACCACGGTGAATGCATTCAATTGGTGCTGAAGTCAAAGTCTGGGAGGTGGCTGCCGTTCAACATGGTGCAGATGGTAATGATGCATGAACTGGCGCATAATGTGGAGATGAACCATTCGAAGCGTTTTTGGGCAAAGCGGAATGAGTACGCGGGCGAGATGAGGGAGCTGTGGGGTAAAGGCTACACGGGAGAGGGGTTCTGGGGAAGCGGTAGGGCACTGGGGGAGATGGGCAGCGTGATGGGCAACAACGTGATGAGGAGTGAGGAATTGCAGGATCTGCCACTATGCGGCGGGACTTATCGGAGTCGGAGGCGGAAGAGGAAGGCGGGTGGGCAGCAGCAGGAGCTGACGTGGAAAGAGAAGAAGGAGAGGAGAATTGAGAAGAAATTTGGGAAGAATGGAGTCAGTCTGGGCAGCGATGAGGATCAGAGGATGTTGTACGAGATGGGCAAAGGGCCGGTCGGTGGGAATCCCAGAGTGGCGCAGAGTAAGCGTGGACGAGAGCTACGGGCCGCGGCAGCGTTGGCACGGTTCGAGCAGAGCAAGAAGGAGCCAAAGGAAGAAGTCAAGGAAGAGACCGAGGACGACGACGGCGACTACGAAGACATCGATGTCGACATGGAAGACGCCACAGACCTCGACGGACAGCGGCTACTCGACGCGAGCGGTAGATCCATGGTCAGAATATGCGGCGAAGAGGACACGGACGATGTCCAAGTCAAGCAGGAGCTGGAAGAACTCGAGGGCCTGGAACGCTATTTCCCACGTCTACCGAAGAAGCAGCCAGAGCACGACAGCAATGGCGAGAACCCGCGTGTTCCAGCCAACGATGGCCAGCTAGAGCAAGAACTTGGGGGATCAGATACCACAACAGCCACCGCCTCTCCCACGCCGGAGCCACACCCGCCTTCCGACAACCCGCAACCACCCAGCCCCAACCCTCCCCCTAACGACACCACACAGCCAGCTCTCCCTACCACGGCACCACCCTCCCCAGCTGCCCCAGCCCCAGCCCCAACCCCACCCTCCACATCCTCCAACCTCACCTGCCCAATCTGCTCGCTCGCCAACCCCCCTGTCTCGCCCACCTGCCTAGCCTGCAGCCACGTGCTGGACACGCAGAAAGACCCGCGGCACTGGCGCTGTCGCTCCCAGACCTGCAGGGAGAGCCGGTACGTGAACGCCGGGGACGCGGGCGTGTGTGGGATTTGTGGGGCGAGGAGGCCTTGAGCTTGACCTTCATCGTTGACCTTAAAAAGAGCCCGTGGCTGAAGGATCACCTGTAGAAGAACCAAGGAGAGAGGAAACACAGGAGAAGACACCCCCCCCCCCAAAAAAGCTTTACACAATTCGCCGTCGCGGCGAGCAACACCATTTACGCTGTTGCAATTTTCTTCTCGATGTCTATGAATGACCATGACGGGGTATCTTCCTATCCGCAAAAGCAAACCCGGCAACACCGCCCGCTCGGAAAACACAATCCCACACAACCTTTCCCTTTCCCCCTTTCCCCCCCAAATCTTCGGTTCTTGATGTTGTATACAGACAGGTCCCTAATATCCCGCCGCACAGCCCCCCTCCTCATGCCCCTTCCAGCACTCCAACAACCCACAAGTCCGCTCTCCGCACTTCTTACACCTCACTTTTCCCCAATAGCCGCACACGACGCAGAAATGCCGCCGCGGTGTTTGGCGGTCGGGGTCGAGAGGCGTGGCGCGCGCCGCCGCGTACGACAGGGGAGGCTCGGCGAGGAGGGCGGCCATGACGCGCGCGGACGGCTTGGCTGGGAGATTGACGGTTTTGAGGAGGGGGTCGGCGTCTAGGGCTGGGGAGTAGCGTGGTTTGATGGGGGGTTGTGGTTGTGCTTCGTTTGCTACGCTTGCAGCGCTTGTAGAGTCTGCGCTGGCGTCGTGCTCAGGCGCGCCTTGCGCATCCTTCATCTCCGCGTCCCCGTCGTCCTGTTGCTGTTCCTGCTGCTCGGTCTTCACTTCTGCTTTTGGCTCGACTTTGGCCCGACCACGGCCTTTGGTGCCGGTGGCCGCCGCCGCCGCCGCAGAGGTCTTCCCGGCAGCAGCAGCAGCAGCACCCGTGGATTTCCTCTTGTCATCACCCCTCCTTCCCCCACCGACTGCAGCACCGGAACCACTACCCGCGGCGCCGCCCCCAGCATTCGCTGAAGTCGACAGTCCACTCCCCCATGTGCCTTGAAACCCGCCACCGCCCGCCGCGAGCGCCGCTTCCTCGTCAGCCAAATAATGCGCAAACGCGCGATTATACCCCAGAATGCGCCGCACATTGCTGGTCATTTTTTTGGTTGTTGCACCCGCACCTGCACCATCGCCCCCACGCTCGCGCTTCGGCACAGGCACGACGGCATCTTTCCAGTTCTCCTTGTCGAGGTCTTTGAGACGTTGCTCGATGGCTTTCTGCTGCTTGGCGGAGATGTGTGCGGCGGAGGAGGCGGCGTCAATGCGGGCGCGTTTGCGGTTGCCGGAAGGCTGTTGATGGGCAGTGGATGAGGTGGCTGTGTCGAGTATGTAGGCCCACCCTGGCTGAGAGCGGGTGGGGTGGTGAAGGGGGAGAACTTCGATGAGGGGCATGGCGGGATGGGGAGGCGGCCGTTTGTGGTTTTGGACGGTGGCATGTAGGGGAGAGAGGGGTGGAGGTGAAGATGAAGAACAGGTGGATGACGGGAAGATGGGGATGGATCTTGGCATTCACATGCCTGTCCGGGGCAGCGAGGCTACGAAGCTCTGGGAACGGCACTGCGGAGGTGGCGAGTAGTGATACGAAAGGACCGCGGAAGATCAGGCACGGTGGCTTTAGAAAGCTGCTCAAGATGGTCCGAACAATCGTTCTATTCATGACTCGACGAAGCTGGGTATGGTTGTGCCTGTGCTTGTGTACAATAGGTTTCTGTTACGAAATCGAATGGGGCCTTTTGAAGGAATTCCTTGCGCCAACGTCCTCGCCTGGCGCCCTCGTGCTTGCAGTCGTGCTCATTGCGCTTGCAAACACTACCCGCAGCTTGGTATATCATTCCGTCCTGTCGTGCTAGTAGCTCGTCGATCGGATCGCGGGGCGGTGGGGCTCTCATTTCCTCTGGGCCTGCACCATCTTGTTCTCGAGCTCCGTGACATACGAGTGGATGCGTTGGACTGCTGCTTGGAGGGCCTGTTACTGATGGTTAGTATGCTGCTTCCAGTGCGCGTTCCGGGCACGCAGACTACGGGGTGGAAACGTACGTAGATATCTTCGGTCAATAGCTCGTTCGAAACCTTATACTCCTCGAGAATATAGTAATAGACTGATGCGCCGGCAAGTGTCGAGCCGAGGAGGAAGCCGAATAGTCTGTACGAGCCGTGATCAGCTTCTAGTCCAAGCCCGCGCAGCCTGCGATCGCAGCAAGTTCATCCGGCAGTGGCCTGACGCAAATGGCCACAGGAATGGTACTCACCCTCCTCGGAAAGCTCCCACGGGCTTCTTCACAGGTACAGGTTGCGCCTCTTGTAGCCGTGATGCTGACGACTGGAAGGATCTTGAGAGAAAAGGAGACGGGGAAGCTCTGAACGATCGGCTAGCAGCACCGAGGCGCGGGAGGAAAGCACGCGACGCCATGGTTCGCGGAAGCCGAGGAAAAGCGTGAACGGTGTCGTGGGGGGCTCGTTGGCTCGTGATCGCACGATAGAGAGGCGAGTATATGGCTGCGACGCTTTTTGGTTCGCAAATACAACTGGTTGCGTGAATTAATTATCGTGCAGGAGCTTGGGATCGGGAGAATACGCGGGTGAGAGCTTCGGCATCTGGGGAAAAGCCTTGGCGTTTCCATTACGAGGTGGCGCAGCATCCGGCTTTCATTTGCTGTGCTCTACCTAGGCTACTAATCGTCTACCCTAGGTTCCATGCTCATACGAGCTCCTTGCTCTCAGATTCGGCCCATAATAATAGAAAACCCACGGTATAGGTGCCATCGCCACTGCAATGAAGCCCAACAGACTGGATGCCCACGCTGTCCCCAGAGCCTCATACATCGGGGTGACAAACAGGGGAAACGCTGCCGACAGGGTATATCTCGTGAGTGACGACGCACCGCTGGAAGATGCACCATACTTTGCGCCGTAGACATCCAACATGAAGAAGTTGCACGGCACATAGATCAGAATGCTACCCAGCATTGTCACACCCTGTGCGATAATGGGGCTGATCCACGGCACGCCTGGCCGGGCAGACCATCCAAACCAGAAGATACCAATCGGCAGCACGAGACTGCCATAGAGGGCGGCGAATAGCCTGTCTTCGGGCGGGAGACCGCTCGCTCTGATTGCCGGGTCTGCATCGTTTCTTCTGCGCGTCAATCGTGGCTGGTAGAGGTATAGATCCACCAAAATGAGTACAAACGGTGCTGCCACGCATCCAGCAATTAATCCCAAGAACGAGAGACCTTGGGCGCTCACGTCGAAGCCGTACACCCTCTCAAACACCCACGGACTTGCCACAACGAATGTGTACAGCAACGCAAATTGAAACCCACAGTAGAGGCAGAGAAAGCCCACCAGCGGCTCGGTGGTCAACATGTGCAGTGGGCGGAGAATGGTCGTGGTGATGAACCTCTTCAGCGTCTCCGCCACTGTAAGCTGCGGGCCTGACGGTCCGTCCACGCCCAATTTTCGTGCCCTTCGCTGCAAGATGATGGTCTTGTAGGATTCTCGTAGATACAGTGCCGGAGGATGCAAGACAGCTGCCGCCATGAGAATGATCCACGCGGTCCATCGCCAACCCTTCTTCTCCACCGCAAAAGCACCGATCAAGGGCCCCACCGCAGACCCGATGAAAGGCACCGTGTAGTAAAATGCCAGAGGCAGTGCGCGTCGCCGAGGCGCCATGTAGTCGGCGATTGTGGCTGCGGCGATCGAGACCCCCGGCGCAGCAAACATGCCCGCGAAGAAGCGGCAGACGATCAACGATGCAATGCTCCTCGAGAGCCCGAAGCCAAGCACGAATATGTCGAACAGGGGCAAAGTGAGGAGGAAGACGAACTTGCGACCAAACGTCTCCGACAGAGGACTGGATATCGTTGGGCCAAAGGCCAATCCAAGCGAGTACGAGGAGAGCGGCAGCAATGCAACGGTTGTCGAGACCCCGAATTCAGCCTTCACCTGCTCATGACCTGGTGCGTAAATAGACGCTCCCATCGTGGTGTTGAAGCCGATCAGGCATATGACGGTCGTCGAGATGGCTTTTCGAGTCAGTGACCAGTTCCTCGCATTTCCTGGGTCATCTTCGCCGTCCCAGTCTTTGCAGTGACGAACCGTCGTTGGCTGCGCAAGCTTCAGTGCCGCATCCATTTCGAACTGCCTACTACATCACACTCTTCAAGCATAAAATCTCTGCGCTTAAGATAGCTCGAGCCCTTGCGCATCGATACGAACGGTAATGGGGTTGTCCAGGGAAAGAATAATGCATTAGAGAGGTGATACCGCAATCGGAGTTCTCGGCGTGAGTCTGGGGTAACATCACCATCGCGATCACTTGGAGAAATCCTTCCGCTCGGCGGTGATGCCAATCATTGCCCTTAGCAGAATGCTCTACATCGCAGATATACTTGACCTGTAAGGTTGCGCCCTGTCTAAACATTGATGCAACGTATCAAGATGTTAACGTCGTGCTCCGAAAGTCACGATCCCTCCGTCACTCTCCGTCAGAGAAGAGATCGGCTACCAGATCTTTACGGCACATAACCATGTCAACGGGCTCGAGACTGTACGTGTCTTCAAAGACACGAATGCTCAGCTGGCTGAAGAATGACCCAAGCAGGCCGCGAACTTCACGCGCGTCGCGGGAGACCTCTGAGGCCAACCACGGTTTTCGTGTGCCATCAACGGTTGCAGATTGCAGGTCGACGTGTTCAGTGCCTTCTAGGTTCACAATATCTGCTGCTGCAATCGTCTTGCAGTCAGGTGGAGGATATATGGCATCGATCGTGTCCGTGACGAACAGCCATTCGTGCAATTGAAACTCTTCTGGCTTCAGTAGGAGAAGCAAGTCGAGCAATTTCGCGCCCTGGAGATGCGAATACGGCGTCATGGATGCCTCAGACTTCTTCTGCAAGTCGTTGAACAACTCCCTGAGCTCCGCATCGAGAACCGGCCAAACCGAGACCAGATTCTCCTGGGCGAACGAAAGACTGATGGCCCTCAACAGGAGAAATATGTCCCCTCTCGTTGCCGATGACGGGGATGTAGCTGGAGTTGCGGTGAGCAATTCATCCACCTTGGCCATCAATGGGATCAGATGACCCACGAATTGGTCTTTGTCGCTAGCGAGCAACAGTAACGCGACACGTCGGAGGTTGGTACGAGTGAGTTTGTCCGCCTCCGTTCTGGCTGCTGTCGCCCCAACCCCGAACATGATGCCTGCGGTGGTGGGAGCAGTCAGTCGCGAAGTGATGTCTGCAAACAGCCCTTTGTCAATCACTGCCAGGTGACGCACTGTGGGGATCCAACCAGTCTCGGCAACAGCAAGAGAGCTGCCAAATAGCCGCGAGTCATTGAATGCATCAATGATATCTTTCTTCCACGTCTTGTTCGTAGACGAGGATTTTCCCATGACCTGTACGAGGCCAAGAATGTTGTTGTTCAGGCTATCGGGGTACGATCTGGCTTTGAGTGAGGGAGCGATGATGTAGGTGCTGATCCCCGTACAAATCGTCGATATCCGGTCTCCTTCACTAAGGATAGGAGTCATTGCGGGAAGGACCTCAAGCAAGATATCAATCCCCTTACCACTGTCCAACCGAGATGCAGCTGCGGTGTTGTCCTGAGTTTCTGCCTTCACTGTCGATCCTTGGTCTAAGCCTCCGGGCTTGATGGTGAATATAGCGGTAAACAGGCGCGTGGAAAGGTCTGCGAGCTCTCTCCGCATTCGGCCTTGCTCCCCGAAGGTCGTGTTTTCCATCTTATCGCACAAAGCCGCCAATAACTCCAGGAGCCGCAACAGCAGTTGTCGGTGTGGCATTGGGTTCGCCAATATGTCGCGCAAGAAGCTGACACAGTCGCTCCAGATTTCCTCGAGCAGATCGTCTTCGAGTTTGCTCACGTATTCAATAAGGAACGCGACTAGTTCGATTGCCGTAGCATCGGTTGACAAGCTCGACCTCTGAGATTGGTCAAGAACACCGGGGTTAGTTCGGCTATAGATCGCATTGAAGATAGCTGGCAGCATGAATTTCGGGCGGGCCCCATCAAGTGTTTGGAGCAAATTCATCACAAGGTACTCTTGGGATGAAGTGTTAGCTTTCTGAATCCATAGGCCCATGATCGTCTCCAGGCATTCTTGTGGCTCGGCCTCGAGGAGGTGCTCTAGCATGCGTCTTGTACGCGCTCTCAACCTAGACGACATGTAGTTGAAAGACTTTGTGTCCGGAACAGCTGCAGATTTCTTGGATGGTCGCCAGAACCACATCACACCACAAATCTTGATGGCATCTTGCATACACAAGACCACTGTTAATCGATTGTTGGCAACCGTGCGTGATCGAGCGACTTCGCTAGAAGCTGAAGAGTCCTGGCTGGCCGAAGGAGGTCTAGTCACATCAATTACCTTCGTATGAGCCCTTGCAAGGATGTATTCTAGACCCGACAAGAGATTTGTGATTGATCTTTCCGGACTCGCGTTGGACTGTGTCGATGCTGAGTTCTTTGCCTGCACAACGCCCTCGTACATGGATCGCAGACCGTCAAAGAAGCTTTGTGTGCGTTGACAGAAGCAAGCCGTAAGCTTCAGAAGGTTTGCAAAGAACACCGAGTCTGGGTACATTGGAATTGAGTTGCAGAGGAGCGTGATCCACTTGTCGAGATTGGCATCAATTGACGACGAAGATATCCCGCTCATCAGTATGCCTAGAAGCTCCCGTGGTGGGCTGCCATCTGGTTTGCCAGACATCAGTGAGTGCAGAGTATCAAGCACACTGCTCTGCAATGAAGTCCCTGCTTGTGTCTGTGGCAGTTGCTCTGTAAGCATCTCGATAAGCCCACTATATGAAGCCATGCTAGCGTCTCCATAGATGGTACGAAGCACCTCGAGAGCCAGAACTGCCAAGTCCGGTGTCTCGGAGTGCTGCTTGACCATAGCGGATGCAAAGTCCGACACGGTCTCGACAGCACGTGTTGAATCCGAGAATTCCTTCCACTGAGCAGAGGAGGAGCGGGCTATTTGTACTAGCATCCGTAAGCGGTGAAGTCCTACCAGCCTCGTCTCATGTTCGTCATCGCCATGCCTAATGGCGTCTAGAACGACTTGAATTTGGAAGGTTAGTGAAGAGAGCCCGGTCATCCATGATGTCCATCTCTCGTCCTTCGCTGAAGCATCAACGATGTATAGCACTAGCTGCCTCAGAAGTTGGGTAGCGTCTTCTTGCTTCGACGAGTGTCCATTTGCCAGACTGGTAGGTGTTATCTGTGCAGTCCTCGTATGCGTCCAGAACACGCCAAACTGGGCGGCGGGGTGATCTTCGACCTCCTTGTACGGGCCAGTGATCAGTCCCATCATTGTGCTCTCAACCAGCAGAAGATCTGGTCGGACAGATCTGAGATTCCAGATCATATCCACACTCTCGACGTGGTATTGCGGGGTGGATGGTCGTAGATACTGCCATAAATGCTTCACAAGAGCGGGCACCAGCTGAGAAACGTCTCCAGTTTGCGCAAGGTCCGAGCTCTCCGGAGGAACAACTGCGGCCAGAATACTGACTAGGTTCCGGATGACAGAGAATGAGCTAGAATCAACAGTTTGTGCTTGGTTCACCCAGCGAATAATCTCCTTGATCAAGTCTGATTCTGGCTGAACGGGTGAAGCAGAAGATAAGCTCATAATCTTGCAGTAGGACGATACGAGATCGTTGAACGCGGATTCACCATAGCGAGAACGCAGATACTCTTCGATGCTGTGGGTAATGTTCGCGCTGGATGTTGCCAGTGAGTGTTCCGTAGTCAGGCTTTTGGGAGGCGCGGCATCGAATGAGGCACTTGTGTAATACTTGAATATCAACCGCACAAATTCTGTGGCATCTATGTCAGCTGATGAAAGCCGTGACTTCGGTGAATGCTCTCTTGCGGGAATTAGATCAAGCAAGCTGTCCATGACGGCTGTTACTCGTGGCGCTCTGTCGACTCTGCTCTCGGCGTGGTCGTTAACGAGTAGATCTGATAAGGCTGCGACTACCATAGGAAGATGTGTTCGACCCAGATCGCTCTCGTCAAGACTGAAATTCAGGACAATGAATTTCAGCAGATCAAATTCGGATTGCTGCACCAGTTTCAGTAGATTTCTCGCCAGCATTCTCGGCTCGATGGAGTCGAAGAATACATTTGCGGAGCGAAAAACCTCGTCAAAAGCGTCTTGAGTTGGCGCAGCAATCTGGTATTGACGGAGGTCTGTCAAAAGCTCGGAGAACAAAGCATCTACTACCGGACTACCGATTGCCGAGCGGTCCATCAATGAGATCAAGAGGCGGAATGGTCGAGCTCGTTGCGCAGGGACAGCCGAGCGTTTCTGCACCATTCCGCTCAGGGTACGAACGATCGGCTCGAGGCTGTAAGTTTGGAAATAAGAAGCATTTGCAGCATCGGGTTTGCGTGCAGGCTCAGACGGGATTTTCGCAGCTTGGGATATCTCCGTATCGCTTTTATCATCGGTTCCGAAAAACCAAGCCCACAGCCTTCGATTGAGGCTCATATCTCGACGTAAAACAATGGACATGGCCGCGGCGACCAGTATTTTCAGGTCGTTGCGAGATTCGCTTTTCTGCAGCGTGTCTGCCTTCAGCGGCAGATGGGTGACGAGGAGATCAAGAAAGCCTCTCTGAATCAGTGGCTGCTCGTCTTGTAGGCCTGTCGCAAAACAGCGGAACAGAAGACCAGGCTCTGGCGTGACGACCACGTTAGGTCCAGGTGTCGACCCCTTATTAGGCTGATGTGTTGAGTCTGAAGCATCCTTGCTCTGGCCCAACTTTGGGAGGTACCGGGTCAGATAGACCAGTACCCCAGCTCGACGACTTGGACTTGTGATAGACGCTAAGAAGAGGCTCTGCCAAAAGATGCTTTCGCTATTGTCGTTGGCGAAGGCACCACGGAGCTTGTTGACAGTTGTGAGGGTCTTGTCAAAGTCCTCGCTGTTCTCCTCCTCGATTGCTGGTAACAACGACAGGATCAAGGCTTTCAAGGCAGGTCTAAGTGTTGCAGGCGGCAATGCAACGATGTGATCGTTGAAGAGCGCTAGAAACCAGGGTCGTGTTGCCAGGGATGCGAAGGTGAGTGTGTGGGCAAATCCAGGCAAGTACAAGGATAGATCGCGGCTGAGGCCATCTTGGCCCAGGATGGTGAAGATGCAATCGTAGACTTCGAGTGCTTTCTGATGTACACCTGCTGGGAGCGACGGGTTAAGGCAATGTGCCAAGCGTCGAGCTAATAAGGGCTTAGACGGAATGTCCGCTCCAGACGGTGCTGCTTGCAACGCTTTCAGAAGACGACTGAGGAAAGCGATATAGTCGGCCCATTCGTTCGTGGCGTCGAACAGACCCAATGCTCGGTCAACGCCTGCCTGGAAGCGGCGAATAGCCTTGGGGTCTGAGGCCATCACCGAGGGTCTTTAGGAGACATGATACGAACAGGAGATTGTCGGAACGGCCAGTGACACTCGTTATACAAGGGGTGAAGCCTCAATCAAGAATGTTCCAACCTGCAGACCGCGTCTGCCTGCCAGCTCAAGAGGACAATTTGGTCGTTTGATGCCGCTTGGCATGCATCGGCACGGCTTCAGAGGCTGAAGAATTTCCAATCTAGGAGCGCTTGTCTTTATGCATGTGTGCGCGGAGAGAGTGCTTGAAGTGGCAGTCACCGCTAGTAGAGACGGATAAAGTCCTTGTGAATTGTTGGTGGATCGCGGGGAGTAAACAATCAGCACATGGAGTGTGGCGGGCAAGGGAGTGGCGCTTTCGGTCTTTATCGGCCACCGTGGCGGAGGACGGACTGCCTCGCGCTGCTCGCCGCATACTCGATCAACTGGGTCATCGATGGGGTTTCGCTGACGACATTTGCATCTCGCTGCCGCTCGTGCTCCGTTATGTAGCTACTCAGCTGCGTAGCTCCTTTGCCCGACCGACATGATGGCTAGCATGACCCACGAGGCCGGCCATCACACAGGCGTCCATTTGCAACTACTTGGCCACACGTCCAGATAGACGCTGGGAAGCCCAGGCATGGCGCCCACGAGCGCAACCACATCAGGCTCTGGGACGAGAGGCTGCAGCCCCGAACCTGAACGTCCACCTCTCCCTCCACGTCCGACCGAATTGAGCCTTCTTCGTGGCCGACCAACATCCAGCCATTCACAGAGGCCGAACACTAGACCGGGCTTGGTGTCCACAGCCACCACTGCGGTGTCTGCCACCGATGTGAATACTTACCACCGACCAGATGGCACTCAGGAGCTTAGAATTGCCCCAAGCCGAGGGGCTTCCGCCGGTTCGGTGTACAGGTTTGGCAGCAACCGCACCAGCGAGGTGGGGGAAGACAGCAACAGCATCAAAAGCTATTTTAATGTGCGTGCGCTTCAAGATACCGAGAGCATATTTGGAGGCGCCCTTGAGGACGGTAAGGACAGCAGATCTGCCACAGCCAGCGAAGCAGATCTGAGCGGTTACCCTGCCCCCGATCTTCAAGAGGCGGACGTAGACTTCGAGCACGAGTTCGAGGATTTGGACGGCAATGGGGACATTGATGAAGCAGCTGAGGAACAGGTGCACGCCCTCTGGAAAGCAAAGAGGAAGCACTTCTTGATCCTTTCTGCCGCAGGCAAGCCCATTTACACCCGCCATGGCTCAGATCGAACCATATCTAGCTACATTGGCATCATACAGACCATCATCTCGGCCTACAGTTCAGCTGATGACCCTCTCAAGTCTTTCCGAGCTGGCCGCGTTAAGTTTGTCATCTTGGCCCAAAACAATCTGTTCCTGGTTGCCATTAGTTCGCTCCCCGAGTCTGACGTTCAGCTTCGAATTCAGTTGGAGGCTCTGTACATGCAGATTCTCTCCACCTTGACCCTCCCGACGCTGACGCACATCTTTTCGGTACGCCCTTCAAGCGATTTGCGACGACCCTTACAAGGCACCGAGAACCTGCTGTCATCCCTAGCCGACAGCTTTACACGAGGATCTCCCTCGACGCTCTTGTCTTCTCTAGAATGCTTGAAAATCCGCAAGTCTCACCGCAACATCATCAACAGCACGATGGTCAAGGCTCGTGTCGACCAACTACTGTATGGTTTGGTCGTTGCAGGCGCGCGCCTGGTCAGCGTCATCCGTCCAAAGAAGCACTCTCTTCACCCCAGCGACCTGCAACTGATCTTCAACATGCTCTTCGAAGCCGAAGGGATCAAAGCCGGCGGAGGCGACTCGTGGATCCCCATCTGCCTTCCTGGCTTCAACAAGACCGGCTATCTCTTCATGTACGTCAGCTACCTCGACATGACAGGCGGCGAGGCTCGAGAGCCCGACATTGACGAGAAGATATCCAAAGAAGATGCCGTCGCCATCATCCTGCTCAGCGCAGACAAGGAAAGCTTTGAGCCCTTACAGAGCATGAAGCGTTATCTCGTGCACGAGTTCCACCGCAACGGCAGCATGAGAATCATCCAAGCCGCTCTACAAGCCGGCCGACCCTCGCCCACCGACATCGTCCCCGGCACATCCGTCCGCCACTTCCTCTTCAAGTCGAAAGGGAATGTCCAATTCTTCATGCCCGCCCTGGGGCCTGAATTCGACACGCCCCACCGACGACGGCAGTTGATGACGATCTACCACACGCTTCACGCCAGCGTCCACACGAAACACGCGGCCGCCAAGGTGCACCACAGCGTGAGCCCGTCGACTTCTGCCCTGGCCTGGATCACGCCCATGTTCGAGCTCTACTGCGTGGCCGGCCCAACCACCGCGCGGAACGCCCTGGCACAGAGCGCGAATAAAATCGTGCAGTGGGTGCAACGCGAGGAGGAGCGAATCTTTCTCATCGGTGGTGCCGTTTTCTAGTTAATTGGCGTCTATATATGGCGATCAAACACTTTCCACTACCACTACGAAGCAGTGAGTGGGTCATGCTCACATATTCAACGCATCGCTCAGTGCCTCCTCGATCAGCCTGCCGTCCCTCTCCACATCCACCATCCAGCTGCTAACGGCGATCCGCGCCGCCTTTTTACCCTCCCATACCGTGCCCGAGACATAGATCCGGCCGTCTCCTTTGACCCTGTCCACCAACCCGTCGTTGACCACGTCATCGCGAGCCCGAAACAGCACGATCATGAACGTCTCCCGTACCGCCTCCTCCACGCCCCCCTCGCCCCGTCCTCGAGGCAGGACTTCATATCCATCCTGATCCCACAACCACCTGACAACCCGCCTCGCGAGCCCAACCTGCCTCTTCACCATATTCACGTATCCCTCACGCCCATACGCCACCAGCGTGGCATGCACGGGCAACGCGCGAAAGCGTCGACTGTTCTCCAGCCCCACATTCAACGGCGTCTGCACGCCGTCGCCCCCGCCGTCGCCGCCGCTTCCCCCGTCTTTCAGGTACGCCGCGCGATTGAGACAGACCTGCTCGCTAAGGCGCTTGTGGCGCGTGAAGAAGAAGCCGCAGTCGTAAGGAACATTGAGCATCTTGTGGCCGTCGCCCGTGATGCTGTCCGCGAGCTGTAGGCCGTCGGCGCCGGCGACCAGGGTGTCGTAGTCGGAGCCTTGATCGGCCAGCAGGCGCGCGAACAGGCCGAACGCGCCGTCGACGTGCACCCAGACGCCGAGGCGGTCGCAAATCTGGCGCAGGTGTTGCCACTGCGCGAGGCCGCCGCGGGTGGCGAAGCGGCCGCTGTTGACCTCACCGGCGCCGACGACGAGGATGCAGGCGCGGTGGGGCGCGGATGCTTCGGTTTCGAGTTTGGTGAGGTCGAGTTCTAGGCCGCCGGAGGTGGGGCGGGAGATGTCGATGAAGCTGCTGCGGCCCAGACCTAGGATTGCGGCGGCTTTGAGGACGCTGCTGTGCGGGAGGGCGGAGAGGATGCGGATCTCGTGCACGCCGGCGCGCGAGGCAGCGGACAGGAGGCCTTCTTCTGCGACGGACACTGGGGGGTGTGCGCTGAAACGTCGACCGGCCGTGGCGAGGGTGAATTCACGGCCGAGTGCGAGACCCAGGACGGTGCTGGCTGTGGCGCCCGTGGTAAAGGTGCCGCCGCCGGGGAGGTTGGGGCCGATACCCCAGGTGGAAGCGTCGAGATGGAAGAGCGAGAGGAGTTGGTTCAGCGCGGCAACTTCGACGGCCGTGGAGATGGATTCGGAGGGGAGGTGAACGGAGACATTCTGGTCGTAGAGCGCGACGAGGAAGTCGGAGATGAGGGCGGCGGGTGTAGTGCCGCCAATGACGAAGCCGTAGTAGTTTGGGGACAGGGCGGATGCATTCAGATGAGGAAGGATGTGCGTTGAGAGATATGTGAGAAGAGCTGGGAGAGGGGAGCCGGCAGATGGTAGGGCGCTGGAGGTCAGAGGTAAAGGCGGAATGGAACGTGAGAGAAGCGGTCGTTGGACTGCAGTTGCACCGTCCGAGCCTGGTTGAGGAGGGACTGTTGAGGGCACGTTGGGGATCTTGGACACGAGGTCTTGGAGCTGAGAGATCAGAGCAGTGAGGGATATAGGCTGATCCATCTCTGCGGCGAAGGGGACAAAGATCGGTCTATAGCAAGAATATAGAAGGCGACAATAGAGGCAACGGTATCCAAGCTCGAGGAATCGTGTATGTCTTGACTCGCAGAACCTTTGATTCCGCTTATCCCAGCTTCGGGGCTTGTTTTTTTGGCCAGAGTCCTACGAGCTTCGCCCCCAGCATCAGTGTAGTACTGGAAGTAACGAATGCGCAACTCGAGAGGATGGGTATTGACAATGAACGAGGACCTGGATGATGTCCCCTTGTGAGCTGTATTTGACTCACAGCACCATGCGGCAGCTAGGGTACCTGCCCCAAGGGGATAGGCTTCGACACTAGCAGCAGCGTTACCACGGCTTCGACGAGACTGGGAAATCCTACACAGTCTCAGGCTCCGAACAATAGAGAGCGAGAGTCCAACGTCCGGACTCAGCCACAAATTTCGTAGCCAGAAAGTTTCGAGCCAAAGAGGAAGGCACACTAGCGCAGGAAGGCAACTGTGGTGGGGAGTGCGCACATGAGGTACAGGCACAATCTGCGCGGCAAAGACCATTACATTGGCCTTTCATTGTTGCGCCTCGACTATGTAGCTATCTAGAGCAGATCCATCGGATTCTCATATTTTGATGAGCTCGAGGTGCTGGTGGCAGAAGCCCAGATTCCAAAGCGCCAAATCCATGCAATATCAGGGTCAAGGGCACCTGCGACCTCAGGTCATATTCGTACAACTGCTGTCCAGTAAGATGTAGCGTAATACAGTCATTCTAATGTTCGTCGCCGACAGGGGTCGTAGCCCTTTCAAGTGACGGTTCCATTAGCTTCTTCCATCGTGGCCTCTGCTGATTGCGCTGGTTGAGCCTCGCCGCCTTCGGGCTTAATCAACTCCTCCTCTCCCACATCTTCGGACACAAACTTCCGGTCGCTCACATGCTCTTTGTCCTCGTCCTGCTGTTTTTGCTCTTCCTTCTGCTTTGCCGATTCTGGAGTCCAGACGTAGTCCTGCATCGATCGATTCTGACCATCGGCATGTTTGTATGGGCACCGTGCGTTGGTGCAAGGGTTGAACCGGCACATTGTCGATAGATGGGTGAATTTGCAGCTCACGTTCTTACAGCTCGCGCCAAATTGGCAAAGTGGTTGAGTAGGGTGTCTGAATGGGCAATTGGGCTTGGCGCAATTGGGCCAAAATTTGCATTCAGACTCGGCCTGATGAGCTTGCTTGAGTGAGGGCGATGGATGGCGGGCGGTGCAGGCTGTGTTCTTGCAGGCTACACCGTACTCGCAGACCTGGCTCGTGTCGACAGGGATATTCATAGGAGCGGCGGGAGATTGATGAGCATATGGGCATTCCTTGTTGGTGCATCTGGTGTTGAAGTGACACATGGTCGTAGCAGGATCGTTGGACTTGGCGGCCTGTGCTGGGTCGTTGCCCTCCATTGTCGCGTCGCCTTCACTGGGGGCTGCGCCATCTTTGGGCTCGCCGGTCGCGTTCGAACCGTTGCGTGAGCCGTTCTGAGCAGCGCCACCTCTGCCACGACCACGCATGCCACCGCGACCACGGCCCGACTCGACGCGATCAAACAGCGAGCGGCCCTGCGGACCACCGCCATTCATTCCCTGCTGAAGCTCGTTCCATTGCGCCATCAGTCGCGCTTGCTGCTCCATCATGGCTAGGTATTGCATCTGCTGTTCGGCTGAGAATTGCATGTTCATGCCTTGTTGCTGATTTTGCATGCCAGGTTGCATCATGGCGCTTTGAGCAGGAGGCGCCCCGTCAGCCAATCCATTCAGGGCCTTTTGCATGCCTGGACGGTTTTGGAGATTGCGTGGGCCTTTTGGCGCGCCACGGACATTGTGTGAATTGATGCGATCGTTGCCTCGGACTCTGTGCAAGGCGGATTCGGCAGATTTTGACGGCGTGCCGCCCCTGCCTCCACGTCCTCCTCGGGAATTGACAGAACTTCGAGGTCCTCGTGGGCTATTGGAATGGTTAGCGGGTGGACGAGGAAGATGAGAATCGGCCACATACGCGTTGTCCGGGGGAGCCTCGGTCATGTCGGTTTCGTAGGCAGCAGGTATCGTTGGCTCGGTAGGCTGTTCTTGCGTCTGATCTGGAGCTGCGGCGCCATCAACGGGGGCGCTCTGGGTTGGCGCAGAGCTTTCGCCGCCTGATAGCTGCGCGACTTGGTCAAATAACCACTTCGCGAACTCTTCTGTTCCCTGCGCGTCCTGTAGAAGTTCGCCGGCAAGCTCAGAGGCAACTTGTGACTGAGTCTTGCCGTTAGCCAGCATCAGAACAATATATTCGGCAAGCGCAGTATCGTCATCCGAGCTCCATCCTTCTTGACAGATGCGATTATGAACCGACGTGCTCAGCGCGTCTGCGATAGGCGTATCTAATGATATTGACGCCATGTTGTGCTGGGGCGAGTGTCGGGGGCAAAAGGTCGAGTTAAGGCGATTGAGTAATATCTGGATCCGATGATGGAAATCAATCCCAGGTTTTGTGAGGAGTAAGGGGATCGTTCCGCATTCGATAGTCTTCGATGACAATGGAAGGGTGTGGATAATGATCCGTCGCGTTTGGCTGCTGCTAACGACAAAGAAAGCCGCAGATTCCAACGCCGCCGTGTTCTCCATGCCAAGCTTACGCAATCTGCGCCAAGGCCCCCATTCGGCGCCACATCTGCGGCTTAGTCAAGACTGCTCACCACCGCCAACTCAGCATTAGGTACTCACAGGCTGATGCTTTTCATCACTCCGCAATGTGACCCCTTTCCCCGTCATTTGACAAGCGGAACCTCAGTGCCAGCGATTAGAAGCTAGCAAGTGAGTATGTTGACACGAGTTATTGTGCCACTTTGGCTGCTGCTACTATCGCTGCTTCCTATTGCCTCAGCGCGTCTAGCAGTATGGCCACAACCTACCGACGTGGAGATCGGCGAGGACGTCTTGTGGGTTGATCCCGCTCTCAGGGCGACCCTTTACTGTGGCAACGAGTCTCAACAGTACTCTGTAGCTTCACCTTCGACTCTTGACACTTTTCTCGAGGGCTCCCAGCAGAGTATCTTTCAGGCCCTAGGCAGCTGGCAGAATGTCTTCGGTCTGGCTGCTAAATCCCAGTTTTCACAGCACGCAGACCCGCGGTCTGAAAATCAGTACCTTCGAGAAGCTGTGCGAGAGACCCTTAAGAGCCTCCACCATTCCAAGTTCGTCCCGTGGAAATTCCACCCACGACGCTCTTCCTTTGAGCCAGAAGCCAGCGCCCAAGGTCGGAGTCTCATCTCGCTGGAGCTTACTCAAACCTCGTGTCCGTCTTCTTCATTCGAGCCTAGCAAATACTTTGATGGCGACGAGTCCTACGAGATCAGACTAAAGAGCGGAACTGCTTTCATTGAAGCAAAGTCCACGGTGGGTTCGTTACGTGCTCTGGGTAAGTTCCATCAGCGAGCATCCTCCTGACCACAAACGATGAACATCGATATCTGTAGCACGTCCAACAATCTGCGGTAGGTGAAGCAGCTGATCCTCGGGACAGAAACATTCAAGCAGTTATTCTACGCCCACTCCTCTGGTCCAGTCTATACTCCTCACACTCCTCTACATATCCGAGATTCGCCATTCTGGAAGTACCGTGGGCTGAGCCTAGACATTGCACGCAACCCTTTCTCGGCGGATGATGTTGTCCGCACCATCGACGCTATGGCAAGCGTCAAGATGAACAAGCTCCATGTGCACGCCACAGATTCCCAATCGTGGCCGCTTGAGATACCTGCCCTACCTGAACTCGCAGCTAAAGGAGCCTACCAACCAGACCTTGTCTGGCGTGTCGACGATCTCAGCTATGTTCAGAACTATGGCGCGTCCAAGGGAGTCCAGGTCTTCTTGGAGCTTGACATGCCCGGCCACACAGCTTCGGTCGCAAATGCCCATCCGGAGCTTATCGCGGCTTACAACCAGTTGGACTGGTCGACTTTTGCTGCGGAGCCACTGAGCGGCCAGTTCAAGCTCAACAGCACGCAAGTGTATGACTTTCTGGACACATTGTTCGACGACTTGCTTCCCCGCCAGAGTCCTTACACCTCAATCTACCACCTAGGTGGGGATGAGGTCAATCTTCAAGTTCATACGCTAGACGAGACCGTGGAATCCAACAAGCACGAAGTCCTCCAGCCACTAATCCAAAAGCTGATGCAGGGCATCTACGATAAAGTGGTGGACCAGGGTCTACGACCCATGGTGTGGGAAGAAATGGTTCTGGAATGGGGTCTTGACTTTTCTTCGGGAAAGCATGGACTCCAGGGACCTAAACCTCTTGTCCAGGCTTGGATTTCGAGCGAGCATATTGTCCAGCTACTTGAGAAGGGCTTTCCCGTAATCTTTGGAGATTCAGGACATTGGTACCTTGATTGTGGGTTCGGCCAGTTTCTTGATCCATATCCATCGGGTAAGTCCCCAGTTGGTGTCCCGTTCAACAGCTCGGGGGGCGTTCCCAGTCGCCTGGAGGCACCGTACCTGGACTACTGTGGACCCTATCACAACTGGAGGTCGATGTACATGTTCGATCCCCTGCAAGGCATACCTGAGCATTTGCATGCTGGCATCGAAGGCGGCGAGACGCTCATGTGGAGTGAACAGACTGATGGAATCGATCTGGACTTCAAGTTATGGCCACGAGCAGCCGCCGCGGCCGAGGTGCTGTGGGCTGGCCCGCGACAGGAGTCGATGATAGCGGACGCCACCTGGAGGCTCGGGCAATGGAGAGAACGTGGTGTTTCAGACCTCAAAATCTCCGCTTCTCCCGTCCAGATGACCTGGTGTCTTATGGAAGGAGCTACGGGAGGCTGCCAGTACTGAGCATTTGAGCATCACCTTGCTGTTACATCGACGCAATAAATCCGTGGGCATTCATTATTTCGCTCTCCGCGACGGTGTTCAAGCCGCGGCTGTTGGCGTCCGAACATGTGATCGCATACCACACGAGACCGTCCCTTGCCCTGGTCATGCAGCGGCCTGGATCTATGCAGGCGACGGACACTGGGCGTATAGGGCAGACAGCGCTTGATCTGGGGACAATGGCGCGATTTGTTGATTTCCGCCAATAACCCCCGCCAATACAGGTTACCCAGGAACACAGTGATATCCGAAGGCTGCCGTACGTTGGGGTAACTCGTACTTCGTATAGCATTAAACCCCCCAGACAACCGCCTAGAACATATGGCTCAAGCTCGTATAACAGAGTCTGATGAGACTCTGATCAATCCTTTTGGCACAGCTGTTGCCGTCCTACACGCGCAACAATAGATCCATATTTGAGCAGTGGCCTCCCGTCTCACGCTTGTCAGGTGGCGACTCGTTAAGGGAATCAGTGGGCAAGGCCTCACTTGAGCGCTTGCAAGGTAGCTAAACTCTCCTGTCTTCAAGGATGCAGGTGATTCAACGACCTCATTGATCATGACTCGCAACCTGGAAGTCTCGTTCACTCCTCACCGCAGCATATCGCCGTTATAACGGCTGATGCCGAGTCTTCGCTTACCAGCAGAAGCTAGCTAAACGACTACGTCTCCTCACGTCTTGTACCCCGCTAATCCGATCCGGCGAAACGCGTCCGAAGTATATAGCTCGTGTACCATCCCAGATCAGTCTTCGTTCCTGGAAGAAAGAACTGTTTGTTCTTACCGCTGTGTGTGCTGCTGCAACGATGGTTCTCCAGTACTTCTCATACAGCACCCTTGTTGCGGTTGTATTCGTGGGCTACAGCCTTTCAGTCTTGTACGACCGCTACACGAAAGAAAAGAAAATCCTCCGACTAGGCCACACGGCACCCTTGGTGAAAACACAGTTTATTTGGGGTAAGTTTTCCAACTCTAGAAGAACCAATTCGACTCACACCTACTAGGCCTCGATTTTCCCATTCATTCGACCATTGCCTTGAAGAAGAAACTAGCTCTGGAATTCTGGGACTGGTTATTCGATCACACGGGTGTTGCAGCAAAACATTCCTACACTGCTGAGGTCCGCCTCTTAGCCTCTTCGAGAGTCATCTTCACGGGAGATGTCGAAAACATCAAGGCTATCCTCACCACCCAATTCCAGGACTATGGCAAGGGCGAGCAGTTCCATGGAGAGTGGAAGGACTTCCTCGGTGACAGTATTTTCACCACCGATGGCAAGATGTGGCAGGAGTCGAGGAATCTTATCCGTCCCATGTTCATCCGCGAGAAAGTCGCTGATCTAGACTTGGTGGAGGAGCATGTACAGAAGCTGATGAAGCTGCTGGGACCTGGCGATGGCAGCATGGTGCAACTCGACAAACTCTTCTTCCGCTTCAGCTTGGACGCGTCCACCCATTTCCTATTTGGCCAATCCGTCAACAGTCTCGATAATCCCGCCAATGAATTTGCCACTGCTTTTGATGAGGTGCAACGGGTCCAAGTGCTTGAAGGGCGATTAGGCCCCTTCCGCCACTGGTATCCTAAAAGGTCCAAGAGCGCCGGTCTGAAGTTCCTGGACAAGTTCATGCAGCCTATCATCGATGCGGCTATGCAGCTGTCGCCTGAAGAGCTTGAAACGAAATTGTCCAAGTCCGACACCTTCATTCACGCCCTCGCGCGGTTCACCCGAGACAAGAAGGTCATGCGCGATCAGATCATGTCATTGCTGCTAGCTGGCCGAGACACTACGGCGTGCACGCTATCTTGGCTATTCTTGGAGCTCTCTCGGAACCCTCGCGTTGTGAAGAAATTACATGAAGAAATCAGGAATGTCATCGGCGACAGTGGGCGGCCGCCGACCTACCAAGAGATCAAGGATATGAAATATCTTACCTGGGTCATCAACGAGACCCTTCGATTGTATCCCGTGGTACCCTTCAACGTACGGGCAGCACTGAAAGACACTACGCTACCTCGAGGCGGTGGACCTGACGGGATGGAGCCACTCGGTCTCCTCAAAGGAACTCCCGTCGGCTACAGTACTCTCTTGTAAGTCCCGTGGTGCAGTTTGTCGCGCTCTACTTACCAAAACCTAGCATGCAACGACGGAGAGATATATACCCACCTATCTCGGAAACGTTCCCATATGACCCCCTGGACTGGGTTCCTGATAGATGGGCTACGTGGACCCCACCCGCCTGGACATTCATTCCGTTCAATGGCGGTCCAAGGATATGCATTGGCATGAACTTTGCCCAGATGGAGATGGGCTACACGGTGGTGCGCTTGCTGCAACATTACGAAAAGATCATCAACTTCAACAACAGGTCAGATATGCACATCGAGATTGTTGTGACGCCAGCCTACGGTACCAACGTTGGCTTGGTGAAGAAGTCCAGTGTCTCGGAGAAGACCTCTTGAATGGTGAGCTGATACGCGGCAGCGACACTGTTTTGGTTCGGTACGGACAATATCAAAGTCCATGCTGGTGATGATTATCCAGATTGATAGCCTGCTTCCTTGCACGCACATAAAAGTATGTGTTATCCCACACAAGATGTGTTGTTGTTCACGTTCACTCGCTACACTGCAGCCTGCTGTCTCACGGTGGGGCAGCAGCTTCGGACACACATTGATCCGCTACCGGTTACCGAGAGTGCGGAACGGCCCATGCTCTACCAGTTGTGAACAGTTGGTTCACTCCGTCTTCTTCCTCTTTCTCTTCCGCAGCTACTCAATAGTATCCTGCTGATCCCAACCACGGACTCTTCGCCCATACTCTTCTCGCACTACCCTGTATGCGCTTTTAGCCCATCCTCCCTCACCACGGTCGTGCCTACTCCCTTTTGGTAACCCTCTCTCCGGTTCACTCGAGGCTTCCCACGAAGCCACTCAGCCATGTCTTCGACAGTCGTCCCTGATGCTGCCGCTGACGGAAATGCCAACCTGGCAAAAACTCCCGCTCAGCTGATGCGTGAGCAACATGAGGCTGCTGCCACTCACCACGTTACGGTTGAAGATACGGTGGATGAGGATGACATCCAGCACCCGCCGCCTTCCGTCCCCACCGAGAAGCCAGAAGAAGCTGCTCCTGCTGCCACCAACGGCACAATGTCAGCCAAAGCTGCTGGCAAGCAGAAGGCCTCGGAGAAGCTTGGTGCTTTCAATACTCAGGATGATGAAGCCTTCCCTGCTCTCGGCCCAGCCCCGCGTGCACCGCCTGCTCCTCGAACTGGTGGCTGGGCCAACGCAGCTGCTGCTAAGGCACCCGGCGTCAGCGCTGCCACTTCTCGTCCTTCCTCCGGTATGCCTACCCCGTCCTCGACCCCCGGCATCCGGACTCCTACCGGAGCGGGTGCTGGCTCACGCCCAGCCGTCTCGCTACCTGGCCGCGCCACTGATCAATTCGAGATCGAGAACACCGAGCTAGACAAAAGCAAGAACCTCCGTAAGATTCTTGACGATGTATTCCGCAAGTTCAATGTGAAGGTCACCACGAAGACCACGGGTCTCGGGAAAAAGACGGCTTTCGTCGCAGATGGACCTAAAACCAAAGTCACGGACGCCCTCATGCATATCTCGCAGTCGCTCACGGTCGAGAAAGTGTCCACGCTCGAGATCCCCTCCACCGTCACTGCGCAGATCATCGGTAAGGGCGGCGCCAACATCAAGAAATTGGAATCCAAGTTCGGGGTCAAGATTCATACTGACAGAAGCAATCGGAAAACGAGCGGTGCCGACGATGCCGGCACCGACATTGTCGAAATCAAAGGTCATTCTGCCCAAGTTGCCCAGGTCTACGATGAGATTGCCAACCAGGCCCGCCAATTGCAGCCAAAGGTCGACGTACCTGTCCGAGGCATTCCACCAGAGTTCTACCCCTTCATCGCTGGCCGTCATGCCGAGAAGATTCGCAACCTGGAGGCTCAGCAAGGCCTAAACATCAATATCCCTGCGTATCACACATGGCAGTCCCAGGCGCCGGCCAAGGTCGAGAAGGATAATGGTCCAGCCAGATTCCATCCTCATGGCGACTCTCACATCACCATTTCAGGTGATCAAGCCGCTGCAAAGTCCGCTGGTCAGCAATTCGAACGGCTCGCAGAGCAGCTCCAGACTGAGCTGTTTTTGGAGGAGCTGCAGGCCCAGCAGTTCATGCGCCCCTTCATTGTTGGCGACCGTGGCATCGACCCGCTGGAATTTCTGGAGAAGACCGGTTGCGTAGTGGTACTGCCCCCTGGTCATCACGAGACAGAAGAAGTTCACATCATCGGTCCCCAGAGCCGACTCGACGAGGGTCGCAACTTAGCGGAAGAACTTATGGCCCAGAAAGCCGCTCAGCAAGTAAACTTGCACAAGCAGTTCTCCGATGCACCTCTCGGGCCCGAGCGGCACTCTCGCGCACTGGCTCAGTATTTGCAGCGCAGAGCCATCGAGCGCGAATTCAATACCGCTCATAATGCTGAGCTCATTTTCCCAAGCTCCGTTTCCGCTGCACCGGAGTGGATTGTCATTGGCGATGATCCTCGTAAGGCCATGTCAGCCCGTAATGAGCTGTCCAAGATCACCCAAGCTTTCCCTACACCACGCCTGCAACTGGTCGAAATCGATCCGTTCTTCCATCCCCACCTCGAGCAGTTGCACGCTCAGAAACTTCAAAATGATCTGGGAGTTTATCTGATCGTACCTGATGATGGCGAGGAGTCAGTTGTGCTTGTTTATGAAGGTCCCCATTCCGAATCACCTTTCCAGATACCTCGCACGAAGCCTAGCAAACAGGAGCTTTCAGAGTTCGAGAAGGCTCTGAAAGCGGCCGAGGAGCTCCTCCGAAGCAGCATCCCCCATCAAGGAATTGAGAACGATAATGTTGAGGTTCCTCGCAAGTTTCATGACAAGGTGCGAAGATACGTGAACCAGGAGCAGGTTCAGTCTCCAGGCGCCTTCCCTGTGCAGATCGATTTCGGTGGTCGTCGTCAACAAGCCGCACGGGGCTCTCCTAACTTTGTGGAGCTCCGCCACCCTGAAAGAGCCGCAGTTGACGAACTTAAGCGCAAAATTCAGCAGTTCTTGGTCGAAGCTGAGCAGGACGAGAAGGAACGCGGCTATGTTACTACTCTCCAGTTTCCAGCGAAATACAATAAGAATCTTATTGGTCGAAATGGAGCTCATGTTAACCAGCTGCGCGAGAAACATGATGTGGATATTCAGGTTTCACGAGAAGGCGGTGACGAGATCAAGATCCAGGGACCACAGAAAAAGGCCGAGGCTTGCAAAGCTGAGATACAGAAACTTCTCAAAGCTTGGGAGAACGAGGTCAACTATGTGATCAAGATCGACTCCAAGTTCCACGGCCAGCTCGTCGGCCGAAGCGGTGAGAACCTCCGCAAGATTCTCGCTCAATCCGACAACGAAGTTCGTATTGACTTTCCTCGAGCCTCACGCGGCGGGGTCGAAGACTCGTCGGATATCGTCAGTGAGGCCGGTGCTCGGGTCACTCAGCCATCCGACGAAATTCGCATCAGAGGCCCTAAGGCGAAAGCTGATGCTGCCAGAGAGCAGCTGCTGGCCTTGAAGCAGTACTATGAAGATAACTCGCACACGGCTACGGTTTCTGTTGCTCAAGACCAGGTTGGATCTCTCATCGGCCGAGGTGGCCAGGAGCTTGAGAAATTACGAGCCGACACCAATGCACAGATCGATATTCCGAAGAGCAACGGTGCCAAGCGTATTGAGATCACCATCCGAGGATCCAAAGACGCTGTCAAGCAGGCCAAGTCGGAGATCGAGAAACGTTCGAAAGCTTATGACGCAGTTGTCACGAAGACAATCGATGTCGATAGTAAACACCGCAACGCCATCATTGGCGCTGGTGGATCCAACATCAGGGACATTGTCAAGAAGGCTGGCGGCTCTGAAAATTCTGCCGACCATGTCAAGTTCCCTGCCCGAGGTGAGGACTCCAACACTATCACCATCAAGGGCACGCAGGATGTGGTCGATAAGATCATTACAAGCATCAAAGGCCTTGTGAGTGAGAAGGAAAACCAGGTCAACGACTCAGTCGATGTTCCTGTCAAGCTGCACCGTAACCTGATCGGCGCTCAAGGTGCGAATCGCAAGGAATTCGAGGCCAAGTTTGGTGTCTCCATGAATGTGCCTCGGCAGAACAGCGGTGAGACTGCCGTCAAGCTCGCTGGACCTCCGGAGAACGTCCAGAAGGCTAAAGACCACCTTCTGGCTATGACAGATGCCCAAAAGGGTGAGACTGTGACCGTTCCCCGCAAATTCCACCACGCTGTGGCACAAAACGGCGCCACTTTCGGTGAGTTCACTCGGATGGGCGTCCGCATTGACCATGCGGGCCAGAAGCCGCCATCCAGACCAAAGGCTGGTGCTTCTAAATCTAACGGCGATCTGCCCCTTATCACTGACCAGGCAGGTGGCAAAATGGCCCATTCCTGGGAAGTTGTACCCCTTACCTCCGATGAAGATGGTGAGATCGCGTGGAACATTGTCACCACTCGTGATGCGAAGGAGGGCGCGGTGGACAAGGCCAAAGCACGCATACTAGAGCTACTGGAACAGGCCGAAGAACCTAGATTTACCGGCTACCTGACTTTGCCGGACCCTGCTTTGCACAAGCGAATCATCGGCTCCGGCGGCAAGACCATCAACGGTATGCGTAATGCTACGGCGTGCGACATCCAGGTCCCGAGACCAAACGACAAGACGGATGCCATCACGATCACGGGCAGCGAGGACGGCGTTCTGAAGGCCAAGGACATGATTCTTGAGGTTATCGAAGGTGGTAACGGCAATTAGGTCATTTGCTGTCAACGCGAGTGGACATGCTGTATAGTCCAACGGGCGTGATTGAAATCCAAAGGCGCCGCATAGGAATCTGTGAATAGATCATGGAACCTACTGGCAGAGACGTCTTACGAAACAAAGTCTAAAAAGTGATTGATCGATTCAGCGAAACAAAGCAACTGACGACGTGTATGTAAAAGGTAGAAAAAATCCAAAAGCTGGAGTTTTGTGCGTTGGACTGCATTGCGACATGTTTATTTCGAGTCATTTTGGCTACTGTCTTTTCTCCCCGTGCTCATGTCGCAAGTAGGGCAAGGGGTTCGAATACAATCAGTGAACGATTAAACGCTCCCCTGTATCAGTATCATGCAGGCCAAAAACGAACGGAGACTGTTGTCCGTGTGAGGCGTTGCTCGCTTGGAACAACCTGATGCTCGTCTTCCTGTCCTCTTCATTTCCTCTTTCGTTCCCTCTTGTCCAATTCATACCGAAGTCCGTTTTCGCAGGTACTGACTAGGGTACATCAGGTCCGGCCGTGGCGCAGTCAGGGCCGACGAACGGCTTTGATGGTCAACGTTGTGGCTTGTGGCGGAGCGATGGCTGGCTGGCTGGCTGGCTGACGGATTCTGGGGCGTTGGCGGCTCAAATTTTGTTGGGTACAGATAAAAGGAGCCACGTCGAGCGAGCCGGGCAATGCGTCCGGATGTTGGTCCATGTTCACGGAGGCTCCCGCAATTTTGTACCGATAATGCCACTGCTCGCCAACCTGACTCGTCTGCCGACTGTGTCGGCCACCTTGAAGAACTTCCACGGCCTGGATATCCCAGCTGGCTACGAGCTTCCGCAGCATCTCTGGGACGCGCTCACCCGTAACGACATTGTGCACTACGCTTGGGTGGAGCTTGTTGTCAAGGCTGCTGCAGTGTTTGAGACCGGAGCTGTGTACACACAGCTCGTTAATAACAGGGCAGGCTGGCTGTTTGCGGAGGAGCCGCAAGCCACGGTCTTGGGCGAGTTGTCTTGGCCACAAGTGCAACACCTGGATCTGTTGTTGAGGACTTGTGCGGTGACGGGCTGGGATGTTGAGTACCATCGCGCAAGGTCCGCGCTGAGGTCCGCGCTGATGGCATTTAAAGAGGTGCTGGAGGAAGGTGTCTTCATGGCGGGGGCAAAGACATTGTGTCCGTCGGGGCCCGCCAGAGAGGCTCTGCAACAGTGGTACGACGCCGCTGTTGGGGAAATGGTGGACGAGGCGGATAGTTGGTTGCAGAGTAGCTTCACTTGGTGGAATACGTTGACGGAGATTGCAGAGAAGTATCCGCAGGTAAGGATATGGGCAGACGTACTGGAGACGACTAATCAGAGGTCTCGCAGGAGCGGCGGAGTGGTGTTGAAGCGTAAGCAGGTGTTTGAGTTGAGGTTTGGGAGCTTCACGCCGCTTCGCAGGCTCGCATGGGTGTCGGATAACCTAGCCAGGAGGGTTGACGATCATGAGATTGGTTTCGGTCCAGTCATGTCATAGTACTTGATGCATGCCAGCTGATGGGCGAGGGGTACAGAACTTTGGGCGACAGTGGAAATGGTGCAGGTTCACGTGGTGAAAAGAGAGTCCTCCTGTTTCTTGTTAGCATCAAGGACCAGGATATAACACGGATGAAGACACTGACTTCTCGCAAGTATTCTCCAACGTCACCTTGACGGAAAGCTACCACAGCCGTAGGATCCAGCTTCCTCGATTCCGCTGTCGAACGAGCCGTGACGCCGAAGCCGAGCGGGGTGTCGTCCATGGAGAGAATAACGACACCCGAGTGCTCCGGGCAATCCTCGCTCCAGCGACCGACGTGGGCTTTCACAACATTGCCGCCGTAGAGGAATGGCATCTCGCCATTGGCCTTGACCCACAACTTGTAGCGCGCATGAGGAGCAATCACGTCGAGGGCGGTGATGTGCAGCCGGAACTTGCCAGTCTTTGTGAATTTTCCGATACAAGTGCCCAGACACAGCAAATTGTCTCGTGCCACCGAAGTGGCTAGGTTCGCGAGCGACAATCGTACGTAGTAAACACGAGACTCGTGCAGGCGGAAGACATGGCGATCGTCGTCGTTGCCCGTCTCAGATGGGGCTATGAGTTGGTTGAGAGACCGGCCGGTGTAGTTGGCAAGCTTTGTGAAGAGCGTCTGCGTTTCCACGTCTGTTAAGGCTCGCATCTTGTCCGGGCTGTTGGTGTGAGTGACCACGGTGAGAAGGTCTTCGGGTGTCTTTGTTGGAGAGGAACTTTTTTCATGCGCCAGACCTTATCGATAACGACGGACTTGTCGCGTGAGGAACCTTTGCCTGTATAGGCTTAGCGTATCCAGGCTGCTCGCCGCTCCTTGTAACTCCGTGACTTCCTGGAGAATCTGCCAAGTAAAAGCCAAGTAGAAGGCTGCTGTGAGCAAAACATCCATCGAAGTCTCTTTCATGCTTGCTTGCAATCCTTGGAAGTTCTTGCAAACGGATGCCGCTTACTAGTACGGTCGCTCATCACATGGGCACGATGACGAGCCATACAGTGCAGCTCGATCAAGACCTTTTCGTGTGCGTTGCAAAGCCAGTTGCAACAGCGCGTGTACGACGACAATAGCCATGAGCAATGAGCCATCGAACTCTGAAGCCATGTTTCAGGCAGGTTTGCGGTCGAAAGTAAGTGAACAGGATGCTTTTGCCCCCATTGTGGGAAGCCTGATACGATGACGTACTCAAGACGCGTCACAGGCGGGAACGACAGCATGACCACAGAGGGCTGTCTGAACCACTTCTCTAGCCAGTATCCGCCTGATCGACGGATGGGAGAACGAATCTACCTATCACCTTTAGCATAGTGTAGCACATAGGCGCCTTACGGTATGGCTGAAGTTCCTAGAGGACTCCGAGAATGGGAACTGCAACAACAACTCTCCGCTATCTTACCTCTGGGTGAAGGCGAAGTTTCGCAGATTATTTCTTACGTCGGCACACTTTCGACGCCAGAAGCTACTGTATATCTCCATGATCTACTCGGCGACTCTCCAGAGGCGTTGACATTCGTCACCGGGTTCACCGAAAAGCGTGCAGGCATCGACACTGGAGAGGGCGACGATATGGTGGTTAATACAGACAGCAAGCCTGCGGTACGTGGTGCTGCCTTGCCATCGAAAGGTCAGCCGCGCATTCAAGCCGATGCGGGGAGCAGCGACGCAAAGGAAACTGCCATAACCGATGGGAAGAGTAAAGAGCCGAACGTTCCCAACCCAGTCGGTCAAGCTGTCTCCTACGCCCCGCCACCAGGACCGCCACCACAACCCAAAAGGGTAGCCGCACATCATCACACAAACCCAGTCATTGACGCTGCAAGAATCCGCGCGCAAGATGAGGTGTGTCAGTGACGCCATGATGATGACACTGCCGGGGCTGACTAGCTGACCCTGAACAGCAAGAAATGCAGCAAATGCTCCAGAATCTACAGTTCCAGTACGGCATCTACAACAGCGACATCGAGCCCGAACATGATTCAGACTATCCCTGCAGCTGCCCAATTCACCAGTACCAGAGGATTAAATGGAGACGTTATGGGGTTCAAGACATGTGGTCACACGCTGTCATGTATCCAGGTACCATACTCCGCATACCGAGCACGGGGTTTTTCACTGTACTAACTCCATCCCTAGGCGAAAAGGCCTACAACGACGGCACCTACAGCTACGGTGGAGGCATGCGCCTCTCAAGTCGCAATCCTTATTCGTACCGCGTCGCATCTCCTTACGGTTATAATCAATTTGGATGGGGTGGACCGGCCAGACCAATCCCCTCATGGCATGAGAAGGTGATCCATCAAACCATCGCACTGAATAACTCCCTCAATCGTGAAGCACAAGCTAGCATCGATGCCAAGGAGCCCCGGCACAGCATCTGGGATGACGACGGAGGGCTAGAATCAGCGATATCAAACTTAGGTATCAGCGACCAAAAATTCCAGTACGAAGAGATCGCGAACACTTCATCCCACGGAGAGAAGCCGCCCATCGTGAAACGCGCAAGCGTGGCCGACTCCAGAAGCGGCAGCAGTTCTCGCCTCTCGAGTTTCCGCAAATCTATCGGTATTAAATCCTCCGTGGAACGCGCCGTCGACAAGGCCAACAAGACTGTTTCCGATGGCGCTTCCCTGCGCGATCAGATCCTCGCTGAAGAGCGCGGCCGTTGGCCAGATGCGCAATGGCGCCATATTGTGACCAACTACCAGGAGCGAGTTGGCATGGCCAAGAAAATTGCTCAGCTACGCGCACGTTATCCAATCCAGTACCTACATTTACTGAGAGCGGGTTATTTCGAACCAATTCCCGTGGCATGGGCGAACCAAGCATCTAACCCGCTGAAGTTCAGCATCGAAGCCGCGGCGGGGTGGAGAGGCATCACACCCGCATGGCGTGGGTACGAGGATACCGCTGAAGAACGACTCTACTGGGTTCTGAATCATCGGGAGGCCCCTGGGGGCGAATCCCGCACGAGATTGAAGCCAGACTTCATTTCCGCGATGGAAATGGCGCGCGCTCGGATGGCGAGCGCCGTCGAGCCGCCACCACTGTATTTTGCGGAGGATGATACCTGTCACGTGCAGCATACCAGCGAAGGCTACTCGAAACAGGTCATGCCGCCGCCCTTCCGGGCGTTCGATCGGCCAGAGCTGCCAACTGACGATACGATGATCCTTCTGGACGTGAGCGGGAGCATGGATTTTGATCCTGTCAGGCCCGTGTACGACAGGTACCTGATTACACAATATGTCAGGGGCACACAGCCGAAGAATAAGCATGTCGCAAAGGCAATAATCCGCCGATTTACGGATGCTATGGCTCAGCATGATCATCAGACCAGAAGCGAGGGATATGACTTGGTGACGTTCTCTACATTCGCAACACATATTGGAAGGGTCAACCACTCCAACCTGAACGATATGTGGGCGTCTCGTGTACGGCTGGGTGGTGGAACTCGTGTCATGACTGGATGGCAGAAATGCAAGGAACTACATTTCCAGAAACACTCGGAATCCGCCACACACCATTCCGTGTATGGTTGGCAGGCCGGTCCGCAAACGCCCATGCTCCGGCTGTTGTTGCTGCTCGACGGCGAAGCAACTGACATGGACGAATTCGAGCTCGACCTGTTGGGTTTGTCCTGGGCACACGTGACGATCTTCTTGGTCGGTGTCGAGGGTTGTCCCCATCATCATAGGCACGCAAACGAGTTGCAGAGGATCAGCGAGGTGAACCACCATGTGAGTTTTGTGGATGCACAGGGAAATACGCCCGAGAGGTTTGTGACGCATGAGTTGTTGAAGCGGCATCTGGGGTATGAGATTAGTATGCAGGAGTTTGAGGATCTCGAGCGTCTGCCTGAATATAGTGCTGTGGCATAGGGAACACGTTGGTCGGGTGTCACGATCAACAGAACCTGTTCTCTGGGCCGAGACTTTTGTTCTCTGTCTGGTATATGTTTCTTGCGCTACGTCTAATACCAGAGATCATCATCGAAAGGACCCGCCGTTATCCAAATAATTTCTTATGCTCTTCTTGTTCATAGAGCAGTACCTCTCCCTCTCCACTAAAAAAGAATGTGTTAGTATCATTGGGCGGAGCTGGGGCTTTTACGGCCGGCATAGAAACATCAAAAAGCACAGACCCGAATTGGCGTTTTCGGGACAACTCTTCTGAGTATGAGCGATCGCGGTAAGCGTGGTCTAGATATCGTCTGTTCAGCTACTTCCAGTTTCTCATACTACGACAGTATCCCGAATCCTCATGCTAAAGGGTTCAACGGAGCAGTTACAAGCACGTTGGGACATCGAACGCCAAGACCGGCAAGCGTGCACTAACCCTAGTTCAGCCATGCCTTTGCGGAGCCTTATCGATAAGAGTTGACTTCACTTTTTTTCTCTGGGACAGCCTACTGCAACTACTACTTTGCCTTTTACATACCTCAGTCGACGACAAGCTCAGTACAGGTGACTATGCCGCATGGTCGCCCGGCTAAGCGACGGCGAGTCACGCCGCCCGTCGATGACAGTGCGGTTTCCGAAACCGTGAAAGCGGAAGACCTCTTCAGCAGAGCGGCGGATTGGGACCTGGAGGACCAATACGAACAGCGGTCACGACGAAAGAAGGTCAAAGAGACAACAAGACTACCCACTAAGAGCGCCGAAGGTGTCCTACAGAACGCCTCGATCGATGAAGCTGATGATGCCGCTTCGGATAGCTTCCTTGCTTCCGACAGTGACAATGAGGGCGACAGTGGACTTGTGACCCCACCGGCAGAGCCCGAAGCCCAACCTAAGATCCCACTGAAACAGCAAGTACTGCAGACAAAGGAAGAAATCGCACGTTTGGCTGGTTTACTGAATGAAGATCCAGAAGAGCACGCTGGCGCGTTCAAGAAGTTGGCCCAACTGGGCAATGGGGCGCCTCTACCCGTGCAGAAACTCGTTCTTGCTGCTCAGGTGGCTGTCTATAAAGATGCGATCCCTGGGTATCGCATTCGAGCGTATAAAGACGAAGATATGAGCAGCAAGGTGTCCAAGGATGTTCGCAAAACGAGGCAATTTGAACACGGTCTCGTCACCAACTACCACACCTACGTCAAGCATCTGGCGACTCTCGCTCGAACCAAATCTGATGACAGCGAGACCGCCTCTCTTCGAAGTGTCGCCATCAGCTGTGCCTGCTCTCTCCTGCTTGCTGTGCCGCATTTCAACTTTCGCACCGAGTTGCTTAATCTTCTCGCCCGCGAACTTCTCAAGCGTGAGCCAACGCCAGATTTTATCAAGTGCATCGACACTGTTCAGAATTTTTTTAAAGCGGATGACGATGGAGCACCGTCGCTGGAGGCAGTCGGCGTCCTCTCGAAGCTCATGCGAGCAAAAGACTTCAGTGTGCGAGAAGAGGTATTAGACTTGTTTCTTCACCTGCGCGTACTGACCGAACTCTCACCCGCCCATGTCAGTGGCAACGCCACAAACACCAGGCTATCGAAACTACATGGCAAGAGATCGAAGAAGGAGAAATGGGAGCACCGCTCGAAGAAAGAACGAAAGGTCGCGCGCGAAAACAAGGTCGTCGAGAAAGAAATGAGAGAGGCCGACGCGAGTGTCAACTTTGAGGAGCGCGAGAAAATGCAGTCCGAAGCACTCAAGCTCGTATTCGCAACCTATTTCCGTATCCTCAAGGAAAGGATACCCCATCTCATGGGCGCGGTCCTCGAGGGTCTGGCTAAGTACGCCCACCTTATCAACCAAGACATGTTCGGGGATATTCTTGAAGCTCTGAAAGACATCGTCAAGCGAGCTGAAAATTTGGACGACGTTGACGAGATCGGAGACGATGAGCAGCCGACGACGAACCAACGCAACTTCACTCGCGAAAGTCTGCTGGCTACGCAGACCGCATTCACCCTGCTATCGCAACAGGATGTCTCAAAGTCTGCATCAGCCCTGCAGCTCGACCTCTCATTCTTCTCTACCCACATCTATCGCACACTCTATGCACTAGGATTGGATTCTGATATTGAGCTAGGGCCAAAGGCGCTACACCTTGCGGATCCACACAGTCGGGGCCAACAAGAGCATCGGAACAGAGTCAACGTGTCCACGCCCGTCCTTCTTCTCACCAGAGTACTCACGTCGATCCTTCTGACACCATCACAGCCGCCTCCAACAATTACTGCGACCGCGTTCTACAAGAGGCTTCTATCCATCTCCATTGCACTTCCGGAGAAGTCAGCCTTGGCAGTGTTAGGTCTGATGGGCAAGGTCGCGGACAAGCACAGCCGCAAGATTGAGGCACTTTGGTACAGCGACGAACGGAACGGCGACGGAGTCTTCCACGGTGAAAGCGACACTATTGAAGGGACAAATGTTCTTGCTGTTGGGAGTGGGGTGTGGGAACGAGAGTTGCTGAAGAAACACTACTGTCCTCAGGTCCGCGAGCAAAGTGCTGCGATCGACAAGATTATCACAAAATCGTCCCAAAGATAGGGTCCTTGAGCCGATCCCGATTACAAGCTGTCCAGCTGTTCGCTTCGCCCCCATTCCTCGTCCTCGTTGAGAAGGCTGAGCCAGAAAGGGGCTTGGGGCCAGCAGAGAAATCAAAGCATTTAGTTTCTTCACAAGCTTTTCCATCATGATGTGAAGCTAGCTACCATGGTCACACTGCAGTTGGCAACTTGCTGACTAGGCAGCCGTCACAGCACTTATCGATACGGTGGCAATCTCACATTCACGCTGCCGACCTGCAAACATGCCAAGACTGCGGTGTCTTTGGACCTTGCGGTTCTCACCCACAAGCAACAGAAAAGACACGTTGGAACAGTGCCATACTTCCTGTTGACTTCTTTATCTTTCATCTTCTTCCATGTCCATAGCACTACAGCTTGTTGGCCAGTACCGAGACAGCGATTTTTGCCTCTACCGACTCTTGTTGTAGGGACGTCAGGTTGTCTTGGAAGCGAAGTTGCCCAGATCAGCCACCTCGATTCCGAAAAGATACTCTCTTCCACGGTTTCTGTCTCCAAAACGACAATATGCAGCCCTACAAGTTTGGCAACACCTTCACTGACCGAGCTACCGAGCGAGCCAGTAGACCAACTTCAGTCAACGAGGCTTTCGGCGACGTCGAGACCACCAGTCTCATCATGTCGACCCACTCCAACGACCATACTCCCACCCCTGACACCACCTTCGACATGGTCGCTGGCCCGGTCACCGAGACCGAACAGCGTGGCAGAAGCCTCGTTCGCGAACAGCGCGCCAACATGGAAGCAAGCCTCAAATCTCGATCCCCGGCCAAGACCATCCGCAAGCGTAGCAACACCGACACGTCCAAATCTTCGAAGTCCACCAAGGAGGAGCACAAATCCGCCCTACCAATCCCACTTTTCTTCGGAAGGATGAAAAGCAAGCTTGCCAGCAAGAAGTCCAAGGCCAATCTGCGAGGAGATGGTCCGATGACGGTACCTGATACCAATAAACCCCTCCCAGCGATCAGCGTCTCCGCCACCATCGAGCCGACCGATCCCTCATACAGCCAGATCCCCAACTTCCTGACCATGCCATCCCCTTCGCCACGCTTCGCACGCAGCCCAGCTCCGCCCGGGTCCTACTCGCCATCCTCGCCGTTAAACCCGACAGCTCGCCCGTTCGTGCCTGTCTCTCCCGCGGACGTTGAATGGCCCCTGCAGTCCTCGAGCCCTGTTCCACCTGTCCAGTTCGTCCCTCGTGTGCCTCGCAAACCAGCAGCGGCCACCAGCACCCTGCCCTCGGGCGTCATCTTTGCCAACCAGCAAGGCCAGACGCATTTTATTGCCCCAGCACGCAAAGATACGTACGCATACGTCCAGCAGCCGAAGGTCGTGCCCGCGAGTCCGACGCATGCGTCCATGCACGCCAACATCGTCGAGCAGGCGCCGGCGATCCCTGTCACGGCCGCTCCCTCCGAAGAGATCGAGGGAGCAGAGGCGGCGGTGGCAGCAGAGGTGGCCCCACCAGCGGGCGTGACGCTGGAGGAGCTACAGGGAGAGTTGTTCGCGGTCTGTGAGGCGCTCAACATGCGCGTCGACCAGCTGGAGGCCCGCTTTGGGCGGGTGGAGGCGGCCCTTGGTCGCGTGGAGACGATGCTGCGAGAGGGTCGGGTGCAGATGAAGCGCGATGCGGCGTTTGGTGGGAGATACCCCGGCGATGCCAAGAATTTGTTGGCTTGGAAGTGAGTTGAGTTGGTTGAATGAATGAATGAATGCGATGACAGAGCATGATTGAATAGACAATGTGAAGTGGTTGGTGGCTGTGGAGCTTGCTTGCCTAGATGAGGCAGCCAGACTCTTCTGCTCGAGTTCTCCAAGGCTTTTTCTTCTTCACTTGTGCTGTGCTTGAATTTTGTGTCTACACTTGACAGATGTTTCGTTTTCTGGCCTTGCAGACATTAGTTGTGCTTCGCATATGATCTCATTTCAGTCTTACTCTCTACCTGCCTTTACTCGGGCTCAGCCCCTCACTCGATATCGACTCGCCTACGAGGCCTTCCCAAAGATCTCAAGGCCACTTATATACTCCAGTGGGCCGCGCCATATCCACAAAGCCGACTCCCAACATCCACCCCTTCCCCTTCTCTACCTCGCACAAAACGCCCCCACCGCGCCCTTCGTCTTCTCCTTGAACTCCTTGGTCACCAACGCACTCACCGCCTTAAACGCCTCACTCTTCGCATCCCCCAACAACTCAAACAGCACGCTCTCGCTCGTCGTGATCGTCGCGCCCCGGCTCCGCAGCCGCTCCAGCGCGACCCACCGCTCCCCGGCGTTACAGCTGCTGACGCCGTCCGCGAGCACGTAGACGTGGTGGCCCGCGCTGAGGAGGTCCAGCGCGGTTTGCGTGACGCAGATGTGTGTCTCGATGCCGACGAGGATGATCTCGAGGGGTTGCGGAGTGGTGGTGGCGGTGGCGGCCTGGGCGGCGACGGCGGAGAGGAGGGTGGGCGTCATCATGGAGAAGGCGGTTTTGTCGTGAAGGAGGGTTGGCGGGGTGGTGTCGGACATGGATTTAGGGTCAGTGGGCGTGGCGTCCGGGGAGGGGAGGAGGGTGGTGAGCTCGGAGACGGTGTCGCCTAGGCGGGCGGCGTTTTGGGTCGTGATGTAGATTGGGATGTTGAGGATCTTAGCTGCGGGGAAAGGGAGATGGGTGTGTCAGTTGTTTGGGTGGAGTTGGTAGGCATGAGGGTAACGCCGCCGTTGTAAGAGAGTAGACAATGAGAGGGGCATGGGAGGGCTACGACGCTTCAGTGCTCGCTCGAACTATGGCTTACCTGCTTTGACCATTTTTTCGCTGGTCGAAATGACCTTGTCGAACTCATGAATGGCGGACCGGAACTTCTCCTGGATATCACAAAGGCTATGGTAGCCCAGTATTAGCTACACATTGCGCCCGCCAAACCTCCCAAAACATTCTCCAACGATGTGGGCTGGACATACAAGAGTGCCGGATTCTCTGTATGAACTGTTAGCGTTCAATGATACGAAGTATATAATTGTAGCTCACGTAGACGCTGTTGTCGTGCCATGTTATCAGTGTGTAGATGCCTTGACACAGCGGACAAGCGGCTCTGCGGTAACGATGAGCTCATCAATTTGTGCCTAATTAGCAAGGTGGTGCGCAGCATGAATTGCGAAGCAGTGGTGATACGAAGGAAGTCGACTGTAGTGAGGACGTCGTCACATTAGCCTCGGATTCGGCTGGCTGGAAAAGGTTCAACCGGGCAAAAGGCATCCTGTGGGGTCAGGCTCGGCATTGGGGGGGGTATCCTATTGCTACTAGTACCAATACTCAAGACACACCGTCGAATGGGATGGCACTGGAAATCTACGGCAATATGGTAGGAATGGCTTTCTTCTCAGGATGCATCCCGACGAGCTCCTAAGCTCCAAGGGTGCAATGCCCGCCTGTCAGACATTGCCAGTCTGTCTTCTAAAATACAACAGAATGCATATGAAGGGCTCGTGTCCTGGTGCCCCTAGACTGACACCCCTGATATAAGCAATATCTTCGTTCACCGTAGAAGGATGCGCCAAGTAAAAGCCGCCTAGCTCGCGCTCCTTCACCTCCAAAACCTCTTCAGCTGCCGTTGGTCGTTGTACGTCTCTGCGCGCCCGAGCCATTGCTCAACCAACCGAAAGCAGATCCAGAACCAACGGGATTGGTGCGGGTTGGTGCTGACGGTCCTGCTTTGGCATCTCCAATGCTGACTTTACGCTCCGGTTCCGGCTCGCGCTCCTCAGTGCGAACCGTATCGGGTGCGTTCAAGAACGGATTGGATGCAGATCCACTGCGACTTACGTTTGTGGAGCTTTTGTTGGTTCGGAGAACCTTCATCGTACGACTAGGTGCAGGGCGAGAATACGAAGACGATTTTGAGTCAGGAGGACCAGTCGACGACGATGAGCGCCAGGACACACCCCATACCCCGGAGTTTGACTTGGAGACTGGTGTTGATGTCGAGTGTTCGCTACCGGTTGTCGACTTTGAGTCGGTCGCCGGGATATCAGCACTTGTACGTGGAGTGATCTCCGCAGCATCGGTCTTCCTAGACTCAGTATGCTCAACAGGCGCGTTGGAATTTGGCGAGCCAGGGCTTGAAAAGGCTTCTACTTTAGCAGGTTGTCCGATAACTCCAGCGCGGGATGGCTCTCGGCCTGACTGACGCACAGTACTCGCTGACGTAGTAAGCCTACGAGAGCCTGTGCTCAGATTCTTGTATGAGGCATCATCCTCTGGTCGGACCAGTGGCACGGTCAACTGGTTGCGCTCTTCGTCGTAGATGCTGACTTTATCCTGGGAGAAGAGGATGTCGGCACTTTGCGCACGCAGGATATCACTGCCGATTATGATCTGGATTGTCTTCTCTTCCGCAACTTCTTCAACCACCACAAACTTGACATAAAGAGTGGGGACTTGTGGAGCTGGTCGTGGACTACCCGAACGAAGCGTTTGCTGCTGGATACGAGCTTCTGTAAGGTACACAGGCAGCTTGATCTTGCGGTATCCGGCCTCGTCCACGATTTGGTCTGTCAGTCCGAGCTGTTGTAGAAGCGACATACCAACTGAGGAGGAAGAGGCACCCGTGCATAAAGCGGCGTAAAGGAGGGAATCGTTGGAGAAGGTCTCGGTGAGCCAGCAGCGAATGATTGCAGGGCAGGGGCCAAGGACGAAGAAGCCAGGCGGCGGATTGGCTGCGACCTTGGGGGAATTGTGGATGGATCCAAGCAAACGGCTCTGCTCCAGGCCAAAGCTGTTAGTTCTTCCGAAGCCAGCATTACTGCTACGTCCGTCTGATCGATGAGACAAGGAGCGCTCCGAAAGAGGATGACTGCCTAGACCGCTGCCAGTTCTAGTAGGCAGGTCTATTGACTGCCTCGATGAGCCATAGTGGTTGTTAGCACTCTCGTCAAAACGAACCGAATTGGCCCGCGACGCTGCTGCTCTGCGAGTATCTTCGGCATTATCGAGACTAAGTGCACTGATGCCGGCATCGGTGTCGAAGTTGCGGAAGGCTTCGGCGGCAGGGTTGAGAGTCGAATCTGTTACTCCATCAGCGTCGTAGCACCATGATATAGAGTCGACTTACCATGATGAGAGCCACCAAGAACGTTCGGGAAAGGTGAAGCAGGCGCCCAGACGTTCTTAGGTCTTGCACCGTCGTCTGCCCTCTTCTCCAGGCGCATGATGCGCTCCGAGTGTTGCGCCTGCGTTGTAGAGAGGTCGGTCAAAGCCTCTTGCAATCGCCAAAGGTCGTCTCTATTGGCAGCTGGCGGTCGCTCCATTCCCGAGCACTAGTTGACGAGGCCTCGCACCGAACAAGGGGTGGGCAACTCGATCGAGGGTCTAAGCGAGCGCTCATCCGCGAAATACAGCAGGATGGGTTCGAGCGTCTGAAGGGTTCTGTCGGTGGCAGGGGCAACTTCCCGTCCACCACCACGGGGCCACAATGGCCGATGGCTCTCCTCCTTCACAGTTTAGATGTCTTCAAAGCCTAGTTGCTCATCTGTGGAGATTCGTCGAGGAATGTAGAGCGTGAAGTGGTAGACAGAATATCGATGCGCCGGAGCTTGCGACGGCAGACTCCTTGACTCTCGAAGTGATAGGAATTGTGCTTTAACCTGTCGAGAAGAACTTCAACAGCTTCTGAGATTATCTGGTGACGCTAGAAATGCGAAGCCGAGAAAGGTCGTATGGGACGGAGCGATGGTGGCGGAAGATTGGCAAAGGGCGGATGAGAAGCGGCGGTAGCAGACAATGCCAGTCGTGTAGGGTTCTCTGATATGATGTGAGAGGTATGAAGAGCTTCTGAAGATGGGACAAAGGCCCTACGGTGGTCAAGATTCTCAATAGAAGCGGTGATGGAAGTTGAAGGAGATTTCATAGAACTGCGGCGCAGCTAGAAAGTTACGACAGTAGATCGATCGCCCGCCGCAGAAGCGCCAAGATTTCGATATAGGGCAGCTGATCCAAGCCTCAAACCGCGCTCGCACGCTTTCCTACTGACTTGATTATTCTATCATCTCAAAGCCATCGTAGCTTTGCATTTTGCTCTGATAAGTGGTATCTTCCATCCTTCACTTCTTGACCAAGTAGGTAAAGCTCATCGAGAAACGCTGGGATGAAGGTCCCTGGACCCGTGCAGTGGGTGGCAGCCCGCTCCGCTGCAATCTCATAGTGAAGCATAGCCGCCACGGCTGCAACGAACTTATCTTCCCGGTGAAGAGCAAGATAGCTTGCGATGGTGCTGCCGAGGGCGCATCCACTTCCCGTTATTCTGCCGAGCCAATGACTGCCATTTGAGATTGCAAGTGTTCTGTCGCCATCTGATAGATAGTCGGTAGCGCCTGTCATCAGTACGATGCATCTCTCCCTTCTGGCGAGCGCCTTCACCAAGGCTACTTTGGTCTCCTCCGTTGAAGTCGAAGGCCCAGAATCGACACCTCGTTGCTGCACGTCTGAGGTTCCGGCAACTGCAGAAATTTCACCCTCATTGCCTTTGATAACGCTGAAAAAGCCTCCGGTGAGTAAAGTCTTGATCGTGTCTCGCCTCAAGGTCGTCGCACCTCCACCCACCGGATCAAACAACACAGGGTTACCAGCAGCATTGTAAGCCTTCATGCCAGACAAGTAGGCGTTGATCGTATCAGGAGTAACCGTACCCATGTTGATGACCAGGGCGCCTCCAAGCTTCGCAAGATCCACAGCTTCTCGTGCGTTGATGGACATGATGGGCGACGAGCCTGTGGCCAAGCAAACATTGGCAGCAAAGTTTTGTACAACAGTATTGGTCATGTTGTGGCAAAGCACAGATGAGTCCACGTGAGCAGCGATGATTGCAGGTAGCTTGGAAAGTAGACGAGCTGTATCGGAGACAATGTCAGATCCTGGGGCAGCGGCTGCATAGTATTTCTCCGGTGCAGACGTTACGAGGGCCTTGAGCTCCTTTGCCGCTGCGCGAGGATCGTGGCTTGCCATGATCGCACTCACCACTGCCACGCCGCTCAGTTGATTGTCATTGTGCGCACTCTGATGCAGGACTCGCTGAACATTGGAGGCATTGATGCTTCCAATGGCAACACAGGGGACAGACTTCTTAGTGCCGGTCGAACAGGTCTGTAATATAGCTTGAGTGCCCTTAGTGCCGATAATTGACTTGGTATCCGTCTTCGTAGGCGTCGCGAACATGGTACCCACGCCCAGGTAGTCAGCACCGCCGTCAATGGCCTTGCTGGCCTCTGCAATAGACGACGCAGTGACCCCAATGATTGCATCTGGACCCAGAAGGCTGCGAACCTGAGACAAAGACATGTCCTCCTGACCTACATGGACTCCCTCAGCGCCTACCGCAAGGCAGACGTCAACACGATCATTGATGAGGAGTGGTACATTGTACTGCTTGGTAACAGCATGTAACCGCGCTGCCGTCTCAATCATGTCTCCGGTGTCGGCATGCTTGTCACGATATTGGACGATGGAGACACCACCCTTTATGGCTTCTTCGACGACCCATGTTAGGTCTGCATCACCGAGAATGGCAGGCGTTGAATCAGTGACGAGATAGAGTGTCAAGTCGAGGTGTTTCTTGTGCGACTGAGACGCCATGGTGACAGTAATGGACCTGCAAGTCCTCACCAAGGCAGTCTAGAGAGAGGCCAATGCTGATTGGAGGAAGCACGGATCAGGTTGAGAAAGTGCATCGAGATGAAGGAGGTTTTGCAGTAGACAAAGCACGAGACGTGGGCCGAGAGTATGGTGTCATCATTATCTCAGTATTGGTGTACCTTGACAAGTCGTCGACTGAACGGCTCCCAATCTGTTGCTACCCTTGCCGATACGGATGAGTATCAGCTTCCTACAGGTCGTCTTTGTGCAATGCATGCAAACCAGGGTATGCGGCAGCATGCAGCAAACGAGACGTGTGCACGAGCAGGTGTTCGTCAGGCGCCGCTTACCTGCGGGGCACCGAGCTTGCTTAGGGGCCTAGAGTTATAGGGTCTCTAGGCGTGGGCGAACGCAGTGATTCCCGGGCGCCCGACGGCTGACATTGCTGCCAAGGCCGTGAATGAAGGATTCAAGTGCGACTGACTCCGAGTGCGCAGGCGGCCAAAGTTTTCGACCCCCAAGCCATTCTTCCTCGACCATTCTTTCTTCCTTGCCACCACTCCTCTCCATCACTCCCAGTGAATTTACCCGTCACTCAAGACTCCGTCAAACAAAGGTTGCCAACAACCTCGATTGCCCTTCTCTGCGTCCATCGCAATCGCATCCTTGTTGAATCTCAGAGATCCATCAGTCCCTACCTTACCTCCACAGTTCGAGCCATCGCACCCAGGATTGTTCATGTATCGGGCATTCTTCCACACCTCCTCAACCCCAACACCGCAAAAGCTGCAAATATTTCCGACTTCCAGGAAACCTTGTAACCACTCAAGAAGTGCCTATGGTTGATAGTCGCCCCTAACCGACTCAATCCCATAAAAGACTTCATGTCAAGTACAACATAGTGGTGGTAGTTTCCACGCATGTCTAGTCGCCCCATCATCAACGCAAGCAACTATTTCACCCATCCAGCAAGCCAAATCAACCTGTTCTAGCCTCCCAGACCAAGACCGCAATCATGGCTACCGTCAACATCCGTACCGATGTTACCGATCCCTTCTATCGCTACAAGATGGAGCGCCTCCAGTCCAAGATCGAGGGCAAGGGCAATGGCATCAAAACCGTCGTCGCCAATCTCCCCAGCGTCGCTGCCTCTTTGGCTCGTCCTCCGGCCTATGTGATCAAGTGGTTTGGTTTCGAGTTGGGTGCTCAGACCAACACCAACCCCAAGGATGATCGCTGGATCATCAACGGCGCGCACGAGTCCTCTAAGCTTCAAGATTCGCTCGATGGGTTCATTTCCAAGTATGTTCTGTGCAAGGCATGCAAGAACCCTGAAACCGAGATTCATATCAAGGATGGCCGCATCTTGCTGGACTGCAAGGCCTGTGGCCAGCGCACTGAACCTGATCTTCGACACAAGCTCAGCGGTTTCATCTTGAAGAACGAGCCCAAAGGCGGCAAGAAAGGCAAAAAGGAGAAAATGTCTCGCCGTGATCGCGCCAGGATGGAGGCTGAGGAGAAGGCATCTACCAACGGTGCCAGCCCTCACGACTCTCACTCTGATCAAGGCGGCGATGCTGACGAGGATGGCGAATTGGCTGCCGGAAGTGACGACGAGTTTACACGCCAGATCAACGAAGATGCCAAGGTCATTGACGCTAACGGTGCCCCCAAGGAAGAGCAGTGGGCTATCGATACTTCTGCTGAAGCTGTTGCTGCTCGTACCAAAGATCTGCCCGATGATCTCAAGCGCTCCCTTGCATTTGACGACGATGAGGAGGGCGAGGGCGGTGGGCACAGCGTCTATGATGATCTCGGCGACTGGCTCGAGGAGCAAACCAAGGCCAAGGGCAAGATCAGCGCTGTCGACGACGTTGACATCTACAAGAAGGCCAAAGAACTCGGGATTGAGTCCAAGAGCAAGACTCTGGCCGTCCTTGCCCAAACCATCTTTGACGAGAACATTGTCAAGCAAATCTCTCAACGCGCCAGCATGCTTCAGAAGATGATCGGCGAAAGCGAGAAGCACCAAAAAGCATTTCTGGGAGGGACCGAGCGCTTTGTTGGCAACGACCATCCTGACCTGATTCCTCAAGTTCCCAAGATCCTGATGGCCTACTACCAGGCCGACCTGATCAGTGAGGAAGTCGCAAAAGCCTGGGGTTCCAAAGCGAGCAAGAAGTATGTTGAGATCAGCATCAGCCGCAAGGTACGCCAAGCCGCTGAGCCTTTTGTCAAGTGGCTCGACGAGGCAGAGAGCGAGGATGAGAGTGATGAGGAGTAAGTGGCAGCCGGCTCAATCATCTCTTCTCGACAAGCTGTGCAACAAGCACGATCTCTCCACTCCTCACGTCTCAGGTACGACTCAGGCACGGTGTTGTTTGCAAGGGAAATGGCTTTCAGTCTTGATTCTATTCCTGCCACTTGACAAGTTTCTCTCTGTCATTGGCATGTCGCTCCTGTACCTAGATCACAGACTTCATAGTTGCTGCGAATAGACTGCGTCAAACCACTCTCTTCTCTTCCGGGAACAAGCCTGGCTCGTTTGGCTGAATCGACCCAACTCCGGCGTGCTGATGGTGCAGAGTTCGATATGATGGCATCCAAAATATGTAAGGCGTGCCTAAGCCCCACCAGTACAAACGTCCTCTGGCTCGTCCTGTTCATCTGCTATTTCTTTACACCACCTTTTCCCTCCACCATTAAATTGAGCCTCGCTTAAGTCAACATATATCTAACACTATCCGGATAGAGTCTGGATGAGGCATCGCACAGCAGTAGTGGCCGGCTTCTACAGGAATCTGTGTCTTATTGATGAACCTAATGCGAAGCCCGGTTGCCCACGCTCAGCAGCTATGGCAAAAGCGGTGCTCTGCGCAACGGACTGAGATTTCTGGGAGAGGAATCGAGGGTTGGCGAATGAGGATGCGTACTTGTATGAGATGGTGAAGTCTTGGCAGCAGCAGCAGCAGCAGCAGCAGCGATCAGAAAGTGTCGGTTCAGTGCACATACAGTGAGAGGCAGCGAGCGGGACCAACGCTGAAGACGAGCTTCACACTCTCCAGGGGCGAGACGGCTCTACGCTCACTTCCCAGCCCTTGGGTAGGAACAGGGCAGAGAGTCGGAGGTAGAGGGCAAGTTCCTCAGGATCAGCCAAGTGAGCTGCGCTGCTCCCAGTGTAATGTCATGAGTTGTCAATGCAAGCTTCCTAATCTACGCCACGCCAAGTACCGTGCCGGTTCGGTGCGATGCCTGCTCCTGTCCCACATGAAAATCGTAACCCCATGCAGGGAGTCCTAGTCCTCCACGCCCATCACCTCCTTCCACTCCGGCACCACCATCGGCAACCGCTCCGGCAGCATCTCCGGCACCTCCTCCCTCACCACGCGCCACAGCTCCTCGAACACAGCCGCATACCCTTTCTCGGTCAAATGCAGCCCGTCGCTCAACAGCTCGCGCAGCACCGTGCTTGGCTCAGCCTCCCTGCTGCCCACCAACGGTCCAGAGTCGCTGGGATCCCACCCGGCCTGCCGCATGAATGTCGACCAGACGTCCACGAGCGGGAGACGCAAGTCGTGCGCGACGGCGGCGCAGGCGTCGGCGTAGAGTTTGGTGTTGGCCGCGGTGCGCTGTAGTGGGAGCGCGGATTGGTGCTCGTCGACTGGCGGTGGGGTTAGGAGGAGGACCTTGGTGTCGTGCTGCTGGATGGCGGGGTCGGTGACGATGCGGTGGAGGAGGGTTGCGTACTGGGATAGGGAGACGTGTTGGGCGTTGCCTGGGAGGACGGCGTCGTTGGCGCCGAAGAAGACCGTCAGGAGTGCGACGCGGGGTTGAGATGGGTTGCGCGGGTGGGATGGGCCGGACGGGGGGAAGAGGAGGGGGAGGAGTGGGATTGCTTGGATGGTGTTGTAGCCGGAGAAACCGCGGTTGATGATGTCGGCGCGGCGGAGGTAGAGCTCGGAGAGGCGCGGGATCAGTGTGCTGTGAGCGCCTTGGGTGATGCTGTCGCCGAAGAGGATGAGCTGGGGGTAGGGTTGCTGCTGCTGCTGCGTTGAGGGAGAGGCGTGGGGGTGGGGGATGGTGGTCATGGTGAGCTGAGTTGAGAGATGGGCAGGTAGAGGGAAGGGGAGCTTGTGTATCAAGGGGACATGGTGTGAGAGCTTGAAGTCAAGGGGCCAGATGAGGCTGACGGCGAGGAGGAATGCTGCTGCCACCCATGCCGTCGTCACCTTGACACCAGGCAACGGCATCGTCTATCTCGGCCCTTATTCAAGCGAGGCCACGCTGCAATTTAGCCTGAGACGGTAGAAGCCGACCTTTTTTTGTTTCTAGACGTACAGCTGCATGATGCTGCACGATGACCGATAGCGTGCAGAGAGGTCGCTGCACGACATTCCACAACACGAATCAATTTGGAGAAACCGCGTCGCTGAAACCTACCTTAGCTACAGTGCCGGACGCTGGCATTGCTTCAGCAACTGGCCACGTTGCAGCCTATATCATCTAGCACACTCGGATCCTCATCTGAGATGGAGCTCGCCGCGCCCGTACGTCCGAGCACAACTGTGCGAGTTTACCACCTTGTTATCGCTTGGCGACGGAGCGGTGGTGGGGGATAAACACAATGGAGACGATCGACCGTTCTCGGAGTTGCTCATATGACACGCTTTGTTGCTTGGGCCTCTGCACCTGACCACCTATTGTTTGCCCCGATCACATTCGCACCCTACCGCCCCCAACACCCTCTCCAGGTCAGATTATGTTGTGAATGACTACAAGCTATGTGGCGGACGATCTTCTGACTCCATCCTGCGCCTGACCACTGCTGATGTATGACTGAAAAGGCCCCAGGCATCCCCGCCATGAGCCCACCACCCATATATACCTGTCCCTTCACTACGTACGACGCTTGCGTTGTCCCTGCATAGCGGGAAGAACTGCCCCGAGCGTTACTGCCAGGTACCACTGTCTTTGTTCCAGCGTTCCTTCTTCCATGCCACACGGCTGCGCCTGCAGAATACGAAGCAGCAATGCCGAAATCCATCGCCTTTTCCGATGATGACTTCAGTCGCGACAACGACGACGATAACCGCTCTGACCACACTGCCCGACCTGAGTCCCACTCCCGCAGTCCCAATCAATCCAGACATCATTCCAGGCATCCCACCAATCAATCCCTCTCCTCCAGCGAGATCCGTACCAGAGTGCAGCATGCAATGGGCATGACACCCACCGAGACCACCGGCCTGTTGAAGGCACCTCACGACCCATCGGCGTCGTACATGAGTGCAGGATCTGGTGCATATACTCCTCGATCAAGAGCAGATCTTTCAAGAGTCCAAAGCGTGGCCAACAGCCTACGTTCGCACAGACACCACAGCCGCCGACCAAGCGGCAATCCAAGTCCGGAATGGAGGCGAAGCTCTGGCCTACGGACACCGAAGCTGCATCAGCCCCTGGGACAATCGATAGATCTGCACGAGCGGGTGTGGTACGATCAGTTCACCTCTACCGATTGGGTCCACGACAGCATTCAAGACGGCTATCGTGTTCTAGCTCTACGGCGAAGAGGGGGTTTCCGAGGATCGCTCGCACTGTGGGCAGACTCTGCTCAAGGCTGGATACTGGTGCTGCTGATAGGGTGTTTGACTGCTCTGGCTGCCTATTTTGTCGATGTTACAGAAACTGCCATCTTTGATTTGAAGCGGGGTGTGTGCAAGACCGGTTGGTATCAAGGTCGGGTGGCCTGCTGCAGGGGTGCCAGAGAGTGTGCAGCCTGGCAGACCTGGTCCGAGATTGTCCAGCACTCAAGTATCGACAGAATCTGGGTCGACTTCGTCTTTTTCAATGCTGGAGTCATCCTGCTGGCTGGCATTTCCTGCTACTTGACGCTCTACTCGAGAACGGTCGTGCCCTCGCACATCGCTTCAACCTTTGATGAAAACCTCGGGGCCGTCAAGAGCACCGGAGCAGACGAGACCAAGGATGCTCAAGCCGCGGCCGCCCTGGAGAGCATTCCTGCTAGCATCTACTATTCCGCTGCCGGAAGTGGTGTGGCTGAAGTCAAGGTCATCCTCAGTGGTTTTGTGCTCCACGGCTACCTTGGTCTGAGAACCCTAACTCTCAAACTGATTGCCCTGATCTTTGCTGTCGCCAGTGGAATGAGCTTAGGCAAGGAAGGTCCCTACGTGCATGTCGCGACGTGCATCGGAAACGTTGCCTGCAGATTGTTTCCGAAATACAGTCTCAACGATGGCAAGCGTAGGGAGGTCCTTTCGGCAAGCGCAGCCAGTGGTGTCGCTGTTGCCTTTGGCTCTCCTCTTGGTGGAGTGCTCTTCAGTTTGGAAGAGGTGAGCTACTACTTCCCGCCCAAGACGCTGTTCCGTACCTTCTTCTGTTGTATTGCATCGGCATTGTCGCTCAAGTTTCTCAACCCTTACGGGACCGGCAAGATCGTTCTGTTTGAGGTGCCATATGTTTCTGATTGGAGAATCTTCGAACTGTTCTGTTTTGTATTCTTGGGTGCTGCGGGTGGGGTCCTTGGAGCCTTGTTCATCAAAGCATCTCGCTTTTGGGCTAAGACCTTCCGACGCATACGCATTATCAAGGAGTATCCGATGGTTGAAGTCCTCTTGGTTGCTTTGATCACCGGTCTCATCTCCTTCTGGAATAGATACACACGCCTACCTGTGGCAGAGCTGTTGTTCGAACTCGCGTCGCCTTGCGACACTACGTCTTCGACAGGCTTGTGTCCGGACAAGGATGGTATTCCAGCGGTTATTGGATACCTCTGTGTTGCTTTTGTCGTGAAAGCATTCCTCACTATCATCACTTTTGGGATCAAGGTTCCTGCTGGCATCTACGTCCCGTCTATGGTGGTCGGAGGTTTGATGGGACGAATCATGGGCCATGTGGTGCAGTACGTCGTCTTGCATAATCCTGGATTCTTCCTCTGGTCCGAATGTCCAGCAGATGGCGAGCTGGAGTCGTGCATAACGCCGGGTGTCTATGCCTTAGTTGCAGCCGGAGCTACCATGTGTGGCGTTACCCGCCTGTCAGTCACATTGGCAGTCATTCTCTTCGAATTGACTGGCAGTCTCGACCACGTTTTACCTTTTTCACTGGCCGTGCTGTGCGCGAAATGGACGGCTGATGCCGTTGAGCCACTCAGCATCTATGATCTCCTCACCGACATGAATTCATACCCTTTTCTCGACAACAAGGCTAGCCCAGTCTTCGATTCAAAACTGGGTGACATCACGAGCCGTTCCACCCTCGCTCGCGTTATTGACATTACAATTTCTTCACTTGTCAGGGCGACCGAGCTGCGCTCAAAACTGAATCGCCTACAAAACACAGGAGAACTGGACGGTGGCCTACCCGTTATCCGCAACAAAGCCCTTGTCGGACTCATCCCAGCGCCCGATCTTGAGTTTGCTCTCGATCAACTCGAAAACGAAGAGGAGGTCATGTGCCGCATGACTACCGTGGATGACCCACGATCGACACGTCTCTGGGCTGGCTTGGACGCCTCGGACAACGAGGACGATGAAGATGAGTCATCGATGGAGGGCCGGGAGATTCTGGATCTGACACCCTATATTGATCCATCGCCTGTGGCATTGGATGTCAAGAGCCCCATGGATCTCGTGTACCAATGCTTTGTGAAGTTGGGACTGCGCTATGTCTGCGTCACGGATGAGGGGGAGTACAGGGGCATGGTGCATAAAAAGGTGTTCGTGAGGTACTGCAAGACTGAGGGTGAGGTCAATAAGAAGGTGTGGTAGGGACACCCCGCGAGGAAAGGAAAGAAGGCCCCCCAACCTGCAGGAAATGTGAGAAGGTTGTCGAGCGCTTTTTGCCAGCATCTCTGAGCGAGACCGGAGCATAAGACCATTGTTGGCGTTCATAGGCTGGCTGCACTGCATACTATCAGCTGTGGCATACTGGGAAAAGCATGCCAAGGAGAAGCATCGACTATAGAAGGGCCATGAGGCTATGATACAATTTGCATGGTACGACAGAAAGTTTGATACTGCGGTATACTCTATAAACGAAAGAGTATGAACGTTTTGCGGCTGCAGTGTATTTGTTCTCACCCGCAGTAGCATCACTATGGAGCCTATATTGTTACATATCTAGATTTCTACCAACATTTGCATGACACGTACTGCTTAGAGGTACCTAATAGGCAACGCGGACCTCCCGAAGACTCCATCGCTTCACATCTCCCACCCCGAAACCCTAACCTCAAACTCCCCCTTCTCATCCCTCGCACTCGCCCACTTCCCATCCCCCTGCGGCAGCTTAATCTCCTTCCCACCCTCGCCCACATTCAACCAAGCCCCTAACTCCTCCCCCTCCACCTTCACCACCCCTCCGCCCCCCTCTCCACCAAGCTCCCCCGGAAAAAACGTATCCAACCCCTCCACCTCCGCCCCATCCACCCTCCGCACCTCGGTCTGCAACACCCTCAACCTCAATCTCGGCTCCGCCTCCCACGTCCGCCGCACCTGCAGCGCCTCCCGATATAGCTCTGCGCCGCCAATGACAAACACATTCCCCACCTCCCACCCCGCCTGCCTCAGCAATGCCCCCGCCCCCGCCCCTGACCCGTCCGCATATGCAGATCCAGACGCAGACCACAGCTCCCGCAGCACGCGCGCGAGGTCGCTCGCTACGATGACTGGCGGCGGCGGCTTTGAGTCCGCCAAGCTGCGCAGCAAGACACTGCCACTGCCACTGCCACTGCCATTCCTGCTGCTGCCGCTGCTGTCGCTGCTGCAAGCCTGGACGGCGACCGGCGCGCCGTCCGTAGCGGCCTGTAGCTCCTCGGAGATGGAGGTCGCTACGTCATGTGGCTCCCGCCGTGTGAGGATCACGTTCAGGCGGTTGGAGAGGGGGCGGTAGGCGGGCGGGATGGAGGCGTAGGTTTTGCGGCCCATGATGACGGCATTGATGGTGGTAGTGGTGGGGGTTGCTGGAGCGTTGGGTTCCGAGAACGAGGAGGAAGGGTGGCGGTGCTGGGGTTTTGATACTGGTGTCGGGACTGGGTGAGTGGGACGGGTGTCCCGCGTGACGCGCTGGAAGAAGTTCATGTCGGCGCGGAGGGAGGGCCAGGGAAGGGTGCCGCGAGCGCCGATGCCGAGAGGGGGGGAGATGGTGGTGGCGACTATTAGATAGAGGGGGCGGGGAGGCGGGGCCATGTTGGAGAGGGGACCTGTGGTTGTGTCTTCTGCTGCAGCTTGGTCGAGGGGTCGGTGGGAGCGTTCGGTTGGTGAGGGCGTTGAGAGGGTTGATGATGGTGGCGTGGAGACGGTCATTGCGAGTCTGGAGATGAATGGAAGAGCTGGGTCATCGGCGCCGAAGATCTGCTCGTAGGGGTTAGAGGGTATAGATTTCTATATTCACTTTGACGATAGAACGTCTGTAGAAGCATTGAAGAAAAGAAGTCCAGTCCGGATCTGCGATACGCGGTTGAGGAAAATGGGAGTTGCCTGACATAGAATGACACCCAGTCTGGCCCGAAATGACGTGAAACGCGCTCGGTGGCTATGGCTTCAAAAGACACCATCTGAAGCTTGGCCATCATTCGCCAAGAATCAACTGCCTGGACCTCGACGATCAATCTACCAGGTACCACAACAAGGGTGGAGCCAATTGGCATGTTTTGCAGCATTTGAGAAAGTCCTCTCAGGCTGCATCCCTGACCAGCCTTACAAGGATGTTTGAGGGCTGAAGTAAGTCAACACGAACCTGGGAGCATCCCTGTGCATCTGACGTCAAGCCATTATGACTTCATGTCATGGCCAGCCTGCTGTGATGTTGGGGAAAGAGTGTAGCCACCCGCCTATACATAAGACTTGATGGAAGCGCCTCATTTAACAGATTTAGGCACCTGACACCAGCGATCGCCAATCAAACTATAATCCTGCAATACGATGTCCACCAAGCCCCCCGCCGGCGCCGGCGCCGCTCCTCCCACAGGCGGCGGGTCGACTCACAATCCCCTGGGCACAAAGAAGACTCCACCAGCTACCCGCACGCCCACCGCGAAACCCAGAACTGCGCACGCTAGTGGCGGCGGCGGCGGCGGCAATGACGATGAGGAGGCCACCCCCTTCAGGCGCGACGACACCAACACAACCACCCTCTCCGCCGAGCACGTCCCCCGCCCCAACGCCAACTACTCGCACGTGATCCGCGCGCCCAACCACACGCTCTACCTCTGCGGCTGGATGGGCGACGAACCGGGCACGGGCAAGATCCTGCACAAGACGTCCGCGCAGGGCCAGATGCAGCAGATCATGCGCAACATCTCCGCCTGTCTCGCCGCTGAAGGGTCCGGGCTGGAGAAGATCGTCAGGCGGCGCGTGTACTTGCTGGACATGGCGGATTTGAAGGTGGTGGATCGCGTTTGGGGCGAGTGGGTGCAGGCGCCGTTTCCGGTGAGTACGGCGGTGGGGGTGACGGGGTTGGCGAAGGAGGGGGCCAGGGTTGAGGTCGAGGTTGAGGCTGTGGTATGAAGTGGTAGGAGGTAGAAAAGGTTGAGGTACGTTAGGGAAGGGGATTCACTGCTCAACGGGAAGGGAAGGTCGTTCAGGTTGGCTCAGACGGGTTGGGGAGCAAATTGGATCATCCGGAGTGGATTGGCGTCGGACTGGGTAAAGTAACAAAACGTCTGGTAGTAGAAAGAATCTTAATGCAACTTCTTCATTTGCCTTATTCAAGTCGTTGGTCGCGAAGTCGGCATCCCAGCCCGGGCAACGTTGATCGTCAGACCAACATCCTGCGTTGCGCGGCGGTATCTGGTTCAGGGCGTGGTGAACACAGCAGACGGATTCATCTGCCAGCCCCTGTCGTCTTGATATTGAAGAAGAGGTCCTCGAAGTAGCGGGTGGCACATGGAGGCGCTGCCTCCACACGTCGAATCGTCGAGACCGGAGAGTCCTGTCGAGAGTGTTTTTCGGCTGCATACCAGCCGCACCGCCGTCAGAATTCCGATGAGGTGCCGATGAGAGCTCTCAGCGTACAAGTATGGTGGTTGATTATTTGGCGCGATGCACGTAGTACGCATCTTTCGGATAGGTTTGCGGCTCTCCGATGGTGAGAGCGCTTGCTCAGACAAGGAGCACTGGGCGCCAACGCAGAGGACACCGACTTTGAGTGCTGTCCGCTTGCTCGGAGCCGTTGTCCTAGTATGAGCTCGTCGCAGGGTCGAGTCTATGGCCGACCCAACATCATATCAACAGGCGGGCATCACCACCTGAGCAACGCTGAGCCAACATCGAGACCTCAATCACCAACAGCCATCTCCGCCTCCCCTCGCTCTTCTTCGCTCTCTCTCTTCCCAGCCCCCTCATCAACCTCCCCTCCATCTCTCACATGAGGATACTCCCTCAACCACTTCTGCAACCCACCCCTCACCTCCGCCATCTCCTGCAACAACCTCCTCCTCTCCTCCTCTTTCCCTTTGCCATCACCTTTGCCCTCCACCTCCGCCAGCGTATCCAGGCCACCAAACAGCCACAGCTCCTTCATACCCCGCGTCAGCACCATGATCTCCTCTGCCGCCCGTATCAGCGCCGTCGATCCCACCTCGATATCCAGCTGCTTGCTGGCCACGTCTTCGGGCGATAGCGAGGGGGCATCGGAGCCTGGGACGGGGCCGTCTTCGCCTTCGGCGGCGTCGTGCGCTGTGTCGAGTAGGGCTTGGAAGCGCTGGAGGAGGGTGAGGGAGAGGTGGGAGATGCGCGCTTGTAGGTATTTGGCGGAGGGAGTTGTCGTGTCGGCCATGGCGGGAGAGACGACTGGAGATGGTGTTGTGCACGCGTCAGGTGGGCAGGATCAATCGTTGTGATACAAGGAGCTGCGGTGCGGTTGCGGGGGAGGATAACAGGGACGTCGACTCCACGCCGCTCCCGCAGTTCTAGGTGAGCTAGGCAGTGGCTTGGCAGGCGCGTGTGCACGTGCATCGATGCATATCTTGTAGTGAGGGCGACGGCGAATAGCGAGATAGTGAGGCAGGTGTCAGCAAGTGAAGTTCTTGTGGGTGACAGCAGAATGCAGTGTTCGAAGTTTTCTGTTACGTGGGATACGTTATGAGAGTATGTTGGCGCCACCAGGCTACAGGTATCTCAGGCCGTCCATCGCGGCTTCGCCAAGCATTCACTGCCTGATCGTGAAGATGGAGCGGCTAGTAATCGTTTCCTGCGCTGCCTCTCTTCTCAGCGCCCTTCTGCTGCAAGTTCTCATTCTTGAGCATACCACCCGCCTTCTCCATGAGTTTGCCCACCGTCGAGTCCTTCTTTCCTTCGCCGCCATCGTCACGTCGAGTATTGCCGCCGAAGTCATCATCGCGTCTGGTGCTGCCACCAAAGTCGTCGCCGCGTCTGGTGCTGCCACCGAAGTCGTCGCCGCGTCTGCTGCCGGTCCCATAGCTATTGTCTGGGTCGTCGACTTCGCCTCCAATGCCGCCTTGTGCCTGCGCTCTGCAATGACGGTTAGCGAAGGCCAAGAGTCGGGTGGCGAGCTTACCTGGTTCGGCCGGAGCCCATGCCATAATCATCATGAGCGCCAGAATCGCCACCAGTCTGTGCAAGCCTGTCAGCGATACACTGCTTTCTGAGATAGAACAACGTACCTGGGCAGGGCCGCCAATAGTGTCATCTTGTCCAAGGCCGCCGCCGGTACGGCCAGTGTCGACGCCACGGGTATTGTCGGAACCGCGGGAGAACTCATCCTGTTGAGCTGATGATCAGTATGGAATCCATCACACATCATATGCCGGGACGCAGGGATATTCATACCGCACCACCGCGGCTGGTATCACCGTAGGTATCGTCGCTCTTGCCATAGCCACCGATAGCCTGATCCTGGGTTCGTCCGCTGCCGAGACCATATTCTTGGTCACGCTGGCATACGTTAGCCATCTGCCAATGGATCTGCGACTGTCATCTTACGCCCGTGCTTCCGCCACCGGTCCTGGTAGAGCCTCCGTAGGTGTCGTCCGCACCGAGGCCGCCACTAGTGCCACCATAGTTGTCGGTTCGCTCAGGTGCATCGCCTCCAATGGTACGTCCAGCGCCCAGGCCCTGATCGGTATCCCGCTAGCAACCATGTCAGATTAATAGCTTGTAAATTGGAGAAACCTACGCCGTAGCTAGTGCCACCAGTGTTGGAAGAGTCACCAAAGGTGTCGTCTCTGCCTAGGCCGCCGCCAGTACGACCTGTGCTACCCTGACGATGGTAAGCTGAGCTGAGCATGAAGTTTCAAAGCAATACATACGTAGTTGTCGCTACCTCCATAGCCTCCACCTTGACGCTGCAGGGACGTTAGAGACCATTTCCATATCTTGTGAAATCGGGACTGACATCGTCGTCGTAAGACATAATGATTCTCGGTTTAGTTTCGAGTTGATTCAAGAGTTGAACTTATACGCGTATTGTTGGAGAATGGTGTCAAGCAGCGTGACGGGCAAAGGAGGGGTTTATAGAAATGTCAACAGTGCTGTGACGACATGCCTCCAAACAACCAGCAGGCACCATCGGACCAGTGGTACATGGCAGCTGATCTTGATTCGATTTCAACTTTCCGACGGACGGGAGGCAAGAGGGGATGACTGCAGGCACTACACCCAATGGCCTGGGTCCTCAAACATTCGTGGCCGCTTCACTAGCTACCCGTGGTTGAGGCCGACAAAGGGGGGATACTACCATGTGAGAATTCCTGCAAGATCAGGGATTGGCCGCGTCATTCCTGCATCATGTCAGACAAACAATCCAAGATGCGAAGAACCAGGAGAGCACGCCTTTGCTCGGTCATACAGAGTTTGAGGATGTGCGGTATGGAGTTGGCAGGTGTGGAGGGAAGCTGGAGAGATGCTGGTTGCCCCACCTTCCGATTATTGGGCCACTTCTGCACGCTGCCCTGGGATGCTGCTCGCTTACACTTTGTGTATGTACAACATCTCCACCGTTCCTCATCGGCTGGATCGAGCTCCTAAAGCCACCTTCGCTATCTGGTCGAAACTTGGCAGCACTGCCCGAAGCTTGTTGTCGCGCAGCGTGGTGCCTTGCGTGCTGTCGGTGACACAGCATTCCTGAAACCGACATCTGCCGTGGATATACTGGAACTACCCCTGCCGAGCCCACCTAGCCACCTAGCTTCGTTGGGCCTCTGCAGCCTCGTTGGAGCAGGGCATGCGGTACCATCTGTGTTCGTCTTGGGAACCGGTGTGTGGTTGGACGACCTTGTAATCATCCTGCGACGTGTTGCATTGTAGCTCATCACCGTACATACTTCGACATGAACTTTTTGTGAAAGTCGGATCGCAGCAGGTCGTTGACAAATTCCTTGTTGCCCTTCTGCTCCGTGCCACGGGCTTGATTCTTGAAGACGACGTCGTCATCCCATCTTCGCTTGACATTGAAAGCCTTGGGATTAAGTAGAGGGTTGCCGAGTGCAATGCTTTCTTCTCGCTTCTCTTGCTCTTCGGCGGCCTTGTCGGCGTCCTCTTTCGCTTTCTGATCTGCCCGTTCTCGTTTGATTTTCTCAAGCTCGCGCATCAATTGCTCCTCTTCATCGTCGTCATCACTTCCTTCGTCGCTACTCTCCGATTCGGCTGAAGCTGACTCCGACTCTGAGTCTGCGTCAATGTCCCTAGTCTCTTCCAGTATCCGTCGTCGCTTAGCCTCTGGGTCCTCGGCTGCTTCCTTACTTGGTGCCTCCAATTCTCGTTTGACCGCTGTTGACGCACTGGCCTCGGACTTGAGGCCTTTGCCTGTCTTCGCAAAGTGAACAGCCTCAGCAGCAAGGAGGTCGGCTCTCAAGTCGCGCTCATCACTGTCGGCTGCTCCACCTTGTCCCGGCTGTCTGACTTTGAGCTGAGTATGCGCAGGCAGTAGTCTCTGATGATATGCAGGCCCGCGTAAGGCTTCTTTGCCCCGCGCTGGGTCGAATGTTGGTCGATGTGCTGTAGTCATGACTCACGATCTCGTTCGGGACCAGTCGGACAGAATAAGACTCTACAGAATCACGTAGGAGTGAAGTTATGATGTCGGGAATGGGTGCTTGTGTGTCGTGAAGTGTGGAGTGGTGAGCGACAGGTAAAGTCGAAGCAATATTTTTGTCTTGCGGCTGCCCGCGAGCAATGCGGCGTTCGGCTAACCTGCCTGCAACAGCCACGCCCGCCTGCGTGAAGCTCGGGGGCGGAAAGGGCTGCAAGGCTCGGCTTAGGGCTGGAACAGGCGAGCCGCGATTATTAAAGCTAGCCGTGAAGGCTGAAGGAATTAGGGGTTACGAGGGAATGCCTGGGGTGTTTTAGTGATTGGAGCATCACTGTGGATCTTGACACTGTGTGCTCTTCGAATCCCCTCCAGATTTCTTTATTAGAAGCATACCAGATTGCCCCCTCCTTGCCTCCGTCCTCCAGTACCCCTTGTACCATTTATCTATCTCTGCATCCCTCGAGTTCTTCTGACCATCTTCGCATACTCGTCGCTGGTGCACCGATCTGTTCCTGATTTCCTCGTTTCTCTACACCGTGCCCCGATATCATGCGGTCTCTCTTCGCCGCAGCCGCCCTCGCGGCGCTGGCTACTGCCAGCGACGTTCACGACCTCACAAAAGACACATTCAAGGACTTCGTTGCTGAGCACGATCTTGTCCTTGCAGAATTCTTTGCGCCTTGGTGCGGTCACTGCAAGGCCCTTGCCCCCGAATATGAGGAAGCCGCCTCAACGCTGAAGGAGAAGAACATCCCACTCGTCAAGGTCGACTGCACAGCGGAGGGTGACCTTTGCAAAGACTACGGTGTAGAGGGTTACCCGACCGTCAAGCTCTTCCGCGGCCTTGACAACATCAAGCCATACCCTGGCGCGCGGAAAGCTCCTGCGTAAGCCTCCCTCCCCAGTGCTCTCTGCGCAGACTGTGCTGACAAACCCGTAGCATCGTCTCATATATGACCAAGCAGCAGCTACCTGCTATCTCTGTCCTTAACTCTGAATCCCTCGAAGAGTTCAAGACCACCGACAAAGTCGTCGTTGTCGGCTACATCGGCGCCGATGACAAGACTGCCAATCAGACCTTCACTGCTGCGGCCGAGTCATTAAGAGACGAGTATATCTTTGGCTCCGTCAGCGATGCCGCCCTCGCCGAGGCTGAAGGTGTCAAGCAACCTGGCATTGTTCTGTACAAGGACTTTGATGAAGGCAAGACCGTTTTCAGTGAAGAGCTCACCGATGAATCTATCTCCAAGTTCATCAAGACCGCCAGCACCCCATTGATTGGCGAGATCGGCCCCGAGACCTACGGCGGCTACATCTCTGCTGGTCTCCCTCTGGCCTATATCTTCGCTGAGACTCCTGAGGAGCGTGAAAAGCTGGCCAAGGCCCTCAAGCCTGTCGCCGAGAAGTATCGTGGCAAGGTCAACATGGCCACTATCGATGCCAAGGCATTCGGTGCTCACGCCGCCAACCTGAACCTTCCAGTCGACTCATTCCCGTCTTTCGCCATTCAGGAGACCGTCAAGAACGAGAAGTATCCTTTCGAAGGATCCGATCTGAGCGAGAAGAAGATCGCGGCCTTCGTTGAGAAGTTCGTCAGCGGCAAGCTCGACCCTAGCATCAAGTCCGAGCCCATTCCCGAGAAGCAGGAGGGCCCTGTCACCGTTATCGTTGCCCACAACTACAAGGATATTGTTATGGACGACAAGAAGGATGTCCTCGTCGAATTCTACGCTCCGTGGTGCGGTCACTGCAAAGCCCTGGCTCCTAGCTACGAGAAGCTAGCCAAGCTATACACCGATAACAAGGACTTCAAAGGCAAGGTCACCATCGCCAAGGTCGACGCCACTGCCAATGATGTTCCCGATGACATCTCCGGATTCCCTACAATCAAGCTCTTCCCCGCTGGCGCCAAGGACTCCCCAGTCGAGTACTCCGGCAGCCGGACCATCGAAGACCTCGCCAACTTTGTTCGTGACAACGGAAAGTACGGGATTGATGCTTACGTTGAGGAGAAAGAGGCGGCTGAGACTGATGCCGATGAGACCATGGCGCAGGCTGCCCCTGCCGCCACCGAGTCCGGTGAAGGTGTGGTCGACAAGGTCAAGAGTGCTGCAGCTGAAGCTGTTGACGCGGCGATGACCGTGGTTGCGGATAGTGATGGTGATGCCGGTACTGACGAGCACGATGAGCTATAAGCAGCAATATCTTCGTCACGCATTATGTACTCTATGGGATATGGAAAATGGTTTCTCACCAAACGGATGCCAAGTAAGGCAGGATGATATGTCCGCTGCGTACGGACCGAATCTGCGAACAAGGGCACGCGGTCAAGCTGATCTGGGGATGTGTTGGAGTGGTGGAATCTGGCCCAGTCACCGGTCCGAGAGGTATTCACGAAGATAGGGGTGAATCCGAAGAATCTTTCAACCAAACCTAGAGTTCCCTTGCCAATGCGCGTGAAATTACTGCCTAACCCAGGAATCTCGTACTTAACGACTGGTAGGCAGGTAACCCTCTCGACTTGTGCCAAGCCCGACGCCTCCTAAGACTCGCCACACTGTCAACGGCACATTACATGGGTACATGCTCCAGTACATCAAACGTTGAAAGACTGACCAGTCTTTGGAAATGGCGATTCCAAGAGAGCATAGACTACTTTGTTGAAAACGACAATGATCCGTTTCTGCCGCTGCAACTCGTAAACGCAGTTGTTAACATCAGTGCACCCAATAATTACATATGCCAGGCCAAGTCGTGTAGCAACAAAGACGACTGTGACGCACCTGTCTGGCCCAGTCAATTACTCGGTCCCAATCCCTTCTCTTCCCAGCACCAGACTCGCCCACGATGACCAAATTGCCCACACCCTCCACATCTCACCTTTCGGCCCTTCTCAACACAACAATCTACGAGCCGGCCGAGGACTCCTACCTCTTCCTCGACACCCTCTCCTCCCCCACGGAGCGCGCCTTCCTCCGCTCCCACTTCCCCCACCCCTCGCCCACCCCCCTTGTCACCGAACTCGGCACCGGCTCCGGCGTCATCATCGCCTTCCTCACCGCGCACGCACGCGACATCTTCGGCCGCCCGATCCTCAGCCTCGGCGTCGACGTCAACCTCGACGCCTGCTCCGGAACGCAGCAAACGGTCGCGGAAGCCGTCCGTGCCGCATCGGCAACTGACGCCACCACCGCCACCACCGCGCCCCCCACCGGCACGTACCTGGCCTCCACGTGCGCAGACCTCACCTCCGCGCTCCGGCCCGGCGAAATCGATGTCCTGGTCTTCAACCCACCGTACGTCCCCTCCGAGACTCTGCCCGCGCTCCCCTGGTCGCCCACGCCCACCTCCGTGCAGACCGCTGGTGGCACCACCACCATAGGCGACACCCTCTCCCGCGCCCAACTCGCGCACGCCAAATTCGAGCGCGAATCGCACCTCCTCTCGCTGACGTACGCGGGCGGCGCGGATGGCATGGAGACGACGAACCGCCTGCTGAAGGCGCTGCCGGGGGTGCTGAGCGAGCGGGGTGTCGCGTACGTGCTGTTCTGTGCGCAGAATCGGCCGGGGGAGGTTGTGTGGCGGATTCGGGACTGGAGAGGAGGTAGTAGTGAAGATGAGGATGGGGATGGTGGCGTGCAGGGGCGGTGGATGGCGGAAGTGGTGGGGGAGACTGGGGGAAAGGGCGGGTGGGAGCGCTTGTGTGTGGTGAGGATTTGGCGGCAAGCTTCAGGAGGAAGGGGAGGAAAGGGAGGAGGATGATTCTGGTGCTGGATTTGCTGGAGTGGACTCGTCGACTTGAGCGGACTCCTACCACGCCCTCTTCGTCCACTGAGCGGCAGCAGCATTGACAAGCGCTTCATGAGGTGGTTCGCGCGCTGAACAGAAGGTGACGATGGTCGACTCCATCTGATTCACGAAGATCGGGTCAGCCTCTACGGAATGCAACCAAATATGCACTGCATATTGAACAAGCCTGGACGAACGAACACAACCAAGGCCTCGCGTTCGCACTGAGCAGAAATGTATAGTGTGATTCTAGGTCATCTATCTGGGCAGCTGCTCCGGCTTAAAATAGGCTGCCCAACGAGCGAGGTCGCATACATCGTCCTTCCCTCCACCAACAACCTCAGAGCTCGTAATGCCACATATCCCATATATGGACCAGGGATTTGATTATCTCAATCTCCCAGTCCATACCTCTTCACCCGACTGAAGTAAAAAGGCTTATCGTTCCGCAACCCAAACTCCGCCCAATCATTACTCAGCTGGTTGTACGACCAGAAGCCCTTCCACACCAGCTTCGTGTTCTTGGGTGCCGTGCGACTCCTGCTCGTCGACTTGAGCGACAGGTGCATCGTGTACATGTACCGGGGTCCAGCCCCTTCAGTCTCGATGTGCAGGTCGCCAGGCACGAGTGCTGAGGCGTTGGTGGGGTCGCTCCCACCATCCGGTCCAGCCGATTGTGAAATATGCGCCGGGTGGCATAACCGCCAGCGACCACGGAGGGCGTGTTTCATAATGTTCTGCGCTGACGGAGGCGGCATTTGTGTCGCTCCGCCGGCAGGAGGTGGTGGTGGGAGGGCAGTAGCTGGCAGGCTGGCACCACCCTTTGACCGGACGAGGTTGAGGTTCTCCCAGGTCAGATGTGGAACTACGTCAATGGGTTCGTTGGTCGTGAGAAGCGAGATGCAGGTCCCGTCGCGGAAGAAGCGCAGGTAGCGGTAATACGTGACAATGTGAATCGGGTTGGACCAGACGTGGGCGGTAGCCGAGGCGCCACCAGGGCGCGAGTAATTGACAGTACTAATGTACACACCCGAGAACCTCAAACGAGGGTGGGTATGAAAGACGTCCCGCCAAATTGTGGAGCGAGGGAATGAAGTCTCAGTAATGGGCGGCAGAGGATCTTCCTCGTCCTCCAGCGTGGAGAAGATGAGCTCGCGACCTTGAAGGTCGGTGGCAAACTGATATTGCTGTGACGCGAAGCCAAAGTGGGGACCGAGTGCCAAATGCCTCCAGATCGAATTCTCGGAATGGATATGATAGGCAAGGCTCTTGCAAACCAAAGACAATCTGGCAAGTAAAGCAGGGTCCTTCGTTCCTATGATTTGGAGCATCTCGACCATGACCTCAGCGGGCAGCTTCGCGATCGGGCACGGCGGCGGGATGTCGCCCTGGATAATGGGTGGAGAGCCCTGTATGCGCAAGCCGGCGAAGGTCTGTATAAGTTCTGGAGTAGGCAGAACTTCGCCGGCGTCAGTGGAGGAGTGATGGGCGGGATTGGGGACCGTCGTAGGGGCATTAGATGGATTCGGGTTAGGCTGTTTCCATCGATGGGCAAAGTGCTTGTCTTTGTAGCTCTGGTCGACTTTGAAATCCAGCTTGTAGGCTTTCCGGTAATGAGTCAGGCTTTCACCGAGGTTGCCCTGGCCTTCTTTCTCCACCGCCCGCTCGAAGTGTTCGAGAGCCGTTTCCGGCACCTTTGTAGATTTGGCGGTGAATTCATCCCGATCAGCATCGTCCAAGTTCAACCGATCGACCCGTCCAGTTAGCCGGGAGGGTGCGTCTGTCTGTTCTGATCCACTATCATGGTCGGACTCGTCCCGTATATCTGCAACAGGGTGGCGAGTGGGCGGTTTATTTGAGGGTCGTTCCAGTCTCGATTCACTTGGTCTCCTGGCACTTGAAGGAATTGAGGACGCAGCCGATTGATTCTCCGGCTTTCTTGTCTTGGCACTCACCTCCTGCTTCCACTGCTGTCTAAACTGCTCAAGCTCGGATGCTGTGTCAGCCATATCGAAGGATCTGATGTGTTCCAGGAAACAGACAGTTTTTAATCCAGATTAAGTCAGCCCAGGCGACGATCATGCAAGGCACAATACTGAGATGAGGGTTTTCCAGGGCTGTGAAACTCCTATAGGATAACGAGCGGTTGTGGAGAGGAAGAGACCGATAATGGGACGACGTCTGGCACGAGTCATGACTCTTTCCCAGTCCACGTCATTTGAGTCGGCTGTCCATCTCCGGACGATTGGAGCGGGCCCACATCCGTTTTGGGAGTAGCTCGGAATTATCGGTCGGCGAATTTGTCCGATATGTCAAGTATCTTCGTGACGGCATTATTCAAAAGGCGCAGGCGCAATTCTATTAAGAAAAGCTGTTGTTCTCTTCCAACATCCCCACCCCGAAACATCCAGTCTCCTCCTGAGCTGAGATCTATTGATGTCCCTCGCATTTGGGTCTCAGCCCGCCGCGTCGCACGCAGAGTCAGAATCCACAACATCCCAGTATGCTACGGAGGGCCGGCGGCATGACAGAATATTGCTCGAAGAACCGGATACCTCAAACTCCAGCATGTCGAGCTCCGGCTCGGGCACAGGAGATATCTCCGTCTCTCAGCGTATGATCTCGGCCACATGGGGCAGCGTACTGACCACGCTCTTGGGTAAGCCCGTTCGTGTGGAGAGGTCGCCGCTTGCTAACGGTGGCAATAGTCAATCCACTCGACGTAGTCCGTATACGTCTCCAGTCTCAGGCGACTCCTGCGCCAGCGTCTCTATCTAAATACCATGCTTACGGCACCTCATTCAGATCATTACCGTCGGACTTGGGAGTCACAGCATGCTGCCGCGAAGTGTTCTGGGTTGGAGATAGCGGCCATTTCTGCCTTGCTGGTAATGGACATGGACCTCCACCTGCAGGCGCCGTCCCAGCAGATTGCGCAATCGAAGAGACTGAGAGAAAGACTTTCAGATCTACATTCGATGCGATGAAGAAAATATCTCGGAACGAAGGCCCCACAACCTTATGGCGCGGCCTCACCCCAACTCTGGCTATGGCCATACCCGCCAATGTTATATATTTTACTGGATACGATTGGCTACGGTTCAACGAAGCGAGTCCGATCAGAAAGGTCGCCAGCGACACGTACGCACCGTTGGTAGCAGGCTCGATGGCCAGAGTACTGGCTGGAATTGCCGTGTCTCCCTTGGAAATGTTCCGCACGAGAATGCAGGCTACTCCCGGAGGGACAACAGGCGTTTTCAAAGAGACACTGCTTGGGCTCCATCGCATGACGCAAAGTCAGGGCTATACTTCTCTCTGGCGTGGCCTCACCCTGACCATGTGGCGAGATGTGCCATTCTCGGCTTTCTACTGGTGGGGTTATGAAGCATCCAAGAATGCCATTAAGAACGTTCGACATGGACACTCAATATCTCAGAACGGATCGTTCACGAGCAGCAATCAGCCGTGGACCCCGGAGACCGACTCGTCCACATTCTTCGACAGCTTCGCCGCTGGTGCACTCTCAGGCGGTATAGCAGCTTTCGTCACTACTCCTTTCGATGTCGGAAAGACTCGGCAGCAGACATACCGACATGCAGGTGACGACTCACCGTCAGTGCAAGCCGCAAAAGAGGCGGCGAAAAAGGGCAAGGTGGTTGCAGAGGAACTGTCCATGCCCAGATTCATGTATCATATCTACAAGGAAGAAGGTGCGGCGGGCGTCTTCAAGGGTTGGATTCCACGGGTTCTAAAGGTCGCTCCGGCCTGTGCCATTATGATCAGCAGCTATGAGATCGGTAAGAGGTGGGCGCGGGCGAGCAATGACCGCAAGAACGAGAAGGCGGCTGTCTGAACACTCAGCTCATTTTGTACAACATCGCACAGGGATTCGGGAGCGAAGAGTTTTTGCATTGCATTGCGTGGCGCAGAAGCAGGCGTACAGACGCTCCGCACGGCGTACTTAGCATGATCGCATTTCGTTAGAGCAGGTCATCAGTGCGAATGAAATGAATAATCTCATCACGTTCCGTACACTGCGATGCCCTGCCGATCAACCTCAGCCTGAACTCACGCCGTACCACCCTGCCATGCCTTTCACTGCCTACTTGGCGCTTGCATGATGGAGACCCATTGCTGCATTTAGGGTAGCTGTACTCCAGTGCCATGGTCATAGCTACTGGAGGACATGGTATGGTCTTATCTAGATTACAGTCGTTCAACGTCGTCGAGGCGGAACGGCTGTCGATCCACGGACTGCGACGCTAAGCGTGTCTGCGTATCCTCCACGCGCGACGTTGCGGTGTTGGAACGACGAATCTCCGCTGCCGCGCAACTCGATATCTCCCTCCCCCATGCGAATCCCAAAACCATTCACAGGCGCGAGCAGTGTGATGAAGCGATGGCAGCTCCGTTCTTACCACGCAGTACACGATTTTGAGTGACGCGTTGGAGGGAGAAGGGTGCGGCGAAGGATGGATTCCGTGTCCGGCCAAGCCTTCTAGGAGACGTGTGTACACAGTAACATCCGCGCTTCGTCCGCAGCAATAACAAACTCCGTGTCGTCCTTACCTTGCTTGGTGAAAGATGCTGAGATGCTGAGATGCTTGGCCACGGGTCCCCAGACACAACGTGTACCTGCCCGATCCAAATGTCTCGTGTCAGCCTGTGTGGCGCTCTCGCTGCGTCGGAGACCGCAACGCGTCTGCGACAAGATGATGTCGATTCCTGTTTTACCCCGCAATGTTTGCAGAAGAGCATGTCTCTCTCCTTTTTCTCGTGCATTGTTTGCATACGTCACGACCAAACAAAATCTTCACGAATCCACTGAGTCGGTTTTTTCGGTTCTCCGGGCTCGCATAATTTCTCCAACGGGGTTGGCCTCATGCTGGGGATTAGCGATCGTGTCCCGAAAACAGCAGGTGAGACCCAAAATGTCAAATACCCAAACCCCTCTTGTCCCGAAATGGGCCGCTGCTCTACTGTGTGGGGAGTTTGAATAGAGCGGCCGGTGATGCGGACCCATTCGAGAGACGCTCCTACAGACAAGGTCCCGAAGGTTTAGTGGACTTGGAGTGCGCGATGATGTAGTGCGTTTGTGTATATATGTTTGTTGTTAACCCCGTGTTTGGCGAGAAGAATTCTCAACTTTGCTATAGTCTCATACCGAACATAACGCAGTTTATCAAAAGCATCAAGTCAACCAAAGCCATCAAAATGCCTACCGGAGGATGCTTCTGTGGAAAGGTGACGCTCGAATACTCGGGCGAGCCGGCCATGACGGTATAACCATTCCCGTTCACCATCAGGCGTCAATACTAAGACGATGCCAGGCACTTTGCCATTGCGCCGACTGCAGAAAGATCAGTGGAGGGCTCTACAGCCATAACGTACGTTTGCCCGAGCACATGACCATGCGTCTCCCATGCTGGGTTCCTGTCAGTGACTGGACCGTATGCTGACAGCTTGCAAGATCGTGGTGCCATCCGAGAACTTCAAGACCACCGGTTAGTACTACCCACACATGACCTTTGAGATCCACAACTGACTTGGAGGAATAGGCACCACCAAGGAAATCACAAAGACCGCCGACAGTGGCAAGAGCATCACCTCACATTTCTGCCCGGACTGTGGTATGGCCAATGCAAACCCAAACGAGGGATCCATGGGGGCTAACATGAGCATCAAAGGCACGACACTCTACCGCTGGGGCGACAGCTTCGGCGGCAAGGACGGCATGCGCATCATCAAGGCGGGCGTGATGGACGATGTGGATGTCATCAACAACACCAAGCCGGGAGCCGAGCTGTTCGCTCCCGAGAGGATCAAGTGGGTTGGTGCCATTGATGGTGCTGGCCAGGTTGACACCGTGAGTACCGAACCGAACCCCCTGTGCAGGGGACGTGTCTCAAGGAGTTTCAGTGCTGACTTGTGGTAGATGCCATCGTAGGTTTGCTGAGGCCGCAGCGAGGTACATGGCGGGGGTGGGCCTACCGGTGCGGAAAGACAAAAGGAGACTTGGCTAGACATGATGCTTCACGGTACCGACGGCGCATTGTCATGGAGAGTTGAAGTGCTGATTAGTAGCGGAAGCCTGGGAGAGGCTGTGAGTAGTGACACTATTCCGTACATATGCGGCCGTGCCAAATGAAAGAAGTAGCTATACTGCCACTAGTTGTTTGTATTCGCGCCGTGAATGTTTATACATGCCTGTCCCCTAGATTCGTAGGTAAATACGGGATGGTATATATCGATAGCTTTAGAGTGATGGCCTGTGTGTACCTATGCAAGGAAATCCTCGCTTTGTGGCGTGCCAGCTCATCCGGGTTGCTCGTGTTTGCAATAGATATAGAGCGAGCTCGAAACGGACGTGAATGATGATATTGTTGGACACGCACTTCTCCAGCAGGATTGTGTCTAGTGCAGATGTACAGTCTCCTCGGTAGCCCAGCATGGGCCGGCCAGTCACCGTGCTTTTTGCTGATATTCCTGGCCTCTATCACGAACATCGGACCACATATCGATACAGAGGCATTCCTTTATTTGCCCTTCTCGACCCAACCCTCTACCGCACCTCTCGCCTGGTCCGTCGCACTGTCCACCCTCTTGACGGCTACCGCACCTCCCTCCCGTACCCGATGCCACGCATCTTCGCCGAAGCTTCTGATCTGCAAATGCGTATCCGCCAGTGCCGGCACCCGCTTCTCGTACTCCCAAATGAGGTCTCCCACGTTTCTCATCGTTACGGGAATTAACGCCCAACCGGCCGCGATACCTACACCTAAGGGAAATGTCGCGCGGAGCAGGATACCGCGGTTGCGCGAGACAATTGATCCGGCAAGTGTGGCAACCAAGACGTAGATCCCACCAGGAAGAAGCTGTTCTCCTGTCGAAGGGGCGGGTGCCAGGCTAGCTATCGTGTCTGCGAGCTGTGTTTCTTTCTTGAAAGCGTAAGAGAGGCCGCGATTGAAGGCATTCTCTGTTGATAAAGAGAGCTCGTACAACGCTAGTCGGCCGTGTTTGATCTGCGCCGCGAGAAGGTCGGTAGGTGTCGGTCTGGACGGTTCGGAATTATGGGTGCTGCCGTTTCCTGGGAGGGGAAGAGTAGGGGCTTTCGGAGAGGCAAAAGGCACAGCATCGGAGTATATTGGTTTTCTCTCAGGGATCTGAAGTTGGGTGTTAGCTATTTGGCCATATGATCGAGACGGTCGTGCGAACATCATCTGCTGGGGATTCAGCCCATGCTGTCTGTCGAGGGTAGAGAGAGGCCACAGAGCCAGCGACAGCTGTTGCCGCAAGGGCACGCGACTGTGGAGCGTTAGTAAAGCTTCGAGACGGTCTTTGGGTTGCATACGTGATGGAGTACTCGCGCCCGGGCCATGATGGGCGTGTATTGAGCGGAGAGGCGTTGTGTTTGGCGGACGGATAGCTGTTGGAAAGTTCAAGACTGGCGCATGAGCTCGGGTGAGGTTGGGCTTGGCATTGGATATCATTTCCGAAGGCGGATATGAAGGAACGATTCCATCGACCACAGCATTGTTTGGATGGCGAGAGATTGAAGAGGTATATCTCTGAACCGTCATGTAATCATTACGTTGCTATCAAATGGGTATCAAAAAGGTCATGCTTGGGCGCTCTTGCCCATCCCTGCGCACCCTCAATTTGCGTTCTTTGGCGCCTCACCTATCCGTATGCTCGCTTCCGCCATCGCTTTTGTACTTTCGCCATGCCGGCTATGGCTGACTCGACGGCTTGAAGTCGGCCGCTACGGCAGCTCATTAGATGCTACTCGTTGCTTTCTGGCGACACAAATGTGCTTCATCTTCAATTCAGGCAGACCCGACTCGGGGTTCGGCGGTGGTTGGTTTAGCACGCTCGACCTGAGGTTGCTTCGTCGACACCTTGGTGGCCCAGGCAGTACCCCAGATGGGCGGCTTTCTTGCCTTTTTTCTTCGATGTGCAATGCAGCAACTGTGCGAGTGATCAGCACGGCGAAAATAAGGATGGCATGGTGAACTTACCAAAGCAAGACGCTGATAGCGAGGGTCACAAGTCCTGCCGTGACAAGCCATATTCCCACATCATGCCACAGATTGCTGCACTCGTACTTGCGTGCGTTGCGGGAAGTGCACATAGGCATTGTATTATGATCTTCGCAGTTATGCCCTGATGGTAGTTGTTGTAGTTGGCTGTGAGCTGCTGCAAAGCCCGCGGAAGGCGCTCGACATCAATGAGTGCTTCTCGATCGGTCGGCTTTTCGGTCGAGCAGCGGCTGTATATCAGGTGGTGAGGTCAAAGGCAGGTGCAGACTGTGGTCGGCGAAGCACCAACAGTAAGGTTGAACAGTGCGACATTACGCCTACGCTGGAGAGTGCTTGGAACCCAAGCAGATGAGGATGCTAGGCGTCTGAGGTGGTACAGATGTCAAGCCGCCAATGCGAACGGCGACAGGCCGGACAAGAAAGACCAAGCGCAGGTGGGATTTCGCTGGGCGGAGGATGAGTCTTGGTCTTTTGCGGATGGGGAAACAAATGCCGGCTTTACGGCTTGGTTGTCTGGGCAGGGAGGCAGGTACCCGCGAAACCACATGTCAGCGCTCAGACCTGGGAGGAGAACACAAACGTGGCTTTTCCAGCTCAGATTTTGGTTGACAGTGTCTGTCTGCCATTGAACGGCGTTGGCGGAGCTCGTCGAGGCTCTTGAACACGCTGCAAGCGGGGCGGAATCGCCCTGAGGCTGCCCAGCCGGAGACTCTAGCGGGGCTTCGAATGGCAGGACAAGGTCTAGATTTCCTACATGATTACACGTTATGTGCAGCGTCAAGCAGCCTGCTACACGCGCGCGAATTGAGCGATTGATGTTTCGATAGAGTTCGAGGTGTCCGTTATGACCCAGATTCCGCCACGATGAAGCAAGTGGGCAACCACGGCGTGGGAAGCCTTGGCATGAATCTGTCGGCTTCCGGACGATCATATCAGCTGACTCTTTCGACAGCAGACACTATCAACGACAATAGTGGTTCTTTTGACATCAACTCGATCTCATACAGAGGTAGGTAGCATACAGGGCACTGTCATTGATTCTAGGAAACGGAGGCTGCCAATATGAACCACGGAAGATGCCCTGTAGGGTCCGGAATGCCGAATTCACAGCAGAATCAATTCAGTCAAGGCCAGCATTTCTCTGCCAGATATTACAGCCACAAGTGTAGTGCAGCTGCGGCTGTGGTGGCTGATATCGATCGCGAGGCTGGTAATTAGGTATCAACAGATCCCTTGTAGTCCGACGATCTTTCAGCAGCGGAATCTTCAACACGATACAGGTCCTTCAGATCATTCAAGGGAGCGCCTACAGCTAAACTATACGATCGATTCCAGCACTGTTGACAGTAACCAACTTACCGTAGGTAAGCTATTGCATGCAGGATATGCGGAGATGCTCTACGATATGCCTACTTCGCCAAGACTCATGTCTCGACATCTTAGATCAAATCACGCAATCCCAAATACGCATATTCCTACGTCGGCATATGTCCGTCAGAAGCCATCAGAGCGCTAAGTGGCACGACTACCCCTGCATCGACCAGCGCTAAGCCATGCGAAACTCTGGCCCAAGATGTCGCGATATGCTACAACGACGTCAGGTCGTCCGCACTGGCGGGCTACTACTTATGCTACCAGTCATAGAACCAAAAGTCATCTTTCGCCTTTCTGGTTGCATCTAGCTTTACTGAGACTCTTCTGCCTGATTGTCAACGCTATAGACTAGATACAAATCCAATTGACCTCATCGCGATGGCCGACATTTCCAAGGAGGTGACCGACGTCGACCAAAGGAATCCGGAGACGAACCCAGTCTACTCGAGCAGTCAAGAGAGCTTACATGGTATCAACGAGAAGTCCCTCCTGCGAAAGCTTGACTACAAGCTACTACCAGCTCTCACCCTCCTATATCTCCTCTCATTCTTGGACCGCTCCAACGTTGGCAATGCGAGAATCGAGGGCTTAACAGCCGACCTGCATATGACAGGCAACGAATACCTGAGTGGTTTGACGCTGTTCTTTGTTGGATATGTCATCGTCGAGGTGCCATGCCAGGTCATCCTCAAGCTATGGACGCCGCGCATGTGGCTTCCCACGCTGACATTGGCATGGGGTGTCGTATCAACTCTGATGGGAGTGACCCAGAATAAGGCTGGCTTTTTCGCCGTGCGCTTCTTCCTCGGTGTTTCCGAATCCGGCCTCTTCCCTGGCATTGTGGTATGTTTACTTGAGATTAGCTCACGCCCCCTCAGTCTCGCTCTCACGTATTGTCGTACTTGTGTTGAGCCACTACTAAGGTCTCTTCAAGTACTACTTATCCTTATGGTACAAGAGGGAGGAGAGGCACTACCGCGTCGCGCTGTTCTTTAGTGCTGCGGCGCTAGCTGGCGCCTTTGGTGGCATTCTAGCATGGGGTAAGACCCAAGTCGCTATGATCACACTTTGATACTTATTGCTGTCAGGCATCGCGCATATGAGAGGTGTGGCCGGCTACAATGGTTGGAGGTGGATCTTTATTCTGGTGTGTATTTTGCGTGTTACTTTGTCACCGGATTAGACTAACACTATACAGGAAGGTCTTCTTACTGTTGTTGTCGCCGCCAGCGCCTACTTCTTTATTCACAACTATCCCAGTACCGCGACGTTTCTCAGTGAGAACGAACGAGATGTGATTCAACGCCGGTTGAAAGCTGATAGCGACGCCACCAACGATGAAGCCTTCAATTGGGCCAATGTTCGCAAAGCCCTCACCGACATCAAAGTCTATCTGTACTGCTTCAACTTCCACACTATGTCGCTTCCGCTCTATACTCTGTCGCTCTTCCTCCCATCCATTATCCGCGATCTGGGCTACAGCTCTGCTCAGGCTCAGCTGCTCACTATCCCACCCTACGCCATCGCCTTCATCACCACAATGACGATGGCCGTGCTTTCAGAACGGTACAAGCGCCGTGCACCGTTTATCATTGGCTCCTCATCTTTCGCGATCATTGGCTATATCCTTTTACTCGCCGACCCTCGTCCTGGTCCCTCCTACACTGGTACTATCTTCGCTGCTGCTGGCATTTACCCTTCCGTCGCCCTCGTGGTAAGTCTTCCACCCATCCTTACTTCTGAGCCATGCTGATAAGCCTTGGCGCAGCTCGCATGGCCAGCCAACAATGTCTCGGGCCAAACTAAGCGGGCAGTCGCCAACGGGCTTCAGATTAGCATCGGAAACCTCGGCGCTGTGCTTGGCACGCAGCTTTATCGCACCGAGACAGCGCCACGTTACTTTCTGGGGCACTCGTTTGCGTTGGCTTACCTCGTGGCCAACGTTGCTGTCGCGAGCTTGACTTGGTGGGTACTAAAGCGCGACAATGAGAAGAAGGAGCGCCGTGTTGCGGGGAATGAGGCCACCAAGGATGGACCTTTCATTGGGGACGAGGATGTGAGGTGGCGCTTCCACCTCTGAACACGGATATCTACAGACTCGAGATTCGAGCCGTCAAGGTTCGATGAATATTCACCTTAGCGCAACCTGCACTAAGCACCAAGAGTCGGATGCTGCCCGGATTCAAGGGTGCATGACTACTCTCGAAATCTGCCGAGCCTCAGATCTTTCTAGGAGTTGACGGCTTTCGATTCAGCTCGATTGCTTCTTAGTCTTCGGACGACATCGCGACTTAAGTGGCGCCTAGAATGTTCTGATTACGAAATTGCCGCAGAAGTACACCGTATTGGAATGCAATCCGGCGGAGCTTTTATGAAGTCGGATAGACAATTCTATGTCAACAGAGCTGGCACCGCCACTCAAAATCACGAGTCCTCAGAGCACTTTCACCAGATTTCGTGTCTCTTCTGTTTCTTCCACCTACCTCTGCGAGGAAGCTGTGTTATATCCATGCTGATATATCTATGCATATGGTCCTGCACATCTTAGATGCTTCCAACGTTTGGATCCATGTGACGACCTATAATTTCAAGCTTTAGGACTTTTCAGTAGCAGGTTGCCATGCAAAAGCTAGGAAAGCCTTGCTCAGAATCTCTTCCAGCATTGAATCTCACTGGGTGAGCCTCATTGGCACCAATTGGGTTTGGCCTAGTCAGTGACTGAAAGTCTGTTTGAACGTCCAGATCCATACTTGCACTTGACGAAGAGGGGTTGATCGAATAGTAATTATAGTATACTCGTTTAATGCTGGTGCCTGGCAGCGATCCGTCGCGTCTATCAAATATACGCGAAGGGATTGACACAGTCAAGCTAGGCACGGCCAATGAGCAGAGGGGATCTGTTTTCCTTTTGAGGCAAGCCCCGCGCCACCAAGCCATTTTGACTTCTGTCGCAGGCATACACGTGGGGTGGTGGGAACATGTAAACCCCCCAGGAAGACAACTGCCGACTCCTATCTCTCATATGACCCAAAGCGGGCGTAATCACAGAATCAGTGTTTGCATCGGCGATGGCGAAGGTATCGGATTTCTCAGATTTAGTCATCATCAGTCACAACCCTGGAAACAGCACACGAGCTGCCAGCCTCGAGCGCGCAAGGGCGCTGGCATATGCAGCAAGAATTTCGAGTCCTGCTCGTAAGAAGAAAAAAGCACTGTCCATGACGAGATTAGAGCAGCGTCAACAAGCAAAAGAAGCTCGCAACACCTCCAGCCAAGAGAATGTGGCAACATTGCAGCTCCTTGGATCACGAGCAACGTTGCTGACCACACTTTTAAAGCAAGGAAATAGCGACCCCTTTAACAGCATGCCAGTGCAGATTACACCCTCTATTGGCAGTACGCTCTCGTTCTGGAACTCTAGAATGCCCGTATACTGCAGCGAAGGCCGAAGGGTTGTTAACGAGAAGCAATTCAATACGGACATCGTCAATCTGCACAACGAAGCGTGTTGTAGTGCATTTTTATTTCTGTGCGCGACTTTGATGTCGGCCCAGAATCCCCAGCAAGCAGATCTAGTCCACAACAGCCTACGATTGAAGAACCAGGCCCTGCAAACATTGCGCACAGAAATTGCTCGTAACAAAGCTGAGAAATCGGCATTTGCGCTTCGGGCCATAGTCTACCTGTTTGAAGCGACTATAATGACAGCCGAAGTCAGCGAAGCGAAGATCCACGGTGCGTATGTGGTCGAAGCGCTTCGCCAAATCGAGGCGAAGAAGCGCCCAAAGGACTACGACAAGCTGTTGATGCTCGTACGCATGTACTATTTGGATGCCCAATCAGCACTGGGATACATGCGCCGTATGACTCTAAATCCGAACGACATGGTGTCGCTGTTCCAGAAGTCCCTCGAGCCTATACAGCAGTGGGTCGATACTCAAGACCCTAGCCTGTTTGCCGGCATTACAGACGCTGTCTTGTTCAGCAGAAACATCACTGCAATGTTCAGACAAATGCGCGTCAACATAATGCTTCAACACAGTACTCCGGAGGAACTTGAATTATACTATCCTGCCTTAGTGTGCCAGTATCCAGTACCGCACCATCTCCTATTAGTGGGCCATGCTCTCGAGCACATCGACCGCTTAGCCAACTGGCTCGCAGCTCACCCAGCCGAGACTTCTGACACATATACAGCCATACACTCCCAGTACCGCACAGAAATCGTGTTGTCACTGGCTCTCCTAGTGTATCTGAGCCGATCGGTCCACTCCACTGAAGTCCTCGGCGAGTGGACACTCGCTTCTGGACTGCTGAGCAAGCTAATGTATTGGCTTGCGGATGAGAGCCAGCCAGATGGCCTGGCACGGCTGATTCCTCCGAAAGCCCAGGTCTGGGCATTGTACGTGGGATCTTGTTGGGAGCTGAGTCATCGCACACCGGTACGTGTTGCTTGCAAAGCATCGTTCTTGGCGTTGTTGAAGAAGCGGGCGGCGGCTTTGCAGCTGTCCGCGTGGCAAGAGGTCAACGCTGTGCTCGCCGAGTTTCTCAACATGGATTCCATGCTTCCTAATGGTGCTGAATGGTTTGAGTCTCTGATGCGCGACGATGATGCTGTCTTTGAGCGGGCTGAGTTTCGGTCTGGTGCGGTATGCCACCAGAGCTGGTGTGGTAAGATGCACCGAGTTTTGTCTTTGCCTGACGAAGACAATGTTCCTGATGGTGGCTGAGAACTCTGCATCTGTGTGCACTCGGAGCCGACTCGTGGGTATCTATAGCAATAACGCATTAGAAAGCGGGAGTCTTCAATCCCTGGTCGTCCAGTGGTCCAGTCATGCGGCTGGCTCACGCCCGTGAAAATCGAAAGCGGCATCCTCATTTGCACCTTAATCTACCAGACTTGAGAGATGTCTTGTGGTGCCCAAGAGGAACGACATCAGACTATCATCACTTCTCGCAGCAGAACCATAGGACTGAGGAGATACGTAGAGGAGAGAGCTCCTCGCCGCTTTCGTCGGCCTCATTGTGCAACTCCATCTGCCCCATCTTGTCCTCCAACATATTTTTCTTCTGGAAATCCTTGTGCGTACATCTCGGTTGGTGTCCAGTGAGGGACACAGGGAGATGTTTTCGCAGCCATTCGGCCCGAGACATGTGTTGATTATTGTCACTGTGTATGTGACGGAGCTTTTCACGAGGCCGAGGTGTAATTGCTCTTCAATGTCACATGGACCATTGGCAATCTTCCGGGGTTCTGGCGTCCAGAAAAGAAAGTATGAAAGAGGTCCATGATCAACACTTCCATAGAACAGAGGCGAGGGCGGTGAGAGAGATCTCATCTCATGAAGAATTCTTCTCAGCTTCCTCAGAACCAGCTGCATGGACGATCGATCTTCCGGTAAAAGGAGCCTGATCACAACTGAGAGACACATGACCGAGTGAAGTCCAATCAGATTCACACATTACTATGTTCCAGATCCCTATCCCTTGGGTCCTGTATGATGCTGGCATAGTTCGCCTTGCCAATTGCGACTACCTGCAGCAAAGCCGCGGTGGTAATTGCTATCAACATACCAGACCATAATCCGACCACACCCCAGTGTCTGACAAAGGTAAATGTCAGTGCCAGAGGAATGGCGAGAACATTGTATGAGAAGAGACTGATAATACTCCCAGTCCGTTGAAGGCCTAGACCTCGTAGGATGCCACTGGTTATGATCGTGGTGGCATCGGCAATCTGGAATGCTGCCAGAATGGGAACCACAGTAATGAAGACCCCTATGAAATTGATTAGCAATTGCGATCTCTTGAAACGCAGGATTTGAGACCAGCTCACCGATTGTTTCCGCATCGTTTGTGAGCAGCCACCCCCACACACGCCGGACAAGGATTAAGAATATGCTATTGTTCAGCCCCAGTCCTACTCCGAGCATGATTGCAGTAGTAGATGAGATCCGAGCTGAGTGTTGGCGGCCGGCGCCAACAAGATTGCCGATCCGGGCAGCAACTACCGCGCTCGCCGAAAAGGGGATCTGAAAGGATAGATTGGCCGTTGTCTGGATGATAGAGTGCGCGGCGAGACTGACGGTGCCGAGGTAGCTTGCAGCCATGGCCATGGCCTCGACCGCCCACCATTCCGAACAAATCATGATGATCCCTGGTCCGGCAAGTTTGAGCATCGGCTTCCAATCCTTCAGGGCCTTCGTGCTGAAGCCGCCGAAACATTGATACCCATCGACAAACCGCACGTACAGCGCCAGTAGAAGTGCCATGAGATTAAACGACATTGCTGTTGCAATAGGAGATCCTTGAAAGCCGATTCCGAACCTTGAAGACCACACGAACGTGTAGTTACTGTACAGAAGAACTGGATCAGTAGTGGTCAAAATTGGAGGAAGTGGGAACCGACCAAGCTATGTTCAGCGGAGCAGTGATCAAAAGGACATAGGTCGATGCGTGAAAGATATTCTGGGCTTGCTGGAACCGTTTAAGTGCCTCGAAGATTGCATACCCTGGTGCGCCCCACCAGTAGAATCTCAAGAACGATCCGCACAAGCGGGCCAAATCGGGGTCTTGTCGAAGCCACAACATGATGGTTTCGGCGTTCAGCCAGATGACGGAAATGGGCACGAAGCATACCAGCTCCAGCAGCAAACAGCGCTGCAGGTGTAGACCCAGCTCGTGTCTCTGACCACTGCCATAGGCCTGTGAACAGAGCGTATCCAAGGCCGTCGAGATTCCAGTGAAGATTGTTAGTCCTGTAATCGTAGCGGTCATGGTTGCGAGAGAGGCCGCCGCAAGTTGTAGCCGACCGAGATGACCCAAGGAGAAGACACCGGCGAATTGCTCAGAATACTGGAGGAAGAAGCTGAGCATCATGGGAATCTGCTCAGTCGAGTCAGTGAGCATTACTTTCACATTTCATTGATCACTCCTCTGAGAAATGCTACAGTACCATAGATTTGAGGAAAAATTTGAGCTCAGTAAGACGGGTGGTGACTTTTTCACCGTTCTCGTGCTCCTCGGTATCGATTCCAGAGGGAGAGCTGCTGACAACGGTCGGTCGCTTTCCCGCAGTGCCATAGCTGGTCCTGTCTTGTGCTAGTAAGGACTCGTGAGCAGACATGTTTGCTGTGCGCACCGGGTATTGCCACGAGCCCAAACCGCAACCTATGACAGCTGATGGTCGGAGAGCAGATGATGTGCGAAAAAGGCTGCGATGGGTTGTTATGTGAGCGGCCGGATGAGAGGCAGAGGGGAGAAATGTGATTAAACAAACGCCCGTGTCGCCAAAGAGGTACCAGACGAGGGTGGAGAACATGGGCAATCTGCAAACAGTGATCCATATGAGTCCAGGGTGATCTGGAGCATGTCTGCGGACTGGTCGATATTGGCATGATGCCTCACAGTGGCAACGAGGACGGGCCGCGACTCATGCAGCAAGCGAGCGAGCGAGCGATGATACTACAACCAAAGCCGTTCGAGGGTCTCCAGTCTGCAGGCTCGTACACCCTGGGTGCACACCCGCAGTCCTCGTTACTTTACTCCACCTGTTCTCTACAGCAAGTGGGTCGGGACTTGGATGAACCAAAGCCGGTAAATTCATCTTCATCTCCTCCTGCTTCGACAGGCAGGTGGGTCCAAAGTAACGAGGACTGCGGGTGTGCACTCAGGGTGGTGTACAGGGGAACCATCGTAGCATCCAGCTAGTCGCATCGACGGCTTAGGATCACGCTACGGAGAAGTCGGAGAATGAGGCGAACATGTTGGGAAACGATTAGACTTGGGACTTACGTTGTCTCTTGTTGCGCTTCAGGCGGAAGTATCGTATACCAGAACCAGATCCGCTCGCCCAATCAGGCACTGGCGCTTCGAGATAAGGGCCGGACAGTAGGTTTTAGTCAAGGTTGCTCGGTAAGGCAACGGCAGAGAAAGGTGACTGCAGGGCCCACCTCAGTGTGGAATTCTTGTCATTACAATGGGAACGATGCTGTGCTAGCTCCATCATTTGCACCTTACACACGTCAATCTGTACCATGAGTGTCCAATCCCGGCCTTGTTGAGCTTTCCTGAATAGAATATTTTGTGATCTTTGGGTCGCCAGATTCACCTCATACACCTTCCCTCTTCTTTTTCTGGCCTTTTATCGTCCCAGATGCTGCAAGCCTGCAGTCTATCAGACACGCACAATGGCCCGATTATTCCTGCTGTTACAACTCTCCAGCTTGATGGCGGTCGGTATCGCTCACCAGCAGGCTCTAAATCAGCTTCCACTTGTGTCTAATCAGGGCGATGAGTTTCACCCTACCCCATTCTATAGTCGACAAAGAGACGAGACGAGCTTGGACGATGCCTTCAAGGAGTTCGAACGTATTACGGACAACCCACCGCTGTTTACGGGTATCACGACATTTGCACATTTGGACGCTCCGGCCTGTTTCTCCAAAGATCTCCCGGATGGCTCCTTCGACATCGCTTTCGTGGGGTCACCGTTTGATACAGGTGTGATCTATAGGACAGGTGCAAGGTTTGGCCCTGCCGGGATTCGAATGGGATCACGGAGGCTGGGAAAGTAAGAGATGCCGTCACATGAATGCATCCAAAAAGTGTTGTTTCTATGCTGATGATCATGCACAAACAGATACAGTGGACATAGTGTGGAGCTTGACTACAACCCTTTCAATTCTCCTTTCACCGTCGTCGATTGTGGTGATGGTCAGTCGACCCTTCTTAAACCGAGAGTAAAAATTTGAGTATTAACCCGCAGCAAGCCCCGGTGACTCCAATGGACAATCGTGTGGCTATCAAGCAACTTGAGCAAGCCCATCAAATCATCACATCCCGCAAGCCAGCCAACCAAACTCTGCTCAAGCATCCCAAGCTCATAACACTCGGTGGCGATCATACCATTACCCTGCCTGCGTTGAGAAATGCATACAAGCAGTGGGGTCAACTCAGCATCATCCATTTCGACTCTCACCTAGACACGTTCAATCCGGACAGCTTGAAGGACATCTACGGAGGGGTTAACAGCAATTACTCTTCTGTAAACCATGGAACCTACTTCCACATCGTAAGAAGTTCCATGTGGGTCTGCTTTTACACACACTTACGATACATAGGCGAAAGATGAAGGCCTTCTCAAAGACGACGCCAATATCCATGCTGGTGTCAGATTGATGCTGTTCGACCCTGTGGAAGATATCAAGGAGGACAGACGCTGTGGCTTTGACATCATCAAAGCTACTCAGATGGAGACTTTGGGCATCAAAGGCATAGTGGAGCGCCTGAAGAAACGCGTTGGCGACGGTCCTGTATACATGTAAGCATGATTACACCCCCTGGGCGTGAGACTTCCGAAGCACATGGCTAATCACCACCAATTAGCTCCATTGACATTGACGTCCTCGATCCTGGCTTTGCGCCTGCAACTGGGACTGCGGGTACGTCTTGTGATCCTGACCCTTACTCAACAAGTCACGCTTTACTGATTGATGATGCCCAGAACCTGGAGGCTGGACGTCTCGAGAGATGTTATCCATCATTGAGGGACTTTCCGGCATCAACCTCGTGGGCGCAGACATTGTGGAAGTTGTAAGTTTGATTCTGCTGATCCTTGTTGCTGAATATTGACTGGCATCCAAGGCCCCAGCTTATGACACGAATGCCGAGACGACCACGATGCTGGCAGCCGAGTTGTTATACGAAATTCTCATCGTGATGCAAATGAGCCCGGTTTGAGGACTAGTCCAGCACATAGCTTCCTACCACAATCTTTGAAATGGATATGCCCTATTTGTTGTATTGATCGCTTAGCTGTGGTCGGTTATAGATAGGTATGATTTTGATATTCGTTTCCTCAAGGAGAACCCACACAATATGGAGCTCTTTAGTTACTAGGTAGTATCTACTGCACCTGAAGATCATATGTCCTCTCACTTTGTCTACGGTCGGTTCAGACAGGAGACCTGATCATGACTGTCAGGATCTCGTACAGGATCTCCGCAGCCACTTGTCCGGTCTGCTCTGCGGCGGTGTCATACATCGGGGCCACTTCCACCAAATCAGCGCCCACAATTTTCAAACTCGATAGCCCGCTGATGATCGCGAGAACTTCACGACTGGTCCATCCACCTGGCTCAGCTGTACCGGTAGCCGGGGCAAAGGCCGGATCCACACTGTCGATGTCGAAGGAGAGGTATACTGGCCCTGTGCCAACTCGAGCCTTGATCTTCTCAATGACGCCCTGGACGCCAATGCTGTCAATCTCTCGACATTTGACCATGTCGAAGCCGCATTTGCGGTCGTGAGCCTCATCACCACTGTCGAGGTAGACGCCCTTGATCCCGGCATGCATGTTGGTCTCGTCGCCGAGAATGCCCTCGTCATGCGCAATGTGAAAGTATGTGCCGTGGTTGACGCGCGAGTATCTTGATTCCGGTGCATGGATGCGTGGTCGGAAGGTGTCGACATGCGAGTCAAAGTGAAGGATGCTCAGCGGTCCCCAGTGTTTGTAGGCCGCGCGCATGGCGGGAAGCGTGATGGTGTGATCACCCCCGAGGGTGATAATACGTGGAACTTTGGGTGTGGTGGTGGTGTTTGCCGGGGTGTATGAAGCAATGATCTGATGAGCCGCTTGGATTTGAGTCAAGGCTACCCGATTGTCCATGGGCGTTACTCTGGAATGACAGGCAAAATCAGCCCTGTCCCGCATGACCTACAACCGACACTCTGCTGATGTTGACCAAGGGAAAAACTTACGGGACGTCACCACAATCTACCACTCGCGCATACTGGCCGTCGAAAGGGTTGAAGTCGTTCTCGACCGAATGCCCTGAATGCTTCGCCAAACGTCTCGAGCCCAGCCTGATTCCCGTAGGGCCAAATCGGGCTCCAGGACGGTAAGTCGTCGCCGTATCGAAAGGAGCCCCGACGAAAGCGATATCGATCGGCTCGGAAGCCTGCACACTCTGTTCGAAGCATTTCAGCTGAGGCAGATGTGCATATGCTCCCGTGTCCGAGTAGAGCGGCGGGTTCTCGAGGGCAGGGCCGAGGTAGTCAAACGCCTCCTGCAAGGTCTTGTTGGTCGCCTCCTGAGCAGATTGAAGGAAGAAAGGTCTGTCAAGATGGTTCTGCTCGAAGTGCAAGATGGCTTCATGCTTGTGTTGTTTTCCAGAAGCCATGCAAGTCATGGCTAGAAGGCCAATGGTGGCCCTGAGAACATTGCAGGCCATTGCAATGTGGTAGGAACTTGCGGGTGATGCTTCGCCCTGGAGCACGAATATGCAAGTAGATGGCGATGATGAGGTTGTCAGGAAGTGACCGGGTTTTCACGAAGATCTAAAAGAATCTCACAAAAATTGCCAGTGCCGCGTCGCCCCAAGTTATCGAGCTGGCGACGTTGCCAACGACCATACATGCAGACCCACCTCGGGTACCCTCCGGCGGTACTGCGCCGTTGTAACATCGTCACACCGCGTCATTTGAACTTGGGGAACCTCTTCTCTGGGCACCCTATCTTCAAGCGCAAGAGCCTTGACGACGTGATCGGGACCAGTGATGCACATCGCACCAGACCAAGCGAAGATAGTCGTTTGCACCATGGATATGCGGCTCGGTCTGTCCATCGAGTCCAGCAGCATCTCGACCACGCCAAGTTCGCGCCATATTGTCATATTGTCGGGGCCGGCTCTGCGGAAGCGCCAGATGCTGCTCTTATCTTTAGCCGCTTCTGCCCAAGGGATGCATCAAGGAGAGCGACGCACATGCACTAGCACTTTACAACGTCTGTATGTGTGGCACTAGTACCCCGGAATCCACGATAAGCGAAGTCGCTTGCGGCCAACAGTCGGCATGGCTTATCTCGAAGCGCTGCACTAAACCATAACGGGGCATGTGGCCAGTGCCGTTGGGCCTTGGCGGCACGTGACCATCTGCGCTGACACTTCGGAAAGACTAGGCCAGGAACGAGGATTTTACTCACCTGGCACGCGAGAACCACTAAATCGGATTTCTGCAATCTCTGCCCCACGCAATGCCTGGGGACAATTTAGAATCATGGTGGCCAGACCTAGCGCTCGATGGTCCGTTATCATTCGGTGATGGGTATACGAGAACCATATCTTGCCGCCGTCTCGACCGTTGATAGGGAGCCTTAAAGAGGCTCGCCAGTACTGATTTTGTATCAACCGCTTCGTCTACCAGCTGTAGTCTCACGGTTCTCCCAGTCTTCCAGTCTTCCACCTGAAAAGCAACGACTTTGCAATTGTATTCCCCTTACGATGGCGGAGGAAAGGATTAGTACGAGCAAGAAGTCTCCCATTCCTGGCGTCGAACCCTCGGATGGATACGATGAGAAGCCAACGACGCTGGAAGAGGCCCAGGACCCTGAGCGTTTTGGGTATTCCCAGGTGTGAAAAAGTCTCTCCTCGCGATTGCGTACAAGCCTACTTACATTCTATCCTCATCAGCAACTGACGCGAAACCTGGGCTTACTGTCGATGATTGGCATGGGATTCGCAGTGTCGTCCTGCTGGACAGCAATGGGGGGGACTTTCCAGAACGCCTTCAACGCTGGAGGGCCCGTGACCCTCTCATTTGGCTGGATTGGGGTCACTTTGTGCGCGCTCTGTGTTGCTGGCAGTCTGGCTGAGATGTGCTCCAGCATGCCGACCAATGGCGGTCAGTACTCGTGGACAGGCATGCTCAGCACCGAAAAATGGGCACCTATTACGGTAACTGATCCTTCCTCGAGTCATTCGCTGATGTCTCATCCTGGCCACATACTGACAGCGGATTTCTAGAGCTGGATCACTGGCTGGATCCAGCTGGTTGGCGTCCTCGCTCTGGGAAGCACGGGGCTGCTATTCGCGGCGCAGTACATCATGGGTATCGCGGTGATTCTCAACCCATCCTACACGTCAGAGCGCTGGCAGATGGTGTTGGTGATGTATATGATCGCAATCTTGATCACACTGGTGAATATCTACGCGGTCAAGATACTACCTTACTTGACAACGGCATCGCGTGAGTCGCTTTTTAGCCAAAGCCCAGCTGCGGACCGCGCTAACATGAGTTCAGTCGTTTGGAGTGTTGTGGGTTTCCTTGTCACAATCATCGTCCTCCTAGTCGTGACACCTGAGAAGAACAGCGCCAAGTACGTTTTCACGAGCTATGTCAACTACTCGGGATACACAGAGAATGGTATCGCGGTCATCATTGGGCTGTTGCAATCCTTCTGGGGCAGTAAGTATAGATCGCGGCCTGAAGTTCCCAGACACACAACTAACTGACAGCACAGTGCTTTGCTATGACGCTCCTGCTCACATGGCTGAAGAGATGCACAACCCAGCAGTTGACGCCCCTCGTGCCATGATCACCACTGTCATCGTGGGTGGAATCACTGGCTGGGTCTTCCTGATATCTGTTCTGTTCTGCGTCGGGGACATCGAATCCGTCTTGGGCACCGCGACAGGAGTTCCCTTTGTACAGATCTGGTATGACAGCACCATCAGCGACGCAGGCATCATCGTCCTCGGACTATTTCAGATTATCTGCGCGTCACTGGCAGCACTGATGTTGCTCACTGAAGGATCAAGGACGGTCCACGCCTTTGCCCGTGACCACGGCCTGCCCTTCTCCGCCACCTGGAGTCAAGTGAGCCCCCGACTCAATGTCCCGGTCCACGCAATTCTCCTCTCTATTGCGGTGCAGTGTGTCCTGTGCGCCATCTACTTCGGCACAACGACTGGATTCTATGCCCTAACTTCGGTTGCCACCATCGGATTCTACGTCTCGTATCTCATGCCAATCCTGGTCTTGTTGATACGTGGCCGCCACGTTCTCAAGCCCGGCCCATTCACGCTCGGCAGACTCGGCCTGCCGGCCAACCTGATCTCGGTCACGTTCTTGACATTCGGCATCATCTTCTTCTGTATCCCGAGCGGCGTGCCCGTCACTGCGGCGTCAATGAACTACACCATCGTTGTCCTCTCCGCGGTCGCCATCATATCAGCCGCCAGTTGGTTCATGGGAGGCAACAAGGCTTATGTACCACCCAGAGAGCTCGGGATTCACCACGGAATTCACCACCACACTTAAGCCTAGGGCCGGGCCTTCAGGAGTCTAACGTTCTAAGCTGTACGAAAGATAGATAGCTGTTCGTGCTTGGGGTAGGACCAATCACTTGCTATTGTTGAACGTTGGGTATCTCTCTGTTCTCTGAACATTTGGTAGTAGTCTTTATCAGTCGTTTACCCCTACCTGGGATCGCACCCGCCATGAATGACCGCACATATCAGATCACATATGTAAAATCATGCAATGACGAGGTTTGGGTCATCATATGCAGAACTGGTAGACCCTATCACAAAGTTTCGATGACGTTATCATTCACGGGTAGTCTCGGTAGCCCTTGGTGATGCGGATCGCAACGGAATAATGTGGTAGAGGCAGTGCTGCGTAGACGGTCTAGTGACCAATATCTCCTTGCATTTCGACAGACTTCAGTGCCATGGATTCCGTTTCCTCTCTCTCGAAAGAAAGTCCGGTCGCGAACTTGACTATTGAAGGAAACAATTCTCATATCATTCCCATATAGCGTACTGAATTGAGCGCTTATTCGGATCAGAGGTAGCAGTGACCTTATTGGAAGCGGGGTGGCTAGTGCGGCACCGTTCTTCTGCTCAGGTTGAGGTTGAGTAGGTGACAGGTTTCTGAGGCGTGTTAGATCATGTTAAGATTTACCACACGCGTGGCACCTACCAATTTCCAGAATTCCGTACAGATTCAATTTCGACATGACCATAAATTGTCATGTATGAGTCTGACTTTTGCATGGTCTTCGAACCTTCGTGGCTCACGTCGCTCTGGAGAATCTTCATGTTCGCCGGAATCCAACTGAGAAATTTCTCTTGCTGATGACATGTTTCAGGCTTGAGAGGGCGATCACGCGTCGTGTCAGGCGTTGGTCAAGTCAGACTGAGAGACCAGTTGTGAATTCTCAGAATGTCCTCAAAGGTGACATCGTCTCCTTGACTCCTCGCCGTCCAAAGAGCTTCGAATACATATCCCGCCCTCTCGAAATGGGCAAGACCATGCTTGGTTTTCCCCTCCTCTAGATACTCTCTTATGACTCTGCGTTTCTCGAATCCTGCGAACGGGGCCGCCATTGCAAGAGGCCAGAGTATCGAAGCCCCCGGAGCGTCTGCACAGGCATCGACAATGCTTTCGGAGAGGCGTGCAACCTCGTCTTTTGCCAGAACAACATATTGCCAGCGACGCGCAAGATGGTGAAGTCGGATCTGCGCTGCCGCCCGATAGGCCTCTGCCACCTTGATATATTCGGGGGGGACGTCACAAGACAAGGTCCAGCGGTCGAGCCCTCTGATAATATGGATGATCTGATTCACAATCGCAGGTCTTGGTAGGGCATCACACTCGCATTCCAATCGTCGTATAAAACTGATATAGTAAAAGACTTGTCCAGCCGCGCCCATCAAACAGTCATGATCAGGACTGCTGGCACGCAAGGGTACTTCCACGTTGCGGAGAACGTCGCGCCAAAGCTCTTGATCGAAGATTGGGTCCGTTGTCAGCGCCAGGCAGTCGTGGTATGCGAACATGCGAAGCATACGAATGTACACGGATGCCAATTCGCCAGGAGCTCGCATCTGCAAGAGACTCTTTGTGGCCTGGTGATGAACCAGCCAGGTACTGGTCTCGCCGCGGGTAATCTCTGTCGAGCATAGCAGCAGAGTGGCAGCCAGAGCGTACTGAAGCCAGGCTTCATAGTGGCGTGGTTGCTGTGATATCCTACCTCGCTGTTGGTGCAAATGCCGAATGACTTCTGATGTGGTGCTCATGGCTCTGCCGTGTAGCTCAAGGGCGACCGAAGTGAAGGATGGTGTGCTCTGGGCATAATGTGAAGCGGCATAGCTAAGGATGCAGTAGATCAAGGCCGTGGATCCCTGCGAGAGTCCTTGAATTGCCAATTGAAGAAACGTGGTCGAAAATATATTGTTGTCATTGTCGAAAACAGCGGCCTTGTGAGACGCCGAATCAGAATAGTATCGTATCAGCTGCCCATTCATACCGCGGCTCAATTCATCGGGCGAGCGGTCTATGTGCAATGGTATAGCAACATAGTCGCTATTTACAAGGGGCCTTTTTGCGAATTGGGGGATGCCCGCGGTCTTGGATAGCGTCTCCAGAAGATGAAGGAGAGGATATGACACGCAATCCACCTGCGATTGCGTTTCTACTATGCGCGAAGATGCCAATTCGGGCCATTTACATGTCCGACCGTGCTTCTGACATCGATCACAGTCGGGCTACACATTACAGTCAGAACGGATAGAACTCAAGGAGGGGATGTCAAAACCTTGCTCATGTCGCATTTCTTCTTGGCTCCTCTGCACGTGAGGCACCCAGTGCGAAGACGCGCCTTCCGCCCTGCGAACATGGAGACGCCCAGATCACGCCGTGGACATTAGTCGTAGTCTTCTGATGCGCCACCCAAGTTGTGGACGGCATTGAGCGCAGAAAGAAAGAGTTATCAGCTCGTTGGTTAGGCGGGGAGAAGGTCAGGTCTCGGGTGACGGGTGAGGGGCGAATGCCAAGTCTACGGAGTGCCTCATCCACCACCACGACCTGTCCATCGACCATTGAACCCAGCTCAAGGTAAATCTTCGACCTCAGAAGTCGTTCGATCTAGCCCGCAGCCTTGCTGGTTTCACGATATTCTGGGAAGATGTACGGCAGCAGGAATCGAAAGGGTATGGCTCCAAGATATATATTTTTCGACTAGGTACCTAATGTGCCACCTACTGCAAACCCTGCAGTACCCCCTGTCTGCTCCAGATGACCCCAAACCTGTGCGCAGTCTCGACCTGGGATGTGGGTGGATACCCGGTGTTGAACTCGTCTTTGACACGGTAGAGGAATACTGTGCCCACCGGGGCCGTGGGAGCTTTGGGCCCCCTTTGACAAGCACGGCGTCTAATTCTCTGGACGCCGGTGGTCAGCCCGGTGTTCATCTACAACCCCAGACTCCAGCCTCTAGTAGCGATGTGTCAGGAAGGACTAGAGCTAATACAGACACTGAGCCAAATCAAACATTAAGAAAAGTAAGGCACTCTGTGTTAGTGTGAGTCAATATTGTCTATCTCTATTCGGAATACTCCTGCTCCCCCATCTACTGCGAGCTGCCTCGGGACACACGATCGGTCTTGACCTGTAAAGTCCACTTTGGCCGGCTCTCAACCCACTGTCAAGAAGCTGCAAAGAATGCCAGAACATGGTCGACATTAGGTACTGTGACAGTCAATACATACTCGGTCAAATGGCTTGGATAGGTGGCGCTGTAGCGAGGGAAGATCGGGAGTACTTCCCAAGAGATTAGGATTGGCCCCACTGGAAACTTGACATATTGGCGGCCGAGGCTGGGGCTGTTCCCGATCTCCGAGAACGAAATCGGAGAGATGGAGAGGCGTCTCGCGAGTCGACTTCTCGATTCAATTTCTCTATCCATTAATTGTTGCAGCGCTTGACTCTGGTAACACACGACCCAGGCAGTCTGCGCGACTTGGTGACTTTGACGAGCATATAGCAGCATCGCTACGACCTGCTATGCACAAGGTCCTCCGACGGCAATGGACCTGCACCAAATGTCTCCGCCAACAAGTCCGCCGTGAGTCTACTGCTGCTGCTGCTGCTGCTGTCGCCTCCGCACCGCACACGCGTTTCAACGATGCCTACGTGCAGGCGCGACCCAAGACCGATGGCGACGCCCTCAGAAATGTGTTCAACGACCTAGATTACTACCTCCACTTTTCGCGGTCTGCACTAGGGAAGAGCTCGGGCTTGATAGGCAATAAACACCTTACAACGCCTCGCGGCTTTCAGACCTTCGCAGAGACATCTCTGGCCGAATGTAAGAAGCTCGTCGATCGGACGCTCCAGGCATCCACCCTTGACGAATATGTCGCGCTGCCTCAAGATCTGGATCGTTTGAGCGATCTGTTGTGTCGCGTGATCGACCTTTCTGATTTCGTTCGCACGAATCACCCAGACCCCAAAATCGCAACCGCCGCAACAACCTCCTATTCAAAAATGTTCCAATATATGAACGAGCTCAATACCACGACAGGCTTGAATGATCAATTGAGGAAGGCGTGGAGCATTCCCGAAGTACGTGCCCGCTGGAGCCGCGAGGAGGTCATGGTTGCCCAAATTCTGATGAAAGACTTTGCAAAATCCGGCATCGACTTGCCAGCGAAGCAGCGGGACGAGTTCGTGGAGATATCCAACCAGATCGCACAGGTTGGTACGGACTTCACCATGGAAATGGAGCCCGCTCGCGCGCATGTTGCCGTTGACTCGTCCAACTTGACTGGCCTAGATCCGTCTGTGATCAAGCGCCTGACGCTTTTCGCAAAGGCACAAGTCCCGATATACAGTTCGAGTTCCAAGCTGGCCATGACCTTCGCTCATGATGCTCCTACCCGACAACTAATCTATGAGGCCGAACGTAGCGCGTCAAAGAGAACGATTGCTCGGCTGGAGCAGTTGCTGCTCAAGCGGGCCAAACTTGCCCAGCTGACCGGCTACTCTGATTATGCCCACATGACACTGGCCGACAAGATGTCCAAGACCCCTCAAGCCGTGAACAATTTCCTGCAGTCATTGAACCAGAGTAACAAAGGGCAGATTCACACCGAGCTGGCACAGCTACTCGAAGTGAAGCGCCGAACAGATCCTACGGCTACAACAGTCGACGCTTGGGACCACAATTACCTTCTTGACAAGCTGTCCAGAAGTCAGCCACGGCCGGGCTTGCGAGCGTCGAAATCACGCCTCTTTGAGACAACTAAAGCATATTTCTCGCTGGGCAATGTGATGCAGGGTCTGTCAAGTCTGTTTGAATCATTATATGGCGTTCGTCTGGTGCCAAAGGCAACGCTATCTGGAGAAACATGGGACTCTGAAGTTCGTCGCTTAGATGTGTACACCGAAAAAGACGAGCACATTGCCACAATGTATTGTGACCTGTTTTCGAGACCGGGGAAACCACCAAATCCAGCTCACTTTACCTTGGCCTGCTCCCGCCAGATATCGGATGAAGAGCTGCATGAAGCTGACCAGAACGGCCAGCCTCTGAACAATGGTATGCCGACTTTACAGCAAGCTGACCCTGTATCGGGTCGGATCAAATATTTCCAGATTCCAGTCATTGCGCTGGTGTGCGACTTCCCAGCAAACCACCATGTGAGCACACCCTCGCTTCTCAGCCCGACGAGTGTCATCACTCTATTTCACGAGATGGGGCACGCAGTACACAGCATCCTCGGCAGGACTTCAATGCAAGGAATCGCAGGCACTAGATGTGCGACCGACTTCGCTGAGCTGCCATCTATCCTAATGGAGTACTTTGCCATGAATCCAGATGTGCTTAAACTTTTTGCACGCCATTGGGAGACTGGCGCCGTGATGCCCGATGAGATGATTCAAGCGTTGAAGGCCGAGCAGAGGAACCGCGCCGAGCAATCAGGTGGATGGGAGACCGAGACTCAGATTCTCATGGCCATGCTGGATCAGACCTACCACTCTGGCGGGCCGGTAGCAGCATTGCCACGAGGGCGGTACGATTCCACCGAAGCATATCACCGCGTCTGGGATACGCACGGCAGCATCTCCGAGCCTCATTCAACGGCCTGGCAGGGCTTCTTCGGTCACCTGTACGGCTATGGAGCCACTTACTATTCTTATTTGTTTGACCGGGCAATTGCACGACAAGTCTGGCGATCAGTCTTTCGAGATGGAGCTGATGCCGGAGCTGTTGACAGGCTAGCTGGACAACACTTTCAGGACGAAGTGCTTCGATGGGGAGGTGGGAAAGACCCATGGCACTGTCTAGAAGGACTGATGGGACAGGAAAAAGGTGTGCTCGCCGAAGGCGGTGAAGCTGCCATGCTAGAAGTCGGACGATGGGGCATAGACGCAGGTGTAGACGGTGTCTGAGTCACCACTTCGCCCGATGTATATATAGGAGAAGAGATGTAGATATTGACCTGACGACCGATCATCCTTGATGTCCTGATATCTGATGTCCCCGCCTGTTGTTGACGCATCTTACCCCCACATCAGCCCCCGCCCCCACGCGCTAAACCCTTGGCGTGCTACCCCTCGTAAAAGTCGGAAATTCTGAATCCACGTCGGCCTGTCTTCCACATTCAGATATCGATCCCGCCCTTTTGATCCGCAACAACATAAACGTCAAACTCGATGCAAGTTGTTTGGGAGGCTGATACGGCAGCATTCGCCAGCCGCAAGCGAGCCGCCAGAGCCTGTCTTGCCTGTCAAAAGTAAGTCAGCAGAATCGCGCTGCAGTCGCCACCTGTCCACTTTTCCGTCGCTCCTTACTAATGGGCGTCATGATAGGAAGAAGAAGCGCTGTAATCATACCTTTACGCGGCCTCCTGATCAGAGAGCCGAGAGTGATGGCGTGGATCGAGTCCTACCAAACTTGACCCACAAGGAGCCTGTCCGTTTCGTTGGCGACCTCAACCCGGAGTCGATTCTCAATGATCTTGGCAGGTCCAAGGATGGTGCTCGGATCAGTCGAATAGGTACCTGGGTGCAAGATCCGCCCAGAGACGACGAGCAGCGACGGGTGCCCTCACAAGAGCCTCCCCAGACTCGGTCGGGCGAGAAGACTCCTATTAATGTCGAGAAATATGGCCGCGGCGAAGGTGGAAAGCGTACCTTGACCACCCACTACCGAAACTACCTACAGTCAGTAGGCGCCTTCAGGGTACTACCAAAAGCCACGCAGGATGCGTTGGTGACGACCTATATTGCCTGTTTCGATGGACTGCTCTCTATTGTCGATGGCAGTAAGCTCCTACGAGACTATACCAGTGGAGACTTGTCCATCTTCTTGATCCAGGCCATATGTCTGGTCACTTGCAAAGTCCCCGACGCCCAACAATGGCTTAGGCTGTACGAAGATGGTCCCCTATTGGATCCGATTCCGTTCGCCAGAAGCCTTCACACAGGTCTAGACGCCGCCATGAAGGCTGACCTCGAGCCTGACCGGGTGATCAAGATCCAGATCCTGGCTCTGATGCACCTACACAATGACGGTCCAGGTGGCATTGAAGAGTCCTCATTTCATCTGTCGCAAGCTATTCACGACGCATGGACAGCGGGTTTGCACATCCACACTCCGGGCCGCACCCTTACAGACCATCCCAGTATGTTATGGTGGACTATTTGGGCACTTGATCGCTTTAATGCCTGCATTGGTGGCAGACCTATCATGATAGCAGACCGCGATATCGACCTGGAGCGTCCGCCAATTGATGCTCAAATGTCGAAACACGCCAGCGTTCTGGTCTGGATCCGTCTAGCTGATCTGCTTGACAAGGTGATTGAGTTCTATCGCCCACCCTCCGCTGACCTCGACGTTTCTGGCTGGGAGTCTGACTTCCCAACATGGGCCTCGCTCCTTGAAGGCATTAACCTTGAGAACACCGTGCACCAGCAAGAGATCGTTCTCGAGATTGCCTACAATGTGATTGCCATCTTGTACGTTCCACTCGTTGGTCCAAAACCTTTGCCTGACACTCCTTCAGATCCTGCCGCAATGCCTCTCCATCTCAACCTTCCTACGCTCGCCGCATCGCTGCTGCGGACCGCATACAAGAGCTCCTCACAGATGTTGCGCCTCGAGATGTATCACCTATTCCACTTGTTCCATACGCCATTGGCCTTTCCCTCACAGTGGCATACCGTTGCATCCGCTCACCCAGCACCACCGATCCAGTGTCCGTCAAGGACAGCTTGACCGCACGCAGTAAAATGCTCGAATCTCTGGCCACATACTGGTGGACGGCAGACGCTATGGCTAAGCTCGGGCGAAAAGCACTGAAGTCTATGGAGAACCCCGTCGGTCTCAAGCGCGGTGAAGCCGAGAACATTGCATCCGACATGGAGTCAGAAACTACCGTGTGCAAATACGGGCCGTTCGAGGCAAAGCATCACCGCCATCCCGGCACAAACGGCAGCTCCAACACTCCTGGTATCGGCCCTGGCGGACTGCACCTCTTGTCCGATGCTGCCGCAGCCGCTCGCTCAAACCACGCCCCACGCAGCACAAGCAACTACACATCCACGCCATCCCGAGCGGGAGACACCTGCTGCGCCGCAAATCTAGGCTACCCAGGGCCACACTCGACCACCCAAGATGGCACAAGTAGCTATCAAGCCACGCCCCTGACCGACAGCCTCGCCACACCCTCTGTCTCGCACGACCATTCCCAAAGCCAAGGCCCCACCGCACCCGGGGGAAACACGCCGGCCTTCGACCCAAGCATGTTCGCCAAGTTCGACGACGAGAACTTCACCGCCAACTTCAACGAGTTGGACAACATGTTCGACGGCTTCTACGACCTCAGCATGCCTACCGTCACTTTCCAGGATTTCGATGGCTGGGGCGGCACCATGGGCTTCAACATGGACGAGGCCTACGTTGACGGTGGTATGGACGGTGCATACCACGAAGGCTCCGGTGGACACGGGCAAGCTGGTCAGAGCGGTGCATCGGGCGCGCAGGACGGTGGCGAAGGCAGTGTCTATCCGGAGCTTAGCTAGGCCGTTTCGGCGCGAATTCCGTCTAGCTGTAGTTATGCGGCACATCAGTACAGCGAATAGGCTCATTTTTTTTGGCGTTCAGGTCTGCCGAGGGGTGCAGAGTCAGGTGCGTTGCACGGGACACAGCAGAGCACACGTGTGTTCAGGCGTAAGGTCACTCGAATGGAAAGCTCAGCTACGATCGGGAGTCTTCTTGATTAACATAATAGGAAATAGAAGAGGTCGAGCTCGGTTCATTGCTTCTCATCCACATTATAGCATCGTAATGAAAAATCCTCATGCCGCCCTGGAAATGGACTTGCATGCAACTTTTCCTTCCATATTGAAAGTCTTTATTGCACACATCGAAGTGAAGCGGAGCGAAACCCCCTCTAATCTAAACCTACATCCATCTACACATACATCCACCCCCCACTCTTTAGCCCGAGGGGCCCTGCTTCCCCCTCACTCCCTCCCTCCAGCCATAAACAACTTTCCCCAGATTCACACCTCAGCATAGCAAGTAAACCTCGTCGGCCGCCCGACCCGGCCCGTGAACGTCGTCGTGTAGCTGACCTGCGGCGATTCCGATTTCCCCTCCGTTCCCGTCCCCGTCCCCGTCCCTGTTTCCTCTGTGCCCCGGCCTGCTCCTGCTCCTGCACCGACACCGGCGCTCTGTCCCTCCTCCTCCTCCTCCTCCTCCTGCTGTTGCTGCTGCTGCTGCTGCTCAGGCGGATCCGGGAACGGCTCGGGGATCGAGAACTGCGCTTCCCTACCCGTTGTTGTGGTAGCAGCAGTGGTAGCGGTATCGGTCGTCGGAGACGAAGCGCCAACCATGCCAGTGCCGTTGCCGGTGCGGCCGCCGGTGCTGGTGCCAACGACACTGCTGCGTGGCGTCACAGGCAAGATCCTCATACTTGTACTCATGTCTCCATCACCATGCTCCGACACTCCACCGTGTCCCAGCAGCCCAGTAGTAGTAGTAGTAGTAGTAGTAGTAGCAGTAGTAGTCTGCGGAGCAGTTTGGCTGGCAGACGCAGCAGCAGTCGTAGTCAACGACCAAACCACCGTGCCAGTCTCGTTCCGCCACCCACCATCGCCACTCGCCTCTCCCTCTCCCTCCTCGAAGATGCCCTCCTCAAAGATATCGTCCTGCGCCCCCGTCCTAAACCCATTTCGCATGTTGTACGCCGGACTCACCCTCCCCTCCTCCCTCGGCAGCGCAGTGTTATCCCCATCCAGCTGATTAAAAACAATCATCTGCTTCGCTCCCCTGACGCACCTGGTTTCGTCGTCGGCGCAGTAGGTCGGTGGTTGCGCTTTGGCGAGCTTCTTTGAAGCGGACGAGGCGGAGGCAGCGGTGGCGACCACACGGCAGCGGTAGGGCTGCATGTACATGTTGGGCTGGCCGCAGCCTTGGGGGACCCAGAGCCAGGCGCAGGTGCAGCCGGCGTCGGAGGGGCAGGCGGGGAGGGAGGCGGGGACGGCGTAGGTGGCGCGGGTTCTCCAGGGGGTGCTGTGTGAGGATGTTAGGGAAGGGGGACGTGATACTGCCTCAGGGCACTTCTGTGGAGGGCACACAAAGAGGGGGGGAAAAGACTTGGGAATGAAGGTGGAAAAGTCAGTGGAGACATACTGTTCGAGCACGGTAAAGACGACGAGATCCTCCATCCGAATCTTGCTCAGATCCGACTCGTACGCGATAGCAAACGCCGTGCCCTGTGCCATGGTCTCGTTCTGCGTGTGCATATAACCACCCTCTTCGGCTGGAATACACCCTTCACCGCTCGGATCCCGCACGTTGCCATTCCAGTCCTCTGGATGCTGGCCGCCGTCGGGCCAGTCAGTGACCTGCTTTCCGCCATAGCTCAGATCCGTAAAAGCTTGGTTGGTGGCCAGTTGGACCGTGAAGTCGCCACCCGCGGGCAACTCGAGGAACTCTCCTTCGGGAGGCGGCACGACGTCGCAACCACGGTCGTGTTGAAACCACCAGTCGGTCTGGGAGAGCTGGTAGAGTGGGCTGACGGGCGCGTTGGAGTTGAGGTTTGGGCTGGCGGGGTCGGTACCGTTCTGGCAGTACATGCCTTTGGCGAAGGCGGCGATGTGTGCATTGGCGGATGAGGGAAGCAGGGAAAGAGAGAGGGAGACGATGGCGAGGGTTGTAAAAGGCATGGTTGCACAGATATATGGCTGTCGTCTTCTAAAAACGGTTGAATGAATGGATGCGCACGGCGCCGCGGTCGAGAAGACGCAGTATGAATGTAAACGATGAATGGACGGACTCACAGAGCCCTGAATGAGAGACGGCGAAGGAACGAAAAGACTGGCAAAGCACGACGAGGCAACAATGAGGGCTCAGAACCTACCTGGAAAAGGATCTCATTACAAGTGATACAGGTACCAGCTCAGCGCCGAGCATGAGGGTTGGAACCGTTCATGAGTTCAGATTGCACACTGGATCTGGGATGATGACGGCGTCGTTCATGGCAAGCTCGTGGTTTCGAATATCCCGGTCCTTCGCTTGCACTCGGTTATAGCCGACTGCCACAACTGGCCATAGCTCTGGTGATCGAGGCAGCAAAGCAGAGAAGGACCAACGCGGAGATGGGGTAGCAGAGGAAAAGTGGTTGAGGCACGGTCCTGAGCTTTGATGAAGCGGTTTCAGATCTTTGTACCATGCCGCTTCGAGGCAATGGCTATTGTCACGTGACAGTCCTTGTCGGCGACCTGTCAGCGACCTCGGCCATGGTTGCTTGTGTTCTGATACTTGCCGGGGCCGAGAAGACATGCCAGCCTGTCGGACAATACCATCCATATGCTCGTAGAGGCATGGTGTACGCTAACCGACATTCGAGTACGGAGTCGATTGCACCACGCCAATCTTATTCTATAATCCCTGCAGCAACCGTCTGTCCATTTTGTCGAAACACGATCCTTGCAGGAGCTTCGAGCGGTACAGGCTGGTCCAAATCTACCTCACATCTCACCCAGCTTCCAGGCTGAACGACTTTCGGCTTCTTCTTCTGCACCTCCCCCGTCGACTTGTCAAGCAATGCGATGAGCTTACTGATCCTTCCTGGAACGTGGAGGCGACCACGATGAATATCTGCCAGCATAGGCGTAAGATGCTCAAAGGCAAGAATCTTTGCAGTGAATTTTGTTGTGTTCTTGATCGGCGAGCTTGTGCTGCAGAGCACATCGCCCGTCTTGAGATCTTGCTGCTCGGGGTCCGCAACAGAGAGATGCAGAACAACGTTCTGACCAGCCACTGCCCAGTCCCGAGGCTCATCGTCCACTTCAATACCTTTGATATAGGCCTGCTCATTACTGGGCATGATGACAACGGCGTCTCCCACCTGCAGATTGCCGGCTTCGAGCCGCCCAGATACAGAGAGCGGGTTCTGCACGCCGCCTCGGAAAACATCAGCAATGGTCAGACGCAGTGGTTTGTCGAGAGACCAAGACGTTGCTTCCGAGTTCTCTAGTTCTTCGACCAGCGTCGGCCCGGTGTACCACCTGGCACGCTCATCGGTTGTCTTCTGCAGGATATTGCCTCCCTCCAGGCCTGAACATGGCACGAAAGATGTATTCTTGCTCTGGTAGCCAGCGCTGGACAAGAAGGTCTGCATCTGCTCTCTGATTTCATCGAACCGGGCCTGCGACCAGTCCGACACATCCATCTTGTTGACGGCGACAATGAGCCTCTGAACACCAATTGACCGCACCAGTAGCGCGTGCTCCTTGGTTTGACCCCTCAGTCCAGACTCAAAATTGCCGGTGGATGCGTCAATGACGAGTACGGCAAAATCGGCCTGACTAGCTCCCGCAATCATATTGGGTACAAAATCCCGATGCCCAGGAGCGTCAAGGATGGTGAAGCTGGTCCTTTCTGTTTCGAACTTGTTCTGGGCAATATCGATGGTGACGCCACGTGCTCGCTCTTCGGAACCCTGGTCAAGCACCCAGGCGAAAGCAAACGAGCCTTTGCCGATGCTCTCAGCTTCTTTCCTGTACTTGTCGAGGGTTCGTTGATCGATGGCTTTGAGATCGTATAGAAGTCTGCCCATTAGTGTGCTCTTGCCAGCATCAACATGGCCTGGAATCGTCAGCATGGTCTCGTTCAGGAGGTCGGGACTTACCGATCACCACAAAATTGGCGGCGCTTTTCCGTTTGGTAGCCTTGTATTCTGCAGACACATCGAGGTTCTTGCTCTTGATACGTGCAGGTTCCTGTATGGATACCTTGGCTATGCCATTGGCAACATCGCTATTGGGGGTCGATGCGCCTTTTTTTGCTACGGGCGCCGGCTTTGCTGATTGAGTGTTAGACTGCGTTATTTCGACGACTGGGCTTTTCTGAATACGTCGTCGGGACTGGGCTGTGAAAAATCGAACGCGGATGTAGACGAGGAATGGTCGTCAGGCAGCAGAGCATCAGCGACAGACGCGGGGAGGCGATTGTCTCGTGCGAGAACGTTTGCAAAGGCAGAAGGAGGGCTACGCAGCAGCTGGACAGTGCCAGCTTCCGGCAGATTCGACGGCATGGTATTGTGTTCCTCTGCCTCTCGGGGTTCTGAATCAAGATCTGTGGTAGGTGCAGATTCTTCCGCCGCCTGCTGATCGGTCGTCCTCTTCCGCGTGAGACTGGGTTCGCTAACGCGGAGTTGTCTTAAGCGTTCGGTGTAGTCAGCCGTGTCAGAGGCTTTGTCGACGTTTGCAGATTCGGCCGCTTCTTTGTCTTTGCGACGCTTGGCGGCAAGAGCCGCCAACTTGGAGATCTTGCCGGGGTTCGAGGCGCCACCCAGCAGGCGACCTGGTGGCAGTTGCGGCTCCTCAAGAATGAGGGCATGGCGATGGCGCGGGACATCAAGCCAGGGACAATCGTCAAAGAAGCCGGTTGATGCACTGCTGCCGTCGTAGATGTTGTGGTGGATAGGGTTGCAGAAGGCGGACTGAGAAAGTTGAGACTTACTGTCTTGTCTTGGGACAGCAGACTTGGGGGTCACAGGCTTGTGTTTATCTGCTGTCAATCAGCATGAGGGTCGAAGCAGTGTGGCAGAAGGCTGGGATCAGTACTCTTCAACCAGCTGACGGTTTTGGCTATGTCATAATAGTAATTCCATAGCGCATCATGGATGTCTTTTTCTGGAATCGAGTAGTTTGGCCCTAGAGCCTGACGAGCTTTGATTGTGCCTTGTCGCAGTTGTTCTCGGTCCTCGTCGGTCAGTTGCTCCTGCTCGTCTTCGACAAAACCATCGTAGTCGCCGTCATCGTCGTCATAGAAATCATCGTCGTCAGCCGCCAAAGACTTGACCCGCTTGTTTGACATGGTGTAAGGGCTGTGTGATGGTGCTCAACAGGACAATGAAACACAGCTGGTCGAGAGCAGTAAAGGTGTGAGTGAATGTGAAGACGTAAAAGCCGCCGTGACATGCCATTGTCCTCGAAGAGTGGGGCTGCCTTGTCTTGGCATGAAAGTCTTCACCCCGCGCCTCATTCATGTGTAGACAATCCTTATGGTGGATGTCAGTGGCACGACTAACAGACCTACAGCAAATTAATCCCGTCTACCTCATCGGATTCTCAATGTCTGCTGTGTCAGGTCTCCAGCCTCCATCATATTCAACGCTTCCCCATCCATGACCCCATGCACGTAGCACTCACCCACAAAGCGATATGACCCCTCCGCATCTCCCGTCGGCCGGAGGCAGTACAGCGTCTTTCCACCGAACAGGAGACACAGCTTATCACCGACCTGTGCAGCAGGCGGACACAGCGCGTAGAAGCCAGCCCAGCCACGCGCGAAGCACCGTCCCTGGGCGCCACCGGACGCGCGCTCCAGCCAGCGCTGCTCGTCACCTTCATGGCCCAGCGCGCGAATGTCGTCTCCAACCACGCCAGTAGCGGTTGCATTTCCATGCACCCGGTTCACAAAAGCCGCTGCATCGGCTTGGCGCTGGCGGAGGGGGATGAAGGCGTCCATGCGTCGCTTCTTGACGGCCGAGAGAGTTTCCAGCAAGGCGAGCAGCGCGGGCTCGGCATTCTCGCCTTGTTGGTTTCGATACTTATTGGTCGTGGTGAAAGACGGGAGCTCTTCTTGGCCTTGGCGCTCACACTCAGGTTGCCCTGCCCAGATGGTGCCGACGGTGGTGCTTCTGTCACTGAAATCGTGGGACCCAAACACCCAGGAGACCGCGCTGATGGTGTCAAGGACTAGACCGGGTGATATCAGGACTCTAGATGACTCAGTGAATTGAATTGCGGGCCGTATGTCGCGTGACGGGTTGTATACACAAACGTCATCTCCGAGCAGGTTATGGAGACTTGCTTGGTCATCCCATTGCGGTACCCATGAGGGAACGTCTCGTTGTAGCGCTGTATGTCCGGTCGAGGTCAGTCGGTTGCGTCTCACAAAGATCTCTGATGCAGACGAAACGAGTAAAAGGACCATACTTACCCTTGTCCAGGCTCTCATGCTGCACCACATTCAGCACCATGAGCCCATTCCCATTGGCCAGCAATTGCATTGCCGTCTCATGGTACACCTCCTCCACTCGCTTTGTATAATCCGCCTCGACCCAGCGCTTACCAGTCACTGGATCGACTGCCGCCGGGTGGCCCAGCAGTGCAAATATATGGTCGCGCGGGTCACCGCACTTTTGCCATCTGGCGCGGTGGAGCTCGTAGGCGAAGACCAGCCCCTTCTTATCTGCGTACGACGCCGGCGAGAAGAGCTTGTCCATGTAGTAAGGTTTCCACACCAAGACGCCGTACGCGCGACGGAAGCCAAAACCGTCATCCTTGAGGAAGTTGGCGGCAGCGGCGACTTCTGACCAGTCGATACGGGCATCGGCCCAAAGCAGTGACGCGGGGGCGTCGGTGCCAATTTCTTGGAGAATCCATTTGCGGTCGAACTAGACAGTGGCAGGAGTTAGGATCGGGGACTTTCGAAGGAGTAGACTCTAGTTGCGCCTGCGTGGCCTGGCTTTGCTCGACACCTACCCATGGCTGCTGGAAGAGAATGGTCAAAGATTCCCACTGCGCATCTGGCGGCGGATTGGCCGTCTGCAACTTGCGCTGTTTCGTTTGGAACTCCTCGGATAGCCCCATGTCACGGGACGCGCCGGCCAACTCCCGGATTAGAGCGAAAGCGGGCTCCGCGTGGCCGTCCCCGTCGTCGTCGCCCAAGCACACCAGCACGCGCAAAGCTTTGCGGTAGATGGTGTTCATGTGCCGCACCTGCTTGCTGCGCTCATACAAGTTCACCTGGTTGATGCAGACCTGGTCGACCCAGATGGGGCGAGGCTCGGTGGGGTGCCGGATCTTGCGGAGGATCTGTGCAACGTTGGCGCGAATGGGAAGGGCCGCATCATCGCAATAGATGTCCTCGGTCGTCTTGTCGGGGCCCCACACGTAGGAGAGAGCCTCAAAAGGCCGTGGGTCAGCGATGTTCATCTCCAAAAGCTTGCCGACCACGGGATCTGCGGGAGCTCCTGGTGCAAGATGGAAGATGCGGGTGATCTCGAGATCCGGGCCAGACGAGATAGTCTGGTACTGGTAGGCACGCATGTCGAGCGACGACATCGGTTCCTTAGAGCTTCGAATAGTATGCTCTCCTAGTTGTTATGCTGAGGTTGTTCGGTATGCTGCCAGTGATGCCTGATGTATAAATGCGGCGTAGTGGGGGCTGAGACCAGGCGTTTTCAGAAGGCCCCACGGACGCCGCCTCAAACCCTTCTGCGTGCCTCGATCGAGAGTCATTGACAGTCATAGTTCTGGCATAGCTTCCGGTGCTGCCTTCCCATCCACGCAACATGCTCATCATCGCAGTGGAGAGAGACCGTGATCTAAAAGGATGTTACCAGATAGTTTCCGAAAACGACCTTGCGAGGCTGAGCAAGGCTCACCAGCTCACCATCGAAGTGGTCTCGCCCTCGTGGCAACGGGGTGTGGTCGACGCAGGTTCACTCTTCTTGTTGTCCTGAGTTACACGCTCGTGCAGAGACGGACCTTCTCATAGCATTCATGACGGTACAATGTAACATCTACAAGCAATGCTTCGATTCTGATCCTACTATATCTAACACAGTTCCCACCCCACCAATTCATAATCGTTATCATGATATGCCCAGTCATCTAAAAGGCGCCCGCTGGAAAAAGACGATATACGCCTCTGCATTCTGCAGCCGGTCTCGCGGAGATAGCTTTTGCGGATCCAAGTCGTAGTGTCGCTCATCATCAAACTTGCGCCATGCTCCGCGGCCAGGGTCCTTTACAATACTGATGTAGTGACCCCCATCCAGAGAATTTCCCAGATGCCGTAGCACTCCATATGCATCGTACATGAAAGGCGGTGTCGTAGCCATATCGAACTTGCCTTCTTTGTCAGGCATCGGCTTCGGGCGCGCGAGCACAAAGTCGTCCATGTTGAGTCCGTGGATGGGGAACTCAATGGGCGTGTGGATCTTCTTGGCTCGCTCGAATTTGGATGCTGCAAACCGCTTGAAATGTACCACCAGAAACTGGGGAAGCCGGGTGAGGATGATCTGCTTGGTCGCTTCGCGCTCACACTTGCAGTGCGGACAGCGCCACTGCTCCTGTAGCTTTTCCTCTTGCGTGTAGGAGCGCAAGCAATCGTAAATGTTTCCTTGGCCTGATCGCGGAATTTCTATGCTGATGCTATAGAAAGCCTCATATGTGGTCGATGTTTTGCCACATGTCAAACAACGAAGACGTGAAGCGTGCTGCCCGGCGAAAAGCGACGACACATAGCTGCGATCGCGGTGCTCGAACCGCTGCCATTCGATAGGACTCGCCTTGACGATCTGCATGCGCTCCCGTTGCTGTTCCTCTTGATCTGTCAGTGCTCGGAGCTGTGTCCGCTCCCAATTCACGTTGAGATCTTCATGCAGACAGTCCACCAAGAAGTCGAAGAACTCCTTTGCGTCTTGCTGCCGATCGATGATCCACTCCTGGTTCATCCGGCCACAAAATTTGCGAAACGACGTTGGCTTGATCCCCTCACAATCGTCATTCCACAAAGCCTGCACCAGGTTGGCGTAGAACTTAGGCATGATCCCGCTACTGCCTTTCCAATTGGCCTGGATGTAGTTTTCATACATCCGGTCTGTGAAGAACTGCGACAACGGTATCGTGGCAGACAGGCATTGAATTGTAGCGTTCATGTAGCAGGTCACACCAAAATTGGTCAGTCCAGTTCTCGGCAGTTTTCGTGTCCTGGCAAGACTTGCAGACGAGTATAGCGGAGCCCTTGTACCAGAGCTGACACGAGCTAAAGGTGCCTGGGATTGATTGATTTCCGCTTGACCAGAATAACTCGGTCGAGGAACGGCAGGAGCTGGTCTCGAGGGAACAGATGGCATCGGCGGAACTGGTGGTACATCGCGCCTGGGCACCGGCATGCCCATTTGCCGTCGCGGGGCTATCGACATAGATTGCTGCTCTTCGTGCACTGATGGGAAGCGGCGGAGGAAGCTGTCGACGTCAGACACGAACGGCGACGGTGGTTCCGCCTCTTCTTCCACAACCACATATTCGCCCTCTCTCAGCTCCGGCTGTTCAGTGGGTGTGATCTCTTCTCGTTGGGCCTGGCGCATCCATTCCTGCTGTTCCTTTTCGTCCAAGAAGCTGTGCGCCCGCAAACGTCTGTTACGGACTTCCAGCCTCGAGTTCGAGCTTACTACTCTCTGGCGGGCAAGAGGCCTTGCAGGAGCCAATCGTTGCCGGGTAGTACCTAACATGGCTGCAGTCCGTGACGTGGCAAGTGAATGAGCCCCCATATAGTCCACCCAAGCATCGAGCCCGCCGCGTAGTAGAGCGGGCGGTCGGCCATCACGTAGAGGTTTAGTGTCGTTGAATTCATATAGTGTATCGTAAAATGCTCGAAGAGCTGGCGCATTCGTCATCGTTGGCGGGCCTTTGAGATATGCAACGTCTGCTGAACGTTGGTCGTAGTAGACAATGAGATCAAACTCATTGCGCCGAGCAAAGTGCGCCTGCTCAGCATCAGGAGAGAGCACAAGAGCATCTTCGAGATCCTCTGCAGACAAGCCTTCTCGAAGTGATAAGGGCTCAATGCAGATGATGGAGCTTGCCAGTATGTGTCCCTCATCGAACAAAGCCCTGTCTCGGACATCCACTACTAACACATTGTAGCGGCTCATATAAGCTGCCAAAGTCTCTGGGCTGACCATCGAGTCATGTGGGATCTCGCTGGAGTTATTCTTCGATATGACGGCTGAGTTGATTCCGTTTGGTGTTGTTGGACGATACGGTAGAAGGATCTCCTCGCGTGATCGTGCCAGCGACAGAGAAGCAGTAGAGCCGTGTTGAGGCTGGTTGTAGTACGTCTGACGTTTGGATGCAGGCGGACGGCCCTCGTGCGGTTTCGAACCACCTGGAGTTGTCACGTTGATGGGACTGTATGTCGGACTTGGCGGCTTTGGGAGCGAGAAGTTGGTAGCCAGTGGCACTTTAGGTGGCACCGAAGGAAGAATAGAGCCATTTGGCATGGCTCGTGGGCCACTGGGCCGTGTTTGACCGTTGACACTCCCAGAAAGAGGCCTTCCGCCCGCATCCTGCTTGAAATCGTTCACGTTAGGCATTGCTAGAACGCTTGACTCGCTCGACTGAGCGCCTGGCGACCTGAGACGCGCGAATCTCTCGCTCAGATCGTTGGTCCCATTAGATAATGGCCGACCCTGGAGACCCTCGGGTTTGGATGCTGGTCGAGGCGCACCAGGGCGCAGGGCAGGTGGGAGCCCAGCAGAGGACTGCGGCTGAGGTTGTTTTGATGGTGGAGAGGCACCAAAGCCAGAATCGTAAACAGATTGTCTCAAGGACGTCCGCGATCGAGTGCCATGGGCGGCGTTATTGTCTTTGATCTGCTGACGAACTGAAGACATCTGCGGTTCAACATCCGACAACTTCTTCGTCAGCGCCTTATATCTACCTGCCCACTGCAGCTGGTTGTGCTCCCAAAAGCCGAAGTCCTTGTGTCTCGGGATGCTGTTGATGGCGATATCGTAAGCAAGTAGGTAGTCCTTAAAAGCCAGCTCAGGGCGTCCAAAATCAAGAGAATTGCGTGACGATGTGTAGTTTCTTTCCGCGTCACTGAGCAGCTGACTCAATTGCGCATCTGGAGGGTATTGCGGTCTCGCTTCGCTGATGATGTCTTCGATATGAGGCAGAGCCCGGCCACCGCCGGCGCCACCAGTGCTATTCGGCCGCCCATCTCGAGAATCGCCCCAGCTAGATCGAGGGGATGCCGTGCTGGTTGTGTACGTTGAGGGTCCGGTCGGAGGGTTCGCATATGCAGCCATAGTGGCAGGAACTAGAGGTCTACCTTAGAAGCATAGCGAGCCCATCTCACGCGTATTTGCTTGCGCTCGGGTTGTGGAGGATGATAGAAGTGTTGCGGGATAGAGGGGCGAGATTCGAAGATGGAATGGCGCGGATTGAGGGGCTTGTCGCTGCGTGGGTACTTGGGAGGTTACCAGCTGAGTGATGGGTAAAGGGCTGCAAATTATGCCAGATAGCTCGTGAGAACTAATGCTACCATGGCATATGGGGGCGCAAGCGAGGTCGAGGGTGGAGGTTGAGTGGTGGTGGTCGCCTCTGGCCTGCATGCGCCACACCGCATGCCGAAAACGCGCCTCGCCGCTCGAGTGCTCCGCAGCCTCTCATATGACATCAACCGCAACCTGACTCGACGACCTTTAGATACAGTTCAACCTCCCGCTTTGCATCAGTCAACGGATTTCACTCCCCATCGTGTTGCTGTAAAGCTTGCTTCCTAACCTGGTGCAGCCACTCTGCCCGAACCCAGACTTTCGCCTTTACCTCCGACCTGCCATTGCCCGCTTTGTCTCTCCATAGGAGACCATCACAATGTCAGGCTGGTTCAGCTCCGGCACCACGGCCCTCGACGAGCAGATCGAGAAGGCAACTTCGTCCAGCCTCGAGGACATCGCAACGAGCTTGGAGATATCCGATCTAATACGATCTAAAACGGTGCAGCCTAAAGATGCCATGCGCTCCTTGAAGCGCCGAATAGGCAACAAGAATCCCAATGTTCAGCTCTCTACCCTCAAGCTGACCGACACCTGCGTGAAGAACGGTGGCTCACATTTCCTCACTGAGATAGCGTCTCGAGAGTTCATGGACAACCTGGTGTCTCTCCTCAAAGCATACGGCCCAGCTGAAGTCAACGAGGACGTTAAGCAGAAGATCCTAGAGCTCGTCCAGACGTGGGCCAGCGCCACAAAGGGAAGATACGATCTGTCCTACATCAACACTGTGTACGAGTCTCTGCAACGTGAGAACTATCGATTTCCACCGAAGGTCGAGTTGTCCAGCAGCATGGTCGACAGCAGTGCCCCGCCCGAGTGGACCGATAGTGATGTTTGCATGCGCTGCCGGACGGCGTTTACCTTCACCAACCGGAAGCACCACTGCAGAAACTGTGGCAACGTCTTCGACCAGCAATGCTCGAGCAAAACCATTGCATTACCGCACTTGGGCATTATGCAGCCTGTTCGTGTTGACGATGGATGCTATGACAAGCTGCAGAGGAAGCAGAAACCTGGCGACGACCGCAGAGTCTCCTTCGCTACCAAGCCGAGCCCCATGCAGCCCCGAAGCGCTCGTATCGAACATAGCTCATTCGATGATGATTTGAAGAAAGCACTCGAGATGAGCCTGGAAGAGGCCAAAGGCATCTCTAACACTGGCTACGTCTCACAATCGCAATCGAAGAAGGAATCAAAGCCCAAAACGAATGGCACAAATAATGAGGAAGAGGATGATCCGGACCTGAAGGCGGCAATAGCATTGTCCTTGAAAGAGGCGGAAGAGCAGGCAAAGAAGCACGCCGCGAATTTCAGGAAGTCAACAACAAATGACACTTCCGCGTCTTCTTCATCGCAGCCTTTTGTCATGCCGAAGAACGATTATGAGCTGTCGGTTATGGAAGGCGAAAACATCAACTTATTCTCTACCTTAGTTGACCGGTTGCAGCACCAACCTCCCGGCACGATCCTACGAGAGCCCCAAATACAAGAGCTGTACGAAAGTATTGGCAAGCTACGGCCCAAGTTAGCACGCACCTTGGGCGAGACGATGTCCAAGAGCGATGCTCTACTAGACTTACACTCCAAACTATCAACAGTCGTCCGATATTACGATCGTATGCTGGAAGACCGCCTGAACAACACCTACAATCAGCGCAACCCCGGGTACCCCGGGTATGGCATGCCGTCGCCCGCGATCAACCACCATCAGAACAGTGCGTACCCATCGATGCCGCCCAATCAAACGCCTCATATGAATCATGCTCCAAGCGGCGCAGAAAATTACTACTTCAGCAACGCACCAACCGACTCTTACGCCACACCTGCACAACAGCATATGCCTCCTCCTCAGCGTTCATACTCCTACTCAAGCCAGAGCACCGAGAAGGCGTCGTACCCAGCCTATCCACCGCAGGGCCAGGCTGCACCAAATCAACCAAGCCAGTACAACCAGCCACCTTCTCCACAGCAATACCATCAACAGCAGGCCTACCCACCGCAGCCTCAACCACCAGCCTCACAGCCGCCTTCTGCGTATCCATCCCTCCCACCGGTCGAGCAATCGCAACAGCAGCAGCCTCCGCCTTCTGGCTATCCACCCCTCGCGCAGCAACACACTGGTGGCTCTTCCAGCGGTGCCTACCCATCAATGCCACCCGCCCCACCACAGTCGCAACAGTACCAACCGCCCCCTCAGCAGTACGCGCCTCCCGCTCAACAACAGCATCAGCAGGCGCCGTACGCGTCATACGCCCAAACATACCCCGCCGCACCCACGCACGCTCCGCAGCCCGCGCAGCCGGCGGTGCCGCCGCCGCAGCCGAAGGTGGAGGAGAGCTTGATCGAATTGTGATTCCAGCCGTTTCATAACGGTCGCTGAGGAGGCAGCAAATAGTCTACATCAAGCGCACGGCAGCATCGTAACGACAGTCAAACTGCACCGGTCCAAGGCGATGAGCCTGAGGTCGAAATAGGAGTTCCAAACGTCACCAAGAGGAGAGGGAGTGGAATGAGGTTTGGAGCCCGGGATATACTTTGTGCAGCGCAGCGCAGATTTTGGAATACCCATATCGACACATTGAATTCTGTGTATTAGACCGCCGTAGCCGGCGAGAGAGAGAGAGAGAGAGTGGTCGGGCGGGGGCGGAATTGTAAGAGAGATGAAATTGATACCACATCTAGCACAGCATTGCTTTTTGAAAAATGAGAGGCAGGACACTCGTTGCAACGTCTTCACTAAACACCCCGCTTGATTGTCCGTCCGATCTATTCTGTTCTGCTTCCTGGGGGTTGTCTTTGCGTACATGCGCTCTAAGCATGTTGGTCTATTCTGCCCGCACCTTCTATGACGAGAAGCGTTTGCGACAAGATCGTATGCGCCGTGCCCGTATCGTGCAATGTCCCTGGCAGCACGTGCACGCTGATGCTTGCTCCGGCCCTGACTGATCCTGCCCCTGATGAATGCTTTCAGTTCTCTGACTTGTTGCTCACTCTTCTCCCTTGCTGCGCTTCGCGCCTTCGAACTCCTTGCCCAGGACTTCTGCTGACCACTTCTCCCAATCCCACTTTCTCTTCCCTGCTGCCTCATTCCACCAACGCTTGACCTCATCACCACCTTCTTCCAGCTCACCCCACCTCCTACCTCGTCTTCCATACTCCTCGCCATAGCGCTCTCTCGTCTGCATTCCTGTTGCATGCAGTCCCAGCCGTTCCTGTCGTCTCGTCTCCTCATTTCGCTTCTGCTGCTGAATCGCCAGACGCTTCGCCACTTCATTCGCGTCGAGAACACTGACGAGTTTGCGCTTGCCAGGGTACTTCTCCGCCAATTTCTTCATGAGATGGTGCATTCGCCACACGCTGTTCCGCTCTGCAATGTCCCCCTTTTCTTCGCCAGCAATGAAGGTGTTCAGGGCATCGTTGGCTCTATCGTCTTCAGTTCGTTCCCGATGAAGCTGGAAACTCGCCCCTGGCTGTTGTGTCACACTTTGACGTTGCGTATTGCTGAGGGAAGGCGGATCATCAATCAGATTCCGTAGATATCTCGTCTCGGCCACATCGATTGGCGTCATGCCAGTGGCATTCTCCCAATAGAGCATCTCAGGGCGGTATTCGATGAGGCTCTTGACTAAATGCTCTTGAGCAGAGCGGACCAACGTGTGTATGACATAGTCGCCGGCGCCATCTAGTACCTCAAGATCCTGGCCCTTAGAATGTCGGAAAACAACTCTGCACGCTTTAAGGGCAGTGTCACGTCGAGTGTTGGCGTTCAGGAGTAAAGCTAGCGGCGTCTTCGATGGCTCTGAAACCGAGGACTTCTCAACGAACATCCCATTCACGAGCTTTGGATCAAAAAGCTGAATGGCGGCATCGAGCAAGTCTGGGTCGGGGATGCTGTACGAAGAGTCTCCGAGGATCATGTGTAGGACGCTCTCACCCTGACTGTTCCTCGCGAGCTGGTTCGCTCCGGCCTCAAGAAGCGCTTTAACAATGTTCATGCGTCGCAATCTGACGGCCGTGTGTAAAGGTGTGTTTCCGCTGTCATCCTTGACCTCGATCGTGTGAGGCATTGCCTTGAGTATGTAATCAAACATAGGCGATGTGCCAGCTTCTGTGGGAGCACACATGACAGCGACGTGTAGCGCAAGGTCTGATCGGATTCCGAGCCAGGATGATAGTGCTCCTTCGATTCCTCCCTTGGCTTGGGACAGACTCTGTATGCGTTTGTCTGTCTTATAGCGTTCGGCAAATTCCATGTACCGACGGAGGGGCGCATCCGAGAGAAAGAACTCCGCCGAATCCAGGTTTCCTTGAAAAATAGACCGTAGAACAAGAGAATGGTCAATTTCTGTTTTCGACTTCGTGCCACGACCAGTCCCACCATGGTTGTGTTGACCTTTCGCAGCCCAGTCTTCGCGCTTCCGGCCATGTACTGTCAGGCCTTGATAATACTGCGGCTTCTCGTCAAGCTGAATACCGCTCTGCTTTACCATTGCCTGTAATGGAATCGCAGCTCCCGAGGTTGTGATAATCTCGCCCACCATCTCGATGCGGCCTAAGCTCATGGCGAAGTCGAAATCCCCAGAAGGAATATTGTAGATTCCCGAAATACCCTCAGGCGTTTCCTGACGAGCCATAAGGTCTTTTCCAACTTGAATGAAGAACTTCAATAACTCAATATCGTTCTTCACGATGGCATGCCTGATCGGAGAAGAAGTACACCGTGTTCCTTCCTGCGAGAAGGCAGCTTGTAGATAGTCCCACGAATTCGGCACCACCCGGTAGCAGTAATAGCTCTTGTCTGGAAATCCGTAAGAAGCCTTGACGAGTTTTGCTTGGCCTTGATGAGCACGCCACCACTGTGCATTCCACTCCACCATCGCAACTGGAGAGACCTTGGACTTGACCGTGTCACCCAAGGTGGCGATGTTATCAATGGTGAAGCGGTCGTCAACGATTTCCGCGAAGACGTGTGGCTCGTCGCTTGCACCACCAGAGACTTCGCTGCTATCGTCGCTAACGTCGCTATCGTCTTCACGTGCGCCGAGAAAGTAGCGATATTTGGGCTCGTTATCCGATGGCTTGTACTGGACTGTTGATATCTCTAGGATTACACGGGCTAATTGATTGTGCCCACGAATCACAGCAATTGAAAATGGACTGAACCCAGCTTGGTCTCTTATGGCGATAGCCAGAGGCTGCATGCTGTCGAGGGTCAGCTGTTTGACAGTGTCGATGTCGCCGGTCCAGGCTGCTTCGAACAATTTGATGTATAGCTCCTTCTTTGCGTCAGTCGCAGCAGAGTCGTTGAACCAGAAAGTGGTCTTGTATGGCTCATTCGGCCCATCCCTATTGCGATCGTCGTAAGAGCGGTATTGCCGCAACGGATCTGGTTCCGGCGCTTTTGGGAAAAGCTCCCGAAAGCTTTTTGCTCCATTCTTGAGCAATGTCTCCTTCAGGGCCTCAAGCTTCGCCCTAACTTTTACAACTGCAACTCTTTTCTCCTCTGGAAATTGAATCTCACGGGAGCTGAAATCCTCCAGCGCTTTCTTGTATTGCTCCATTTGGTATTTTCTCACCTCTTTGGCCTGTTCGAGGTTGTTGATTGCAGTCCACAGTCGATAGGAGTCTTGAGGATAATTTGTGTAGCTGTCGTCGGCGTCAAGAGGCGCAGGTGCTTCCGGCTTCACTGAGTCTTTGGATTGCTCGTCGATGTAGTCGCTGAGCTTCTTAATTTGTTTGTCAACTAGGTCGAGAAGGGAGTTGTTGCCGCCATCCCAAGTCCGCCCCCCAAGTAGCTCGTGAGCTGCACGAGGACAGACATTGATATCCGCGCCTGCTTCAACAAGCTTCATGGCTATCTCGGGCAGTTCCAACTGCACGGCTACAACCAGCGGTTGCTCAACGTTCTTGCCAAAATCTTTGCGAACATCTTCAGGAGATAGAAACGATCGATGGGATGACCAGACCTTTGCGAAGCCTTCGAAGTCTACCTGAGGTTGAGCTCCGAGGCGAAGTAGATGAGAGACAAGTTCAACTTTTCCAGTGTGGACGGCCGTTAACAGCGGGGCTTCAATGTTGGTGCTGTAGTACCGAATTTTCGTCATGCTAACATGGTTGAGAGCCTTCTTGAGGACATTAGGATCCGTTCGCTCGGTCAGAGCTCGCACGATCTCTTGTTTCGCATCTTTGATCGCAAAATGCAAGGCAGAGACTCCGTTCATGTCGGCTTGTGTAGTTATGGCCCCATTTGAGATGAGGCATCCGATCATTTTGCGTGCTTCAGCTAATGGCTGCTTTAATGCGAGGACGAGAGTCAAAATGGCCGCCTCGGGCTGTCGATCCAGACTCGATAGAATCTTGACCGGCAATAGAACGTCGGCTCCGTACTTCTGGACGAGTAGGTCCACGACTTTCAGCTTACCGGCGATGACGGCTAGGTGTAAAGGCGAAAGAGGTGAATCCCAAGCTAGAACATCAACGTCGTAGACGTCAGGCTCATCTTCATCCTCGTCATTCTTTTCTTCTGGCTTCACCTTCACGAAGGAACCTTCGGTCATTTCGTCAGAGGTATCCTCTTCATCTGTCTCATCCATGTCGGAGTCGGATTCAGAGTCGGCCGACTTGATTTCTTCACTATCATTGTTTGCTTCAGCCGCAGCCCTTCTTGTGGACCTGCGCACGTCTTCTTTCTGGTCTTGTATAGCCTCGTTAGCAGAACTGCGCTCCAGTAAGGCTTGTACCATCTCGGTCTGTCCACGATATGCGGCGATATGCAGCGCAGTGAGGCCGTTGTACAGCCTCGAGACGATCCTAGCGCCATGATCGATCAGGTACTCGACAATCTCCGGGGTCGAACACATGGTAGCGAGCTGAAGAGGTGTTCTACCAGCATGGTCACGGCGATTGACGTCGACAGATTCAAGCTCACCATTGGAGAACCAGTCGATGACGCCCTCGAGATCCTTGTCGACGATTGCCTGACACAATATTGTGGTGTTGCCTACGTAAGCCTGGATTCATCAGCGAAGTGACGTAGCATTGAACGACAGCATACTTGCTCAGTCCAGTCGTCATCTGTCAAAGGGTGGAAACTTCCGATCGTTTGTCGACCAGGGTTGTCTTTGAGAAACTCCACATCACCTGAGATGTATAACTTGCTCTCCTCTTCGAAAGCGGCAAGATCTTCGTCCGTCTCCGGTTTTGGGCAGAATCCACAGCAATCATGGATCACATCTCCAACGGAGCCGAAGAAGGCGGGATGTCTGTGCAATTTTGTCTCACGATCTTTGGGTCGATTCCATTCAGCGTTGAGAAGAAGATCTTTGGTGAATAGTATCTTTTCGATCCGCTTTGCATTGTATTTTGGGCCGCTGTAGACGTCAGTACAAGCAATCTGCAAGAGGGCAAAGAGAATAAGCAGGTAAGGAGCCACCCAGAAGTCGCAGTCTCCAGATCAGTATGCCGGATTAGACTCACTATGGAACAGTGAAGGTGTTGTAGTTTGAAGTCTCGGATTCCTCGACCCATTCCGCAACGTCGTCGGGTTGCGAGTCTTTGACATTACCAGGCAAGGCGTGGCGGTAGCGGGCATTCCATGGCAGAGCTGGTCGATCACGCTCTTCGCGGCGCTTGGCCAGGTAGGTATCACGGTCATTGGGATGAGGCAGCTTTTCGAGGACCAACAAACGAGCCAGGCCGAGCACACGAGAGAAAGATCTTTCGTAAATGGTGGGATCGATACGAGCCCGATCAATCACCGGCCAATGGACTTCGAAGCCACGGTGTGAGTACTTGGAGAGTCGATTCTCGTAGGATGGTGATCGACGAGTCAGGTCAATGCCGTTGATCTGAGTCATGAAGGCTGCCATGGCACGTGGGGTAGCTAGGACCTGCTTGCCATCGTAGGCGACCCCCGAGCAATCGACATCGAAACCGGTCAAGACCTCAGTGATGTTCTTGTACAATCGTAGCACGATCTGAACATGACGGGTTGGATACTCTGAGACAATGGTAATGGCGTTCTTCGTCCGGATAGTAGTTGTCTCACTAAGGATGCTGTCACGAACAGCTTGCTCGATTGTCTTGATCTTTTCAATGGCTTGTTCCTCATCGAGGCCATAGATGAAGAGGTCGACATCGGAAGCTGGGGCCAAAGTCTGGTGGTAGTACGCACGCAAGGCACGCTTCGACTCGTTGTGCGGAGCGGCGACCGGGAGGAGGGCTGTAACAACTGAAGAACCTGCGGCGATGACGTTGCTCCAGTCGAGATCGACCAGAGAGGATTCCGAGAAGAGGTTGAAGTTCGTCTTGAATTCGGCAATATGGTTGACGATGGCCTGGCTTTCGTCCGCCTTTCTATCTTTAGTTGACAGAGCTAACAGATACTGGTCGTGGATTTGCGGTGTCTCCTTGGAGGGGTCCCGGGCTCTGATGATGGGCTGTGGATTGTCAGCCTGGAAGACGGGGATCAGGTGCTCCCTTTGAGCTGCTGCATGATCAGGGTGTTGAGCGAAGACTTCTCTGAGCTTTGATTCGTACTGAATGAAAGGTTCAGTTGCCTTGCGGAGCTCGGCTTGGGTCTTGAACTGTGCCGAATACTGAAGGAAGCGCTCAACAGGTGCAGGTAGCTGTGGAAACTCCATGGCGCGATTCAGGGGCTGGGTAAAAGAGTGTAGTGACTTTGTGGGTGATGCGGTGGTCGGTGTAAATGAACGCTTCAGAATACACAGGAGTGAGGCTATGAGATGCGAGATTGATGTGTTCGCTGAGTGTGCTCGCAGATAGTGATCAGCGGGGTACAATCGTGGATCTGGGAAGAAAGTAGCGTACCAGAACGCGGCCACGTCAAAGACTTATAACCAGCAGAGACCGAACGCGAAGACCACACGAAACAACGTGACATCAAAGACAGGCAATCATGACAGGGGTAGAGCAGGCAACGATACCCCACCTAAGCAACGCAGGAAGGCAGCTGCGTGGTGGGGGTCGCAGTTGCCTTTTCTGCCTGCTTCTGGCTCGCTCCTATTGGCTGAAATGTTCCGCGTGCAAGGCACTTTTTTCTTTTTGGCCGATCCCGCAACATTTTTGCAAGACCCCTCCTTTCTCTTGCTGTCTTGTCGCACAGACCAAGATGTCGTCCTCGAGCTTCGACGTCTGGCAAAACCCGCTGGGGTCCCGCTATGCCTCTCAGGCTATGCTGAAGCTGTTCTCTCCACGCACAAGAGCTTCAACATGGCGGCAGTTGTGGGTGTGGCTAGCGGAGTCTCAGAAAGAGCTTGGGCTTGATGTGAGCGATGAGGCAATTACTCAAATGAAGGCTGCCGTAGTGTTTTCTGATGAGGATTTTCCGGTTGCTGCAGAAGAGGAGAAGAAACGCCGTCACGACGTTATGGCTCACGTCTATGCGTACGGTCTGCGAGCTCCAGCCGCCGAAAAACTCATCCATTGGGGAGCGACATCCTGCTATGTGACTGACAATGCAGACCTGATCTTCCTCCGGGATGGACTGGACATCCTGCTGCCTAAAGTCGCCAAATGCATCAAGAAGCTCTCCGAATTTGCTATCGAGCACCGATCATTGCCGTGCCTGGGATATACCCACGGTCAGCCAGCCCAACCTATCACTGTTGGCCGCCGTGCTGCACAGTGGGTCGAAGGGTTGCTGATGGATCTGCGAAACCTGGAGCGCGCTCGTGAGGATTTGACGTTCCGTGGTGTGAAGGGTACGACTGGTTCACAAGCATCATTCCTCCAGATCTTCGACGGCGACCACGACAAAGTCAAGAAGCTCGATGATCTTGTAACTGCCAAAGCCGGCTTTCAGAAGCGTTCCATCATCAGTATCCAGACATACAATCGCAAGACGGATGTTGATGTTTCCAATGCTCTCAACTCGTTTGGTGCTACATGTGAGCATATCGCGACGACAATCCGAATGCTTGCTATGTTCAAGGAGCTCGAAGAACCATTCGAGAAAGATCAGATTGGCTCCTCCGCCATGGCTTATAAGCGCAATCCTATGCGCTCAGAGCGTATATGCTCCCTGGCTCGCAAGCTGCAGACTTTGAACCAAGGCTTCGCCCAAACCTATGCCCACCAATGGTTCGAACGCTCACTCGACGACTCCGCCATCCGCCGCATCGACATTCCCGAGATGTTCCTGCTTGCAGATGCACTTTGCATAATCCTGGACAACGTCTCCTCGGGTCTTGTGGTCTATCCTGCTGTCATCAATGCTCGTTTGCAGGCGGAGCTGCCATTCATGGCGACGGAGTCCATGATTATGCGGATGGTCCAAAAAGGTGGTAGCCGGCAGGAAGCTCATGAGCACATTCGAGTGCTGAGTCATCAGGCTGGCGCGGTAGTCAAGCAGGAGGGTAAGGCGAACGATCTCGTCGAACGGGTGAAGCAGGAGCCGTTCTTCCAGCCCATCTGGGATGAACTCACCCCAGACAAATTACTCAATCCGGCTGCATTCGTCGGTCGTGCACCTGAACAGGTGCTTGAGTTCAAGGCTGAAATGGTCGAGCCAGCATTGGCCAGGTACAAGGACCAAATGGAGGTCGTGGCCGCCACCGAGATCAAGGTCTGATTCGACGCATTACCGATAGATTGCCGTGAAGTTTTGTTGCTGTTGGCGGCAAACGATGGATAGAGTCCGGAATTGCAATTAACGTCCCAAGACAGCCCACCTTGATCTCACTCTTCAGCAATCTCGTGAACCACCCTCCATAGCCTCCTCGCCTCTGTCAACCGCTCATCTTCGTCATCGTCCTGCTGGTCAACATTGCCATGACCATTCACATGATCACGCATCCTATTTCCAACCACTCTCTCGTTCCGCAGTCCTTCCACCTCACTCAAAAACACCTTCACCTTCTCCTTGACGGCGTCAGCAACCTCCATCTCCCGCCTCCCTTCCTCCAGTAATCCCTCCAGCATCTCCTTGACGCTCTCCCTCGCCTGATGCGGCCGATACATATTGATCACCGCGTGCACGTTGATGACCAGCCTCCTGATATCCTCCATCTTGTCCTGCCTCTCGCTCGGGTTGACTTCCATGATGGTCGTCAGCTCGAGAAAGTTCAGCAGCAGCGACTTGGTGAGCTTGGTGAGCGTGACGGCGGGGTTGAAGCGCGGGGCGGCCGGATCGAAGAGAAGGATGGAGGCGGGAGGCGGGTCGGCTTGTGGGTGTACTTGGTTCGGGCGGGAGAAGGCGGGATACGCGCCGAATTGGGGGGCTGGCGGTGGAAGGAGGAGGGCCAGGTCATAAGGGAGATCGGACGTCGAGTCTGAGGAGGAGGTAGATGATTGAATCTCGGAGAGCCGAGAGATATTCGCGGTGCTGAAGTGCTTCCAGAATGGTGGAGGTGCGGGGAAGGGGGATTTGAGGAAATTCAGAGGGTTGTACTCCGGCTGAGCTTGTTGCTGCTCGTCGGCGGTTGGCTGAGCGTCGACCATAGTGCTCGATGGCTGTAGAGCGCCAAATGTTGATTCGACAGCTTATAGATCGGAGTGTCGTTGCGCAAGAAAAGTATAGACACGAGAGACAATGTTGGAGGCACATCACGCACCGAGACAGGTGGAGCGGAAGAGAGCATCCGTGAAATCCAATCAAAGCGCAGCTTTTGCGGCGAACGCTGGATCCACTCTAGCGAAACTTGGATGGCTTGGAATTGACATCAGAGTGGCTTGGACACGGATCTGCTGGCAGTACGGAGTACCTCTTATCACATCTTCACGATATTCCCAGGATCGCAGGCTGTCTCCTTCACTATACGCAAGTATTGTTAGCAACGAACCCTCTATAGCATGGACCCTCCACTCCACGAACGAGCCGGCTTCGTGGGATCAGCCGCGCGGTTCTACCATCGGACCTATTTCGCAGACTACGTTGGCTTTGTGTTGCTCGAAGCAGCATATATGCTGGTACAGAGCGCTTCGTAGAAGTCAAAGCCTACGCTAATGTATCCAGACCAAGCTTCTCATCACCCCTGTACATCGCCCATTCACGCTCGACGACCGCCGAATACAAAATCCTCACGCCGACCCTGAGCGCGTCTCCTCATTCGAGAACTTCATCTACGCAGGCGTCATTCCCTTCGGCTTGTTGCTCGTTTGGGCAGCTGTAACGCGACCGGGCTTCCACAAAGCTCACGTCACGGTCCTAGGCTTCCTGATCAGCGTAGCCATGTCCTCGTTCCTCACACACGTCTTCAAGAACGCCATTGGAAGAGCTAGACCAGATCTGATCGCGCGCTGCCATCCAGCAAAGGGAACACCTGCGCATCAGCTCATCGACTACCACGTCTGCATGCAGACCGACGCATACAAGCTGAATGACGGCTGGCGCAGCTTCCCCAGCGGGCACAGTTCCTTTGCGTTTTCCGGGCTCGGCTATTTCTCGATGGTGCTTGCCGGACAACTGCACTCAATTCGCCCACGAACAGACCTAGCTAGAGTCTTGATAGCACTTGTGCCATTGCTCGGTGCATTCTTGGTTGCAGCGTCTCGAACAGCAGATTACAGACACGATGTCTACGATGTGACGGCCGGCAGCATCTTAGGCTTTGCAATGGCCTATTTCGGCTACAGAAGATACTACCGGTCGCTGTGGGACCCGATGTGTCACGTCCCATATCCATCACCTGCAGATGACGAGAAGGAGGAGCGGCGGCTATTCGCCTACAAGGACCCGGACGAAGAAGCTGCGGCGTCCCCCCGTGCGGAAAGCTTCGATCTGAACGACCTGTCGGAAGACGAGTCAAGGCCTCTGAATGCAGGCAGCAAGGGGAAACAACGGCAAGAAAGTCGATAGAATCGTACGCGGCTGAGAAGACAACGGTATAATACATACAACGCTTGATCGTATTCCCTGTGCTATTTCAATGCCCGCTCATTCAATGTCAAACGTTTCTCGCAACTCGTCAGGTCGTGACTGCCCGCAGTGTGCAGTGTCCTCGCACATATTCTAGCTAACGCCTGCTTGACACCTGCGTGTATCCCCCAGGGACGATCCTACATGACCGAACACGGTATGATGCAACAATCGCACTCGGTGTCTCCGCAATCACACCCAAAACAGGGCTTAGTGGTGCCCTTGATGGGTTTGGAGATGGTGGAGGAGGTGGAGGAGGTAGATGGAGGCATGCTCGGGATGGTCCTGCGGTCTTGGGATGGTTCCCAGTCGTTTGATTTAAGGATGATCCTATCGTCGTGGGATGCTCCCAGTGGTATGTATGGTCTTGGAATGATATTGTTGTTTTGGAACGGTTCTGTAGTTTTGAGAATGGGCTCGCGGTGGTTGCACGACAAGTTGTGTACTGAGAGGCAGGAATCAGGCTGGAAGGAATTAAGTTGGAAGTGGCTTCGAACAGCGGTGGGTGGTAGTGACGCATGCGGGCGGTGGCTGTGCTTCAGGGATCGTCAATCTGAAACGCTCCGAGCCAACGACACACACTTCGGCGTTCAGTACTGTTGAATACCTAATCACGACCTTGATGCGCTTTGGACAACCAAGTAGTGGCACCCATGCTTATGTCGATGCTTAGTTCCTCTACGTTCAATTTCAGTCAGAGTGCGCGATCGACATGCAGAGCACCGGCCAGATGCAGACTCCATAGACCGATGTATACATATGTGAGGTACCATGTGCGCGAACAGTCTATCGATGAAGCCCGAGCTCTACAAAGCTACGAGCACTCGTAGGCCAGAGCACATTCTTCCAGTACTGTGAGCATTACCAGAGACATAGCAGGAGTATATATACACGCAACATGGATGCTGCTTACTCCCACAGAGCAAGTAGATTTTGTTACAAAATGATTCAACTTACCAGATTCTGTCTTGCTGTTCTCTTTGCACTAGCTCAATACGTTGCTGGCGAGCCCGGGGACCGCGAGGCCATGGCCGCGCCTGATGGCGTATCGCCCCCTGTTCCGCCACACCCTCGAACCACGTCACAGGAGTGTCAGGCACTTGCGCAACTCGATCGCCACATACCCGCACAGTCCGACAATATCGAGCAGGAAGGCATTGCACGGAGACAAGATCCCACTTCCATTGGCATCCTTGGGGACAGCCAGATGACCCCCGCGGCAGTAGATATCCCTTCGCTTGCGCCAGTTTACAGTGAGCTGCTAGCCTCGATCTCAAACATGGACAGCTCCCTGGATTCCCAGATCAGCGAGGCGATACAGGAGATGACCGCAGGTTGTTGCACGGATGTGCCGGACCTATCAGGTTCGCAGGTCACGCTATATGGACCGACTGCAGCGAGCGCACCCCGAAGCTTGGTGTCAAGCATACAGAATGTGGCTGCGATGGGTATAGGCATTGAAGGCGCATTCCTGTTTGGAATGTTGGGAAGTGGAGGCCTGGTTGTCTGAGGTATTCGTGTGTGCAGCGACATTGATGCACGGCGTGTGTGCCTGATCGAGTTATGTATATTTACTACCGACGATCTACACGTATTGACTGGTGGCCACCTTCTTTCGAGTCTAGTCCATATGGCTCGCCTTCCTCCGCCCGTTCCTCAGTTTGTCCTCCTGGGCCACGATGCTTGCAGGCAGTCCCTTGCCGATGCCAAAGAGAACGAAAAGACCCCACTTCCACCTGAAAGGATTGATGAGTGTAACGAACACAAACCAGTAGATGAGCTCAGAGTAGGTAAAAAAGTCAAAAGCCTTAGTCGGGGCCAGGGACTTGATGGTGGACGTCATATCAACCCATCGCTTCATCCACCAGGTTCGAGGCGTCGTTAGCGGGTCCACGAGGAACATGAGCAACATCCGCGTGTAAATGCCGATGTGGTAGTTACCGACTGTGCCGATAGCGTTCACATAGGTGCAGTTGTTGGCGCAGATGCTGGGGTGCGCCGGAGGGAAGACTTGCAGATACCACCTTGGTGGACCATAAGGCTCTTTGAACACCTCTTCTGGCAGGAAGTTCAAGGTCGGTCGTTTGTAGCCAGTTGCCATGAGGATAATGTCACCTTCGACAAGCTTCTGTTGGCCAATACCACCTTTTGGCACTCCCTGGGCACGCTGATTGAACCAGATGCCGTTCTCTTTGACTTCTTCGATATCACCACGGAGCCACTGGGCCTTTCCTGCTCGGATTTGGTTGAAGATCTCCGAGTTGACCATTGGCGTTTCGGTGAAGAGACCTTTATCCGGCGGCGCGAGGTCTTTCAGATCGCGGTAGAAGAAGAGACGAAGGATAGTTTCCGGGATCCATGAGAACAGAGTCTCCTGCCCAAAGATGTTGAAAGCTAGGAGACCGTCAACAACGGCGTTTCTCGGGATGATCCACTTGTCGCTTCTTGATAACACCTTAATCTGCGCGGCTCCGGTGCCGACAGCCCATTCCAGGGCCTCGACAGCACTCGCTCCACCACCGATGATCAAGACATTTTTCCCTTTAGCGTCCTTGCCGTCAAGTTGCGAGGAATGGTAGACATCGCCTTTGAAGTTCTCCTGACCAGGCAAATGAGGCATCTTTGGGGCTCCACAAGTGCCGACAGCGGCGATGACCCCATCGAAGCGGCCCTGTGAGGGATCATTGATGATCCACCGTCCTTGCTTGTCTTTGTAGACCTTTTCGACCCGAGTGTTGAAGACGGTCTTTTCGTCGAGACCATACCGATGCCACAGCTGTTGGATCTGGCCCACGATCTGGTTCTGCTTTGGGTAACCTTCAGACCATTTAATCGATGGATGGAACCTGTACATGATACTGGATATTTGCAGCCCGGAAGTGTTGTTCACATCCTATGCCAATCAACTTGGTGCTTCCACGATGTCATGAAACTTACCGTCCAGATACCACCGACATGGTCCGGTCCTCCCGCCTCGAACAATGTCACGTCAAAACCATGGCCGACGCAGTGGCTGGCCGCCGAGACACCTGTAAGTCCAGCACCGATCACAGCTATCTTCGGGCGCGACAATCGAGCTCCGGGTGCTGGCGGATGTGGGCTAAAGATCTTATCGATAATCCACTGGAAGATGCTATATAACCAGTACATGGGAGTGAAAGCCATGCTGGGAATGGTGTCGTCTAGATGCGGACGCAAGAGAGTGCTGAGGAAATGTCAAGGGAGCGATGAGCAGCTACGGGCGGCAGTACTGGTACCCAGCAAATTCCGACACATGATATCACGGAAGGTTGGAACGTCAATCCGACATGTGAAACTTTGGGGTTATTGCACATGCCATTAACCCCCATTTACTGCCTGAAAAAAGGCGCACGTGGGTGACGTCACATGTCCGTCCCCGGCACGCCTTCCACGCGTACAGCTCTAGCTTCAGGAACCACCTGTATACATCTCATTTTATCCCATCTCCTAATATTGTGCCCTCATACAATTCCTCCAGTCTACCTCACTCTCCGACCCAAGTCGCTCGATCTCATTCATGGAGAACCCCGTGGAAGAGATCACAGGCGTGATCACCACTCTCTGCACTGCTGAATCAGAAGTGCAGCAGCAGGCGATAGACAAGTACTTCACCCAAGATGCCCTATTCATTCATCCATTCTGCCGAACGTTAAGGGTGTCCAATTCGACCTGGATGATCAAAAAAATCTATGCATGGTACAAGTGAGTAGCATCGGACACGATGGTCTCTATCGTTGAATGCATGTTCACTGACGCCACATCGTAGGATATTGAGTCCCCACATCGATATCAAGGTTGATAGCATCGGTATGTCAGTCCCAAGTCAAAAACGTATGGCCTGACCGGAAAAGCTTTTGATCAAGCCAATATGATCCTCTACGTCACCGCTCGTCAAACATTCCGCATCCAATTTATTCCTCTTTATAAGGCCGATGTGTCCCTGGTCACCAAGCTCCAGCTAACCCACGTCCGCGACGCTGGGCTTGATCCTTCTTATGCCGGTGTTGTCAAGCAAACTCCTGGTGCCACCGCCAGTCAAGCACAGAAGTACTATATCCAATCCCAGAACGACCTCTATCAAACCAACGAATTCATCAAGTTCGTGGCTCCGTGGGGTGTCGGTAGCACTATCGTTATACTCTGGCAAATCTTCGCCACCCTCATGTGCGTCGTTGGTGCTATGATCTTGTGGCCGCTAACCTGGTTCCGCGAGAACCTCACCAACGAGGCTTGAGTCCGGCAGCTAGAAGCCTTCCTGCCACCCGAGCGCCAACACTATCTTTTGCGCGCACCCGACTCGAGCAGACGACACACACCGCCGAGAAACGCGAAACCGCATTCACACAGAGCTGCCAACCTCCATTGCACTCCATTGCCCCAGAATATGGCAGCCGTGAACATTCTCAGCATCATCGAACCTTGCATAAAGGCGCGATTCGCAAGATAAACTGACTGGATATAGAAGGCTCCGAGCACTAAGGTGATGATCCTGCCGAAAGTCAGATGCGAAGCAGGGTGCTAGTTTTCTCTTACCCCACCGCTCTCACAACCTCAGGGGCAGCATCAAGCCGTGGTGATGCCGGCAGAGAGGCCTTTTCTGGAACCATGGTCATCAGCGCTCCACTACCCGCAAGTATGAGACCTTGTGCAGCGAAGGCGCATTCGACGAGAACTGGGTAGAATGGGTCTGTGGTCATACTCGCGCTATGTGGTGGTATAACTGCCTGTCAAGTTTCAGCGGAAGAGATCGAGAACCTGAACGATATCTGCCCTTTTTTACGATGTTATCAGCGCTGTATCGAGCCACTGTTGGAAGGCACACGAGACCCAAATTGGTTCCTGGAGGGCCTGACACCCGACCCACCGACTGGGGAACGATTCGTCAAGCTCACCCGGTATCCTCATGTGCAATTTCTACAGCCCCCATTGCGGCAGATTTGTGGACTTTGTTCCATTGCAGGGTTCATCTTTTCAGCGACGAATTGCATGTTCTGAGCGACATTTACCTGGGAAGACACGGGTGCGCGGGTAGAGCCGATCGAAGCGTCCGCCCTCATATTGGTAACAAATACGAGGGACTGAAGCAAAATCCACGGCAGGACAAATCCCCCATGAGCGAGCTTTGACGTAGAGTGAAGAGGATTTGCATACGAGATTGCGGCTGACGTCTGTACGCCTGAATTCCTCTGCGCTGTCTCAAGCAAAGCTTGCTCCAAAACTGAAGAGGCATTAAGCGGGACTATCGCCATGCGCAGCTTCAACTCTTGTACTGCGAGCTACCCATTCAGGTCGCAACCATTTACTTGCAGATCCGAGTTTCTGGGCCCTCCAAATGGGGAACCCTCCCGGCGGATGCGTATCCGTCTGGATTTTGCAAGCATCTTGACGCCGCTAATGCATAAATCCTTGCTCCAAGTCAGACCCGAAAGCGAAGTACAGTACGGAATATGGAGCAGGGACCGCTCGGCACACTCCTGCTATGCTGGGCGTCACGGCGACTCATCCGCAACTGCACTCTGCCATCATATAGCCGGAACTGGCTTGCCGAATTACTCTATCTATGGTTCGGTCGGTCTCTGAGTTGCCGGGCCACGCGCTGCATTGTGGTGCTGCGCGGTCGCCATAGCAGTAGCCCGCCCCCCCCCCCCCCCCCCTGCAGGCTCGCTGCTAGCTTGTTTTGTACTACGTATCGTTTCGTGTTCTCAACCTACACATGTTTGCCTGAGGTTGAGGACATGGACAATGTTGTCGATTAGAAAAAGTTTTCACCATGAGCACGGGCTGCAGGCAGCCTTGCGCACTTCCCCTGTGCCGTGCAACACGCTCGGCAATTGTAACAGCGGTGTGAATTCGGCGCCAGGGCAAGATCTGCTCGACGTTGTACAGACAAATCTGCAAGCAGCTTTAGATGGCCTTTGCTGCGCGAACTCCTTGCTCACGACGAGTCGTGCCTCGTAACCGTGGCAGTGAGGCACCAATAGTATTGCACCGCTCTGCTATGTATGGTCTTTACAGTGGTCTATATAGATGCAGCATTAACTGTCCATCCGCTTAGATCCGACCCAACCTTCGCCCACAGGTCTGTTCGGTCGCTGTGGTCTTTCTGTCTAGTCCAGCAATCCTGTCATTATACCAAGTCAAGAACGCCTTGTCGTGTCTGAGCTCAGCATGGCGTCTCAACATGTAAAGAAGTGGCTGGATGAGCAGTGTACTCTCAAGCCCAAAGGGTCTGCGACCGAAATTCGATCACGCCACGCTCGTCTGCTCCAAACCATTGACGACTGGTTGACCACACTGGAAACTGTACACATTGAACCTGCCGACTCGTCCGCCACAGAAGGGTCACTCGACCTGCCTGTAGTTGACCATGACGCGCTGAACGAGAGTAAAAGTGAGCTTGACCTCCTCAAAAGGCAATTATGTCAACTGATTGCCGTTTAGCCAAGGCTGGAGAGTAATCATCTCCTCTCCTCAGTCCAACGACTTCCACGTCGATATAAATCTGCAGCGCAACCACCGATGGAATATCTATCATCTCGCCCCGTCAAGAGTCTTTTTTGGGGAGCCTCATAATCCGATTTGGACCTTTCAAGCTACAGCGGCGCAGCATATCTTGGACAGCTGTGACATCACGGTTCGTTCCGCATGCCCGCTGTCAGGATCTACTTTTCAGGAACATGGCTCTGGAGGTGGTTGCCCTGCAGCGGTCATGCAATTCTACATCTGACACAATGCGGTAACACGAACTACACCGTATCACTCTTAAAAATTTCACATCGTATGGTATACGGTGCCCCTCATCAGCCTGGGCGAACGGGTTACACCGGCATGGCTCTCAGATCCGACGAGAAAACTTTACAATCTCGTGGCTGCTGTCGTGGGATGGTGTACGAATCTGGAGACGACTGGCATTCCTTAAAGGTGAAGATTCATGTTTGACGGCACGAAAATATAGTGGTGGAACTTACCAATCCTCTTTCGTCGTCCCGTGTCATCAACTCGTACTCTGTTTACATGCCAAGCCACATCTGTTTCCTTGCGTGCAGCAATTCTAGTCAACAGCGTCGTCGATGACATGCTCCAAGAGTTCTCGAATCTTCTGAGGCCTAAACGTCTTTGCAGCATCGGAATTTCGGCGCGTGGTCAAAAGCGAGCTCACCGGTCAGACTAGCAGCCAATATCTGAAACCATAGGGCAGCTTGCGGTCTGGCGGTGAGAGACGACCTCAGTCTATTGGTCTTCATAAGCTGTGGGATGGAAGTTGTTAGTTGTAGTGTAGCAGACGGCCATCTTCATATTTGGCAATGGCCAACGAGAGAGCAATCACTTCTGTGGGGGCTTCATTCAGGTCTTGATACGGATGAGACAGGCATCATGGCAAAGTTTGACAAAGTTCCAATTGCCGAGCCTCTGACGCCGACCCGCGTGCGCCGGATAGACGCCTCAGCAAGGGTGTGGGGAAGGAAGCCCAAGGGCTCCGAGTCCTGCCCACCACGTTCTCCAACCTCGGCCACCTTAGCTTCCATGATCCCAGAGAAAGAAGCATGAGCCAGGGTCAAAATTTGGTATCGACTCGGGCTTGAACATTGATAGGAACAGCAGGTGTACCAACATGGGTCCCGAGCTGTCTAACCTAGGAAGACAGCATCGGGCAATAGCAACCCGCTCGCGGGAACGGATGCTGACTCGACCCACCCGGCTGCGACTGCAACTTGCTCGAAACGCCCAACATCCGGAAACGATGCTGCTGTCATCCGTACCCACGAGAAAGAAGCGACTCTGTGCCGCGGAGCCTAGCTCACTTCTCGCCCTAGTTCTTCACCTTGCCAAAATTTAGTGACATCCACATGCAGGGAATGCATGTTCGGGTCATGGACTTTGTGTCGGTGAAAGCTTTCCGTTGATGCCCTGGTCAGTGCAATGGAGACTCTCCAACTGCCCAACGGCAACCTTCACGCCCCCCCGCCCTCAGGCATATGCTTAGGAAGGGGTCCCATGTTGTGTCAAGACGCTGGCGGCTAACGCTACAGCAGCTCATCGATATTCCGGGACGGCTGCTGGGATACAGCATCACTTTATTTTTTGTTAAAGTTTGAGATGTCCACGCGAGATCCAAAGGCCGGTCTTTTGCTAGAAGTCCACGAGTCTGCGAGGGCAAATGCTCGCACTGCTTCTCGGCCGATTTCGACTTCGGCAAGACGAGTTTGCAGGGTGTTAGCTCGTCCGGCCGGGCAAAACATAGCATCTCGAATGCCTACGGCGCTTAGCTGTTCCAGCGGCTAAAGCCAAAAATGATACCCTCCAACGCAGGCCCCATTCGCACTGCTTCCAGACTCGCCTCGACACCGACATACAGGTAGGGTAGCGAGCCGTGTCACCACCCAATCCTTTCCAGTGTTAGAGGTCAGACTGATTTAATCCCTTGCACCGGAGCCTAGCCACAAGCACCTCCGGAAAAGCTAAAAGTTCATAGAGTCTTAGCTTCACTACGTGGTGAGCAGGCGTCCACAAAGTCAGCCCATTGCCCTTCCCACTCCGCTCTAGTTGTTTCACCCTTGGAAGTGAGTGGCGCTTGGGGGATGAAAGAGCCTCACACCCTTTACACCGCCAGAACAAACTTTCTTGATGCCTGGCGAGGAGGATTTCATCCTTGCAAGGTTCATTCGCGCGGAGTGTGGCAACCCGATTAACTATGAGACTTTGATCTTTGCACCCGTCAGATGCACTCATTGCTAGCCTCACTTCAAGACAGCCACTACAAAGCGATCCTGGGATGTTGTGTATGTCGCTCCAGAAAATATAGCTGTTAGTAGATTGACCAGTCATTGGCTTGATGCCGATGCGGCATGGAGTGAATGGTCGGGTCACGGGCCACACGCCATCCCTCCGATTAGGCTCGTGCATTGTCAGTCAGTTGTCAGTCAGTTGTGCTTCTTGGTCCCCCCTAAACGAAATTTTAATGGCAAATGGCACGGGCTTTGGGAAACTGACATGGACTTTGGCCCCTGGCTAGTATCCATTCACAAGGTTTGCAGTTCGGATCATTTGGGCACCATAAGCATACCCAATCGCCTCATTCCTGCACACCGCCCTTGTTTTCAGGGCTCTTTGATCTCCTGATCACTCATGAGGTGGACGAGATGCTGATTTAAAAAGAGTGTTCGCTGTGCGACGACCAAACGTGGCCTTGAATTCTTCGGTCCTCAAGATCTAAAGAAGAATTAGGTGGGACCAATACTCTACTACACCTGCAAGGTCAAATCCTGATTGCATTTTCTTGTTGAAGGGGGCGGGTTTTACGTCATTCTGCAATTTATTCCACGGCCGTCACAGTTATGCCCAGTCGACGCCCACAGGGGGAGCCTAATGACGTGCAGCAGCAGATTCCTTACCTAGACGAGCCGCCACCGTTGCTTCTCCGCACACGCAGGTACCATCGAGCGGCGCGTACGTCTAGGCTCCATGCGCACCTGGATGGGATTCTGGCGGATCTCGAGCCACTACTGTCATTAATCGATAATTCGCCGAGTGCTGGCCCTGCAGAAGCAAACATGTTTCTTGGTACGCAGCTTCAACCATCTAATCTACGCATCCAATGATGCTAAACATGAACAGCAGAGATCGGTGCTCATTTCTCAGAGCGAGGTTGAAAGCCGACCATTCAGCAGCTACAAGTGCTGTGATCCAATCGCCCAAGCCGCCCCTGGGTCATTGACCGATGCACCCAGTCACATGCGTAGCCAGTGAGTTCCAGTGGTTGCCGATGCCGAACTCCCATACAACCCCGGATCTCTTCGGTCAAGATACTATTCGCAAACAACCGAGACACGAGAAAGTCAGATCGTTCCAATGTTTTGCATCCAATGGCGCCTAAAGTATTCGACCAACGATTTTGCATCAGTCTCATTCTCGAGTGTCATACGGCAAAATGAGCAAATATGCCACAAACTGACAACCAAATCATGAAGAGCCCTCAGATCGCCAACAGCTCCCATATTTGCGGCCATGGTTGCCCATCACCATCTTTTCCCCTGTACGGTCACTCATTTACTTGACGGTCCAAACAAAGTTTTGGCCCACCGAGCACCAGTTCCGGAAGCTACGCGATCCAAGCGGCAACGGGGATGAGGCTTCCGGGTACGGGTGGCCCCCCGGGACGAACCCGGCACGACCCACAGTGGATGATGGGACAGAATATCCCACTCACTGGCTTTGTTTTCACTGCCTGGTTCCAGGCTCTGGACCCCGACACCCTGAGATGCGAAGAGGCGGTCTGCAGCAGGGTCCAAGGATGTATGATTCTGTCGCGATCGTGTCGCATCCATGATGCGCAACGTCACCGATGTGCAGTAAGCACTAAACGGGTCTAGAATAAAGAAACGCAGGCCATACAATTACTGTATTGCCATGGGCTTTTCGGTTTTGTACTCCTCTCGTCCAAAGAGAACCCGAAAGCCAGCACACTCACTGATCGTCGAAGCTTATCAGCATGTCATCCGCGCCTGCGGTCTCCGTATCGAGTTCTTCTAGCTGCAAATCATGCACCCGTGCGAGAACGACTTGCGGCGTCGAGCTTCTGGTCGACTCGTCGGCTTTCTCTGATTCCTGTGCCGCTACTTCACCTCTATGCTCCTCGTCCTCCTCTTTCCCATCGTCCTCCTCACCCTCCTCATCATCACTGCCCTGTGCCATAGCAAGGTGGCGTGCTTTCGCCCTCAAGGTCTCGCCCACCATGACATCTTTTCTGACGTATTTCGACGCATTCCTGTCAAGAGAATAGTTGAACTTGACCACGTCGTACGCCATCGCGAAAATCTCTGTTGCAGCCGTTGAGGCCTCAGAGCTCTGTTTCCGCTCAACAGAGCCTGAAACACCTATGCCGGGGTCCAGACCGGGGAGCGGGAGGCCTAACGCCGCGGAGAGCGGGACCTTGACGTCGACGCCAGAGGACCGTAGCTGCCCGTGCTCCCGGCTCCAGATGGTACCTTGCGTAGTGAGGAAACCGACGACAAAAAAAGCCTTCCCCCGTTTGGCGCCTTGTAGGAGCTGCCGCACGTCGTCTGCATACAGGGTGTTTTTCATTAGTTCCTCAAAGTACTGCTTGTGTTGCTTCAGCGAGTAGCGCTTGACCGTCTGACTCTCCAATGCCACTCTCTCGTCGTTCGTGCGAGCAAAGTTGATGCCAAAATAGTCCGAGAGACTAACGGCCACGCTCGCGGAGGCGACGTTCTGCAGGAAATCTTTGCGGCTCATGGTGAGGCACGGCTCGGGTAGGATTGTCGGAATAATGTCCTGTGGGTTGTGCCGTTGTACCTCGCTGTTCAGCGGCTCCCTTGGTGCGAACCCCTGCAGGGGCAATTGAGGGTCCAAGACGACACGACCCATCATGCTCGCTACTTCGCGCTCGGGGCAGGTCTCGTCCAGGATGAAATAGCGCCGGCGAGCCATCTCTGATCTATGCTTGGCTTCTGGTATGAACTATCGTCAGGATATGTCGTGGTCCGTACGAGGAAACAAGAGCGATGAAAAGTTGCTTCTCGTCACTTTCGCCAATGTCTGTGAATTCTGCGGGCGCTAGAACAGCCACAGTATTGGCATGAAGCATCGCCCCGTCTGGCCGGGAGTCTCTCGTATTTGCGGATTCCAGCGCTGCAAAAGGATTGGCGCGTAGGCATCGCCGAGCATACAACACGGAACACCACTTCAGCTCGATCATTGGGAATCTTGAAGTCGTGCGTTTCAGCTCCATTGACAAGATCGATCAGTAACAAAAGCCGGCATCATCACAAAGCCCAACGACAAGTCAAATCACTACCTTCCGTGACACCGATGGTCATTGGGGGCTAGGTGACTGCCTACTATAACTACATTTACATTGGGAAGAGACCAATGCTCGATGTTCGTATTACGCCATGGAACAAAAACAAGAGCATCACCTTGTGAAGATCGTCGAAAATCCCAGGAAAGACAGTGTGCTAGTTGCCTCAAGCTACAGCGTCAGCATCACTGTGGATGGTATTGAAGTTGCCAGTGGTCTAGAACTCGTGGACCCTTTCGATGATGAAGAAGAGAATGAATGCCGTTGGTATCTCGAGCGTTATGCTACCCAATCACCATATTCGGCCTCGAGGAGCTCGGCCGTGCAAGATGCCCTGAAACATTATGCAAAGAACCTATCAGAACAACTACATCTGACACGGCATCTGCAGGATATCTGTGGAAGCCAGCAGCAAACTTCAGTGGTTCTCGAGATACTTGAAGCCAGTGACCGTGGTCCTACCTCTGTGTCTTCGATACATCAGCTACATTGGGAAGTTTTGGAGTCTCCGTCTGTCTGGCCTGCTTCGACACGACCTATCGTTACTGTTGTGAGACAGCTATATGGAGAGTCCCCTGCTTCTGGGCAGCTCAAGTCACCCCTAGAGTCGTATAACGTCGGACAGACTTTCAATATTCTACTTGTGGTTGCTCGGGACACGCGCCAACAAATGGAGGTTGAGCACGACCTGGCCATCCGACCACTACTCGATATCAAGGATGAGTTGGACAGTCTCGCAAATCACGTCAGAATCAATGTGGAGGTAGTGCGTCCGGGTACATTTGGTGCTCTTCAGGATCACCTGGCAGCCTCCAAACGCCTTCGCGGCCGTAAGTATTACCACCTCGTACACTTTGATCTACACGGAAAAGTCAGAATCTCGAGCAAATCCAAGACCAAGACGGCATTCTTATATTTTGCGTCGGGGCTGAATGGAGAAATGCTAGTCCCAGTTCGAGCTCGTACAGTCGCGCGTCTACTAGCGGAAAACGACATTCCTATGGCGGTGCTGAATTCGTGCGAATCGGCCACGGCCAACAAAGGGGACGAAGCCAACCTTGCCCGGACTTTTGTGCACTGTGGGATTCGCAATGTGGTCGCTATGTCGTACACGATCCTCGCGGGTGCTGCTGCACTATTTCTGAGGATGTTCTATTTGTCGCTGCTCAAGGATCGGGTTAGTGCGATTGTCGCGGTGAGAAGGGCACGATCCGAAATCCGTACAAATTCTGTACGACCGTGCCGCTTTGGTCTCATGCGGCCAGTCCAAGATTGGTTTGTGCCGGTGGTCTACTGCCAGGCCAACAGTACATACGTCGCCTGGAGTGGACCCAGCTCTGCGAATTTGCGCATGGAAGCCTCGCCCAATACAGTCCTGGAGGAGAGATTCATCGGCAGGCAGCATGAGCAGCTGAGGCTGGAGACACTACTGACAAGATCGAACTTTGTCTATCTCTGGGGGCCTGCCGGTGTCGGTAAGACACTGCTGATCAGACACATGTCCAAGATATGGACGCAGACGGGGTTCTGCGACCAGTATACCTATGTTGACTTTGCGGATGCTTCTCAGGCTGAGACGATGCAGCTATTGGCTGGTTTTGCTTACGAATTTGCCCCAGAGGTCGCTAACCAAGTCCAACAAGCCTCACAGGATGCTCTTGCCGATATCTCGGTCGACAAATACTGGGCGAGGAAAGACCCAAAGCCTTGGAGCCGCAGACTCCTGGTTGTTGACGGCTTAGACATTCTGTGCTCTTCTACAGACGCCGGAGAGCCCTATCAAAGCAATAGAGACGACATTACTCTAGTTGTCAAGACCATTCTAACAAGTCTGTTAGAGCTCGCTTCCAATGATGTTGCTGTCACGATTGTCGTGATTGGTCGGCAAGCAGAACTTCAATGGTGTGAGGCGGTTCTACCAAGCAACAATCTGCCAGAGAAATTTGGCCTCTCTGGACTATGCTTGTCCGATGCTCTGGAATACGCCCAAGGAGTGGTGCGGTCATTTACCCCTCAGTATGCAATTCTGAACCGCAAAGATACCGATGTTCTCGAGCAATTGGTCCGATTGTTACAGTTCAATCCACTAGCAATTCGAGTTGTCTTTCAATACATATGTCGCAGTGGCGTGCCGATACGAGCCGCATATGATATGGTGCATTTCGGCAGGATACCTATCTGCGATATGGAGCTCTCCCTGTCCTCTAGATTTGTTGACCATGATCTGAAAGTGTATTTACGAGGGGAGCAAGAAGGACTCAGCGCGCGAGTCTTCAGCTTCCTATCCATTTACTGGGTCCATTCCTTGAACCTGAAAGACTCGGCCCCAGACTCTCTGAAGCCAGCCTTCGAAGTTAAAGGTGTGAATTCGGAATCGATACGCCCAGAAATCCGCGATTTCTTTGCGAGTACTGGGAGATTCATGGAAGTGCTACTGCTTACACAAAATGTGGGCATTGAGAGGTCTTTGTCATTTGGCATTGACAGGGGCTTCTTCTCGGTGGATTCGTCTGGCGATATGAATTGGATCCATCCACTGTTCACAATCTTTGCCAGATCGCATACCTTCTTGGAATCAATCAGACAATCGTCTTTCCAGTCTACGGGACTTGTACATTTTCTGGACTGGTGCTACGATGATCAAGCTGGAACACAGCTTGATGATGCTGCATTGAAAGAGTGGTTCAAACTTTACGTCTCGGTCTTCGACTACACTTTAATTCATGTGGCTTATGGTATGTGCCTGGGCGGTATCAACAGCGCTAGGGCGGAGACTATCTACAGGCCGCTCATGTACAACGTCATGACGGGTGCCCATCTCTGCTCATCCTCGAAGGGGATACTGTTGTCCGACCTGTGGCCAGACGAGACCTTCGGAGCATTAGCGACGATCTATCCCAGTCTCTGCACTGACGGAGAAGCGGCCACAGTGGCCCTGGTATACGAACGGCTTCTTCGTCTGTTCCTCAAGCAGAATAACAGCATGGTAATACCGCCTCAGCATCAGCGGTTCATCTTCTATCTGAGCAACAGTCTGCACATCCTGCATAGAATGTTCCCAATCTCCCCGAACCAGGAGTCTACCCTTCTGAAGCTCACTCGTGACATCATGCATGCAACGGAAAAGCGATACGGCTTGAATGGAAAGCTTTTCGATGCTTTCGCTCTTGCGGAATTCAATCATGCTGGGAAGTTGCTTCAGATGGGCCATTTCGAGGAAGCGGATGCAACGTGGAGAGTTGTTGAAGAACAGAGGCGAAACCAAATCTCGTATCACAATAATAAGGGCAAAAACAACCCTCCGATGGACAAAAGAGTTGTTCAGTATTTGATCGACGACGTCTCCGCCAAATACTCGGAGATACAAGGCGCTGCCATAAAAGTCGCAAGAATGACGGCTGCATTTCCAGGAGTAGAACAGGATGTCGACGCATTCCCTGCGCTCAATTCCATGTGGAAGGCCGTGAGAAAGATCTTCTCGCACGGGCCCGGAAGCGAGACGGACTGTGCATCTAAGGTCGCTGCCGATGATTTAGCATTGATGATTCGACAGGCACAGTCTACTGGAATGCATGATATGGAGCTTCAGGGTCGATTCGTGAAATACCACGGAGACCTGTCAGCTTTCATCCATGCACAAGACGATCAAACACTTTCACTTCGGGATCTGGAAGAAGCGATCAACTTCAGTGATCCTAAGGCCACAGCTCAGCAACATGGCACGCTAATTAGAACTTGCATCAAGGAATTAGATATTGATGGCGCTCTCCTGCACCTCGATTCACTATTGGCGATCCACGCGAGCACGTTAGACGATACCACCGAAGTTCTGGCGTTAGTTGATATTCGGAAGCAAGAGCAAGCGCTGGTGGACTCGAAAGACCAAACCACCTATCTCGCCCAAAGCATCGAGTCCCATATATTGATGCAACAGATGATAAGTGCAGCCCGGCGTCTGAGCACCTACAACATCGACGAAGTCCCTGCAGGCTTGAAAGGATATCTTGAATGTCTGAACGAAATGAGAAATGGACTGCACGTCATCTCACGACTTTCAATGTTCGACGACAATACCCCTGAAGAAGCCGAGACCATCAGATATGAACGCATGAAGATGCTGGCGAAGTTCTGGAAAACACCGACCAATGCAGATACGCCCGATCTTGAAACCGAGCTGACAAAGATGCAAGAGCACTATGAAGCCATGTCGACCGCCCTGAGTGCCGGTAACTACGATGAAGCAGATGCCAAACTCGACCAACTAGCAGAAATCTGCTCCCAGATAACTTTCCCATCGATTGTTCCCGCAGAGATCGCAAAGCTTCGCGCAATAATTCTTCACGAACGTGAGCAAGTGGGAGTGCCAAAGGCCTACGACAAAGCTATTGACGACGAGGCATGGGAAGTCGCTCTCGAACGATTGCAAGAACTCAGAACCCTGCAACGTCTGGGAAAGTTTCCTACTTTGACAGTCGAGTCACTCAACGAAACCCGGCACGAACTGTGGGCACTTGCCTGGTCGAAGCTGGCCACAGCAGCCGGCAATAGTCTCGACGCGGGTGAGATTACGGTTGCGAACGAGACTCTTCAAAGACTCCGCAGCCTGCATGGCTCAGAGCTCTTTGAGGACCAGCCTGCTAGCGACTATGAACAACAGGCACTGGCACTCGACTATCTCCGAGCGATCATATCAGTGAGTACCGAGCTCTCTCAGAACAACTTGAGCGAGGCCGGCTCTTTCGCTGAGGAGGCCATACGAGCATTTCATCTCAGCGGGCAGACCGAGAGCTCCTCTTTGGCCTGGCTGTTCAAGGTCAAATGGTTGGCTGATTTGGTGCCCTATATGGCGAAGATGAGAGAAATTGCTACAACGGAAGATCATGAGGAGGATGAGCTTACATTGGTAATTGGACAGCTCATGTTACATCTTGACGATGCACCGGAATTGGTTGATCGGCCGCTTTTGGAGTCGTTGGGCGGGATACCCACGGTGTTGTTGGACTACTTCTCCAGCAGAGCGGATAGGTCCCAGCTGGATAATGAGGTTGGTGAGCAGTAGGTGCGCCGCTCCAATCAGACGAGGTGTAGGCTGGCCTGCCCCGTGCAATAGGTCTCCCCTAAAGCTTCAGTGCGCCTAAGCTTCGCTTGGGAAGCTTGACACTTTCAGCTCCAAAGTCTAATGCTGGAGGCTTCCTTGATGGATTTTACCTCGTGTTGTGTAGTGACGGGACTTGGGGAGATCTTACACGCTCTTCGTATTTTCGCCTATCTTGCATGGGCCACAATGATCTGGAACGCTCCACCTGCAGGCCACTGAGCAAGACGGGGGCGATGACTTTGCTTCGGAGGCACCACGATCGAGCCAGTTCGCAGAAATTGGCAGTACTTGAAGCTGTGAAGTGTCGTACGCTTCAGTAAAACGATCTGACTGTCAACCAGCATTGAGACGACTATGGACACAACCGACGATTTAGAGAAGTTAGCTGAACAATGCTTGTCTTCAGCCAAGGCGATCAAGTCATTCCTCAAGGCCCAGGATCTACCATCACCTACCTTCGACCAGAACGGGCCGACCTCGTTTCCTCGCGTGCCACCCTCTCTTCAACAAGCGAGACTCGATTTGAGAGCATCCGCCAAGAGACTCCACGGTTTGATGAGAGAGCCTGAAGACTTTCTCATCCATTCACCTCTTGAGAGTGTATGAGCTAGATCCAGGGTGCCGGGAGTGGTTGGCTGACTTGTACAGATCTATGATGTTTGTGCTTTACGCTATGTTGTGCGCTTCGATATCGCCCGTACGGTCCCGGTAACGGGTAGCATTGCATATGCTGAGCTCGCCCACAAAGCTGGTGTTGACGCCAACCAACTCCAGAGAATCATACGGCAGACTGTTCAGACAAGGGTTTTCTACGAGCCTCAACCTGGTCATGTCGGACATACCGCAGCCTCAAAGTTGCTTCTCAACACTCGTGTCGTAGGTGCTTCTGCTTACATTGTTGACGATACGTTCCTCATAGCGTCAAGGATGGTTGAGGCTCTGGATAGATGGGGCCACGGCAGTCAGGAGCCCATCGAAGCAGCATTCAATCATGCCTTCGGCACCGACAAGCCAATCTTCCAGTACTATGAGCAAGAGACTCTTCGCCGAGAGCGCTTCTCTTCCCTGATGAAACAGATTGGCACGATGCATCTGATGTCAGTTGACCACGTTGCCACAAGCTTCAACTGGGCCAGCTTGGGGAAATGCACCATTGTCGACGTCGGAGGAAGCAACGGCCACTGCGCAGTCCCCATCGCACGTGCAAACCCACAAGCAACGATCGTCGTTCAAGATCTTCCAGAAATAGTGCAACACGCGCAAACGGCCGATGGAAACATCATCCCGCCCGACCTCCAGCGCCAGATCTCTTTCATGCCACACGACTTCTTTCAGCCTCAGCCTGTCCAGGGAGAGGCGTACTTTATCCGCCTGATCCTGCACGACTACTCCGACAAGTACGCCGCGAAGATCCTGTCCGCACTCCTCCCGGCAATGAAGCGCGGGTCGCGCATCATCTTGATGGAGCAGATCCTGCCACCCGTCGGGGCGGCGCCGCCACCAATCGAACACTTTCTGAGAACCATGGATCTGGAGATGTGGGCCATCTTGAACGGGAAAGAGCGAGATCGCGACGATTTTGCGGCGCTGCTGGAGATGGTGGATTCAAGACTCGTCATTAAAAACGTGGTGAGCACGCTGGGAAGTTCTTTGAGTGTTATCGAGGTGCTACTGGAGTAGGAAGGGGTGTAGGTTTGTGGTCATGCAGTTGTGTAACCATGTGTTTTACTACTTTTCGTACCATCTGCGTAGCGCTCCCTTGAAGAGAGCAGACACCGTGCTTTTCGAATGGGATCAAGGACTCAAGAAACGACAATGGATGGCGTCATCTTTTCGTGCCGTGAGATACGAGGTTTGACACACGTCTGCTGGTTGTACGAAGTACCCAGGCGCGCCAGTGATCAAGTCCTGGGGCCAGACTCTCGCGCCCCGCGAGCCGCAGCACTGGTCTCCAATTGTTGCTCCTCTTTCATCTCGTCTTCACCCTCACTACCAGCTCCCTTGCGGAGCTCGACCTGAGGTAGCGGAGACCTGCCCCTCGAAGGCATTTCTTGATACGTGATCACCCTTCTGCTTGCCCACTGCTGCTGGGCCGACAGCTTCTCCTCTACGGCCGGCGTTACCTGCTCGTTCGAGGAGCTCGCATGGCTCTTCACCTTTGCCATATCTTCCTCCAACGCGCGAAGCCCGTCCTTCTTACTCGGACTCCGGTGAGCAGGCAGTGGGGATCTTGGCGCCGACACCGATGTTTCCGCCATCTGCTCCTTGGACTCATCTCCCTCCCTCCGCCCAAGATCCAGGCTTTGTGCACGGCTCTGTGCGCGACTCTGCCGCCGACTACGCGATCTCTCGCTGGCCACGCGACTAACGCTTCTCGAATGGCGCCGACTGGCCCATCTTCCTCCTCTCTCCTCTTCCTCGTCGTCAGTAGTCCAACCCTCAAGATCATCGAGCTTCTGCACGCCCCAAGTTGCATCTGCACTGATTGCGCGTCCATATCGCTTCAGCAGCAGCCCCACTATTACAGGGCCGATGATGGTGCTGAGAATAGTGGCCCAGGTCGCGATGAGGAACGCCTTCTCGGACAGGAATGGCGTCTGGTTCAGACCTATCTGAATTATGAGCAAGCCGATCTCACCACGAGCGATCATTGCGACGCCGAGGAGGGTGATAGGTTTCCATCCCGACGTGGTAAGTGCGCGGAGCTTTGGCACTGGGCGGACAGTAATGAGCTCGTAGAACGGCACAATCATGCCAACAATAAGCTGTATGCGTCAGGTAGGCAGTGAGGTGGCCAGGGGCGGATCTCACCTTTCCAAACAGCATTATGACTGCAAACAAGATCCCTTTCCAAATAATCTCGCCGGTCCACAGCTGCCGAAATGGGATAGCGAAGCCGACACTGGCAAAGAACATAGGCTGCAGGATGTACTGACGGGCGTCTAGGAAGTACTTCTCGAACGTGTGGACGAAGGTCGGTGTTTTGTCGGGAGCAGTCTCGCCATGCTCACGGTTGAGCACCGAAAACGGCGCAAGGGGATGAATACAAGGTAGTGAGGTCAGGAAAGTACCGGCCAAAAACGCGCCGTAGAGTGGTGATGCTCCAGAGAAACCGGCGACGCTCAGGAACCCGCAGAGAATGGAGACCATCAAAATGATATTGGACACATGCTTGTAACGAGCGAAATTGTCCTCGACATAGAAGCGAAAGATGGGACTCGCGAGGTACTTGGCGATGAGTGGGGAGAGTACACCCATAGCTATACTCGCAAGCACGGGCCTACCCACAAGCCACCCAACACTTGTATTACTACCCTCGCCCGCAGATCCGAGGTTGTGAATAACACTGTATGCAGATCCTCAGTATAGAGTATTATATCGATCAAGCAGCTACACTTACCTGGCCATGACCAGCCCACTGACATCACTGATGACCGCAGCACTAATGAGTACTGTGCCTATCCTCGTCTTCGGAAGATCGATGCCTTTCGCCGCGCTTGCAATTACGACAAACGTGGTACCCAGACTGGTGACGGAGAGGGCGGCGGCAACGATAAAGGTTTCTACGGCCCCGAAGCCCCAGCCCACATAGAGGAGAGCGTAGCAGAGACCGAATGGCACCAGGATACCAATCGCAGCTGCACCGGCGCTGAGGAAAAAGTTCGCTTTGAGCAAGCCAAGATGAACCGTGAGCCCGCCTTGGATGTGAGTCAGTGGGAAATCCCGGACCGAGGAGTTCGACTGCCTCACCCTCGAAGATGATCAATATCAGGCCGATATAACCAAGACTCACAAACGTCTCTTGCCAGCCAACGGGCATGATGTTGCCGATAGGGACTCCATAAAGCATGCCTACCAGGATTTGGCCAATCAGCCCGGCTTTGAAGATCTTGTCCGACAACCATTCTGCAAGGGCCAGGAAGAAGAAGAAAGAGAATAATATCAGAAGTTCGACGGGTCCGGGCTCATGGTATTCGAGATAATGGCCATTGCCGCTAGATTCGGCGTCGGCAGCCATAAAGGGGCGCTTCTGTTCCTTCCGCCGACTAAGATGTTTGGGAAAGGGGGTGTTGTCTCCGTGTTTCAGTATTTCTGTGATCGAGGACCCAGAAGATCCCGATTGTTGATTGTCTGTGCAGTATACAGTGCGGTCCGAAGGACATATGGTGCTCAGATGGTGGTCTGATCTTGTTGTGGCGGGCAGTTCCAAAACGCCGAGCCAGCGACGAGAAACAAGCTCCGCTCCTCCACCCGCAACATCCTCGCCAGGGCTGGGCAATACCTTCTGTCGCGGAACGAGAGAGGGGTAGCGGTAGGCGAGCCGCCGCGTCGCGCTTGTGCCAAAATTCTTGACGTCGTCCGTGCATCCGGTTTTCGTGTTTTTAACTCTTGGCAGTCCTCCGCTCCGCTCTCTCACGGTATTGTCGTCTGCCACGTGCGGGATGCACGCCCGGATCAGGTGCATCACTCATGTTCATAGACATTGAAGATTCCCCAAGGGGGTTAATATGAGCATCAATCTGCAGTCATAAGAGGATCAAGCCGATGGTATTCTTTCCAACGACTCCTCCCATCCCCTTCTCCAGTCTCGAGGGTTGCTTGAAGGCGCGAGGCAAACAAAGCTCTTCTTTCGGACAAAATAGCTATGCCCGCAAAGATTGAGCCACAATCAGGTACTATGGCACAGGTCAGTTCGGGCCCCAGAAAGCTACTTTGCAACACCCGTTTCGAGATCATGGCGAGGCGACCCGCCAGCATCGCCAATTTGCAGGTAGTCACCGAAGAGCAGCTAGCAGCTCCAGCAAGCACTGTGATGGCCGGCCATTCGCGCGTTGAATTGCCAACCTCGCTTGTAGTTCTTGACCTGTCATCCGCACGTTTCGATTTGGTCGGAAGCACTCATTCCAAATCGACCAGAGCGCTTCGATCTCCTTGCTGCCGGCACATGACTGCGCGCTTCCGGCGGATGCAGCCCGACACCTTTCCGCTCGGAGCAGGAGCCTGTCTTGATTCTTCATATCCGCGCAATACGTTTATGGTATCGACTTATACTGTCTCACATCTTCCGTGGTGTGACACCGGGCGAAGGGGTGCAACCACGAGGGAATGTAGGGAGGCAGTCAGCACGGGATTGGCCGCGACCCATGTCGGGGTTCGTCCGTCGGACGTGGTCACCCACAGAACTTCATCGTGCAAGTTTTCAGGCAACGTGAGTATACATGCGCAGTAGGCAAGTCGGCGGAATGGACACTGACGCCGCAAAGATTGTGCCGCGAAGGTGTTTGACAGGTTCCGTCACCTGCTGTAGCACAAGTCGTCCACGTTGGAACTGGGCCTGGAAAGGCTGACTCTCTCGTTGATCTAGGACTCACGAGTGATCTGCAGACGGTGAAGCACAGGGTTGCTCAAGCCTGGAGTTGACACGACATGACAGGAGCCTAACGTCGATTAACTTGTGATCTGACAGCACAGATCTGATTTTGTCGCACACTGGGAGAAGGATTCCGCATATCTTGCGTAAATACCAAATAGCTGTGCGTCGTATGCTTGCGTTAGCCAGAAGTTCCCGATGGTCGTTGTGCTTGAAACCATCGAACCGTCTCTCCTCAGCAGATGATTGAGGCTCGCCTCCTAAAGCGCAGCCAGCGCGGCGTGTGTAACAAGAACAACCCGTGGAGCAATCCAGACGGGTTGTGGCACAGGACGTATCTGTGCCATACACAATGCAAAGCATAGTGTTCATTGGTCTGCTCTCCAAGGCACGCGCAGGGGTTTGCGGCTACCCGCACCGCATCCAGCTGCCCAAGCAGGGCTGTCAGCGGACCGATCCGATTGCGTTTGTTCAACGCATCAACCTCAAAATAATCGCAGAGAATGATCTGTCAATCACAAACGAGGCGTCGCTTGCTGCCAACACTGACCGGTGTGTTGAATGATCGCCGCGTTGTGCCCTCCCGATCGGTTATAGACGGCGCGGTCATGCAAAGATGGCCTTGCTAGTCGTCTCACAGCCGTTTGAGAGGGCTTTTCGACATGCGCAAGCGGAGTAAAGCCACGAGACCAGCGGAAAGCAACGCCAGGGATCCGGCATAGAATATAGCTGGCCTGTAGGCTTTGAAGCCGGCTGTCTCCCCGCCATAAGCGTCAAGCAGGTAGCCAGCGATTGGAGCACCCATCAGATAGCCCCCGGTCCAGGATGTCACAACGGCCCCCATTGCGACCGAAACTCGCACGCTTCCGAACACGTTGGACACAACAGTAGGCATCACGGAAAAGAAGCCACCATTGCCAATGCCGTTCACAATCACGAAGGCGACCAGCGGGCCCAGGGAGGAAGAGACAGGCCAGAGGCACAGCATGCTGAGGGCGCTCAGCATTAATGTCGCGAACAAGGAATTCAGAGGCCCAAGCTTGTCGCCCATGAAGCCGGTTGCAATCCGGCCAATAGCCGAGGAGAAATTGAAACCTGCCACAAGAGCTGCACCTGTGTAAGGCGAGAAACCGAGGGAGCGGGCGTACAGAGGTAAGAAGAACGGAGGAACGCATAAGGGAAAAGTGGCAACGGCACCGACCAAGAACACCATCACAAACTTGAAATCGCGGAACAATGACCTGTACAGAGTCAGCATGATCAGCATTGGCAGGATTGAACAAACTGACAGGTCGATGAAAGTGGCCGTCTTTACAGGCGCTCGCTCTCTGATCAGCCAGGCCATTGGTAGACCTGTAGCCCACATCAGAAGGCCAACCAGTCGGAAAGCCCATGCTGTACCCAGACGCTCGACAATCGCTGACATGGACAGACTTATGATGGCTCCACCAAGTCCACCACCGGCGAAGACGAGACCATTCGCTAGACCTCGGCGGCGCGAAAAATACTGGGCAGTCAGAACGGAGGCAACCATGAAGCAACAGCTGGGTCTGTCAGCGTGGGAAGTCCGGAAGCGTGTGCAACCTGCCTGACTCCATAACCCATCATTAGGCCGGCGGTAATGAATAGACCGCCAATGTTGCTCTGGGAAAAGCCACTCAATATCTGACCCAACCCCATCAGAGATACGCCAAGCAGAGCGACTTTGCGGGCCCCAAGAGCTCGAGTAAGCCTGCCATTAGGGATCGCGAATGCGGCATTGCAGGCGACGGCGAGCGAGCCGACAAACGAGAGGGTAGACGGAGATGCAACCTTGTTCTCAATCAAAGCCGCCTGAATGACTCCCCAACTATAGGCTGTGAACCTCTCAGCAAACGCGTTTTAGTCTCAATTGATGGAGTATGAGGACTCAGCACGGCCTCCAGGTCAATGAGCCAAGGCTCCATGAGTAAGGAAGCCTGCATGGAGGCGCGGACAGTGGTGAATTTGGTAAGGAACTTACTTGTGCCGACTATTGGGGTGTTAGCATCAATGTCGCACGAGGGCAGAGCATCACTCACCAAACCAAAAGCACATCGTACTACACGACGCGACTATGACCCACCCGTAGCCGCCGTCAGGGACGCTGGCGTCGGCAATTCTAGACGCCTCAACGATGCTATCGGGATCTGACGGGGCCGTAGAATCCTGCCAGTTGGGAACATCTGCTCCGGTTGTGCCGGTATTGGAACGAAGCTCAATAGTTTCTGTAGCAGACATACTGAGGTGAGACGCGGGGAGACTAGGTGAAGTGAAGTTGTTTGATGACCTTTTTGTACGTGCCACGAGGTGGTCGCGTGGTCGCGCCCTTCCATCAATCCAGGTGGGGCCACGGGGACTCCGACGAACAGTAGTTTGAGCTCAGACTTGGCTTGCGACCTCTGACGACGACGACGACGACGACGACGACGACGCGAACTGAGCATTTTGGTTGCTAAATGCAGGAGACGGCGATTTGCATTCCTAGTCCAGGGTGCAAAAGTTGCTGTCGGGGATACCAGGGCATGCTTAGGGCCAGCGCAGCTAGAAAGCTGCCCCCAGGTAGCGACACGCGGGGCGGCATGGCGGGGTACTTTTGGAAGATGTCCTGTGGTGCAGCGGCCTCTCGACGTTAAGTACCTGAGCTAGGTTGATGGGGGTTCTATTGGTGCACCAGATCCGATACTTCAAGAAGAAACTGGAGCTCTTAGGAGTCAAATGACAAGTTATGCCACTGGGACCGAACACAGAGGATGGAACGGCGGGGACTTCTGTGCGTCTAGTGTGATGGCATGCTTGCCTCACTTTCGATCCTCGCCACCGTATTGCGAACTCATTCTTCGAGGTTGCAGTCCAGACTGAAGCGGATTAATTGGCACAGATCCCTTGTGCATGACACAGCAATTGTTGTGTAACGCCCGGGGCAACCGTGCACGTTGACGACCGTCTCGCAAAATACACCAACTTGTACCCCAGGTATTAGTGCTGTTGCAGCCAGGCCCTATTGAAACTAGCAGCTCAGTAGTGGATCATGCAGCTCTTCCAGGCTCGCGTATGCAGCAAGCCGAGGAGGTCTCCAAGGATGTCCTTTCGGAGTGACGTGTTTCAATGGCGGGCGTACAAAAGTCCCTCTACACCGGTAAGTGTTTCAGAGTTCCTCGAATGGGGACTTTGTCCACCCCTGTGCAGTGGCCACAATTGCGGAAGCCGATCAGTCCAGGAGCGAGGCAAAGACGGTTGAGTGGTGCAAATGAGATTAGACGTGTGAAATCGACATGGCCCTTCGTGTGCTCGAGGCCTGCTCGAATCGTCTCAAATGCAAAAGGCGGCATTCCTCCGGATTCAGGTATCAGAACAACACATCCTGTACACCTGCCTGCTTGCTTTAAAGCCGTCAAGTGCCACTGATCCTGCATACAGATAGTAGCCGCACACGTCCGTGCTATTCGGAAGAGTTGCGTCAACGACATACTTCGATAGCCTGCTGTATTCATCAGCTCATCTCTTTAGTCTCACAATGCCTAATGAGAAGTCAGTTGGTCCTTGCACAGCACCCCACCAAGCCTATCTGTGCTTGCTTCGGGAGAGAGCTGACGGTGTACAGAACGAAGAAGGCGCCCGTTGCCGCGAAAAACAAGCATTCTGCCACAGAGAAGCAGTCCAAAATTTCTCTCGAGGCAGTTCGCAAGCAGAATGCAGACAATGCCATCAATCCCATTACCGAGTTCAAGAAACGTCCCCGACACGCCGACGTATGGGTACCCGGCGGACATCATGGAGAAAGAGCATACACCTTGTTCGACAAAGTGAACAAGATTGAGGAAGACTTCGCAGCTGCCGATGCCGCTGCGAAGGCATCCTCGGACAGTCCTCGCAAATAGGACTGCCGTGGGACGTGGCTCTGCCACAAACTGTTCTTGGTTGGATGCAGCCATCCACGCATCATTTCACCTCTGAGGAACTTACCAAGTGATATCTGCACAGCTCCTGGGCTCGGCTGTCATGGGATTAATGTTCACTGCTGCCAAGCAAAGACTTTTGCCTGCAGCCGGGCATAATGGCCGTCAACACTGTCTGGCACGAAGCACTCCTGCCTGGTTAGAATGGACTTTAATACTGTTCTCTTGGGTAAAGATTGACTTTATTGCTAAAGATAAAAATGGGAACGAGTTGGGTGTATTGAGGTTGAAGATGAGTCACTGTTGCCGCAAGTACAGTTGTTCGTCAGGATGATTGAACCGTGACAGGTCGCATGAAAGGAGGAAATGCCTGAACGGAAAAGATTGGGACAGAAGGCCCATTATGTAGTCGTCAGACTCATTGGCACTGCCCACCACCCGCAAGGCTGCCCAGACATACGTCCTTAGGCTCCACTGTCGCTAAACATAATCCCGGGGTTGTTGTGATTACAAGCGAAAACAGGCTGTGTTTTGACATCTTACGAACTTCTCATCAATAACTTCAGTGGCTTTCTGCTACATCTCAGTGTTCTCAGAGGATATCTAGACTCTCCTGCGAGCCTTCAATCATCAACCCTTACTTCGTTCGATGTTCGTGTTGCAAAGACCGTGCCTCAGGGTTCTGATTGGAGGCTAATACTTGATTTCCTTCTCGAGCGCCTCTTTGGTGAAGTAGTTCTCCTCAACGTCCTCCAACCAGCCCGGCTGTGTCGGCTTCCAGCCCAACTCTTGCTGCGTCTTTTCGGATGAGACAGGATTTTTCCTCGACATGACCATAGCAAAGAAGCCCAAGGACTGCTGAGCTTCTTGGAAACTAACAGCTTCGACCGGCAATTCAAGCTTTCTTCCAATCAACTCGGCCAGATCCTTGACGGGAACCCCTTGCTCCGCGATACCGTGGTAAGTTGCTCCAGGCTTGCCCTTCTCCAGGGCAAGTCTGCAGAGTGCCGCAGTGTCGAGGCGGTGAGCTTCAGGCCAGCAAGCGTCTGAGCCTTCGATGTATACGCTCTTGCCACTTTTCCTTGCTGCTTGGATGATCGCGGCCACAAAACCACCGTCACCTTTCCCATGTACCGAAGGACTAAATCTGATGACCATTCCTCGAATGCCCTTCTCGTCCGAGAGACGCCTAACCAAGTCCCCGGACTCTGCTCGTTTCGAGAAGTCGCCGAGCTCCCTGTTGTCGGGCGTCGATTCGTCTCCGGGTCCATCGGTTTCGATCAGGCCCAGGGTGCCGGATGCAATGACCAGGGGCTGTCCGGGAGAGAGCACGCTTCCCATGGCAGCAATGGCATTCTGGTCGATCTGGCAGACTGCCGCGAACCGCGAGAAGTCATGAACAAAGCCCAGGTGCAGGACACCCTCAGAGGCTGCAGCACCTGCTTTCAAACTCTCCAGGTCCTCAAGGTCCCCCCGGTGGACTTCTGCACCAAGCTTCCGGAGGGTCTCGGCACTGGAATCACTGCGAGCGAGCGCCAGAACGGTATGACCATGTTTGAGAAGCTCTTCGACGGACGCACGTCCGATGAAACCCGCAGCTCCAGTAACGAAGACCTTCATTTTGCGACTGGTTGTTGGTAATTCGAAGGATAAGAGTTAGAAAAAGAGATCTAGGTGTTGTAGGTGCGTGATGTCTGCTGTGGTCTGTTGTCCTGTTGAGGACGTTCGCTACTTATACCTTTTCATCTACATTCCAACCCCGTGAGTCGGGCGCATGATGGGCCGGTTGATAGACTCTCAAATTGCCCCCCGCACAAGAGCAAAAAGGCTCAATGGGAACCAGGCCAAGGACTTCACTGCCTGAAAACCGGCGCTAACTTTATCTCGTATACAATTTCAGCACTTGTCATTGAACGTTTCCGCGCCGGACGAGTTGATCGCAGTATCCGCGAGCCAGCTATACCGCATCAAGGCTTCGATACGCTATACCTCACTACAGCTCCATATTCTCTAGAGTCCACAGACTGTCATCATTCCTGAGCTCGATCTGGTACGACGGAGCTGTGTCTCTGTTCGATTGACGAGCTACCATTATATTCCTGGCTAAAGACACAACTACTGCCCCGCTCCAACGACCCGTCAACGGATTGAAACTTCATGACATCGCACGTCAGTTGCCTTGGGAGTCCGGCGAAGCCGATCGTCGCACTGAACTCGACCTCGTATTGGGACGGAGATTGCTGCTATTGCCGGCCGCGCTGGTAACTAAATTACAGCCTTGCAGCCTCTCAGCCAGCCAGCCGCCAATCGGAGTTCTGATTGGTTTTACGGCACTTAAGGCTTGGTAATAAGGTCTCGGCGGAAGAGCTCGTCCGGGACCGACTGTACTACAAACAGCACATTGTGCGAGGCATGCATCACGAGAGAGGCCATTGATCGTAATTTGGTCGATGAGCCCTCGCTATGTAAGCAAAATTTGTGCGCAGGCACAATTTTGGGTATTCACGAGCTTTCGCCCACCTCGCGTTCCGGAAAGCAGCTCGCAAGGAGTGGCAGGTGCTGCGAGAAACCCTGGCATGGTCGTCCATTGACCAAGCCTCATTCACGATGCATCCACTGCCTGCCCAAGCTGGGCTAGCACTCCTTGTCTTGGCGTATATCTCCTGCCGCTCTCCTGTCTTGTTAATACATCCTCATTTGAGGTTTAGTTTTGATAATCATTGGCACCAACATCCTGTCCTGCTAGTACACGCTTGGATCACGTCCCAGTCAGGAAAGAAGCATCGCCCGTTCGCAAACGACATCTCCTTAGCAGGGATCAAATGGAAGCTCGATGATGAAGCCCCCAGGTGAAGCATGAGACTAGAGATCAAGAGACAGGACAGAAGAATCCGCCACTAACATGGCGAAATCCTGACGCTGTTGTCAGGCCTTGGAGGGTCTAAGGCCCGGGAACGACTAGCGACGGAGCTGACGGCAACGGAACGCTTTGCTTCGCCAAATGCCTCTCTAGAAGATGAATGATCACGCCTACGAAACTGTCCTGCAAGCTATAGGTTTCCATCATGGTACCACATCTGTTCACTCCGCCGCACAGTCTCTGTCCTCCCTCCTTGCGCATGCCGGGGCGAGGCAATATCCAACGATCTTCCAAGCTGACCTCGACACCGGCTCATTTGCACCACAACTCCAACCCATCAAATCATGCGCGGCCACGCTCAGCGCCACTCCAAGAAGCGTCTTCGATAGCTCCCTCTCCTCTGGCTCTGTGCTTCCACTCTCTTCGCGGTCTCTGCGCTCGACCACTGGAAGCTGGAAGACGTTCGCGGGTCGCTCGCCGCACTGTCGGCTTGGTGTTGCTGTTGTGCAAGGAGCGTCATCATGGCAGGTGATTCGAGGAAGCGACGAGAGAAGGAGTTGCGGCAGTTCTCGTTGATGGGGACCGACATGTTGGATGATACAGATGAAATGGCATCTGGTGTGCTGCTCCTAGGGTCGGAGGTGCGGCGATGGGAGAGGAATTGGCGACTGTAGCTGTTTCTCGGGGTGATGGAAGATGCTGGCGTAGGGTTGGGTGTACAGAGTGCCATGGTGGACATTGTTTGTCGTGGAGATTGGTATGAAGGTTTTGAGTGGTAGGTCTTCTGGACTTTTGGGACAGTGAATGAGGTTGGATACTAGGCGTGACAGAATCGCAGGTCAGGAATGGCCGCTGCACATATATACAGCAACCTACCAAGTCGACTGATCTGCAAAGTCATTCATACGCGTGAGCTCAACCTGATTGTTATCTGCATATCCTAGGCGCAGTATTGGTCGGTCGCCTGCACATAAGACACATAATCTCGCAATTGTTGCCATTCAATGCCATCAGTGGCTACACCATGACCAGGCGAGTGATGACGAGCTGCGAGGCGAGCAGCGGGTGGTGGTCCTGGCTGGCTGATACAAAATCAGGCTGGCGCTGACCCATCGTCAAGGCAAGCAATTACGGCCATTTGCGCCGCTCAATCAGTGATAAGCAACATCTATTCCCAGGACCTGAATGAGGCGACTCGAAATTAGTGCTGATCAGGCAAAGTGGCTGGCGTTTCCCTTGTGTATGTAGGTAAGGCGGCCAGCTGGACCGAGTCACCATGGCAAGTTGGAAGTACGAGCTTACTGCGTCGCCAAGCCATCGTGGTTCACCTGGCAGTTCATTCGATGAGATCATGTCCCGAAGTATCTCGTTCTTGAGATGATCTTACAGGCGTCGTGTTCTTGTCGAGCAAAGCGTGATCACGCGCAGTGTAGGGTAGAGTGTATTAATGTTCTCGTCACTCAGAGACAAATGCTAATTGAGCTGGGAGGAGCTTGTGTTGGCCATGTCTCGATTTGCCAGTAAGCGAACGAGGCGAAGACGAGCTATCTCATTGACGACTTTGACTTTGATCAACATTGAAGCAAGGCGCTACCTGAATCTGACATTCAAGTAGACAGGGCACGTAGTAGTGGTAGTGGTAGTAGTAGTACTTCACTCGCTTACTGCCAAGCATTCACTGCCTGAGAGTGGATACCTCGGGATATACAACAAGAGCTCGAGTTGATCTACGAGGCCTCAAGTCAGCATTGACAGCAACAATTGGCTGTTGTACAGAAGGTCGCCCTAACAAACATGTTTACACACAATCGTTCCCTATGGTCTTCCCGCGACAAGGCAGTAACCACCCTGGAGAAGCCCTCAAACGCCACGCACATGGACTTCACGCTGACGAGGTCAATACACTGGGAGGTTCCTTCCATCCTGCTGGAGGTATCCATGATCATATGAAAAATGTGAAGGTAGCGAAGAGGAATGAGCACTGCCAGTCGAGTCGGGTTGGGACTGTGCTCGAAGCCAAGGTTGAATTTACTGCTTGCGCTAGTCTCATACGAAAGATCACCGGAGGTTTCGCCTCCGAATCCTCCGTACCTTTACGCACAATTATTCTGTGCTTCATTGGTGGCCGAAACGCGTTGCTCCGAGATAGACTTGTTTATGATACTGTGCAACTGGGAGAGTGCTTCGGAAATTATATCCACGTGTCTTCTAGCTTACAACGTACCTGCTTGGCCGATTGTGATTCCTCAGCTCGGAGTTGCAGCAGTCATGACCTCACACACCAGCAATCCTGCCATCAAGTGACTGTTAACTGAAGGCCATAACCTTGTCACGTTGACATAGCCTTCCGGGGAGAAGTTACCTAGAACCCTGGAAACGTGGGTGTGCCTCATAATGCTGCCAAGCCCAGCACACTATCTGTGGACTGGCTTGACCTTAGATGACTGGGCCAAAGCCAGGAGTCTTGAGATGTAATGCTTTGAGCTTTGCACAGTTCAGGATCTCAATCGAAACTCCTGTTATTGAAATGTCCAGGGGCGTATGAAGGACGAGTACTCTTTTCATGAGGCTGCGCTCTGCCTCATCTGGACTGACGCGCGAATTGAGGCTGAGGCGCTGGGGCACGTGTGGAACCCCTGCCACTTCGGGCGCCCGCAGACCCCGTTCCCTTTTTCGAGGGGGTCGAGATCCCTTGTAATGGCTGGTGAGACCAGGTCGCCTTCATCGCACCACAGTGGAAGCCTACCATCCAGTAGCGACCTGCGACCTACGACCTATTACCGCTTCGGACGAGTCGCTGCTGCCTCAATCCTACCAACAGCTGCTCCTTCCTCATGACTTGAGACCCTCCCATGGCCACTCCTCCCCCCAAGGAGTCAAGACGATCACGTCCACCTACTGCGCAACGCGACGAGCCTCACAATCCGCGTCGGAAGTTCCGTCGGCGCACGACAGACTCCCTCTCCGATTCCCGCGAATTCCAATCAGACGATGAATCCCGCTCATCCATGTCCGAATCACTAGAATTAGAGCCCATCGGTTCGGACGGCGAGGAGGTTGATGAAGAGACGGGCCTCACAGGCAAAGAACGTCAGAAATACTTGCAGCGCAAGCGACGACAGGATGCTCTGGATGCTCGAATTGGGGGTGCCAGCAGTCTTTCCCTTGACGACGAACGGAAGGCTGCTGACCGCAATGTCACTCGCAAGTTGATCGTCAACGCCATGCTGATTGCAGCGTGGTACGTCTTTTCGTTGTCAATATCCCTAGTACGTGTCCCAAATGACAGCGAGCACAATTTACTGAACTATGCCAGTACAACAAGTGGATGTTCTCGTCCGAGCATCTAGACTTCCACTTCCCTATGTTCACGACATCGCTCCATATGATTGTGCAGTTCCTACTAGCTGCCACAATCCTCCTCATATTCCCGAAGCTGCGGCCTTCTGTACCGCCAAACCCTCATGGCGAGACCAAGCCCCTTGTTACACCACTCTTCTACTTTACGCGTCTCGTGCCCACCGGGACGACAACCTCGCTCGATATTGGACTTGGCAATACTTCGCTCCGCTATATCACATTGACCTTCTATACTATGTGCAAGTCTTCAGTACTCATCTTCGTCCTCACGTTTGCATTCCTCTTCCGACTCGAGAAGCCGTCCGTCAAGCTAATTCTCATCATACTCACCATGACTGGAGGTGTCCTAATGATGGTATTCGGTGAGACCGCTTTCCACGCGCTGGGTTTCGCTTTGGCAATGAGCGCGTCCTTCTTCTCCGGCTTCCGGTGGGGCCTGACCCAGATTCTCATGCTGCGGCATCCTGCAACCTCGAATCCTTTCGCCACCCTCTTCTTCCTCGCACCTATCATGTTTGCAACTCTCTTCACCATCTCGCTCTTCGCCGAGTCCCCTTCCGCCATCGTCTCCGGACTTCATATACTGGTGTCGGCCCAAGGCCTCGCGAAGTCGCTTTTGTTACTCATCATACCCGGAACTCTCGCATTCTGCATGATTGCCGCGGAATTCACGCTGCTGCAGCGAACAAGTGTCGTCACGCTGTCGATCTGTGGAATATTCAAAGAAGTCGTCACTATCAGTGCTGCGGGCATCATTTTCCACGATGAATTGAGTATCATCAACGTCTCAGGCTTATTGGTTACGATTGCATGCATCGCCTACTACAACTATTTCAAAGTAAGCAAGATGAGAGAGGAGGCCAGGGCAAAGCTCGCGAAGAAGACCGACGATCAAGATGACGACGTCGAGGTGGATCAAGAAGCTTTTCGGGAAGATGGCCCGAGTGAGAGGGAAGGGCTGATGAACGGTCAGCCAAGAGAGAACAATCGCCGTGGGAGCGATTCTTCACCGCAACGACAGAGCTGAGACAGCGTTCCCACCGGATAGTGCATTTCAACCCCTTCATGTTGAGGGCTTTCAGGATATGCTAAGATTTAGGGAAAGAAGCATGATCTTGTTTCTTCTTCCATACTCGTTGTCCGTTTAGTCGCGTGCTTGCTATCTACACCGTCTCGTCGAGGGGAAGAGACGAGACTTAGCTCGTCCCTGAACCATGCCTCGGGTGCCACCTCGCTCTGCGTAGACACTTCCCTCCCCTGTCCCCTCAGCTAAGACGTAGAGACAGTGCCTAGCGTGAGTGCTTTGGGCGCTGTCGACCTAGCTGAGCCTGGCGGTATCCAAATGATGCGGACGGCAGCGCGCGCGGTGCGCATAGACGGCGAAATCGTCCTTGCCCACGAGTGGACCTCCGTGCTCAGAACCCCACTGGAACCCTGTGACGACTCCTTTGCCCGAGTGACCCGACGGCTCGGAATGTGGTCGCCTGTAAGTGGGCAATCGCGCTGTGTGCTCTCAAGCCTGTGATACTCTCTTTAAGGCTCTCAACCGCCCTTCCGCTCCGCTCCCCCTCCCGCGGCGCCAGAAGTCGAGACCCTCTTATCCAGCCCACCCTTCCCCAAGCGCAACTTCGCCTTGCTCAACTCCATATCCACCACTTTCCTGAAGCGGTCCAAATCGCCCTTGAAGCCGCCGTTGCGGCCTTCCTGCCCGTTTCCTCCCTCGCCCGCCTGCGGGCCGTGATAGTAGCCGACGTTCGCGCCCTGGTACGGCTTCTCGATCACGAACGCGTCCGAGATGACCATCTTGTTGCCCTCCCAGCGCGCGGGGTGCGTGCGCGACAGCGCATCGTACAGTGCTTGATCGAGCGGTAGCGTGCCGCGGGGGCCCTGTCGCGCCTGCGCGGACTGCTGTGCCGAGACACCGCTCTGGAGGCGGGCCTGTAAGGAGGCGGTGTCGAGCTGCTGCGCTGCGGCCGTGGACGTGGTGCTGTTGTCTTGCGCAGTGCTGCTGGGACCGGGCGACAGGAGCTGGAAGTTCTGGATCTGCGCGAGGGGGATGATGCGGTAGGCGCCGGAGGGGGCGACGAGTGTGCTGGGGGAGATCGTGGTCGAGGAACCGGCGGCTGCCATGGTGGTGGAAGTGTTGAGGATGAGGAGGGAGGTGAGCGGGTCGGCGGTGTAGAGGGTCCCTTCGACAGTGGTGTTGGATGTGGTGGTGACACGGATTCTGTTTTCGTAATGTCAGTACTGGGTCGACAATGTTCGGGAGTCCTCAGGAGATGAGGAACGTACCGTGCGCCTACAGCGCCGCTCAGTGCTCCATCTAAAGGCACAAGAGAAGCCGCGCCGGCACCAGCATTTGCACTGCCAGGTCCCTCATTGCCCTTGGGAAGAGCGACCGGGACCTTTTGGGCACTGGGTTTGGAGGCCATGTCTATGGTGCTTGCAGCAGGAACAACAGCTGCTGGGCACGAGGACAGGCTACAGCAATAGCAGAAAGAAGTGAATGGAGGTGGGCATCTCCTGATGAGGCTGGGGAAAGTACAAACACGGATTAACATAAGTCCGTGCCGAAACACCGTGACCAGAAAGTCAGGCGGGGCTGCGCTTGAAGTTGGTAAACACATTCAACACAGTTGGTAACTCTTCAAGCTTCGTTTCATTTCATAGGTCTCTGACCTTTTTGTCTATGTCCTCGCTGTCTCATGCAATGCGAGATCAGCAGTTTCTGAAGAGCTCTAATTACAGTGGTTCAAGGCCGGCTAGGTCGTCTTATGAGACCAGCGCTCGAATGTCGAGGCTAGTCTTCGGCGAGAAGCCGCGATTGCTTGTGAGTACCCGAACTTGAGCACTCGGATTGAGAAAACTGACAATGCTGGCGCTCAGGATCCTATGTGAAACAGGAACCCAAGTCGACAGTGCAGCATCTCTTGATGTGGGAAACGCTTAGGCGGTGTAGGTGGAGGCAGAGACGTTACCGCCACGGCCAGTCCAGTTGACGTGAGTGTACTGACCAGCAGGGTACTTGTCGGAGACATACTCGGGCTTGACCAAGAAGGTGTGAGCGCCGAAGTAGTCACGCTGGGCCTGGAGCAGATTGGCGGGCAGATCCTTGGTACGGTAACCGTCGAAGAAGGCAAGGGCAGTGCTGAAAGCAGGAGTGGGAATGCCAGCCTTGACGGACCAGGCAATAACGTCTCTCCATCCCTCTTGGGCGTTGTGAATGGCCTTGTTGAAGAAGTCGTTGAACAGAAGGTTCTCAAGGTCAGGTTGGGCACGGTAGGCCGAGGTGATATCCTTCAAGAACACGGAGCGAATGATGCAGCCGCCGCGCCACATCAGGGCGATGGATGGCTTGTTGAGCTTCCAGCCGTACTCCTTGGCAGCCTGTCCTGTGTCAGCATTGTGCCTGCGGAATCTGGGGACAACTTACAGTCTGCATCAGCATGAAACCCTGAGCATACGAGATGATCTTGGAAGCATACAGAGCCTGCTCAAGGTTGTCGAGGAAGGCCTGACGATCACCAGTGAACTTGGGGGTGGGGCCGCTGAGAACCTTGGCAGCACGACCACGCTCCTCCTTGATGGAAGACAAGCAACGAGCAAAGACAGCCTCGCCGATGAGAGTCACGGGCATGCCGAGGTCGAGAGCGTTGATGGCAGTCCACTTGCCAGTACCCTTCTGGCCAGCCGAGTCGAGGATCTTCTCAACAAGGGGAGTACCATCATCGTCGTTGTAGGCGAGGACGTCACGAGTGATCTCGATGAGGAACGAGTCAAGAACACCCTTGTTCCACTTGGCGAACTGCTCGGACATCTCAGCATAGGTCATGCCCAGACCGCGCTTCATCACGTCGTAGGCCTGAGAATGTCAGTGGTGAGCCCCCTCACAAAGCCGGCTACGACACTTACCTCGCTGATCAGCTGCATGTCACCATACTCGATACCGTTGTGGACCATCTTAACGTAGTGGCCGGCACCATCGTCACCAACCCAGTCGCAGCATGGCTCACCATCGGACTTGGCAGCGATAGACTGGAAGACGTCCTTGATGTATGGCCAGGCCTCCTCGTTACCACCGGGCATGAGAGAGGGACCATAGCGGGCACCCTCCTCACCACCGGAGACACCAGTGCCAACGAAACGGATGCCCTTCTCTTTGAGGTACTTGGTACGACGGTTGGAGTCTGGGTAGTGGGAGTTACCACCGTCGATGATGATGTCGCCGGGGTCGCAGTAGGGAAGGAGCTTCTCGATGAAGTCATCGACGGCAGGACCAGCCATGACAAGCAGCATCATACGACGGGGCTTCTTCAGCTTGGCAGCGAACTCCTCAATGGAGTGAGCACCGACAATGGACTTGCCTAGAGAGATGTTAGCAGATGACTTATGGGCAGCTTGATGGTCTTACCCTTGGCCTCATTCTCGAGGAAGCGATCAACCTTGGACACGGTACGGTTGAAGGCAACAACGGTGAAGCCGTGGTCGGCGGCGTTGAGGATCAGGTTCTGTCCCATGACAGCAAGGCCGATGAGGCCGAAATCACCACTAGGTTCCGCGTGCGCAGCGCCGACATTAATGCCGGCAAGGCGCGCACTAAAGTCAGCATGGCTCAGCAACGATACAGAAGAAATGGTCGGGGATCGAGTGCATGCTAGGGATGCTATAGCTCGCCATCGGCAGCCTGCAGTGAGGTGTTGAGGTGATACTTACACTGCACCAGACATTTTGGCGGGGTTTGTCAAGGAAGCTTTGAGAACGAGATTGGGTAGACTGGGGGATTGTTTAAGAAGTGAGAGATGTAGACGATACTGTGCAAGAAGGCTGCTCTGATGCACCGAAAAAGAGTCGAGGCTTCTTGTTGTGGTATGAGAGAAAAAGGAAGAGACGGTGGTGGAGGTGGGATGATGGAAGAAGTTATTTGGTGGGGGCTGCGAGCAAAGCAGGGACCCGCCAGTTTATCCGGAACCTCCCCGGCCTTTACCATTCACTCAACTATTGCCAGTCATGCCGGCGGGTACTCCGCAACTACTGGCTACCCGGCCTGTTGGCTTATACAGCAATCTGGACTCCCGCGGAGACTACCGGCTCTTGAGCCCCGTTGATGAGGCACAAGATGCTCATTCAGCCAGTCACCACGGCACGTTTGATGCCCCGAACAACCTGAAACGGGCATCACAATATCTGAATAAGTCACAAGTTATTACTCAGCAGCTGTGATTTGACGGTCCGTCAGCGTCTCCGTGCAGCTGCCGTCGACGAAAACACAGCATGCAACACATGTAGCGTATACTTGAGAGGCTTGCAACGGCTGGAGGAGCTATCATGGCGAGGGCGGGCGGCTTCGGATGGAAGACTAAGATATCTTCGGGCCTGCAAAATTTTGCTGTCTCACAAGGACCGCGCCAAAAACATGCTCTGTCCCAGGGTGACTGGCGCCCGGCGGCGCTGGATTGCCCAGCCAGAACAAAAGTCTCAACGCCGGGATGGAGGGGCATTGATCCCCACCGCGGGTGAGAGAGGGTGGAGAGAGCAACGGCAAGGGCATTTACTCGCGTAGCCTGCCGGATTTAGGCGACATCCTTGCCGCATTTTCCAGCGCCTGTCCGCATCACTTCATCGTCACTGCAGACCTGCTGGTACATTGTTGTTGCAACAACTTCAGGACTCCAGCTATCGCCCAGGGACGTTTTGTCAAAAGAGACCACCGAGCCTGAAGCAACAGGTTTGTGGCTTCAGAAATCATCCAGGTCTGACGCGGTTGCAGGCCCACGGTACGTTATCTCGACCTGCCCACTCACTCCGCTCTGTTCTGCAAGATCAAGCATTCATCATGTCCTATCCGCCACCTCCAGGTCTCGGTGCTTCCGACCCAGAACGCCCAGCAGGCCTTCCTGCTAAGCCTCCGCCATCGTCCAACGCGCCCTCGAAGGCAAGTGGCTTCAAGCCCGCTTTTTCGTTCGCACCCCGAGCAGTCGCGCAGACCCAACGCACCCAGAGTCCAGCACAGTACGTGTCGCCGCCAGTTCCTTCATACAACTCGCCCTCGCCATACCAACCGGCGTCAGGGCCCGGCTCTTACAGCCAACCGTCCTACGATGCTGCTCCCCAAATCCACAACCCGTTTCCCGCGCCAGGTACAGCCGAAGCAGCGAGCTTCGCTGCTGCAGCCAATTACGATCCCGAATACGAGGCTCAGATAGCTCAATGGCAGTCAGCATACGTCAGCAAAGATGGAGAGAAGCCACGTCTCCCTGGCCAGTCTGCATCGGCGGCGGCCGCTGCAGCTGCAGCTCCTTCGCGAACAGACTCGCCAGCCTCCAAGCATGAGACTCCCAAGACAGTCCAACGGACTGGAGGCGGTACAAGCTGGCAGGACTCCTCTCTATTAGAATGGGACCCGGCCCACTTCCGCATCTTTGTGGGCAACCTCGCAGGTGAGGTGACCGATGACTCGTTACTTAAAGCATTCGCGAAATACGAATCTGTACAAAAGGCCAGAGTGGTGCGAGACAAGCGCACCACCAAGTCGAAAGGCTTCGGTTTTGTCAGTTTCAAGGATGGAGATGACTATTTCCAGGCTGCTCGTGAAATGCAGGGCAAATACATTGGCAGTCACCCCATTTCAATCAAACGAGCTACGACCGAGGTACGACCTACCACTGTTCAAGATCGCAAGGGCAAGAACAGGAACAAGGGTGGCAAAGTTGAGCATGGTGGAATCAAGAAGAAGGGTCACGACAAGACAAAGAACGGATTGAAGATTCTCGGCTGAGCTGTCCAGCACCGACGTCTAGCGTCGAATTCATCATCAAGCAAACCATCCTTTGATTGAAAAGGACTAGAGCATGAACGACATGTCAGAAGCACTTGACACCTTACGGGACAATACTGGCATGGAGACAGTATCATCGATACCTTCGAATTTGATAGGCATCATGGTTCTATGGTTTCTCACCGTCTGATAGGTGTCAGTGAGGACGCCAGCAACGAGACGGGGTGCGGAACGTGGTACGCAGCTTGCACTCGACCAGGCGTAGAAACCACGTCAACCAACTGGGTTGGGTTCCGATGTGATCGATACAACTACAGTCTCCAGGTCATTCTGACAGAGTTTACAGCTTTAATTGGCTTCTGGGTTTATCCATAGTCGTTCCAAGCTGCACTTCATGTGTGGAGGCAGCTGATATGAATCAATGGCATACACTGCCTGAATGTCAACCACTTTCAAGACCTTGACAATATAATTGTCCCCCGTCATCGTAGCTACCGTGCAACTGAATCGAATCTCTCGGAGTGAGTCATAAAACTTCAAGTACGGAATGCAGCCACTTGCTCCAGAATTGAAACTGACAGTGATTTTTACAGGTAATTGATGCTTCGTAGACCTGAGGAGGAAAGACCGTTCCATCGGCGCGTCAAAAGTCCTTAGAGGCCAGGGTTTTTGATGCAGCTCAGGCTCCGCGCGATCGCCAGAAGTCAAGTTCTTTCAGGCGTCCCAGTGTCTGCCAGCCTCACTTTTATGGGCGCTCTTACCTGTGCCTCCGCAACTTTGCCAAACCGACCAACGTGCCAGACTTGCTGGCTTGAGTCATACAAGGCATCGTGGTGCGATCCTGTCAATGGCCACGTACAAGGCCTCGATGCGCCTTGTGCGAAATCATGGCCTGCATGCAGCCACATACGAGACAGCTACTCACACGGCATCCTGTGCCGCCTCGATTGAGCCATAGCCGCGCCATCAGCTCGAGTTTCGCTTGAATCGTTCGCTCACGCACCCTCTGTTACAATTCTCTTTGATGTGTTTACCCCAGAGACAGAGCTCGTCCGCCATATAGTCGCTACTCTCTTCTCAAATAACTACTACGGTCACAGTCTTCGACATACTCTCACAAATAAGGCTAAGCTTGGGCTCGCTGTTCCTCGATAGCTGTCTGGGCTCTGCGCGACTTCTGCCTTTCATGCCTGCATTACCATATTTCAGACCTGTCAACTTCGATACTTGTCAATCGACTTAAAGGCCTGAACGCGGCAATGGAACCTGCAGAAGCGCCTGCTCCACCGCGCCAACCAGCAACACAGCCCCCTCAACGGACCATTTCTGAATATTGGCAGACATTCAAAACACCGTTTCCCGGCAAGGTCTTCAATGTACTCCCCTCTCGAAATGTCCGACGGGCTTCGTCTTCCAGCAAAAGTCAACGTTCTCGGGCTCAACGGCCACCAAAGACATACGATCAAGCTCGCAAAGAATGCCTACGGGATGTTGATCGCATCATTCGCGAGTGTCGTCGCACGAACCAGAAATATCGTGATCCGCATTTCGATATCGAATGGGACCTCAAGTCTCACCAGAGAGACTGTCTCGATGGGCTGAATGTCAAGATCGACGGCATGATGCCAAAAGGCGTCAAGCGCGTGGCCGACATCTTTGAGAAGCCACAGTTCTACATCAATGGCCCAACGGCGGGTGACGTACGACAAGGACTCGATGGGGATTGCTACTTGATGGCGGCTCTCTGTGGACTGGGAAGCATGGAAGGCCTGATAAGTCGGGTCGTGGTCAAGTACGACCAAGATGTGGGCGTGTACGGATTCGTCTTTCATCGAGATGGTGAATGGCAGCAGACTATCATCGACGACAAACTCTATTTGCGAGCCCCAGATTATGAAGAGGCGCTTCAGGAGCGTGATATCTGGGAGCAAATTGATCGTTTGAATGCCGAAGAAGAATATCGCAAGACTCATCAGACCGGCAGCCGGGCCCTTTATTTTGCGCAATGCTCAGATGAGAATGAGACCTGGCTGCCTCTCCTGGAGAAGGCATATGCAAAGGCCCATGGCGATTACTCCGTTATCCATGGCGGCTTTGTAGGCGAAGCCGTTGAAGATCTCACGGGTGGCGTTACCACCGAAATTTACAGCAGCGATATCTTGAACAAAGACAAGTTCTGGAGCGAAGAGCTAATGCAAGTTGGCAAAAGCTTCCTGTTTGGCTGTGCCACTGGCATCTACAGTGACTGGTTAGCCGAAATCGATCGCGCCAAAAACCCTGAGAACCAAGAGGTGGGTTGGCGCAACATGGACCGCCGCGGCCTCGTCGAAGGTCACGCTTACAGTATCATGGAAGCTCGCGAATTACGTGGCGAACGACTGCTCAAAGTCCGCAACCCGTGGGGCAAGCGGGAATGGGCTGGCAAATGGAGTGATGGCAGTGAGCAATGGGATGCTGAATGGATGAAAATTCTCGATCACAAGTTCGGCAATGATGGCATCTTCTGGATCAGCTACGACGACTTACTCAAGCGATACCAACACTTTGACCGAACAAGAATCTTTACAGATGAGTGGACCGTCAAGCAATGCTGGGCTAGTGTCGACGTTGGTTGGGAACCTGAGTACCATCCTACCAAATTTGAGCTTGAGCTCAAGAAAGAAGGCAAAGTCGTGATCGTGCTGAGCCAACTAGATAAGATCTACTGGCGCGGTCTCGAGGGCGAGTATGACTTCGATTTACAGTTCCGGCTTGAGGAGGCGAGCAGCGATGCTGGCGAGTACATCGTCCGCAGCCATGGTCGCTACGCTATGGATCGCAGCGTGAGCACGGATCTGACTTTGCCAGCAGGCAATTACCATGTGCATATGAAGATTGAGGCAACGCGCAATGACAATGAGCCCGTGGAGCACCTACTGCCAAAGTACGTCAAGGAAAGACGAGAAAAGCTCATCCAGATTGGCACGAGTTATGACCTGGCCCACGAAAAGGGCATCTATGTGCAAAGTAAGAGCGAAAAGCACGATAGGGTGAGGAGGGAGAAGGAGAAGGGGAAACAGGAGAAAGCTGAGATGAGAGAGGCGCTGAAAAAGAAGATCAGGCAAGAGGCGCTCAAGCGGTGGGAAAAGGATCGGAAGAGACATACCAGAGAGAAGGAGAAAACGAAGAAGAGGGAGAAAGTCGAGAAAGCGAGGGCAGAGAAGATGGGGATGCGGCAGGAGGCTGGGCAAGATCAGCCGGAAGTTGATTCTGCTGAGATCCAGCTGCCGGTCAGTGGCACGCTGGCGTCGGACGGTAAAGCAGCGATATCATCAGTTGAGGCAACGACTGTCAACGACGGGCCATTCAAGATCAAGTCGTTCTCTGGGGAGGATGTTCCTTCTCCCGGCACCCCGGCTCCAGCGGAACAAGCCTTGCCAGCAGCTCCCCTTCCGACTCCCATCAATCAGGACTCTGACACGCCCGCGGTTGTGCAGCCCCTAGATCAGGTCTTGGAAGACCTGCCGTCGGCAACAGTGCCACGATTTGAGGAAGACCATTTTCAAGACGCGCATTTAGTTGAGGATAGAAAGCCTCCAACTCCTGTGGTTCAGATCAACGGGAAAGATGCCGTCACAGACGTCAAACCCCTCCCTGCTCGGCCACGAGTCTCACAGGAAGAGCATATATTGGCATCATCAGGTGTGCCTGACGAGGCGACCGGTGGAAGCGCCAGATCACCAGTTCCACCATCGGACCCGTCAAACGTCGTCAAGAAGCCTGAGCCCATGGCTCACGAAGGGCCAGCTGCCCCAGAAGGTATCGCAAACAACACGTACGGAACAGGATCGGCCACCAGCGTGGCCAAACCCACCATGGCAAATGTCAGCTCTTCAGCGCTACTACCCCATAACGACGATGCCGCCTCCATCGACTCTTTCGAGTCCTTCGATTGGGATTCTGACCTCGACATGCCCTCCGAGCCCTCCTCCTCATCATCTTCCACTGACGCGGCCGATGAAGACGAAGACTACCACGCCTCCAGCGACAGCGATTCAGACTCCGGACACGTCATGTACCGCCCTCCCTCACCCATCAAGCCGTTCGTGCCCAAGTCCAAGTCCAAATCCTCATCCAAGCCGAAGTCCGCTGCCAGCAGGAGCAGGTACCACACCCCAGCCTGGCAGCTCGGCGAAGCAGACCCGGACGCCAACGACGCCAACGTAAGCACAGCTGGCGTGGGCGGTGTTGGCGGCACAGGCGAGCAGTTGTGGAACGCAGTTTGTACCGTTGGCTTGAGAATCTACAGTACCCTGGGAGATGATGAGGTTGGGTTGAAGGTCTTGTGGCCTGAGAAGGAGGAGGAGAAGAGGTGGGAGGGGAAGAGGAAAGGTGGGACAGTGAATGGAGGTGGCCAGACTGCCGTGGGTGGGGGCAAGAAGCTGGACCCGGATGATATGAATCGTGGGGCTGTCGTGTTGGGCACGGGTCTCAAAGCGAGTGGACAGGGGTGAGAAGGCTTGGGGAAGGCTGAAGCCCAGCGAGATGTAGGGGCAACACCCTGGATCTATATAGGAACGGATATGGGGATTGTGACAGGTAAAGTGACGGTTGCACGATTGTGATGAGGTCCCTACGCATCTCGACTCGATTATTACACGTTTGTTGACCAAGTGGACGATTCAGCGGCGGTGTTGGACATGGGGTATATGCTCATTCCTCATTGCTCATTCACGCTTCAACAAGCCTTCAAGCCGTGTGCTTTACGGGATCGTGAAGAACAACATAGCCGGCAATTTTTAGTGGTTCTCAGTGCTCTCTTTGTATATCACAGTCCCCCAAATTCTGGCCCACCAACGACGCGGACGCGGGAGGCTATGGCGTGAGAGACACGCATGGCCGTCACCGTCTTTTCTCTGCGCATCGGGGTTCGGGCTAGAGCTAAGGGGGCGTCATATCAAGTGTTAAGTTATGTCTTCATCGAACCGTTGTGGTTGCCCGGCGGGCGGGCGCTCTGGGTCCCTTTTCCAAGGTGCCGCTGTTGTTGCGAAGTCTATAGATTCTCCCCGGGGAGATGCTCCTCACCCGCCTTTCATTCATAATTGACTCATGGGCATGGCTGGCATTTTCCATAGCCTTTGCCAAGGGGGCCGGCTGCTCACTTCTTTCCCCGGCTCTTCTCCTTGACCAGCTTCTTCTTCAGATGCTTGGGCATCTTGGTCTGACGTTTTTCTCGTTTTTCTTCCTTGACGGCCGCCTTGTGCGCTTTCTTTTCTTCCTTGTCGACAAAGCGCTTGCCCCTGGGCGGACCTTTCTCCTCGTCCTCGTAGCTCTCAGAGTCCGAGTCGCCGTCCAGTGCCGCACCCACTGCGTCATCCGAGCCCTCAGAGTCGTTGTCGGAGGCGGGGGAAGTTGATGCGGCTGGAGAAGTCGAATGTCCTGGTTGTGTGGGCTTGTTGGCAAGCAAATCTTTGTATACGCGTGTGTCCTGGCCAGTGGCATTGAGCGTATCGATGTCGCGCTCGGCATCGTAGACCTCGTTGAGCGTCTGTGGAATGTACTGATTACGGAAGACGGCATTGTCGACTTCGCTTTCTTCTAGATCGGTTTCCTTCCGGTTGGACATCAGGTTATCGATCTCCTTCTCCAATTCTTCCAGCTCGTTCGAATTTGGTGTGCTGCTGGAGGCGGATCGCAGGATGAAGTCGTAGACGGCGCGGTCGGCCAAGGTGAAGACATTCTTGCGGCTGAAGAAGTCGTTTATGTTCTTGATATCCATACGTAAGAAATCGAGAGAGCGGGGGTGGTCGTGTTCAACGGACTGCGAGACATCAATAATGTGTGGGCGGTGGTCGTGTAAGAGGATGTTGTATTCCGAAAGATCGGCGTGCACAAGGTGGCAGACTTGGTACATTATGCGCATATAGCCAAGGATAGAGATGTAGAGACCCCGCCAGCGAGGGAGAGGATCCCCGTCGATAAAATCCACATCCTTGAGGCGCGGTGATGCGATACCCTTGCTATCTCCGAGGAAGGACATGGCGAGCACATGCAGTCTGAGGTAGAGAGGGTCAGGAGAGGGAATGCCGGCAGCGTGAATACGCTTCAGGTTGCGCATTTCTTTCTCCGCCCAAATTTTGACCATGGCACGATTGTTGGATTTGTTGTAGCCCTGGCGGAACCTGAATTCACCAGCGACATACTTCTCGCGATCTTTGAAGACAAGAATACTGGTCTTGTATACTTTGATGGCTCGGTGGATTTCTGAGCCGTCGTCGTTAATGGAGAGTGCATGGTACACATTGGCTTCTTTGCCGGTGGAAATGACGCCGTTAATTTCTGAAACCACATTTCGGTTGATCATCTGAAGTAAGATCATGCGCGTTCTGGGATCAAGCACTTGCTCAGAGGTAGCACGCTCGCTTTTGTCGGCGCCTTTGCCGTGGTACGTGCCGGAGTACTTGTCCTCAAGTTTGAGCTTTGCTGCGTGCTTGGACAGCAAATTGACCTGGTCGTCTTTCGGATGTGCCAGATCGCCCCCCGATGGCTGTGGGTTAGACTTTGGGTACTGTGACTTGGAGATATTAGGGTCAGCGACCGCCTCGTTCAGTCGCCGCTGCCTATTATAGGACTTTGTGTAGTCTGACGGGTTAGCGGCCATGAGAGCATCCGAGTCGAGATCGTCCTCCTCGAGGATGTCATCATAGTCCTCTTCATCTTCCTGGTCATCGTCCTGCGCGGCATCCTCTGCTGTTACCATACCTTGCGGTGCCCGCTGGTCATTCAGATAGCCCTGATTTGGCACATATGTGTGAGTCGGCTGGTGGCCATCGGCAACTCCGGCGCCATTTTGAGCCATGCTAGTGATTTATCACGATGCCAGAGTATCTTGATAGAAGTGTACCAGAGTCATCGTTATGGAAAAAGTTGACTAGACCCACTGCAACGCTTGGCACGAGAAACGCGCCAAGACCGGTGCCCATTAAACTCTTTGGGGACGCGTTCAATGGACGTGCAGTCGCGTTTGCCATTCCACCATCGGCCACTGCACCCAGCAGCGGGTTCTGAAAGGTGTCGCAACGCCCCCGGGGATCTTTAACCAAGCGACACACGCTGCTGTGACCATTGTTTGTTGTCAAGATGTACATTAAGCAGATTACGATTCAGGGCTTCAAAAGGTAATGCCCCGCATGTCGCGGTGGTTCCTCGAGCGCTAATGTTGTCCTAGCTACAAGAATCAGACAGTCGTCGATCCGTTCTCACCGAAGCTGAATGTAGTGGTCGGTCGCAATGGTTCCGGAAAAAGCAACTTCTTTGCCGCCATTCGATTTGTGCTTGGAGATGCCTACACTTCGATGGGCCGCGAGGAGAGACAGGCCCTGCTTCATGAAGGGTCTGGTTCAGCCATCATGTCAGCCTACGTCGAGATTGTCTTCGCGCAATGTGAGGGCCGCTTTCAGACAGCTGGCGACGAGCTTACGCTACGACGGACTATTGGCTTGAAAAAAGATGAATATTCTGTCGATCGCAAAAACACCACGAAGAATGAGGTTATGCAGATGTTGGAAACCGCAGGCTTCTCGCGCGCTAATCCATACTACATTGTACCGCAAGGTCGTATCACGCGACTAACCAATATGAAGGATGCCGAGCGCCTTGATCTACTGAAAAGCGTCGCCGGAACTCAGCACTTTACAGCCAAGAAGGACGAATCCTTAAAGATCATGAATGACACAAACAACAAGCTCGCCGAGATCGACGACCTCTTCAAACAGATCAACGAGCGTCTGGACGAACTCGAAGAGGAGCAGGACGAGCTGCGCGATTTCCAAGAGCAGGACCGCGAGAAGCGTGGTCTAGAATACACTCTATTCCACCGTGAGCAAGAAGAAATCAATAAGGCTCTCGAAACCATTGAGAACAGTCGGGGAAGGGGCATTGAAGGCGCGGACGACGACCGTGCTCAGTACGACCAAGGCGAGGAAGAGCTTGCTGAGATCATGCAGCAACTTCAGACCCTCAAACAGGAAATCAATGCTGCCAAACTTGAAAAGCGGCAGTACGACGAGGAGAAGAAAGAAAAGGCCAAAGCGCGAGCCCAGGTAGACCTGGAGGTCCGCAATCTCAAGGACTCGCACGACGCTTCTCAGAATGCCAAAGCTGCTCGTGGCAAGGACATCAAGATCCTCAAGGCCCAGATCAAGCAGGCCGAGCAAGAACTTCAGAAACTCACCCCTCAATTCGATGCAGAAGTCAAAAAGGAGAAGGACGTAAAGTCTCGACTCGATGACGAAGAAGCAACCCAACAGCGGCTCTATGCTAAGCAAGGCCGCAGCGCTCGTTTCAAGTCTAAGAAAGATCGCGACGACTGGCTGCAGAAACAGATTAATGACATATTCAATGCCATGGCAAGCTTCAAAGCCACGAGACTCCAAACCAACGAAGACTTGAAGAGAGACGAGCAGGCGGTCAAAAAGCTCGAGCAAGAGCTTAAGACACTACAAGAGCAGCTAGCTGCTGGAGCCGATACCTTTGAGCAACAGATTGAAGAGAAGCTGCAGACAAAGGAAGCGATGATGGATGAGCGGAAGGGTCTGTGGCGCCGTGAAGCTCAGCTTGATTCTGCCAGTGCTGCCGTTCGTGAACAACTGAGACAGCAAGAACGCGCATTATCACACATGATGGACGGTAATACCTCCAGAGGTCTTGACGCTGTTCGTCGCATCAAACATCAGCACAAGCTCAGTGGGTGCTATGGCACTCTCGCCGAGTTGATCGAAGTTCCCCAGCACGCCACGGCTGTCGAGACTGTCGCCGGCGCCTCGTTGTTTCACTATGTAGTAGACAACGACGAAACTGCCAGCAAATGTATGGAGATCCTCAACAAGGAGCGAGCAGGAAGAGTAACTTTCATGCCGCTCAACCGACTACATCCAAGACCGGTCAACTACCCACAAGCTCAAGATGCTAGGCCGTTGATGTCGTTGATCAAGTACGACTCCATGTACGAGAAGGCAGTCCAGCAAGTTTTTGGAAAGGCTATCATTGCACAGAACCTTAGTGTTGCTGCACAGTATGCTCGGACACATGGTCTGACTGCTGTTACGCCTGAGGGTGATCGATCGGACAAAAAGGGAGCACTGACCGGTGGATACCATGACCAGCGAAACTCTCGGTTGAAGACTTCGCAGGCCCTTAGCAAAGCTCGTGCAGAATACGACAACGCGCAAGTGGAGCAGCGACAGGTCAGCAAAGAAATCGAAGTGCTTGGGCAAAAGATCACGGACGCCGTTGGACAGATACAGAAACTCGAGCAGCAGCGAAGCAAAGCCCAAGGTAGCCTCCGACAGCTCCGACAAGAACTCACTACCAAGACGGAATTGCTCGTCCGCATGCGCAATGATCTGGATGCGAAGATACAACAGGCAGAGTCGATCGCTTCGCGGGTCAACGAACTCGAAGCGCAACAGAGCACGTTTCTGTCTGAGCTCAAGGCAGACTTCAAGAAGGCTCTCACAGCCGCCGAGGAGACGCAGCTTGAGAATTTGACTTCAAGCATCCAACGTCTTCGCCGGGAATACAGTGATTTATCCTCATCAAGAGCAGAGACCGAGGCCAAGAAACTTGGTCTAGAAGCTCGACTCAACAGCAACCTCAAACCTCAGTTATCAGCTCTCGAAGGAGATGACATGGATGCGGAGAGCGCCTCATCTACGACCCACATTCAATCGCGGGAGCGTGAGCTTTCTCGTCTTAGCAAGGACTACAATGCTGTTTCTCAGCATTTGCGGGAACTCGACGAGCGAATTGATAATAAGACCAATCAAGTCGTGGAGCTCGAGACTCGTGCTGCTGACACTCGTCGGCAGCAGGAAGAACTCCACAAAGCCATCGAAAAAGCTCAGCGACGACTGGAGAAAGCCATTCAAAAGAAGGCTGCCCTCATCGCCTCTAAGCAAGATGTTGTCGAAAGCATACGCGACCTTGGTGCTGTACCTGACGAAGTGAAGCACAAATTTGGCAAAGTGAGCTCGGACCAAATCGTCAAACGATTGCAGAAAGTGAAAGAGTCTCTCAAGAAATACACTTCTGTCAACAAGCACGCCTTCGAACACTACCGCAAGTCTATGAAACAGCGAGAGGAGCTGGACCAACGCCGCGAGGAGCTCAACAAGGGCAAGCAGTCTATCCAGAGATTGATTGAATTGCTCGACCAGCGCAAGGACGAAGCTATCCAGCGCACATTTAAGCAGGTCAGTAAGGCCTTCCAAGACGTCTTCAAGAAACTGGTTCCGGCTGGCCATGGACGTCTGGTCATTCAGAGAGGGATGGATGCGCCCGGTGAAGCGGATGATTCGGAAGATGAGCGTCCGACCCAGACGAAGGGCATAGAAAACTACAAAGGCGTAGGCATTTCTGTCAGCTTCAACAGCAAACACGACGATCAGCAGCGGATCCAGCAATTGAGTGGAGGGCAGAAGAGTACGTTCAAGCGGTGTTGAAGACTGATACAATGCTGACCAGAGTACAGGTTTGTGCTCACTTGCGCTTATCTTTGCCATTCAAGCAACTGATCCTGCGCCTTTCTATATCTTCGACGAGATCGACGCCAACCTGGACGCCCAGTACCGGACTGCGGTCGCGGAGCACCTACACTACCTTGCGGAAAAGGGCAACGAAGAACCCGAGGATGGCGAAGAACGACCTACTGGGGGCCAGTTTATCTGCACGACTTTCCGCCCTGAGATGCTTCGGGTCGCAGAAAAGTGTTATGGAGTGACATTCGCCAATAATGTCAGTGCTATTCGTGTAGAGACGACGGAAAATGCTCTGGACTTCGTTGAGAGTCAGGCTCAGTGATGTGAGGTGGCTCCGGCGTCACTTTCGAAGACCAGGCTATCATGCTCACGTGTTTATGACGGAGTGTCACGAATTGACGGTTTGTACAACAAGCGATGGCGCTTTGAGCAGAGTGATGATATTCTATTAGTCAGATCTGGCCACAATCAGATGTTTGAGCAAGATCAGGCGGCTGCGTGAGACTGATACTTGATAGCAAATTGACGGCTTTTTGAAATCCATCACATGCCCCACGCCCCGACGCGTCTCGCTGCTTGACCGCGTTGGCTTGGCGTTTTGCACGATTTTTACTTGCCTCGATGCATCCCGCCGGCCGCTTTTTCTACACTACTCACGCTGTGCGTGAGCGTCGCTCTACTTCCTCCCCTTAGGCATTATTCAAATCATCTAGTGCTTTTAAATCCAGAGACATACACTCTTGGACCTACCAGCGTCGAGGGTAGTGCAAAAGCCGAAAAATTCTCCCCACGGCCTCTTTTCGAATCCACCGCAGTTATGAAGTACGTTCTCGTGTCCGGTGGTGTCATTTCAGGCATCGGCAAAGGGGTTATTGGTATGACACATCTCCAAAGTCGCGATAGGCCCACTAATGAACCCCTACAGCCTCCTCGACTGGCCTGCTCCTCAAGACTATTGGCATGAAAGTTACCTCGATCAAGATTGATCCGTACATGAACGTGGATGCGGGCACTATGGCTCCCACAGAGTATCCAGCACCGCAATCGTGCCCTTGAACCGCATTCTGACTGCTCCAGACACGGCGAATGCTTCGTTCTCGATGATGGCGGCGAGGTTGACCTCGACTTGGGCAACTACGAGCGATATCTCAGTATCACTCTGAGGAAAGAGAACAGTATCACAACTGGCAAAATGTACCAGCACGTCATTGAACGTGAGAGGAAAGGCGACTACCTCGGCAAGACTGTCCAGATTGTTCCCCATTTGACAAATGCCATCCAGGACTGGATCGAGCGCGTCGCTCACACATGTGTTGACGATACTGGGGAGGCCCCCGATGTCTGCATCATCGAGCTGGGAGGTACGGTTGGTGACATCGAGAGCGCTCCCTTCATTGAGGCTATGCGCCAGCTGCGCCGCCGAGCTGGACGGGACAATTTTTGTCAGATTCATGTCTCGCTTATTCCCGTGGTTGGCGGCGAGCAAAAGACCAAACCCACCCAACAGGCCATTCGAGACGCTCGATCCGCTGGTCTCTTCCCCGACCTGATTGCTTGCCGCTGTCAAGTGCCGCTTGAGGAAGCCACAACCTCCAAGATCGCCATGTTCTGTCAAGTCGAGCAGGAACAAGTGATTGCGGTCCATGATGTCAATTCTACTTACCACGTGCCGCTACTACTTGAGAAGCAGGGCCTAGTTGGACAACTTAGATCCTTTTTCAACCTCGGCGATAATTACAAAATCAGCCCGACTCTTGTTACTAAAGGCCAGTCCACATGGCAAGAGTGGAAGAACCTCACCGTTTCGCAAGACCGGTTCCTCGAATCCGAAAAAGTCACCATAGCCCTGGTTGGCAAATACACCAATCTACACGACTCGTACATCTCTGTTATCAAGTCCCTCGAACATTCCGCCATGGCCTGCCAACGCAAGCTAAATCTGGTTTGGGTAGATGCCTCCAACCTTGAGAAGCAGATGATGGAGACCTCGCCTGAGCAGTACCACAAAGCGTGGCATGAGCTCTGCACCGCCGATGGAGTCCTTGTGCCAGGTGGGTTTGGCCAACGCGGTACCGAGGGCATGATTGCAGCCGCGAACTGGGCGCGCACAAAGCCCAAGCCGTACCTGGGTATCTGCCTAGGCATGCAGCTTGCAGTGGTCGAGTACGCGCGCAACGTTGTTGGTCTCAAGGGTGCCAACTCGGTCGAGCTGGACGCACAGACGGACGATCCCATCGTCATTTTCATGCCGGAGATCGACAAGGCGACAATGGGCGGCAACATGCGGCTCGGCTTGCGGCCAACCATATTTCAAGAGGGCTCTGAATGGTCTCGCCTCAGGCAATTGTACGATAATGCGCCAGAAGTCCACGAGCGACACCGCCACCGATATGAGGTCAACCCGGAGTACATCGATAAGCTGACGGCCGCGGGACTGAACTTCATCGGCAAAGACGACAAGGGCGAGCGAATGGAGATCGTGGAACTGAAAGACCACCCGTGGTACGTGGGTGTGCAGTTCCACCCGGAGTTCATGAGTCGCGTGCTCAAGCCCAGCGTCCCGTATCTTGGCTTCGTGGCGGCGTGTGCAGGCGTTCTGGATGAGGCGACGATGGGCATGCGTGGTGTAGCGGGACTGCAGTTGAACGCCGACAGTGGCCGCTCCAGCCCGATGCCGAACGGCGGCGTTCTGTTGAATGGGGTGCGGTCCGGAAGAGCAGGCTCGAATGGCAGTTTCTAGCAGCTTTCGGCCTCGGGATCGATGGAGATCCTTAAGTGGGGAGCTCTGAAAGACGAAAAACCTTTGCAGTACAACATGGGCATGATCTAGACGAACGCATTGTGGATTGGAAAGCAATAGACCGCCAATTTGTGTGCGGCAGACGAAGTTTGGGAAGGGACATTTTGACGGCGGGATGTATTCTTGTATTGCATTGCATATTCGGAATGGAATACCCACGCGAGTAGATGGACGAGCATCCGCTGTAGGCCAGCAGTAAAGTCGCATAGTACTTTGTAACGAATGAAACGCCTTAGACGGCTCTGCGCAAGCAGTAGTAATCCTCCCCCTCCCCTCTCCGCTACCCTCCTCTCCTCCCTTCCGCCCTCTCTCTGCCTCGATGCTTCCACGACTCTCTTCCTCGTCTTCACTTCGCCTTTCCCAAAGCACCCCTCACGTCAACTGCTACCACCCCACACCTTCCCCAGCTCCGCCTTAACGACCTCCGCCTGAGCCACCTGCGCCGTGATCAATACATCGCGCATCACGACCTCGTGCACCGACTCCGTGCGGTCGGCACACGCATCCTCCACCACCGTCACCACATACCCCTCATCGTACGCAGCCCGTGACGTGCTCAACACGACGCCACTGCTCGTCAGCCCACACACGATCAAGCTCTTGATGCCCTTAGCGGTGAGAGCTTCACGCAGCGCGGGCGACGTGAGCACCGAGATCAGTCCGCCGGTGCGCTTCACGGTGAGGTCGTCGGGGTGGGCAATCTGCGCCACTTCTTCGCCCAGCGCGGGCTGGGCAGAGACCATGCCTGCCATCTGGGGCCAGCGGGCGGCGATCTTGGATGTCGCGGCCGGGGGGGATGTGAAATCCATGATGCTGTGGATGGTGGTGACGCCGTGGCTGGCCGCCCAGGCGCGCATGTCGGCAGCGGTGGTGACGGCGGTGGCACCGGCGGTGCCGACAATGCCGACGACCATGTTCTGAGCATTTATTAGAAGATCTGTATTGAGGAGGTTCAGGCAATTCTGCGAGGGGGGGGGAGAGGATGGGCGTCACCGTAGTGTTGGATGTCGTTTCGCCCGATGAGAGCTTGGAGTGAGGGCTCGTACCTGGTAGTCGCCGAGGATGAGGGCTGTCTCCGAGGCTTTGTAGGCCAGGGGCGACGAGAGGTCTGACGGGTCGAAGACGGGGGCGGACCGGCTTGCCATTGTGACTAGTGCTCTCAACCGCTGGGAGGTGTTACGATGCTGTCTCTAGAGTCTTTGCCTGTGATAGAGTATCTCTTGGGGAGGTTAGAGGTCGTACATTATATACCTCGACATACCAAGGGCCCACGAGGCTACCCTAGGCGTCCTATGCCCGGATATAAGCTCGCCAAGAGCCGGGTACGTGCATATGCAGGCTTGCTTTTATACGAGCAGGCAGTTGTTTGACTCATCCTCGCGACTGATCTCGCCCGTACCAATGTCGTAGGGGATGCTGTCGGCGCCAGTGCGGGAATAAACGCCTCATAAGGCAAGCTGCCGAATCAAAGGTCGTCGAGTACGCGTAAAGTTGATTCAACAGCTCTTACAGCCCCGTGGTTGCCTCATCGAACTCACTCAAATGTCTCCGGCTTGAGTCATCGCGAGGCTGGGGTGATCACCGTTTCCAGGCGCTGCGATGTTGCAGCAAGACTGTTCTCAGGGCAGTGTCAGAGGGCTTCAAGAAGCCAGCGTGATGACACACGCTGGGACCCTCACTCGCCGGGTTCGGGCGGCGAGGGCAGGTGCGGGAAGCGAGAGCGACTCGTCGATGCAAATTTTCTACTCGAAATCGCCCTGACATCTTCACAACATTTGATATGCTCGACCACTACGCGCTTTGCCCGGAAATGAGCTTTGCTGGAGATCAGAAGGCGGATTCGGTGGCCGTCGCAACTCCTTCCTGAATCGGCGCCGATGTCGAAGATGGAGTTAGGATATAATCCCGCCAGCCAATAAGATGATGCGGCTCAACATCCTTCCGCTTTGTATATAAAGCTGGCGTTGATATGAGGCTTCATAGCCCTGGAGCATGCGAAGGTACACGTTTGCATCATGCCACAGCGCTCCGCGGCGGACGAGGGCAAAGTAGGAGCACCAGAAGAACCCGCGCCGCAAGTCTCGACTTTGCACGATGATGAAGCTCCGGTATATCTTGAGCAACACCCTAGCAGGAAAGACGACAAATGCAAGCATGTTGCTGCGACCGGCGATATCGAGAAGGCCACCGGCACAGAAGACACTTCCAACCGACTAACTGGGCCAGACCAGCTTCCTCCACCGATCGAGACTTCAGACACTGAAGATTACTCGATCTATACGCCTGCCCAGAAGAAATGGCTCTGTGCGCTCGCCAGTCTGTCAGCTCTCTTCTCGCCTCTCTCAACTAACATCTACTACTCGGCTACTACAGTTCTCGCCAGCGATCTGAATACCTCGATTACCAACATCAACCTCACGATCACTATCTACCTCATATTCCAAGGCCTAGCCCCTACTTTTATCGGTGGACTCTCCGACGACGTTGGCCGACGGCCGGTCTACCTTCTATGCTTTTTAATATACATACCTGCCAACATTGGCCTGGCTTTGCAAAACAGTTACCCAGCCCTGTTCGTGCTCCGTGGCATCCAGTCTGCGGGCGGAAGTGGCACGGTAGCGCTTGCTTCGGCACTGATCAGCGACGTCGTCACGTCTGCCCAGCGAGGGAGCTACGTTTCGTATGTAACCATGGGAGCAATGGTGGGGCCGGCCTTTGGTCCGACCATTGGTGGCTTACTGGCGCAGTATTTGGGTGAGCACCCGGATAAACATATTAGTTATGCCTACTAACTATCACTAGGCTGGCGTGCGATCTTCTGGTTCCTGGCAATCTTGTCGGGCATAACCTTTGTCATCATCCTCGTCTTCCTCCCCGAGACCAATCGTCGCATCGTCGGCAATGGGTCAATCCCCCCACAGCCTTGGAATCGCACAATACTTAGTATCTACCAGCAACATCAACTCAAACGAGACGGCAAAGCTACACCAGAATGTGTCGTGCATGCGCCAACCAGCAAGCGGCCTTCACTCATCCAGTCTATCTACGTCTTCACCGACAAGGAATCTTGCATATTGCTTGCATACTCCGGCGTGTTCTTTGCGGGGTTCTACATCGTGCTCGCTACCCTCCCCGCTCTCCTGGAGGCCAAATACCACCTCAATTCTCTGCAGATTGGTCTCTGCTTCATCGCTCTGGGTATTGGCTCGTTAACATCCAACATAGTCAACTCCCGCTTCATGGATTGGAACTTTCGACGGCACGCCAAGATAGCCGGCATCGTCATCGACAAGAACAAGCAGCAGGATCTACGATATCTTCCCATCGAGCGGATCCGTCTTGAGATCGTCCTGCCCCTTGTCGCCGCCTCTTGTGCTATTGCCGTGGTCTACGGCTTCCTTATCCAACATACGGTGCACCTGGCAGCGCCGCTAGTCTTTCTATACCTGACTGCCCTGACGCTCACTGGCACTTTCTCAGGCTTGAGCGCGCTGATTGTGGACTTGAATCGGGAAACGCCTGGCAGTGCGTCTGCAGCGATGAACCTGAGCAGGTGTTGGTTGGGCGCAGGCGCGAGTGCGCTGGCAGTGCCGTTGGAAAACGCGATTGGCATGGGGTGGGCTAGTGTTGTGGCGGCGGCCATCTGGCTGGCTATTGCGCCTGTGATTCCGTTCTTGATCTCAAGGGGCCCACATTGGCGCGAGGAGAAGCGGTTGAAGACCGGGACTGATTAGCTCCACCGTGAAGTGGGCAAGCCGACGGCAGTCAGTGTATCTGGGACAACGCCGTTGGTATCAATACCTTGATATGACAAGTCCGTTACTCTGGTGGAGGGCAAGGACTTCACAGACAGCTATTCAATTAGCTATCGGACTTCTAAGCCCACACATGTAAATCTAGCCTGTGATCACAATGCAGTGTTGCGCGTTGTACCCATTGTGCAGAGACTAGTATACCTACACCTTGCGTCTTGCGACGAGCAGAGCCCTGAGTATACCGGGCTCTCTTTACATTGTGCTTATCGCTTGATATTCGGCGAGCCATGCAATTTAGCGCGACACTCGGGGTGCCACTGTAAGAGAATTACGTGGGGGCCTCATTTGAAACCGAGCTTATGCAGACCTGTGATGAGACCACCCATGTCTCTCTGCTCCGTACGGAGTACTGCTACAACATTCCTCACTTTCAGTTTTCCACACTCCCCAAAGTAATCACCCGATACCAGGTTCCTGCAAGAATGGCTGCACTCGAAGCTCGACCATCGAACCGTACTCTGTTGTTCGGACATGTTCTGTTTGCTGTGACGCACTTGACATCTGATTGATGCAATTGATCATTTTCTCCGTTGAGCCACGGATTTCATAGATAAACCGTGCTCATGTCCTTCTAACCCACCGTCGACATGGGACCCCAGCGCACTCGTCAGAAATCAAAGAGACCAAGTCTATGGAGACAAAAGTCCCGTGACGACTCAGACTCTGAGGGCACACCGCGACGCCACAGATTCCCAAAGGAGCTTTACACGTACACCGCTTTGCCCGCAAAGACGGCCATCAGAATTCTCACGCTTTTGCCGGGCAGAGGACGAGCCCAGATCAGTTGCCTGCTGTCAGTGGTAGAGCTTGACCGTGCTCCTCCATACAACGCTCTGTCGTATGCATGGGGTCACAAGAGGGACACGAGATTGATCATCTGTCAAGGCAAGAGACTCGAGGTCCCGGCCAACCTTCGCAATGCGCTGGAACGGATCCGACAACAGACCGACACAGCCCAAGTCCTCTGGGCAGATGCCGTGTGTATCGATCAGAAGAATCATGCTGAGCGGGGAATCCAGGTCATGCACATGCCGCGGATCTATTCGAACGCACGGCGCGTTCTCGTCTGGCTCGGCGAGGGCTTCACCGAGAATCTGAGGTTGTGGGACTTCCCAGATGACGACTGCGAGGCGACAGAGATGCTGGAGAGACTGAATGCAGAGTTTGAGTCGCTGGTTGGTCAGGAAAACGCAGGTGCTGGGGTACGTTCTGTCTCCTCCCTGGCTCCATCAGACAGTTATCTTGACGACAGAACTGAGGTTTGGGCGGGGTTGCTGAAACTACTCAGCCAGCCTTGGTTCAACCGCCTCTGGGTCCTACAAGAAGTTGGTTTTGCACAGAATGTGGTGGTTCTATTTGGAGATGCGAGGATGGATTTCGACCGGTTGATGAAGATCGCTCTTCGCATTCCAGAGGACATCAAAGATCATTTCGGTCTGGCAGGCTTCACCGCGAACGTCTTCTCGGTCTTTCCTGGCAGAGGCCAGATACTCTACCCAGACTATAGAAACGTCGACTTTCTTGAAGTCATGGTCATCACCCGAGCACAGCAGGCATCTGATCCCCGGGATTTCGTCTTCGCTCTGCTAGGTCATCCGACCGCGTCAATCAATGGGTCCCTCATTGTGCAACCAGACTACACCAGAACTGCGGAAGCTGTTTTCTCCGAGCTCGCCATCAAGTTGATTCAGAATAACCGCAGCTGTCGCATTCTCTCCGCTGTGTGTCACATTGATGAGCATTATCTAGAGAACACAACATACCCTTCGTGGGCACCACGGTGGGACCGCGAGGCCTCTAGCAGCATTCTCGGCGCGGACGGGGACCTGCAGACGTTCTGCGACCCGAAGAACGATTCCTCGACATTCTGGTACCAGATAACACCATCCACGGAGGTGGTACGACTGCGGGGATTCACATTCGATGTAGTCAATAAGTCAAGCATGGTCGTGAACGTCGACCAGAAGCGCTATCTCTTCCAGAAAGAGATCGACGCCGAACTGATGCGCACCATCATGCAGTTCGATAAGCTACAAGATCGCTACAAGGATGTCAACACGAGGCTATCGGTGATAGCGCACACCTGCGTGGCGATCGACGCATTCCCCACGAAACCCTGGGCCAGGGACACATCTACAGACAGTGTCGCAGACTTTGCAGCGTTTCGCCTCCGGCTGCTTAAGCAGAACTCTCAGGAGGGAGATGCGCTGCTGTGCCGTGAATTGTCGCCAGAGGGGTTCGACGCCCTCCGTGAGAGCGCGCGCCTCGGGAATGCCGATCGGTTCTACGCCTCGGCCATAGCAACCTGCGGCTACAGAAGGTTCTTTGCGACCGACTCTGGCTTACTCGGAGTGGGTCCGCGTGTCTTGCGCAAGGGTGACATCTGCTGCATTCTCTATGGCGGGTCTGTCCCATACATCTTACGCCGTGTCGGGGATCGATACAGGTTAGTGGGCGAGGCTTATATACATGAGGCCACACACTATATAGACGTTGCGAGTCTCATCCTGTCTCAGAGATACAGGGACCAGGTCTTTGACATATACTGAATGATAGGTTTCACCCAGATTCTTCATTTGTTGGGGACGATTTTGGTACCTACGTGAGTTGGATATGTGCTGCAAAAGGTGATATTTTTATGACAAGGCGAGACTTTGGCTGCAGGAATCCAAATGGCCTGATGTAGAGCGGCTGTTGATCCTTTCTCAAATAAGTCCGCCGGAAAACTTCCCACCGATGCATTTAATTCACTTGAAATACTCTGCTGGACTCATTGACTTTCTTTAGCTGACATTGGCCTTCCATAGCACGATCAATCCCAGATATACAGGCACGCCAGCCAGCACCAGTGTAAGCGGAACCACCCCCTTCTCCCAGTCATCCGGGTGCTGTTTCATATACACAATAGCAAATATCACACACCCTAAAGTGCTAAGAAAGAGCAAACACACAGCCTTGAAAAAGGATAACTCGGTACGCGCCTCAAGACAGTACGCGCCTTCACCCTGGGCTTTGGGCACGCTCAACGGAGATTTCTTGGGTATCCGATCAACAAACTTGGCCATGTCACAGAGGCCGTTATCATCAGGTGTGCAGGTTATGGGGTCACCAAAGCGCCGTGGCCACTGGAAGCGAACATGTTCGACCATATAATGCCTAATCGCACCCTGCAAGTAGGCTTTCTGGACGTCGAACCCGGGAGTGTGAGAGAATTTCTCGTAATCGTACTCCAGTGCATCAGGGAGAGTCGGCGGTTCCTTCGAGGGCCGACAGATGGCAGTGGGAGTGATGTCGTCGTTCGCCCCGACTCCGATGTAGATGAACTCGCTCAAAATCCCTGAGGCGCACCAAGAGATGGTCATTAAGCGGACAAGCCATCTGGTGTGCTTGCGGTAATGGAAGAGTAGCTGCCTCGATAGTTCGGCGGCGGTAATCAAGGTCTGCTGTGTTTGAGGTGTAGAGACTGTCTTTGCAGCATTTATGTCGACAACTTTGTAGTTCTTGTCGCGGCCTGTAACGCACCAATATATCCACGATCCAGGTTTTTGGGCCTTCTTGCCGGGAGCAATTGATATGATCTGATGTGATGTGGCAGAATTGGTTGCTGGAGTCTGTCCGGTCGCGGTGAGCCTAGAACTACGAGCCAGTGGAGGGCTTTGCAGGCTACTTGACGGCCCCGGGCCGATTGCTGTCTCGCCGGCCCTTGGATCCGTCGATAATGTGGAAGTGTGCAAGACAGTCCGACGACGTTGAGAGACTTGATGCCGCGGGAAAGGCATAACAGGACGCTCAGATAGGATTGGTAAGTCAATGTAGTCGGTACACTGATCCGTACATTTGACCACGTAGCGAGTCATACCGGACTTTAGGGGACGAATGGGTTCTGCCAACGGCCACCAGATAATCTGCTGGCAGAAAAACATTTCCAGCACGTTCTTGACTCTGTCGCTAGTGGTACTAGGCCCGGCGTAGGCCTGTAAGTCCGACATATCAGGAGTGGTGTCATTGTCCATGTCGAGGCCTTCCACATCTGGAGCGTTCGAAATGTCGTCCGCTAATAGTGTTTCATCCTCAAGAAGCGGCGAAGGTGGTTCGGATGTATCAAAGGCTGTCCTGTCCATTCGTACAGACAGCTCAACTTCACAGAGGTCCAGCTTAATGTGACGTTCCAAGTCATGTGGACGGCGAAAATGAGACTGACATTTAGAACAGACGTGTCGTTCGCCTTGGCTATGCGTCAACATGTGGGCCTGGAAATCGTGATGCCCTCCCACATTGACTGCGCAATGTGGACACTGATACTTTGGGGCAGAAGTGGATCTCAAAGTCATGGCCTGTTTAGTAACGGGATACGGCGGGCTCATGCCCCTGTCAGTTTTGTCATCCGTCTGGCGATGCGGTGGTTGAAAAGGGCCGTCCTGGCTTTCGCGCTCAACCGACACACGTAGCGCCTGTTCAGCTTCCCGGTTACGTCTTCTGGCCACAAGTATAGGCATGGTCAACAGCAGAAGAACGAAGGAGGTGGGACTAGTCGCTCTGTCGATTCTGCTAGACTTTCTGTGGTTGTCGTTGTGAGACGTACGAGCATGAAAGCTCATGGAAAGAATGAGACAGTCGAAATATGAAAGGAGGGGTCGCTATCAGGCTGGCAAATGGTAGTCATGGTACCAAAATCCCTCGTGTAGAGCCAAGCCCAAGTCGAGGATCTTTTCAGAGCGCGTCATGAAGACGGTTCGCACGGCCAGAAGACTGACACCATTCATAAGGGTATCGTGATATAGCATGTGGTCTGCGAATGTCTAGATAAGTTATGTCCTGCCTATAGATGTAATGATCCATTCCTACGTCAGACAGAATCGAACCAGTCGTTCTTGGATCAATCTGTTCCTCAACTGACGATCTTATCCCACCTTTCCTGACTTCTGCGCCCAAATGGCAACGGGTCAATGAACTCTGACGAGAGAGACAGCCTAACGCCCGGGAGGTTGTGGCGTTTCACCGTCTTTGTAGGCTCCTCGCATTTCTTCTCTCGTGTCGCAACTTCTAAAAGTCGATAAATGTTTCGCATGGCACTCCTCCGCCCGCGATGAAGCTGGGGCCTCGGGACATTGCTAGACCTGTAGTGTGCGAGGTGCTTCGATTATGGTGATCGGATTGCCCTATTGCGTTCGGGTTCCCGCGCTTCCAGCCTTGCTGTACCCTTGACAACAGTATTTGGCACAGCTTCGCAAAAAAGGAGTACAGTACTCCCTTTGGCATAATGGCATAGGCCGGCGAGGTCGTCCAAGGCGGAGCAGATTCGCACAACAGCGAGCTGCTTATCCGAGACAGCGCGGAGTCATGAGTTGGGATTTGCAGATTGCTGTAACCGGCCCGGGGTAGCGCGAAACCACAGTTGGCCAGACAAATTGCGATAGCCACAGATATCGACGGCTGCATGTTTGCTGGAAGATCCATGACGTGCTAGCGCCCTCACCCAACACCGAACTTCAGAAGCCTACTCTCACGTTTCCCTTCCATACCGGCCAGCAAGTCTCTCGCTTGGCCAATGAACATCTCCTTACCGACATCTAGGCTGCGAACGTCGCACGTCCAACCTTTTTGCTTCAACCACTCACCATCGTCACCAGCCCACAACACTTTGTGGACGTCTTCGGCTTGACAGCGCTTGACCTTTAACTGCTTCACACTGACACCTTTGTCGTCTTTCTCCTCATCATGTGCCGAGATCCAACAGCGAGCCATCAGAGCTCGAGCAATCTTGGCTCCGCCAGCAGCCCCCGACATGATGTTGCCGCCAAGATACCATGGGTTTTGCGCATGGTCGAAGGAATGTAGCAGGAGTGTCAACGGCAACGCACCAATGCGAACAAGGTGTGAACGGATATATGGTTGCAAATCTGCAAAGGGCAGGCCATGTGGCGAGTAGATGATAGAGATTGGCTTCGGCCGAGCTGGCGTTACAGGCGAGACTAGAGAGGGGTGTGAAGCAATGGACGATATGGACTGCTGGTGAGATGGCCCAGGGGACTTGCGATTCGAGAAAATCGACGGTGCTCGCGAGACTTCGGTCTGTGGTGAGTCAGGTGGAGTAGGTAGAGCTTCGAGAGTGTTGAAGTTGTAGGGGGGATGCTCGATACCGAAGTCGAATGAGTCGTTGATCTGGAATGACGGTTCCGATTTCTGTTTGGTGATTGTAGTTTGAGGCACATTCAGCGAACGGCCATCCTTTGTCTCTGAGAAATTGTCGCTAAATCTGGCTTGCTCAGAGAGGGGCAGGAACTCAGAGGATGCAGTATTGGAAGATCTGGAGAGCTGCGGTCGATGGCCACGCGTTGAGTCGCGTGGCACATCTATCGATACTGGTCGCTGGAAGATTGGTGAAACCGGCTGAGGTGGGCTGTTGGCCAGCATGCTGACGGGGCTCATGGGGATATGGAAATACCTTGTGGCCTTGGGCAGATCTATGGTCGGCACGGTAGCGATAGATTTGTGGTGCGTGGGAGGTATATAAGTGATGCCAAATGCGTTGTGCAGGCCGGTCAAATAATTCTTTGCGGGAATGAAGCTAATGCAGACCTCTCCGGCATGGCCTCGCGGCGAGAGCGGAGGTATACGCACACGGAACGAGTTCCCAAATCTGGTCTTGGGGTCGAACTTGGTCAGACCATGGATGCGATTGGGGTCGAAGTGGTTCCAGCTCTTGATAGCCCGGGCTGCGCCTGGCTCGGCTGCCACGATGGTCTTCGCTTCTGGGCGCAATTGCAGGAGGGTTTCTCTATGGCAATGGTCGGGTTTATTCTGCGAGACCACTACCACATCCGGTTCCTCTATTTGCGAGAGGTGCTGTATGGCGCTGGGAATCACACGTTTGGTGATTGCGAACCACGGAGCTGTCACCACAGAATCACCCACTAGCCACGGATCGACGAGGACGCTGAAGGCGCCATTGGCACTATTGAAGTCCGAAGGTACCGGGTGGGCTTCGGGCGAGAAGATGAGGAGGAAACTCGTATCGGCGTTGAGGTGTCGCACTGTGAGGGACATGCTGGTATACTCGGTTAAACACCAGCGTACGTCATGGGTTGTCGGACAGTCGTTGGGCGCGGATGGCGTACAGATACGCTCACCTTGCGACCACTTCTGGTGTGTTGGCAGAAGCAGTAGGAGGCGAAGAAGGTGCCGCTCTCCTAACAACGATGTTTTGCGGCATGGCACCACGGGCCTTGGCCGAGCCAACGGCAGATGTCATCTTGAGCAAGCCTCAAAGACAAATTAGGACACACGCGTCTGGGCAGGTTAAGCCTAGGCGAAATTACTTCTCTAACCTCTCCAAAACCTGCCGTGTTTAAGGAGGGCGATCGGCTGATCGACAGCCGCCCTCCGCGGAACGCAGCCTTGCGAGTTCACTCCACCCGTCGCAAGGCTGAAAAATTCAAGTCTCTTTTTCTTGTCTTGGCTGTTTGGAACTCGTAACCAGTGTCGTAACTGTTCATGATGGCGGCGTCGATGAAGCGGAAAAGAGGCGGTGGATCGGAAAGGCCCAACAAGAAGGGGAAAGTGCTACCAAAACCACGTGGACCCGCTGTACGCGGCGACGCCCTGAGCTGGACGCCTGTCACTCTTCCTGATCGCCTAGACGACGCCGAAGGCTTCTACGCCCTTGAAGAGATTGAAGATGTCGAAGTTGTCCGAGACGAACGCAATCATGCCATGTTTCGACCAGCCGCCGATGCAAAACTTGCCAGAAATGGGGAGCCTCACGATTGCACCGCTCTGGATGATGGCGAAGAGTGGGAAGGCTTCGACGATGACGAAGGTGTCCCTGTGGATGGCACCAAAGCTACCAACGGCATCAGCCCAGCTCCTAAAATCTCCGAGGAGCAGCCGAAAAGCATTCTCAAGGCCCCTGTGCCACCGTCGGAAGAAAGCAGCAACGAAGATGACGAGGATGAGCTGGGCGGCGAAAACGTGTTCGACCTCCTCGACGGCCTTCCAGAAGATGCTGGTGCAGATGTGTCAGCCTGGGATGGGTTGAATTTATCCCAAGCTATGATGTCTGCCATCTCGAATCTGGGCTTCCCGAAACCTACGCCCATCCAAGCCTCCTCAATCCCACCCATCATGGACGGCAAAGATGTCATTGGCAAAGCCGTGACTGGGTCAGGCAAGACTCTAGCATTTGGGATACCTGTACTTGAGAAGTGGCTATCGTCTCAGGCCTCGAAGGAACGGAACCCCACCGCCCTCGTTCTAGCGCCTACTCGAGAGTTGGCCCATCAGCTACATGACCATCTGATAGCACTTGCAGATGGTCTCGACCAACGACCTCGGATTGTCAAAGTTACGGGTGGCCTCTCCATTCTCAAACAACAACGTCAGCTGGAGAACGTCGATATCATAATCGCCACGCCAGGCCGGCTATGGGAAGTCATCAACGACTCCCAGGGTCTCATCGACCGCCTCAAGCAGCTCAAGTTCCTCGTCATCGACGAAGCCGACCGCCTCCTCTCCGAAGGGCACTTCAAAGAAGTCGAAGACATCCTCGATGCCCTCGACCGTGAAGTCCTCGACGAAAACAACAAGCCAGTCACGACGCGCCCAAAGCGCCAGATCCTCGTCTTCTCCGCCACCTTCCACAAAGCCCTCCACCAAAAGCTAGCCGGCAAGCTCAAGTCGCCCGCCTCCAACTCCAACCTTCTCAGCAACCAACAATCACTTTCCTACCTCCTGAGAAAACTCCCCTTCAGCCGCACCAACAAACCCACCTTCATCGACCCCTCCCCCACCTCCACCATGTCCAGCACGCTTCACGAAGCCATCCTACAATGCCCCGCCATGGAAAAAGACCTCTACCTCTACGCCCTCCTCCTGCTGAACCACGGCCTCAAGACCCTCATCTTCACCAACAGCATCTCCACCGTCAAACGCCTCACGCCGCTCCTCACCACCCTCGCCCAGCCCGCCCACGCACTCCACTCCTCGATGCCACAGAAATCCCGCCTCCGCAGCCTCGAACGCTTCCACGACCCCAACACGCACTCGCTGCTCGTCGCCACCGACGTCGCCGCCCGCGGCCTCGACATCAAAGGCGTCCAGCTCATCATCCACTACCACGTGCCGCGCACCGCCGACATGTACGTGCACCGCTCCGGCCGCACGGCGCGCGCCGACCACGCCGGCCGCTCGATCCTGCTGTGTTCGCCGGATGAGGTCGTGCCCGTGTCGCGCCTGATCGGCAAGGTGCACGGGGGAGAGAAGAACGAGACGACCAACAGGGCGCCCGAGACGATGCACGTGGAGCGTGAGGTCATCAAGCGGATCCGCGAGCGGGTCAGCCTCGCGAAGAAGATCACGGAGGCGGCGGCGGCCAAGGAGAAGAGCGGCAGTCGCGACGAGTGGGTGCGCGCGGCGGCCGATGAGTTGGGGGTCGAGTACGATAGTGACGAGTTTGAGGAGGTGGGGAGGCGGATGCAGCGTGGGAGGGGAGGGGGGAGGGAGAAGAGGGCCAAGGAGAAGGCGGAGGTGGGCAAGGAGAAGGTTGGGCAGTGGAGGGCGGAGCTGAGGGATCTGTTGAGTCGGAGGGTTAATATGGGGGTTAGTGAGAGGTATATTGCTGGTGGTGCGGTGGATATGGATGCGTTGGTGGATGGAAGGGGGAGTGCTGTGTTCTTGGAAGGGAAGTAGATGGAGAAGAGAGTAGATGATAGCCTTGAGGGGGGAGGGGCGTTTGCATAATACCTGTTTGTTGGTGGGAGAAGCCCAGCCGTTCCCACAGCCTTGATCTCCTTCCCAACGTTCTTCTGTTCTTGCGTGACTCTGATAAGCATCCGCAGTCGTCCGCGCGCGCAAGCTTGTACTTACAGCGGTGGCCCGCCGCCTGATCTCAACTTGCACGGGCTTGGATGAGCGCAAGGTTGCCGGAGTGACAATTCCGCTGTTCCCAGCACGACACGCGCGCATTCACGCAGACGCGGTGGCTATTCCGCGGTCTCCCTTGTGCTCAGCTGCCTTACGGCGGTTGCGTCGCAATCAGAACCGCTATAACCGCGGTGAGAGGAGATGAGGAAAGCGGTCCGCCGACCTCAGTCACCAGGCCAACACTCTCCTGAAAGTCTGGTTGTAATTTCGATTTCCCATCGAGCACGACGATGGATGGCCGTGTGCACCAGTCGTCGCCTGTCCGACAAGGACTTGGAAACAGGGCGAATGACATTGAATGACTCGCGCCGGTTGTATGGATCGAGCCCCCGGAAGCACGTCGCCTTACGATCACAGTCAGCACTCACATAGCAGCACGGGGCGATCCGACATGGTGGTTCGACGGAAGACCGGGCATTTGTTGTTATCCGGTTTGCTCTTTGGCGGTGAAGACCAGTCCTGTTGCACCATGAACGTGGAAACGAGGTGCAGTCCGTGACAGTGTTGCACCGGAGAGTCACGCGTCAGATGGCAAGGACGAGACTGGACGTTATGAATAACGAGTGCATCAAGATCTGTGCCAGGTACTGCTGACTTCGGGCTGGTGAGCCGAGGTGATGCCGCAATGGATTCAGGCTTGGCTGACTGGGCGTACTTTCGGCGTGCAACGTGAGCTCAGGTCTTGCATACCGGAGGGGTGTTCCGGCTAGGAGCCGGCGGTCCCTGTGAGAGGGAATTTATTAAGCACAAGCAGCCAGGTGACTGTTTGTGGGACAAGGCATCCACGACAGATAGCTCGGACAGGCCACATTGCAAATCAATCGCCAGGTATTGAGTCGTCATCTGTCAAGTACAGGACACGTCTCGCCGGGGGAAACAGGCAGCACGGTTACTCCACAGGCAGTCATTCGCAGTCAGAAATGGTAGCTGCAGGTCCTCTTATCGCCCGGCAGATGTTCGTGCAAGCTGGATCGGGTTTGCATGAACTGGCTTATGACTGCAGCTGTCATGCGCGCCCACGATCTGAGTCAAAAAGCATGACACGCAGGAGGATCCAGGAACGGGAGGGGAGGACGGTGGTTCGTTGGACAGATGTGTCATCCTGGGCCCGGTGGGTAAGGCTGATTTCGAGAGGTGTTGGAGCAGTTGGATCTGGTAGAGCAGCAAAGAATGCCAAGCCGGTGAAGCAACTAAGCCGTCTTCGAGTTAGGTCCGGCAAAGTCAGCCTATCGTGTTTCACCATAACCCAGCAAGCGGGTCCACCCCACACGGTAGAATGCGCAGCAGCTCTGAGGCTGAGCGTCCCAAAACACCAAGCCATTGACGATTGTGGCCCTCGCTCACAATGGAGGTATGGTTTCTCCGTCTCGTGCTTTGTGTTTAGTGTTTTGTGTTGGAACAACCCTGCGGTCACGAGCTGGCCGGCCGTAATATTGCTAATTCCGTATTGGCGCTCATGATGTCTGATGAGCCGCGGGGCATGTCTGAGGCCGCGCCAATGAAGCATCGAGGGAAAGGACAAACAGTCATTTCTCGAGACCCTCATGCAAGGCTTTGGTGCAAAGAAGTGTAGGTACTTTCAAAGCACCTGCCAGGCCCTGCAGCAGGAACTTTTGCTGCCTGCACTGCCACTAATTCTTTCGGGATTTGGTCGTGCCCGAAGCAGTTAGGCCGAGAGTTGCACAGGCAGAGATTGGCCTGTAAACTGCAGGTGGAGTCTGGCATGGGCCGCCCGTCTCCACTTGGTGGTTCGCGCCTGCCTGGTCGAGGTTTCTGCCTACTCAGGCCACACTCAGATGTGCATTGGTCAAGTTGGGGCGTTGCTATATCAAAGCCTTCCTCCTCAGACCAATCCTGCTTTCCTCTCCCTTCCATTCCATCCAACCACAAGTACATCAACGTTGCCCAACTTCATAGTATACCAGGCAAACTGCTCCTGTTGCCTTCGGCCACTACCATTCACTGCCTGTACCTGACCACCAACCAATACCTCAAGGTGTCTTCCCACGGGCGCACCACAACCTACTACTACTATCCCAAAGCACATGTGCTAGATCCTTCAAGGCAACATTACGAGTGCATCACGGTTACTCGCGACTCACCGAGTCCGCCGCCAGTTGCTACCCCACCGTTGACGCACTGCTCAACGCCCAATTCATCTCAACCGCCCACACCACAACCCAAACCAGCCACCATGGCCCGCACAGTCACATTTGAACAGCCTCAGGCCCGCGGGTCCCGCCGCCTGAGGGAAGATGAGCGCGCAGTCTGCAACTCATGGAGCAAGCATGCCGCCAAGTGCTCCCACTGCCGCTATCCCGTCGACGTATGGAGGAAAGGTGGCAAGCTATGTGACCGAGGCCGCATGTACGCCATCGACGTCGCCCAGTACATCTACTCCAAGGGCGGCCGCCCGTACAGCGTCATTGACAAGGCCGCGTACGGACAACGCAACGAAATCGAAATGCCCACCGAATACGCCGCGGTCCGGGAGTTGGTGAGAGCATTCGACAAGGGCTTGACCCTCGCCTCCAAGTCCAAACCCGTCATATCTCAAGACCGCGATTACTATGTCCAGTCTCGCGACTACGCCCCTCTTGAAATCGAAATTACTCCCTACTCGAGGCGAGAGCGAGAACGGTATCATGACGACAACCGCCGCAAAACAGTCCACTTCTCCGACAACTCATACCACGGGAGCCACTACCACGCCGACGAGCTAGCCCGACGGGAGCGGAGGAGATATGAGGCCGAGCCAATCATCATCCTGGCCGAACCTCGACGAACCAGCCGATACAACCGGTAACTTGGATCGGTCAGGAGTTTGGCATGTTTTCACGGCTGTATGAACATATTATGATACCCCAATGATGCAACAAAATTGCAACCAGTGCAATTGAGAAGACCAAAAAAAAAGGAAGAGCTTGGTAGTGAATGGTCCGGCAAGAATGTCTTGACCAATTGGCAGCCCGACTCGAAGCAGTTCACATGCCGGCGAGGATTTTATCAACACAAGGTGTCCGCTTGCCTCACATTCAGTGATCGGAGGTGGCGGGGAGGATATTATGAAATTTGGTATTCTGAGGAGGGATGTAGCAATACTGTACCTTGTTATCTACATACCAATGTATTAGGATTTACTCCTACACAAAGTCTTCTTCCTCTCTCTTTTACATTTGTGGTATTTGCTGCCTGCGATCGCTCATTCACTGCCTGTGACTGCCCCTCACAACGGCCGCCTCGTTGCCTGTATCGATAATGAAACACTGGGGAGCCCTCAGCAACCCCGCAACAACCACGACGCAACTCATCGACGAACAACACCGTGAGCTTCACAGTCGTGATTCAACAGTCATTTCGACTCACAAAGCTGCGTGACTCAACAGCACAAACGACCGTTGCCAAAATCCCCCAACCGACTCGTATCGTCACCTCGCATGCAGCGAGCATACTCCACCCTGCCTAGCTGCGTCTCGTTTGAGGACTAGACAGAAGTTCCCATCGGCCCTCCGCTTAAGTCCAGCAGCTAGCCCTTGGACCAAAATACCTGCAGCTTCAGCTCAGGCCCATCCTCTACCCGTAAGTCCTTCGCCCCCACCCATGCCACAGGACCTAAACCCGGAACTACGGCCTCGGCCACGACCGCGGTGGCCGCGCACAGTGTGGATGTGGATAAGCCTCCACTTCCCTTCCTGCACTGGCACCGGCACAGGTACTGGACTCGTCGTTCCAGTGAAGTAGCTCTGCTGACGCAAGGAATTTTGGAATTGGGGACATTTGTGCGTCAGGCCCGCTCCCACCTTGTCCCGAGAACTCCAGGCGGACTTCCAAAGGTCCCCCCTATCGAGCCCCTCTCTGCTTCGGCCCCGTCGCACGCGCCTCTGCGCACGACACACGCGTGTGTGGCGTGCGGCTCGCTTTCTCCCGCCTGCGCGCTCTAGCCCTTCCAACGCATAAGCAGGCGGCGTTCGTGGCGGGCACATGCTCTGCGCGTGTTGCGTGCGTGCCTCTATGCGAGGGGCAACACCTGTTTGCTTCGCCAAATTCGGCCGCATGTCGGGCGTTCCCTACAGCACCGCCATCGTCAGTGTCCCTGGATGTCACGTGGCCAGGCTCCCTCTTTGCCCCCAGCCGACGCTGTGGTGGAGGGTTGACTCAGAAAGAGGGGCGGGGGCCGTTTTGACAATTCTAGCCCAAGTTGCTCCCAGGTACTGTTCCTTATGCACTAAATACCGACCCAGTATTTGCAGCGTGCTCTCGTGCTTGCCGCTTTCGGAGATGGCAGCAGATTATAGGACTGAATGACGCCTTGGCCCCCTGGTAGTACTTGCCCGCAAGTATACGTCCAGCGTTCTCTTACAGGCCTGTACTGCCCGGTGTCGGGTCAGTCAGCATACTTGAGACTACAGGGGCGGCGTTATGTTCGGCCTTGCGCGTACTCCCGGCTGTCTACATATCGCAGCGCGGGCCGGTTTACGATGGGAGGAACTGCAGAATGACTTTTCGGCGACCAAAGGTAACCTCGACGCCAGGTGATCAAACAAGTTCTATGATGTACGTTCCATATGCAAACTGTAAGTAGTCATCTTCCACAGGCTTGCTAATACCGCCAGAGCCGCCATACCAATACTTGGCCTGCAGCAACTCACCCTCGTCCACACTAACATGACCCACCCGCACATATTGTCCTGGACGCTGATGCGTCTTCTCCAGTATCAACCCTCTCATCGGCCAGCCCTGCGGTGCCTGTAGTGATGTAGGACCTCGAAAGATCATGACATACCTCGAGTCATGCTCGCTATAGCGGTATGCCTCTGTGCGATGTCCGTCCTTCGTCCACAACACGTCGACTGGCGGTTCTCCGGATACTCGCCCGAGCAGCGCTCCTTGGAGTGTCAGCTTGCCGCCCTTTATAGCGCCGAAGATACCACCCCCTACCCCTTGCCAATCCGTCTCGATGGCCACCACTTCGATGCGCCATGTCGGATCTTCATCGCTGGCATCATCGTCGAAGGCGAATTTCCCGCGGTGGCGTAATGGAGACCATGATGGCAATTCGGGGAATACTTGATGCCGCCGCACATCAGAGTCAACATTCACGTCGCTTCTCCACGTGAGCTGCCGGCATCGGTTTCGCCAGCAGCTCCACAGCCCAGCCACATAACTGATGGTTGGGTTATTCGTGACGCGATAGAAATTTCTAGCCAGGGCTGACAACGCGACCAAGCGATCCCCGTTGTAGCTGACTCTGGTAGGGCCGTACAGCCGTAAGACTTCTTGCCATGCAGATATCTGTTCACCGATGCTCGTTTGCCAGCCACGAGCCTGAGTCTGGTTACTGAGATTCGCCTCCAGCCGCACCCAATTTTGTGGCAATCGCGGCATTCGCACACAGTGGGCATCATAACACCGGACCTCTTTGAAGAAGTCATCGGATGAGGTTGTGGAGGTTTTCTGTGTGTTGCAATACCAATAGACGTCCGCCTTGCAAAATGACAGCACCCTGGCGCTGAGTAGACACTCCTGAAGTACCCACCCTCGGCTGTTCAAGGGATCCTGGATACCCACGCCCTTCAGCTCGCGGTCCAGAAACGCCACAAAATGCTCTTCCGGTCCAGAGATGCCGAACCTGTCCCGGCCACCTAGAGAACGTCGCGGGAACTCTGCGGGCTGGTACATAAAGGCAGAGTTGTCGTCGAGGAACAAACCATCCCGGCCATCGAAACCGCCCGTGGCGGCAATATTGAACAACCCGCGTCGATATATCGTGTCCATCTTGGCGACTTCTCGCTTCCTGTCCAACGGGTCGTTCTGGATGATACACAGCGCGTCGATCCAGAGGTAGGTGAAACCCAAGTCGAGGACGACGCGCGCCGCATCTTTGAAGGTGCGTGCGTGCGGATGGTCCAGAGCCGCGTTGGAGATGCCACGATGCGAGAATTCATCGAGCGTCTCCGTTCGAAGTGTCAAGCCGGAGGGATGTCGTCCTGGCTCAGAGGAACCCCAGCAATGGCTCAGCGTTATGTAAGGGCTGTCGAGCATGTCGACATCGACCTCGACGAGCCGCAGAGACAACTGCTGGTGCAATCCATCCTCGCTGCTTGATTCTCCACCGCCAGCATCCTCGGTCGAACAAGCTGTGACTTTGAGGAGTCTCCTTGGCCCCATGTAAGTCTCCAGACTAGGCTTGGTACTCGACTTTGACCACATTCTGCACGCGTCGTGTGTCTCCTGGCAAGTCCGAAGGGAGTCTTTAATTGTCTTCATCGTCGCACTGTTCCAATTCCTGGTTGCTCGGCTGTAGTGAGCTGTCACCGCTGACTGGCCTGCATCATCGCCCCCAGTCAGCTTGACTGTACTGTAGAGCTATCATCGCTTTCAAACCTGGACCTCCCCTCCCCCATCATCCCACCCAAAGAAGGACACCAGATCCCACCACGAATCCAAAAAAAGAAAACTTACCTCGTAAGCACATATACATATCCCGCCCCACCCCAACCCCCCCATCCAGCCGCGCACGAGGCTGCACCCCTCCCCGCGACACAAAGAACGGCAGCCTCAGCCGACAATACGTCAGTCCCTCCTCGTCCCCGTCCTCCGTATCCAAGCCATGCACCCTCTGCTCCTCCGCATTCCACAGCCGACACAACCCACACCGCCCCGCCAAATGCAGCGCATCCGGCTGCCCCATCAACAAATAAGGCAGTCTCTGCATCTCAAAGCGCACGACCACCCGGCCCCGGCCGTCGCTCTCCTCCGGCGGCGCATCGTTGTGGTGCTGGATGCGCAGGTACGGGTCCGCAAGCGTCACGGCCGCCAGCTTGGCGCAGTGGCACTGATCTGACCTGCCCCCAGTGCCTGTAGCGGGCGGCGGGAGGTGGAGCGTGAGTGTGGTGCGCCGCTGCCCGTGATCAAGTTCAATTGTCATGTCAGCAGGCTCGGGCTCGTCGTCGTCGCGCCATTGCTGGATGAGGCGCGCCAGCCAGGCCTCGAAGGGCAGCGAGACGCCGGAGATGGACAGGGGGACGGCTGCCTCCATCGGTCAGCGGAGCGTCATTCTCCCGTCTAAGGCAGGGGTCTCGGTGTGTGCTCGAGAAAAAGGTCTTATGCGATAGCTGATGGGGGGGAAGTTGGGGTTCCCTAACACAAGGTCGCGCGCGGAGAGGGTTCTGGCCTTGCTTGATGCGCGCCAAGGGTGGGGTCAATGGTACAGATGGTGCCAGCTTCGCTGTCAGAGGAGCTATCACGGTGTCGTTAAACTTGTCGAGCTTTTATAGAGAGCTGTAGACTGTGTCCAGTCTGCTCGCCCGATGCAGCTACAGCGCATGTCTAGACATCTGTCTGCCCACACCATTGCCCTCAAACAGTCTGTCCATATGTCTGCTGTGTGTTCCAGTAGTTTGTCCGTCCGTCATCCAATTCTCCTGGGCTATATCGTTTAGCGACTTGATGGCTTCACGGATCTGGTTCGGGCACTCGATGGTGAAGCCCATCCAATCCATACTAGTAGTGTCTGTAATGATCGAAAGATACTACGATGGCGGTGGAAGCGCTTAGAGCTAGTAAAGAGTACGCGTTATGCTTGACTGATATTACATTAGTGATAGACTATTAGTACTGAGATATGTTCATCTGATTAGCCAAAATCCTGTTCAATGATCCAATCCTTCTGAAGCCGATTTAGACGTTCTCCTTAGCTTCGGCCTTTCGCGCAGCTCTCTCGGAAGCAGGGATTATTAGATGACTGCAATTACATGTCAGTCTCAAGTAGTGAAGACGTCTGCAAAAGATCACTTACCTCAAGTCCCCAACAGGCAAGATAAGAAGATCCACAGAGGCAGTAAGCTGCACTAGGAGTTTGTTAGCTTTCCAGACAGGGGCAAAGAATGAGACGAGATGCTACCAAATAGCAGATACCACCCCAGCAGCGCCACAACAAAGAACCCAGCTCCGCCAACCTTCAACAGCGTCAAACAGTACCCAAATCTGCCCTGCGCATTCCACCAGAATGCGGCAGCAAAAGCACCGAAGGAAGGCACTAGTACCAAGAAGATGGTAAAGAAGATTATGTTGGTTCGGATCGAGCAGATCAAGTAGATCAAACAAAGCAGGCCCATGAAGCAAAGGAAAAAGCCGAATCCAGCCTGGAAAACGGGGCTTTCGGCGCCTGAGCCACTGGTTTCGCCCGCCGTGGCGTAGCTAGTGAAAGCGTCGAACTGCTCGGTGAGTGTGGCGCCGTAAGTGCCCCAGAAGCCGGCGAAGGAGCAGAAAACGACAAAGGAGAAAGTGTTACCGAAGAGGAATTCAAGAAAGCCGCCGAGAAGCATGAGGACGACACCGAAGACTGGTCAATAAGGTTAGTAGTCTACTGAGAGCGATCGACGAGGGATGAACTCACACCAATAAGTGCCGTTGACTGACGCGCCGTAGTATTCGGCGCCAGAGCCTCTCCAGCCCTGACTCAGTTAACGAGTGTGTTGGGAATGGTGCGAGGAAACGTACCACGAGCTGGCAGGAGGCGGATGAGATTGGTAGAAGGAATCCAACGAGAGCCACACTGAATATTTCAGTTCCACGCACTCACTTTTGGGCCTGGCTCAATACATACGGAGTGGGATTGGCGAACCGTTTGCGTGCGTCGCCGACTTGGTTTGCTTGCGGCGGCGAGAGGTAGAGCTTCTCAAACAGCTCACCGGATATTGACATGGTTCCTGCAGTAGTCAGTAATGGACAAGGGGGCAAGGGCGTGCAACTGACTTGCTATCTTCTCCATGGTCTCAATGTGCGAAGGGTGGGTGGTCAAGCCATAGTCAGAATTCTAGGGGCACATGTAAGTATCGCGAACTGAACAGGTGTTGCAGCTACTCACATTGCTCTCACGGTGGAGAGCTTGACCATTCGGTGTCTCCTCCTTCGTGCTATCGGCGAAATCTCTGTTCTCCATTATGAACTGCAAGAAGTGTCACTGCTGTTCAGGCAGTAGTATTCGTGACTGGGGAGCAGGAGTGGCAGAGAAGCGGCGATGATGGCCTGCTGGGGGGGGGGGGGGAGGCTGCTGCCTTGGGTGTTCTTGAAATTCCATCGACTCCCTTTACCCGAGGGTCAACTGTTGTTCGGGCCTCCCATTTCCCCATGTCTAGATCGTCGCTAACCCACACTTCACGATTCTGAGATAGATCTCTCGTACCTTTAGACTTCACAAAACCTGGGGCAGTCTGACGTGAGAAGTTTATCGAATCCGGAGTGTCCGGTGCGCACACCAAGTTAGTAAAGCAGCAGCATTGGATCGTATGTGTCAGTAGGCTCTTGATTCCTACTTGCAAGAGATGGGCAGTAGCAGTAGTCCAGGTATCACTGATACCTCGCAGGCAGTAGAACGGGGGTGTTCATTTAAGCTCAGGCGTAGTTAGCAATTCTGTCAGCGATTGAAGCGCTCCTTCGAGCCCGCGCTCAATTAAAGCTGAGTCGACAGCGATACCTCAGAGAATGTGCTTTGTCCATGACGATACTATACTTCGTAATTCAGCGAGCGGGGCACACATTTCCGAGTGACATCCTGAATCGTAGATTGAATGATTAAGGCCATAGACTCGTCAGCACTCTATTACCCCACAAAGGAAGTACTCCAGAGAGCAGGGTCTCGAAGAACTGCTCGAGCAATTGCGGAGACTTATTAATCTATCCAAAGTAGAAAGTATTTGCATCGCCAATGGCGACAAAGTGGCAGCGAATTGGGGATATCACTTCCAACTATGCACTGCGGGAAAAGGCTCCAGATGACCTGATCAGCATCAGGACTACATCAAATCCGAAGTTTCAGACAGACCGCTACGCAGCAACTTGGTGTATTGTTGTACGAGAGTATGCCAATTAGTTCGCGGCTCTATGTTAGATGCACTGAAAATCATACTATCGGACTGATGGCCTGGCTGATGTCGGTTTTTGTTGTCTTTGACGATGGAAGTCTTCGCGGTGTGCAAAACTTACATGGTACTTCGGAACATGTTTCCAACAGCCTTCGCTACAGCCTCCGTTGCAGTTTGGAGAGGTCGAGAGTAGCGGCACGTGTGCCACGATTCAGATAATGTGTTTCGCAGACGGGCTCTATGAGAAGTAAACGGTTATATTGTAGAAGAATAAAGTCCGCTCGAAGAACTAGAGAATCACCAATGCCTCTCCACCACTCTTCCATCCACCTCCTTCTCCACCACCCATCGGGACTCCTCCGCCAAAGAACTCCTCGTCCAACCCGCGTAGTACAGATTGCGCCCCTCCTTGACCGCACGATTCCGCTCCTTCCCTCCTAAGCACTCCATTCCTTCCATCTCCGCCCTAACGCCATTTCCCTCATTACACAGCATCAACGCCACTCCAGCCAGAGTATCTGGTTCTCGCGGCATTTGCATCTTCTCATTCGTGACGCGCCAAAAGAACAGGCTCACCAATGTGACAATCATCGTACCCAAAATCGCCATGGATGAGTAGACACTGGCCAGAAACGCCTTGTAAACCTGGCTGCGATTGAACGGCACTCCAGCAATCATGATGATGAGTGCATCACTCAAGATTGCCACAAACGCGACCAGCGCGTAGAACCATTCGCCCCTTGCCAGCGCGCCCGGTAGACTTGTGACGGGCGTGCCATTCAAATTCACAAGCACCGTGACCTGCGGACTGGCGCGTCGGGCGCTGAGCCTCCGATACGGCGTTAACACGCGCACTTCGCGCTCCAGAGTCTTCCAGTGGAGGCTGGTCAGCACAGCGAGCGTGGTCAACAACAGGCGTGGGCCGGCATCGCCTCGGTTGAAAAAGCGATTGAACGCATCGTCCGCACTGGCTAAGAAGTAGCCCAACACCAAACCGAGCATTGCGCAGATCCAGAGCAGAAACAGCGCGTCGCGGAGCATGCGCTTGGTGTGATGTGCGCGTGCGCTGCTCGTGGTAGGGGCGTGGCGGTTGTACGGATTTGCGATAGTGCCGTACTTTGTCGAGGGGGAAAGAAGTGGGGAGTCATCCTTGAGAATCCCGTAGTGGTGAGCTCCAGCAGGTGTCTGGTGATAGTCCAAGCGGAAACGCTGGCCAGAGAGGCAATGCGTAATGGTGGTGTCAGTGGCGTTAGGATCGAGCGCGCGTAGCTCCTCGAGAGTCTCAGGGTGGGTGAGTAGCGCAGCCAGAGATGCGATACTGGACGGATTGGAGAAGACACCGGACTTGCGGCGGTGGTTGACGACGATCAGGATGAGGATCATGACTGCAATGACAGATAGCAGTGCTTGTAATGCGCGACCATAGCTTTGGTCAATGAGCCACATGGGTGAGCATGGTTGGTGATTGCCGTCAGGTAGATTGCACCAGTCAGTGGCTTGTACCTTCATCGTCGCGGTAGCGATCGGAGAGAGCGCCGCCATGAACGCGTAGATGATGATGACAAACATTAAGACCCATTGACCTTTGAACATGGAACGGAAGGACTTCCACGAGAGCCACGTAGAAAGATAGTTCGCGAGTAGCGACTCCTCTGCCGAGGCACCATCGGGTCGGTGTAGTTGATAGAAGGGTTCCATCATCTTGGTGTTGCAAAATACCACTGCCCAGACCTCTTTGATGAAGACGGCTATAAATACAGACAGGTAACTAGCGTAAAAGTAATCCCAGTCGTCAAATGTGTCGCTCAGCTGTCGATCTGAGGATGACACAGAAGGCAGCACGTCAGGCTTTGATGTGCTGGTAGCCTTCCCGCTGGTAGTGGTGGTCTGATCAGCTGGTAACGCGACAACAGTGACGTACTGCGCTCCATCGGTGGGCATCGAGGTTGCATAAACAACATACGATTTCGAGCCCTGAACAATGGTTGATACCGGGATGCGACCGTCAGCGTTGGAAGTAGGCTTTGGCCTTGCGTAAATGATGAGCGCCTCTGAGCCCTGGATGACAGTCGAGACCGGAACGAGTCCGTTGGTATTGGGAGTCGACTCTGAACCTAGAGTGACGGTCGCGACTTGAACGAGCCCGCTAGCGTCGGCTGTACGCTGTGGTTGGGCATAGACGATGAATGATTCAGAACCCTGGACAATGGTGGAAACCGGAATGAGGCCGTTGATGTCAGCGGGCGTCTGTTCGGCTTGTATAATTTGCGCTCCAGGGTTGTCTCCATCGACCACAGTCACTGCACCATCAGCCAAAGTGACCACAGATGGTGGTTTGATCATCGCGTAATCATCTGAAGGTGCTGCTCCAACGCCTCCACCCTCGTCGGACCCTGTAACATGTGGAGCTGCGACAGTCAAATAGCCACCACCATCGGTAGTGGCGGATACAGTGAGATAGGTGTAATCCGAAGTTGGAGGCGCTGGCCCAGGTGTACCTAGTGGATTCGAGTCGGGGGCGTCGACGCCAACGGTTGGTGTGATATAGCCTCCACGTATTGTTGCGCTAGAGCGGGTTGTGTCTGGATTGGCCGGAGCTGCTGGTGCAACCGGTGCTGGAGTTCTGATGTCAATGTACTTCGTCTTCGTTCGGGTTACGGTTACTGCAACACATCCACCGTCATCTGTTTCCTCTGGAAGTAAGCCAACGATATCACCTTGTGCGTCTTCGCCTGCAACCACTACTGTTGATGTCTGTGTCGATTGCCCGTCCGCGACACCGACGGTTCTGTACGCAGTGACTTCAGTGGTCGCAGTGGCAGTGACTGTGCAGTCACTTGCATCACCGCCATCGTCGTCACCATTATCGTCGCCCGTGGGATCGTCGGTAGGGGTAGCTATCTTCACATAGCTCTGTGATGTGACAGTCATGGTCTTGGTTATGCATGACGATCCAGAACCTTGTGGAGTATCTCCAGCGTCCACTGATACCGGACTTGTGCCATCCTCGGCGTAGTACTCGACAACCGTCTGAGTGACATAGCAGGGTGTTGGGGTCGACTCCGAGGTTTCAGAGGCCACGTAAGCTTCTTTGACCGTTGTTGCTGTGGGCGGCTGGGTTGTCGAGGACGCGACATCTTCTGGATTCTCTGCCGCAATGTACGCCACGCTTGTTATGGCTGCTTCTGTTGTTGTCGATGGCTTGGTAGGTGTGACATATGCAATTGCAGCAGTAGTAGCTGCAGACGTTTGTCGTACGACCAAATGTGCTGAGGTTGGCTTTACTTTGGCTTGGGCTGCGACGAGATCGACAACAGAACCTAATCTGAAGGCCGCCTCGATGGCTCCTATGCATCCGAGCACGAAAATAAGGACTCCGGCCAGGAAGACAGTCTTTGTCGAGACGGGCGTGTAGTATTTGCGAACGGATTCATTCTGCTTGACTGATTGAGAGGCTTGTTCGAGGTATATCAGTATTCTCAGCCTGATCAATCAAGGTGGGGCTCGAGGCGGGAGAAACTCACAAAGGCGCCTCACAGCTACAACAGGGCTTTTTGTAGCTTTAAACAACCACTTGAGAGGTCGAGGCATTGTCAACTGGCAAGTTGGTATCCATCAGCGGTCTCAGAATTGTGAAGATAGCAGGCTGGGACGTGTGTTGGCAATATGGTTTTGGGGTCGTTGGCCCAAGATATGGGAGCCGGTCTGCAGCCTCTTCCAATAGGGCTGGCATGGCGTCTGCAGTGCTCGTGTACCGGCCTTGACCTGCACGGCTGAGTTGTGCAACGAAGGTATTGGGCGGTGGGATCCGGCGGCTGAGCCATCATACGAGTCCAGGCTTTCTTCAATGCATCGCCCCCACGTTTACCGTTGCTGATTGGCCAGTCCTGCATCTGCGTCTGCTCGCTACACGAGTCTCTCGGTTGTCGACAGCTTGTTCCAAGAGGGCTTGGATGAAGCGAATAAATTTTTGTATTGCATGAAAGAAAGCTTCTTAGAGCCGTACACATATGTTACACGGTGCTAAGATTAGCGAGACGTCGAGGCAGTGTTTGCCGTGTCGTCGATCCCAAACCCAACCCCTCGTGGCAGTGGGTCTGGAGACGGTTTTGATTGGTCGATTTGTTGCTGTCGCCCGCTGCATCTTGCCTGCAAGACTCGTATTCGACCGGTCGCTCTTTGACATTTGACGACGATAAAACGAGGTTTTTCTGGCGTGATGCTGGAGGATTGAGATCGGTTGGCCTTGAAGGAAGCTATTCTGCACTCCTCTTGGCAGTCACGTGCGTCCTCGAATGCTCCTTCCGTGAGAGCTCGTCTGCCTTGCGAGCTTCGGTCCTCGGCCCGCATGTGTCAACTGACGGCGAGGCCAGCAAGTCCCTGCCGCGATTCGTGTTCGGCTCGAGTGTACACAGCAAGCCAGGCAGACAAGACTTGTCTCAATTCAGTTCTGCAGCCTGGACATGTCATTTGTGCCCCCGTTTAGCCGACAGAACATTAGAAGAGGTCGTCGCCTTATACCACCAACATCATGAGAGAAAATACTAGTAACTGTATCAGCCCTAGTCCCAGGTTTCCTACCCTGCAGCGCCCCTCACAATCCCTCTCGATGCGCCACTTAGACCTCGGTGAGACCCTGAATCACTATCTTGCCGCGTGATCGGCCAGCTCTCAACTGTGAGAAGGCTTGCTTTGCTTCTTCGTAGGGATACACACGGTCCTTGACCACCTTGATTTTCCCTTCTTGCAGCCACCGGCCCAAATGGGTGAGAATCTTGGTGTCTGTTCCAACGTTGTGCATCAAGAATCTGCGCTTGGGGGCACCCAGCCAGGTTGGCAACAGGCTTTCTGCCTCAGATTAGCTCATATCCGGGTTGCAGCACGCGTTAACTCACTCTTGAGCAGGCTCATCATGCCCCAGACACTGACTGGCAGACCCACCTGCACAAACTTGGCACCCTCACTGGTGTACTCCTGCACCCGCCCCCAGATGTCTGGATCCAGGCCGACATTGTCCACCACAAGCTGAAATTTCTTCCCTGTGCCCTTCAGCCTGTCCACCACAGGGTCCTTGCGATAGTCTATGACTTCATCGGCGCCCAACTCCCGACATAGTCCTACATTCGCCTCGCTGCACGTAGTCGCCACCCAACAGCCCATCTGTTTAGCAATCTGGATACCAAATGTGCCCGTGCCACCACTCCCCCCGTTGATGAAGACACTGTCTCCGCGCTTCACGTGCGGCACAATGCATTGATACATGGTCGTTGCCGCCGTGCCCAAGCAAGCGGCATCACCTGGATCCACATCCTGCGGCAGGGGCACGACCTCGGCGTCCGACGCCACAACATACTCGCCCAAGGTGCCGTGCTTCTGTGGCTTAAGTAGGCGGCCGAAGACGATGGTGCCGTCCTTGAAGAGATGGCCGGCGCCAGAGGTCGTGACGCGACCTGCAAAGTCGATGCCTGGGGCGGAGGGCCGGGCTACCAGCAGGCGGCCGATGAGTGGGAAAGAAGGAAACTTGTAGTCGGCGGGGTTAATGGCAGTGGCGAGCACACGCACGAGGGACTGGTTCGGTGCGAGGGACTTGGCGTGTTTGGGCAGCGGAGCGGTGGGGTTCAGGGTAAGGTTGGCTTCGAGGGTAGGGGAGGTGGAGGTGAATAGGTGCGCGCGCATCGTATTGGGTATGAGTGGTTCGTTTGACATGGTGTGCTTAGCTGTAGGTCGTGAACTGATTGAGGCTGTTGGCGCTCAAGACTGTACTCGAGTCGTCAGTCTACTCCAGCGCTCACTATCACGTAAATATAACGCCGTCATTCAAGGAGCCCAGACTGTGGTGCGACCCATCGTCAGGTGGGCTATAAGAATGATCAGCAGGCACCTATAGAGCTATATCAACGCCCCCTCACCTGATTGAAGTCGCTTCATGCGGCTTACTCATTGCGGCAACCGTAGGTAAGGTTGCTTCCCCCCAGCGAGACCATTGACTCGGGGTTCGCAACGCAGGTTGCTCTCCTGGAGCCCGTCTTCGCTGCTCAGTACGGGACAGTGGGATCCGTTGAGCCCTCCGCATGGATAAAATAAGCCAGTGTACTGTACCTGAGGCAATATTGCGTCTAGGGCAGCCCTGTCTTGGCCGTCGCGTGAAGTCGGACTCTTAAGCGAATAAAGGCGAGATGACAGGGCTAATTTTAGGCGATGATTACTCCCACGCCTATCAGACCGTACCGAACTCAATGCGCTACTTATCTCGCAACCTCACTCTGAATGTCCACGATTCTTATCGTTGCCAACGGATGTCGAAGCATCTAAGAGACCCTTCGAAGTTGCTTGTAATTACCACTTCAGCCATCCCTATGGAGTTAGCCGAGACCTGCTCCTGGACCCATCTTGCGTTCAGGGGATTCATCCGCAAATTCTGCACTTGGCCATGAAACATGCGTATCACACTGGCTAGGACTCACGAACTGCGAACTGCACGTGTCCTATACTTTGCACAAGCCGCCCCTGAGCCCACTTATGGCTATCTAACGCCTTAGTCACTTCGAATTGGCCATGGCTGATCATGGCTGATGGCACCACTCAACGCGACTGATCCACCGCCCAGTATCTGAAGCGATCTCCACCAGCAAAATTAGTATCATGGATCTTCTTGTCTCGGGAAGAATCTCAACGATAGCATGTCCACGTTCATATCGTCAGCCTCCTCATCGAGGCCTTCTACCTCCGCCTTGATGCGTTGACGACCATGCTGGTACTTCCCCCGCCGGCCAGGTGGCTAGCATTGGCCTTCAGCGCTCTAGCAGTCATCTTTTTGATTCATCAGGGACGGCCGTCCGCCGCGCCGCTGTTGACCGGCCTTCGAGACATGGCTCACTTTTCTCCCAAGCCTGCCACCAATTCATCTGAGCTGCCTGACCCACCGTCAGGCTATGACGGGCCTTGCATTGCCTCGGGCGACGCTCAGTATTCAGCATCGCCTAGCCAAAATCGCTCGAGCATTGTGAAACTATCGATGCTCTACTACGACACCGTAACCTCAGATACCGAAGCCTACGAGCGCGCCATGCAGTCCCACGTCCCCCACGACGTACAGTTCGGCTACGACCACTTCATCCTCCGCCGCGGTCTCGTGGCTGGCCTCTGGACCAAACAAGCCCAGATCCTTCAATTCCTGATCCAAGAACTCGCCAAGGCCCCCGACCAACGTTACGAATGGATCTTCTGGCACGACGCCGACTCAGTCCTCGTCAACCACAACATCCCACTGGAAATTTTCCTCCCACCGCCCGGCTGGGAGCACATCAACTGGCTCGTCTCCAATGACCTCAGCGGCCTCAACGCCGGCGTCTACCTCGTGCGCGTCTGCGAATGGGCTGTGCACTTCTTCGCCGCCAGCCTCTCCTACCCGCTCTACCACGCCGACAAACACCTCCTGCACGACGAGCAATCGGCGCAGGACCTCCTGCTGCGCGAGGCCCGCTGGCGCAACGCCACCATGCACCTCCCCCAGCGCTGGTTCAACGCCTACCACAACTTCGGCACCGACAAGGACGTGCCGCCCGAGTGGCGCTGGGAGAACGGCTACGCCGAGCCCGGCGACATGCTCGTCCACTTCCCCGGCACCGTGCCCGAGTTCCGCGCCCACGTCATGGACGAGTGGCTGCAGAAGAAGCGCGAGCGGGCCGACGAGTATTGTCCGCCGCTGGACCGCACGAGCTACGTCCAGGATGTCGCGAGCTTTTGGGCTGACGAGGCGCCGCGAGAGGAAGAGGTGCAGGCGGCGTTCTGGCGGCACTATCATCTCATGTCGACGGTGGCGCCGGCGCAGGATCGGTTGAAGGAGCAGGAGCAGAAGGCGGCGAGGGAGCGGTTGGGTGAGGGTGCGTCGAGGGAGGTGGTGAGGCAGGAGATGCAGAGGATCACTGAGAGGTGGAACGAGAAAAAGATTGAGGCGCTACGGGAGGCCGACGAGGCGGCCCTGGCAGATGGGAAGGTCTATCTCAACGACCCATGATCTGATGCCGGGTGTTGTATAACTATTTATCTTTCATAGAGGCGCCCTTTCGGCGCATTGCTTGTTTTTGTTTGGGCGTATGCATTAGCGACGGGGACTCACGGTGTTACTTGGAGTTACAGTGGCCATAGACACTTTGTCCAGAGTCCTGAAAATCGGAGCAGTCTTTTGTAGAACATGGGTTGTTGGGCAGACGGGACTTTGACGGAGTACCCCGTAGTATGTAGATATCCTTGTAGTATAGAGGCAGTTGCATCTGGTGATTTGGCAAATATATACCCCTCCCTCGTGTCATCCGCCTGGATGCATTTATATTCCTCCAAGCTTGGTCGACTGCGCGAAACATATAGTCAACGACCCATTGTTCGGCACATCCCACTCGTATAGAATCGACGGCCCTACCACATCTTCAGTAATGCTAAAGTTCCAGCATGCCACCCGCGCACAACCATTTCTACGAAGTCATCACGCAACCCTTTTTCGCTAATGGCCCCCCTCCACGCCAAGCGTCCACCACCCACTCACCTAATCCGTGACGCCCAACGCATCCCCACCACCGGCCCCGAAAGCCCAATAAGACCTCCTGAGCATTCTTGCTATATAAACAATCAAATCAGAAATTTCCTCTAAATCAAGCACACAAAACTCACGGGTTCCTTAGCTCAGTTGGTTAGGTACGAATTTTCTCTCTGCCCTACCCGTCGCTAAGACATGATAAAGTAAATCATGCTAACATACCCTGTTCTAGAGCGTCGTGCTAATAGTTGTCACCTGACAATACTGAGAGTACGCGAAGGTCGCGGGTTCGACCCCCGTAGGAACCATTCGGATGACTTTGTTTTTTGGTTTCTGAAGTTCTCTGGTGCTTGGAGTTGGGTAGATCCGCCAGGGGAGGAGGGGATGAGTTGAGTGTAGTGGTGTTGCGCGGGAATGGAGCCGGAAAGAACTATGATGCTCTTTGCCTTTTTGTCGACACCGCAGGTGAGCTATCATACTAAAGCGCGATATACAAAAGGGTAGGTCGGAATGGCGGCGACGCTGAGAGGAGCATTGTGGTGATGTTTTGCTGCTCCAACACGCGAGACGAACTCGACTGGTGAGGATGGAGTACTGAGCACACCCCGTGCAGAGAAGCAATGCTGCCAATGCATCGTTGTGATAGTAGAACATTAATGATGTCAATCAGTCAGAGGGAAGTAGTAGCTACTATCAACAGGCGAGCTGGGAGCATTGAACGTATGGATTTGGTGACCACGATAGGACATATCCCGGCACATGGCATCCCTTCTTGGGATGAGAATGTGAGCTTGTCATACTGGGGGTGCCGGCTCAATTCGCGGATTGCTCAGTCGCGATCACTAACATGCGCTCAGTAGCATCCGTGCCGGAGGTCTTCAGTCTAAAAACCTCGTTGGATCTTTCCATTCATCCATTTTGCCATTGGCCCATGTAGACTGTCAGCCGAACGCCTAATGCTATGATGGTAGTGAGTACAGTCCGACCTGCCATCGAACTCAGACTCGTCCCATGACGAGACCAGAGCCTCCAGTGACAGATGAGTAACCAGAAACATGCACCTAGCCAGACTCAGGCTCCTCTTCCTTAGCCAGACCATGTTCTCTCAGCAGGCTCATAATCTCGTCTCCGCTCCATAGATGGTGATAAATCTTGCCATCTTTGGTCCTGCCAACAGTCGCAAACTCAACTATCCGATGTTAGTTCCAATTCCAATTCCAATCACAGATCAATTTACTCACTCTTCTCACTGCTCAGGGTTGTGCTGTCCATAGTCTTGCTCAGCACCTTGACTGCCATTCCGCACGCCTCTTTCAGATCACACTCCTCCTTGTAGTCCTGCTTCAGAAGACTCTGCGCACTGGCATTATTGGCGCCCACGCTGGTAGCCTTCCACCCACCGTAATTGCCGCTGGGATTGCTCTGATATAGCTGAAACTGACGCTGGGCGTCCCAGCCGGCGTAGATGAACGACACACCAAACGGACGCAGACCACCATGCTGAGTGTAGCCTTGCTTTAGATCGCATAATCGCCGCACAAGTTGCTCGCAGGGAATGTCGACATCGTAGGTCAAGAGGTAGCGCTGCGCGGCTTGTCGGGCATAGTTGATGAGAATGTTCGCATCGGCGGTCATACCAGCAACGGCACAGATCATGTTACTGCAGCGAATCAGCAATATTCCGCGATATTTCAGGTAACATACTCATTGAGGATGTAGAGCTTCTCCGCCGAAGTGTCTTGCTCTAATAGCTTGCTGGTGACTTTTCTCTCTGCGGCAAGGACAATGCCATCTTGTGCGAGGATTCCGAGCGCAGTGCCGGCGTGTGAGATAGCTTCAAGCGCATATTCGACTTGGTAGAGGCGGCCTTCTGGCGAGAAGATGGTTGTCTGCGTCAATTAGTGGATGCGGTGGGAATCCTTGCATTGGCTTACTCTCGAATCGTAGCGACGAGACATGATGAGCTGACTTGGTCGAAAGGGCAGATGTTAGCGAGTAAGGAGCAGATGGAGAAGGCGTCAAGTCAAGAGTAGATCTGCTTGTACGTGGGATTGAGTGTCGAGCAGGCAAGCAGCGACTGTCGCGTCGACAACGCCGTAAGGCTGGCCAATCGGAGTGCACCATTCCAACCTCACATCAAAAGTTCCTGCTTGGTGGATGCGTCCCCCGCTTCGACATTGTATGCGACATACCTTCGAACATGCTGAAGTCGACACATAAGAAGGAAGGACTACTTCCGTCGTCGTCTTTGCCCGAAGGATGGACCGAGCATACCGCTCCCAGTGGCCACAAATATTACTACAATGCTTCCACGAAGCAATCTACATACACCCGCCCGGCCCTTGAACCTCCCGCTTCTAGCATCTCGCAAGATGAACCACTCTTCGCCGAAGAGGCAGCGCCCGACCCTGTCATGCTGGCCACTCTACGGGCGCAAGAGGAATTCTCGCGCAACAACGCTGGTGCCGGCCAACAGCAAACGGGCCATTTCACCGGAGGCAAAAGCTACCAACAGCGACCACCACGCAAAGGCCACGGAGGCGACAGGCCGAAAAAGAAAAAGGAAATCCCAGGCCAGGAGCCGTGGGTGCTGGTGTACACAAGGTTTGGACGGAGGTTCGTGCACAATACCGAGACAAAGGAGAGTTTGTGGAAGTTTCCACAGGAGGTGATGATGGGGGTCATCGAGATGGAGGCCGCGGAGTGGAAGAAGAAGCAGGAGCAAGATAAAACCCAAGACCTGGGAGATTCAGCAAAGGAAACAAAGACGGCAGAACCTGGGGGCAGCGCTGCTCAGAAGGCAGCTACCCACGAGCCTACGTCCAGAGCGACTGAAGAGCGGCACGACCGCGGCGGCTACGAGAGCTCGGATTACGAAGAAGTTGAAGTCACCGACGACGAAGATGAAGCCGGTGATGCCGATGGTACAAACAAGCGCGCCCGCCTCGCAGCCGAGCAGGAGCCCACAGCACCTACCGGTCCAGCCGAGATGACAGAAGACGACATAGCCTGGCAGCTCGCGCAGATGGAAGCCGACGACGGCGATGATGCATACGACGACTACGACGACTATGACGTGGACAACGATGTCGATGGCGAGGACGGAGACGCCAACCCAGAAGACGGCGGCCTGGAAATCACTCCCGAAGACAACATCTTCCTCTTCCGCTCCCTCCTCGACGAGACCCACATCTCGCCCTACGCCACCTTCGACAGCCTCCTCACAGATCCCCGCCTCATCGACGACTCCCGCTGGGTCGCCCTGCCCAACATGGCCTCCCGCAAAGACGTCTTTGCATCGTGGTCGCGCGACCGCGTCGCCGCGGAGAAGGAGCGCCGCGCCGCCGAACCACAACGCAAAGAAGACCCGCGCGAAACGTACCTGCGCTTCCTGGGCGACAAGGCCAGCACCAAGCTGTTCTGGCCCGAGTTCAAGCGCAAGTTCAAGCGCGAGGAGATCATGAAGGCGTACGAGCCCACGGAGAAGGAGCGCGAGAAGCTGTACAGGGAGTTTGTGGGGAAGCTTAAACTGCCCGGTAGCACGAGGAGGAAGGAGTTGGGGGAGCTGCTGAAGGGGTTGCAGAAAGGGGCGGACGTGCAGCGGGAGGTGGTGAGGGACGTGAGGTACTGGGCCGTAGAAGCCAAGGAGAGGAATGAGATGGTCAGCGCATGGATGGGAACGTGATGTGCGACATAAGAAGACCGGCAGGGACATGATGTGATACGGTAAATGCCGCAGAGCTGTCTCTGCATGACGGAAAGCAGAGCAAATCCTTGAGCATACGTTAGCCGGCTCGAGCAGTACAGACTCGGGAAGGGGTTAATCAAAAAGGTGAACGATGCCCGCCCGGAATAACTTTTTTTCGCCCCCTCTCATTCCCTGTGCAAGTCCAGCATGTTTCCTCCAATGCATACTATCCTTCCAAGTGCGTCGCACGCAAGCCCCACTAGCACTTGCTCGTAGTCCATCTTTCTCTGACGCCGGGGATTTGCTGTTGTACAAGTTCACGGCTTGGAGGCGAAACTGGCCGACGAGGCCTGTCTGCTCCAACGATCCGGGTCTGTCGAGTCTGTGCCTGCCAGTGCTTGCCAGTGCTAGCTTGACAGCCTGGGCCAGGGTGGTGCGGGATTGAATTGCAACAGCGATTGGCTACACCATGAGAGCTGCGGCTGTCAGGTATAAAGCAACATCAGCTCCCTCCTTACCACGCGCTGACATCAAAGCTTGCCTGTAAACATTGATTAGCATCTGCTTGTTGCGGTTGGGATCTCAAGTGGGTTTAGCCTACCTCATCAAAGTAAGTTGTGACCACTGTGCGGTCGGCAAACTTCCTTCCAGCCAGCTTCTCAAGCGCCAGCTTTGCTTCTTCGGGCTTTTCGTACTTCAGGAAGATCTTGCCCACACCAGTACTCTGCCGGCTGCCACCTGAAGGGCGAGGGATCTTCATCTCGATGATGGTACCGTATTTGGAGCACTCTTCTTGGATGTCTTCGCAGATTTCTGTAGAGGGTTAGCACGGGATCGAAACCAGTGGTCAGGCTGAATCGCATACCTTCATAGTCGTCATTATCAATCAGCTCCTCGGCGGTAACCATATTGAGTAGCTGCAGAACCCGACCGCCCTCAAGGTCGTTTGACTGAGTACCAGCGAACATAGACATGGCATTGACACCCATATCGAGGCCGGAGGCTTGCGTGAAACCAATCGATGCACGCACGACCTTGAGCTTCGCGTCGCCAAGTTCCATACCGTTAAGTCCTTCGATAGCAATATTGGTAGAGGACGGATCTTGGTACTCGCAGAAGGCAATACCGCGTGACTCGCCGGTACCATTGTCCTTGACGAGAGTAAAGGCGCGGAGATCACCAAAGGATTTTAGTAGCTCAACAATCTGCTCCTCAGTGAGATAGGGCGGAATGTTGGAGACGCAGATCTTATTAGCAGAGTCAGGGACCACTGCTGATATTTCACCTGGCGTGTACTCGTCGTCCTCCGCCGCAGGAACAATATAGTCTTTTGGGCGCTTGATGTCGAGGCCAGCTGGAGGGCCGCCACTACCGTTCGCCGTTGCCAGATGCTGCGGCATAGTGATGCCATCCAAGGCAAGAGCCACAGTAGTTTCAATGGCCGACTTGAACTCACACAGCGCAAACTGTTTGTTGTCGCCCAGATTGGCAGCAATGCAGGGATCGTTGTTCGTCGTGACATTGAGACCGTTCAACTGCAGATTGAAGAACTCTAGGATGTCTGATTCTGAAGTGTTGGCTGGGATGTTGTAGACAAACAGGCGCTTTGATTGCCGTGCGGTAGATGGTTTGAGAGCCTGAGTGACAGCAGCACCTTGCGGCTGGTTGATGAAAGCCTGGAGCTTGCTAGGATCCATCTGCTGCTGTCGAGGAGCTCCCGGGAGAGGGAACATGCCAGACATTTTGGCTTGTTCAGACGTGACATTCTCATAGCCCATAGGTTTGATATCCCACTGCGTCATTCTTCTCTTGCGGTCAAGGATGCTCACCACATCAGTCAGGTCTGGGGTTGGTTCGCGCTTCTTGGGAGGTGGACTTCGGCCGCCTTTCGCTTGCTGGGCAAACTCATCGCGGTCTTCGCGACCTCGTCGATCGTCACGCCTTCCGCCTCCACCTCCACCTCCACCTCGGCGGTCATCGAACAGGTCGCCTCGACGGGGCGGTCGATCATCATCACGCCTTCTTTGGCCGCGATCCCGATTCCAGTCTCGCTCGCCTCGCCTATCACCGCCATACCTATCTTCACGTTCGCGAGCCCGGTATTCGCGGCTGGAGGAGTATGAATCTACCTCATAATCACGGCGCGATCGGTGGTGAGGGGATCTTGAGCGGCGGCGGTCTCGGTCTCCCCGGCGATCTCTGTCTCGGTCGCCGCCGCGCTCTCGTCGGTCGTCTCTTTCGTTTCTGGAGCTCTGAAGTGGGTTAGTGTGCGTGAAACATTGGGCGCGCTGTCATACATAGTGATCTCTGGAGCGACCCTGATCTGTTGAAGTTAGCGCGCATGCTTTGCGATTATGGATATGCTGACCTCTGGAATAGTTGTCGCCGTTCATGTTGTTGTAGCCTTCGAGTACCACTGGCCTTGTAGGATGAAACGAGAGTCTGCAAGCGTAGTACAAGGTTCATTGAACGCACGGCAGGGAGATGTCGCAGCGTAATACAAGGAGTCAGGGCGAAGAGCAGGAGAGATGCATGGACCTGCTGTTTGATGCTGCCGTGAAGAAGCCCCAAATCTTTGGCGTCAGGTCTTGGCAGCCTTACTCTCGGTCAACAAGGCTGCATTCATCGTGGTCAAGAGGAGATGCAAGCCAGAGATATGTCCTTCACTGGGACAATCAGGAACTTTATCTGTGCGGAAACCCGTGTATTTACTGGCAGTATATTTGCTAATACATTGGGCTGATGAGCATGATATCGATAGTACCTCTATGCCTCCGCCGGCCAGTTCGAAAGCCCCTGTTCTGGCACTCGTTGATTATCTGATACCTCTACTGCGAAACGCGCAGCTAGACAACAGGCTCAAAGTTATCAAACAAAATCAACATGACCACTTGTCGGCGGTAACTGCACGGAGAATCTGGAGTTTGTCGAGTATCGCGGGCGTGTTCGCGTCAACGCGTGTAGGCGCGAATTAGGCCTTGGTGTGGCCTGGACCCTTGCATTAGTGTCTCCGCGTTGCCCCCAGGAGATCGATCTTGCATGAACGATGTCAAACTGTTTCCCTCTCTCAACATTGTATTCACTGTTTTGAAGACGCAGCATAGCCAGGGTCTATCATGGCTTCCGGTCGAATCACAGAATGGCGCAAGCTGCCAATAGGCTTGACAGAGCTGTGTCTAGCCACCACCCTTCGTTGTGGACAGTCTTTTCGGTGGAAGCAATGCTCCGACGATACATGGGCATGTTCTTTGCGCGGCAGGATTGTGCAGCTATCGCAACAGTCGACGCATGTCAACTATCGATCGATATGGCCCAACCAGACCGAGACGCCGCCAACGCCGCCCTCCTCAGCGCCCCCAGAGACAGACGAAGCCGGCGACGACACGCTGGAGTTGTTACAGCACTACTTGAATCTCAGACCCAATCTTACCGAGCTGTACGAGCAGTGGTCTGCGTCAGATCCCAATTTCAAGAAGAAAGCACCGAAGTTCACTGGGGTGCGCATACTGCGGCAAGACGCATGGGAGGCTTTAGTCTGCTTCATCTGCAGCAGCAACAACAATATCAGTCGTATCATGCAAATGGTGGACAAGCTATGCTTGCATTACGGACCATACATTGCAACCCTAGATGGACGGCCATATCATGACTTCCCGCAGGCGTCTGCATTGACTGGAGACAAGGTCGAGGCGCATTTACGCGAGCTGGGGTTCGGCTATCGCGGACGCTTCATTGTGGCTACTGCCAGAGCAGTCGATGAGCATGAGGAAGACTGGATTGACACCCTACGCAACCCTGAAAGTCCATCATTTGGACACAAAGCCTCCCCTGGTGGTGAGTGGAACGCGGAAGGACGGGATGGGTATCGCGCGGCACATGAAGAGCTGTTGAAGCTGCTGGGCGTTGGAGCTAAAGTTGCAGACTGTGTCTGCCTGATGGGTCTAGGATGGGGTGAGGCAGTGCCCATTGATACCCACGTCTGGCAGATCGCAGTTCGAGACTACAAGTTTGGCAAGGGTAAGCACAGCAGCCTGACCAAAGCAACATATGACAGCGTTGCCAACCACTTCCGCAAGTTGTGGGGCCAAGAGGCCGGTTGGGCGCACAGCGTGCTGTTCACAGCAGACCTGAGGGTCTTTTCCGAGCGATTGACTGCCAAGATTGAGATGAAGGAAGAGAGTGGGCATATCAAGGTGGAGGAGGTTGAGACGACAGCAAAGACGTCCATTAAGAGGGAAAACGAAGATGAAGCTCCAAAGCCGGTACTGGAGCTTGATGAGATGGCAGTCAGCAGCAATACTAGTGAACGCGTCAAGAGAAGGAGGCGCAGGTAGTCGATAATGGGGCTGCAGGTGAGCTATGACAGGTTATCCTCGCTTCAAGCAGGTTTCGAGCTCCTTGCATTCGATAGCCAAGACGTGATAGCTGAAACACGATCCCATGCCGGAGAAGGCACCCGCGTCTCAGAGTATCGGCACGAAAAGTAGTTCTGTGCGACCACATGAGTTTGCAGCAGGGTGACGGACGGCCAACAAGGTACATGCTGGGCTCCGACATGGACGCGTATGATGATTGGACTCCGGCTAGGGAGCAGTGACACAAGCGCTGGCATCGGGAGCAGCACAACGTGTCGCATTGGATGTTGGACCATCTGCCGGGCTGCAGCATCTCCGATGGCTATCCGACATCAATGATATTGACGATGAGCACCTCGACGGCGAGTGTACATGAGTGAGGGCAGGTGTTTGACTTTCCTGCAGCGCGTCAACATCGAGATCAGGATCCAAATGGGGAGATTGCCGTGCTGTTTAGTGCTAAAGTTAGATTGCACTGTGCGGCATCTCACCGCAGCAGCACTCCGCACGAGCGACGGACTAGTGATGAGGGAAGCCATCTGAGACATCAGGTCCGATGACGAGCATGATACTCCATTCTCGAAGATCTTTCGAGAAGCGTTCGTCGAGAACTTGATCATCGGTAGAAGTTGTACAGCCGGTGCGCGGGAGGCAGGTATTGGGCACAGGGAGCATGATTGCAAGGTAGAGGCAGAGCCAATAACAACCGGCCGGACTGTGCTCACTGCATTCTTGTGGACACCCGAGCAACCACGCCAAATTGGAGTGGACAGGCTTAATTCAAGGGCGGGCCTGTCCTGTTTGGCCCGTACCTTTTTTTTGCTGGTGGAGAGCCTGCCACCGACCCAGCAGCGCGCTGCAGTGCTGCTTAAGCGGCGCACCTTGGTACCTTAGCACTGCAGCTCGCGTCCCCGTCCTTTCCTGACCTCGTCGCCCTCACTTTCATCACCACTTCCTTCCTGTTCATCATTTCAAGAAAACTGCCGGACGGTCTGGTCAGCCGCCTGTACAGAGTTGCAAGCTTCTTTCCACACTATCTTTCGCCTAATACGACTGTCACTCCTTTCGATCTCCGTCGCGTGTTTTCTTCCCTCGGCCGGCCCTCCTGCGACCCGAAACCGATCGATCGCCCGTCAAACTTCCTTCGCGACCTCTCCCTCACCCTCACGTCAGCCTGCCCTGCTCCCACGATTTCTCATATGTCTCTCAATACTGCGACACAATAACACCATATTCTCTCGCGCCCCGGCGTCGAGCCAGAAAATGAGACTTCGGTCCCGTGCTGGTGCCGCGGTATCGGTACTGGCTCTGGCTGCCCATGGAGTCTCACAATCCGTAAACCCAAACATCGACCTCAGCAATCTTGGTCAAGTCGCCCTAACTGGCGATTTTGATGCCATTTCTGTCTATTCTTTCCCAGGCCAATTCGATCGCAATGGCTCTAATTCAATATTACAACACCAGCCTGATGGCTCCTACGAGGTACTCGCGGCGACCGATGCGACCATTGACTCGATGTGCTCTTTCTTAAGAAGAGATGGCACCTTTGAAGGCATCATAGTTGGCGGTAATTTCACCAGTCTAGGAGGTGTCGCCACGAGATCTATAGCACTCTACAATCCCGATTCGCGAATCATCACGCCTTTGCCCGGCCTCGAGGGTACTGTCGCCGCGGTGCTGTGTGATCAGGAACGCGAGACCGTCTACATCGCTGGTTCTTTCGATGCAGCCAACACGTCAAATGCCATTGCTTGGACTGTTGACGGAGCTTGGCAGACTCTGCCTTTCGCTGGTTTCGATGCTCCTGTCGAGTCTGTCACCAAAGCTCCCAACGGCCATATCGTCTTTGGCGGCCAGTTCACCGGTCTGGGAAATACCAGTACTACATCATCGCAGAGAGATCGAGCTACCCAGCAGATCCCTTTGCCCGGCTCCGCCAACGTCACCGTTGGTGGCGCCTCCAACACAAACAAAGACGCAATTGCCTGTCCTTCGAATGGGTCTAGCGTCGAATGGAAGTTGAATGCTGACACTCCTGGCTTCTGGCGCGCCAACTTCGACTTTGGATTCGAGCCAACTCGTTTGCGATTGTTCAATGCCGGCACGAAAGAATTCCGTTTCACAGCCTTTCCTATCAACGGTATCATGAACTTGACCTACACCGACCCGGAATCTGGAGACGAGCGCGTCTGTGACGCCCTCTGTCCACTTCCCGAGAACCCCGAGGATGGGTTCATGGACTTCTTTTTCGTTAACAACGTTGGCATGAACAGCTTCCGCATCGATATCAGTGACTGGTATGGTAATGCCGGTGGACTGGCTGGGATCCAATTATTCCAGAGCGATGTCTTCAGCTACGCTGTGGCAGATTTTAACGAACCAGCATGTGGTGGCCCAACCGGTACCCTTTCTACGGTGACAACGACTGGTCCTTGGTTCCAAATGTCATCATTTGACAGTGTCTCCAAGTACCTAGCAGCAGTCCCTGGCCCCGACGAAATTGGCGACACCGAGGTCACATTTGAGCCGAACATCCAGGAAAGCGGCAACTACACCGTCACTATCTACACTCCCGGATGTCTTCAGGATAGCTCTTGCTCGTCTCGTGCCGTTGTCAACGTTACCGGTACATTGACTACCGATGCTGATCAAACCTTTTTCACGCAAATCTCCCAGCTGAATAACTTTGACAAGTACGACAACGTATATACGGGGCCCATCGACGTTACATCTGGCTCCTTCCGGCCTAGAGTTAGCATCAAGGCCTCCGGACAACTGCCTACTCAGCGCATTGTCGCATCTAGAGTCAAATTTGGCCTCATTGCGACTACTGGAGGACTGAACGGCATTTTCGACTTCGACCCTGACCAGGCTCAGATTAATCCAAACGACTTTTCCAACTCCGACATTAACAATGCCGGCACGCTCCTCAACCAAGACGCTCAAATCACCAGTTTACTGACTGTCGGCGATACAATGTATGCTGCAGGGTCGTTCGAGGATGATCGATTCGAGAATATCATGGCTTTCACATCAGAAGGAAATGCCACTTCACTGTCGGATCGTGGCTTGAATGCTCCTGTTATGGACATGTTCGCCCTTGACAACGTGCTGTACGTTGGGGGCAACTTTACTGCCGCTAGCGGTGACAATCAACTAGAGCTTACTAGTGTCGCCGCCTATCAAATTGCCGACCAGCGCTGGGTCGCCCTTGGGGCTGGCCTGAATGGTGCTGTGGAATACGTTGTACCCATTCCCATGAACACCTCCGAAGGTCAGTCCGAGACAGCCATTGCGTTCAGCGGCAGCTTCAGCCAAATCCGTCAGTCTGGATCTGACCCGGCCATCGATGTTGATGGCCTGGCCGTCTGGCTCCCGTCGGCCAACAACTGGATCCAGCGAACAAATGCTCAACAGCAGATTCTGACTGGAGAGCTCACTGCTGGAGCCTTTCTACCAAACAACACCTGGATTGGTGCCGGTACTTTGGCGTCACTCGGACAAGTCATGCATGGTGTCGCCAGTGTTGTCTCCAACGATGGGCGAATCACACTTCACGGTCTACCACTGAACATTCAAGCAGAAGAGACTTCATCCTCACTTCAGAAGCGTGCAATCAGTGGCGACCAAAATGTGACCGGAGTTGTAGAAGTTGTTACTTACAACGCCAATGCCGACAACGTGACAATATTTGCCGGCGGCTTTACGGCAGAAGGGGCGGAACGCTCGACCATCCGGAACCTGCTCTTTATGAATGGGTCTGACAATAATGCTGTCACTGGCCTACCTCAAGGTGTGAGCGAGAACTCGACATTCATTGCCCTGGAGATCCACAGAGACCTCCTCTTTGCTGGTGGTCGTGTGAGTGGCGAGATCGAAGGTCGTTCAGTCGCTGGTTTGCTTTTGTACGATATGACAACAGCCGACTACGCATCGATTCAGCCTGCTGGTCTCGCTGGCCCCAACGTCATTGTCAATGATATCAAAGCTCAGCCTGACACTGACTTTGTCTACGTTGGAGGAGCTTTTGAGCGTACCACACAGGATCTGTCATGCCCCTGCGTGTGCATGTATGACACCAATGCCAACCAGTGGAACCCCGTCGGCAGCGGCCTGAGCGGCACTGTTGCTCAGCTGTTCTGGAAAAACGACAAGAAGCTTCTCGCAGTCGGAAATTTGACATTGGGTGGTAATGAAACGACCATTGTACAGTATGACCCTGATGAGCAGGCGTGGACTCAGATCGCCGACGACACAATTCCTGGTCCCGTCTCTGCGCTCACGGTGGTCACGGAAGATGGAAAAGACATCTGGGTTGCAGGAACAGCCAACAATGGGTCCACATTTCTCATCGAGGTGAAGGATGAGGAGAACCTGATTGTGACCGGAATGTTCTCATCCGGCACCACTATCCGCAGCCTGGAGCTTGTTGATGCGGAAGACAACAACGACAGCAACGATTTCCTGGATAGAGATGAAGCTCTTCTCATCATGGGCCAGCTCAACATTACTGGCTTCGGCGCGGCATCTGCCGCCGTCTTCAACGGCAGCGCTATGACACCTCTTGTACTGGCCAGCAAAGCCGATGGCTCCGCGGGAAGCATTAGTCAGCTTGCTGCCAGCCGACCAAGAACACCTCGGTCTGAGGGTAAGTTATCCATCTATTTCAATCAGACACCCGCTAATTTGGAAAAGGTAATCGTCACTCCACTGGCATCGTGGTATTGGTCGCGCTTTGTGCGGCACTTGGTACTATCTTCCTCATCGTCCTTCTGGGGCTTCTACTCAATCGTATTCAACGCAAGCGTGCGGGATACAACGCCATTCCAAATGTTCCATATGCGGATAAGAATTCCAACTTGAATAGGGTGCCTCCCGAGACTCTGTTTGGCACCCTAGGACAAAGAACAGGCGCAGCACCCAGAGTTTGAGCAGAACAGATGACGACGATGCCATGACTTGACGACCTACGACTGATGACACTACCCAAGAATTTCCTTCTCTTTTGGACAGGCCTTCCTGTACAACGGCGGTCCTGGCACTACCGGTGCTTAAGCCCGGAGCAAGCAAAGGACCCAAAGATCACAACTGCATTGCGCATGGCGTTCTGAGCCCGGGAGCTCGAGACTTTCCCTCTTGTTGATACCCTTTTTCGTTGCATGTTCCGTCTATATTGGCGATGGCTGAAAAGATACGGCTCGCTGCCTTGATGAAAGGAGCAATGGATACGTTTGTAATGCATAATTGCTATTGTTGGAAGCTACAGAGATGGATGGGAGGAAGAAGCACTGTCAAGAAGGAATGCTATGATTGTGCAAAGGAGGGAACATGCACATGGATACTACAGACACCAATCAAGACCCATGCCTGACAAGGCATATTGCACATTCTAGGCTTGTGGCCGTTACACATGTTTCCTACTGTGCTCGCTCATGAGATATAGACAAACAAGTGAATGACAATCATACGTCACTCATGTCTCATGGCATTGCCAAGACGGAGGAGCCAAGATAAGGCAATTCAGGCAAATGGCACCTGCTCGTATCGCGCAGGCTGGTGCAAAGAACGTCTGTTTTTACCTCTACTTTAGCCCGTACAATGGCAAAACGATCTTTAGGAACACGAACAACGCTCTCCAGGAGACAAAAGAAGCAAGATGCTGAACTTGCAAGTAGGTTGAGTCCATTCTTTGCTCTTGGCGCATTAATGGCATTACTTCCAGACCACGGCGTGACGAACATAATATATCTCCTAACTTCAGCAACCTTCCCACCGAGATCCTCGACCGAAGCTTGTATTTTACCATCAGTGACGCTCCCCGACGTCACGACCTGTGCTACGATACCCGTCTCGAGAAACCACAGTTTCGACGCATGCTGCCTTTCTTCGCTGGAGCTTGTATGTCAAAGAGTACATCAACTAGCAACACTACGTACAGACACTTTGAGCTTGCCTCTGTCCTTAACTAACAAGGTGGTTTAACCTGTGGCTGAGAAGAGTCTGTCCGATTGCCTTGTGTCCGGTCAGAGCTTCTTCGTCAGAGCTGGAGCGACCAAATGCTCCCAGACGACCGTCCGCATGGCTTCCGAACGATCGGGCCACTTTATCACGGCGGTTGTGTTCCCCCGTTCGGCACGATCAGGACATGTATGATCTCCTGCGTATTGAGTGGGAGTTCCAGTTAGGGCGTGAGTGGTGGTGGTTGACCGGAGCCGGTGTTCGGAAATGTAGATGGCGGATCATCCGAAGCGCAGCAAACCCACCATCATCATTCGTCTAGACGTGCAGCTTACAGGTCTGCCAGTGGCGTCGGTCAAGGAGCAAGTCACTCCCGAAGAGATGGCGTGAGCGCTGGAGTGAGGACGACTCCAAAAAATTCACGAGCGCCACGGCGTTTGCTACGCATTAACGACCCTTCCAGAAAGCCAGTCACCGAATCGAGACTTCCACTAAACAATGCACAGTCCACTTCGTACCCCTCCCCCCCCCCCCCCAATCAAATACCCTGGACACCGATATCATGCGGATCAGCGCGGACATGATAGAATTTGGGGGGTGACAATAGCTTCCAGCGACTACCAAGGTTGATGCTCCATGCATGGAGCTATTATATAAAGCTTCCAATATTTTGCAAAGCGAGGAACAAAGCTTGTGTCCCAGCCATTTGCACCATGTAGTCCCCGTGCTCCCTCTCCCTTTCTCTCCATGCAGACTCCATACTTCATCAGCCTTTCCACCTCCATCTCAAGCCCAGCACACCCCTTCTCGACGCCCCAGGCCTGCTGCGCTCCTTCCCGGTCCCCATACCACCCCCTTCACCAACTTCCCCTATGAACCCCACCCTCACAACTCCTTCGGCGCCCGACACTCCCCCTCCACCTTAACCTCCACCCCATCCCCCACCCGCACCCCTCCTCCCGCCGACCCATCCCCACACTCACCCCCCTCCAGCCCATCGCCATCTCCACCTCCTCCTATACAGCGAAAACACGTCCCACAGCTCTTCTGGTCGCACATCCAGCAGTCGAAACTGCCAATGTTGCTGCAGTGGTTCGCGCAGCACAGGTTGCCGACGTCGCGCGGGTACGTGCGCACTTGGAGCCGTGGGTTGAAGTACGTCATGTCCGCTTCGAGGTGGTGTTGGCGCGGAGGGTGGGCGTGCGCGTGCGTGAAGGAGAAGGGAAGGAGCAGCAGGAGGAGCGTCGCCGGGAGGGCGAGGGAGGTGGGGTTGGGGCGCATGGTGCGTTGCTGTAGCATGGGAGGGCGCTGCTAAGGTGTGGTTGTCGTTGTGGTTGGTCGTTGCCGTTGCCGCGAGGGTCGGGTCGAACAAGTGGTCTGGTCGTTTCTCGGAATGGTCAACTGGCTACTAGTAGGCTTGATGCGCGCGAGCTAATGAGTGCGGTCGCTTATGCAGACGACAAAGCCGGTGCGTTGATATTATGCGTCTATGGGTGTTGTATAAACGCAGTCACGCAGTCAGACTGGGAGCAGCGCGTTGGTGGAATATATGGCTCCCCCCTTGCGTCCGGAATGTAGACACGTGTGCGTGTTTGAATCAATATTTCCCATTGTGGAATGCTGTGGGGTAAAGAGTATCTCACGCAGGAGACTTTGCTATACTTGGATCTCTGACTCGTAAGGCCCGAATACATACCATATCTTCGTACAGTCTAAGCACTGACCTGGCGGCGAAGCATGTCGTCGGTGCTGGGCGTGGCGCCAAGCTTTCACTGCCTGGACTTTGCCTAATCGAGCAGTCCTTCGTGTTTAGCCAATTACCACAGAGACGCGCAATGTGTGTGTGCAAAGGATTCATGGATGCATCACTCGATGGAGAAGGGCTGTGGTGTCTATGATGGTTGCCAGGCGCTGCTGTGCCAAGAGCCGCCCGCCGCCTTCTCGGTTTGACACAACATTGTCACTTGACTGCTCCGGGCGAAGCCTACAAAGGCAGATACTACTGTGCTAGAGGATGGATTATTCTTATCGTCCTCTAAGGCTCGCTACATGTTCAATACCACATGTTACGCCCAGTCGTTGTTCTCAACAGCCCATTGGAGCTCCAACTCCGCCTCAAGCGAGTTTTCCGAAGGCGCACCAAGCTCCGGAACAGGAAATCTCTACCTGCGACCGACTGGACATCAACCATGCGGTGGACCGAGTGCTCTGTACGACTTCGCCGAAACCCATTCACAACTCCACAAGCTTTCAACTCAAACACTGCATCGCTACCCGACATTGTCATCGACTCGGACCTGCGACTTGCCACCGAATCATCCAGTATGACTAAAAAAGCGCAAAAGCCTCGCCTCGAGAGTACAAGCGCTGTCATTACACCTCATGAGAATGACAGCTACAGTATCAACACAGCACTAGTGGTATCGAGGCCAGTACCGTTCACTAGTGACACTCACATGGGGCGCGATCCAACTGTCTATCCAACTCCAGCTCGCGCGGTCTCGCCTCATGCACAAAGCCCTGCCGCTCTCGACAGCACCAGACAGCCTCGCCATCAAATCGACGATACTATCGTGTGTTCCTTCAGCAAGCATATCGGAGCTGTTGTGTACATTGTCGGAGTCCTGATTGCGGTTGCACTGGGTCTTATCGGCGATGATGTGCTGGACGATATTCCTCTCGAACAACTGCTCATCGACCTCAATTGACGGGAGGGAAGCTCAAGGTGGCGGTCGATTATTTCGACGATCCCCAACACCTTCTCATGTTCAAAGCGTCTGCACACCAACTGCAGACCGATGGGAAGTGTGTCGAAACCAGCTGCATTATCCGGAAGATGTTAGATGAATGCTGTATGATGCTGGGAGGCGATGTTGGGCGCTGACGAGGGACAAAATGAAAAGGGACAGGTTGGGAAGTTGTTGGCAGGAAAACGATAATTGCGTAGCAGATACAAATTCACAGCACGTGGACGGGGGAACCCACATCTTGCCCATTCTTCTTCGTCCTTCCCACTCCGGTGATCATCCCTCTCATAACCCCTGTCCTAAGTTTTGTCGACCATACTCACCGGAAACACGGCTGTCGGATAATCCAACAAGTTCCAGACACTGTTGTATACCCAATACTTGCTCGTTACATGCTTCGCCGCCACTCCGGGGCTGATCGGACAGAGTAGGGCGTCCATGCCCGCTTTCTGCCACTGGTTTCGTATACTTGGTGCGGTAAGCCTCGCGTTCCTCCATCCAGTAGAAGAACTCATTCGAGTTCAACCTCTTCACACAGTAGCCAGTGCACTGACGTTGGCCGGCCATGCCCAGCATCTCCTTGACAGAGATGCCTAGCCCGTGCAATGTACCCAGGGGTTGCCCGTGTTTGCTGAGATGTGCGTCAAGAAAATAAGCACGGGCGACAGCTTGTGTGAGAGGCAGTTCTGTCAAGCAGTTGGTCTGCGCTCATGAGCGATCATTCAAATAGACGATGGGCGAGAAGGGGCACAGACGAGCTACTGCGCGAGGGCGGCGCGGCGGAGGAAGGCTCGTGTCACGCTCAATGATCTGAAATTTGCCGTAGCAATATCTGGTAGAAATTGCTCGAGTGGCGACTCCGTCAGAAGTATCTCATCGTTCTATGAGGATCGTCGCAAGAACAGAAGTCACATCATTGGGCAATGCTGGTGGGATTTCGGGCAGCGGTGACTCCACCGCCGCAATGCCGGCGTCGCGATGACGTCAAGCCTCCGCTGCCATGCCGGGGGCCCTGACTTTGGTCACTTACGCTTCGGTGCCATGCGTGCAAGCAAACCGACGAGGAGTCGAGTGATGAATGGGTCGGAAGTGAGGGAAAATCGGGGGGTAGTCTGAAATAAGGCTAAACGCCGGGATACGCAATGCCAAGCCTGGTCCCGTAAGGCAGCAAGGCAACGAGGCTGAATCAGAGTGCATGGAGGCGTGGTAACTCATGCAGAGCTTTATATTATTGAACTGTGGTGGACGGCAGAAAGTATATGGAGATACTCATGATAGAAAAGCGGCGCCGTAGTGTATAGCTCTCTGCTTCCCGGGCGCTGTGATGTGCTCCTGTATCAGACGCCCACGTGTTAACATCTGAGTGATTGGCCTATAGCTGCTCAGAATCGAACACATGGAACTTGTCATAGTCGCCCTTTTAAGTTTTCTAGCAGTATGTCGAGTTCCAAACATCTCTCTCCAGTAGCGACAGAGCAGTCGAACGGGCTCGGAGATGCTTTAGAATGTGTTGGACGGGGGACGACGCCGACACCTTTAGGCCGTTCAGCACAGGCTATAGCCCGATGCAGGTCAGCTTCGTCACTCCCTCCATTAAGACCAGCACTATCGCCTGAGCCCAAGAGATCCGCTGCGCAAGGGCGCCCATCACGTCGGGCAAGAGCTAGGCCGAGCACGCAGTCGGATTTCGACTGCTGCGGCTTCAATGGCCCAGAGTATACCGATAGGCCGACATTTATTGAGACACCACCAGACACGCTCACAATAATCATCGAGCCACCTCCTGAGGAGCCAGAGACGGACATGAAAGTGCTGGAGCAACCAGTGTCTGCTCCAACAACAATCTGTGAGCGAATGGAAGATAGAAACTCCATCCAGCAGCGCTTTCGTGTTATCGACATCCCTCAGCAGTACTTGACGGTGCCAACCGTGCAGTGGACAAGAGGCGACAGATATCGCATTGTAACGCAAGATCGCGTACGCATGGCGGCAAGACGGCTTGACTGTGCTTGCGAAAGGAATGGTTGCTATGTTTCCTAGAATCGTGTCGATTCCGCGCGCTGTGCTGCCGAAACGCGTCCACGACAAGATTCTGAAGACGCAGATACGGATCCCGACAGAGGGTAGCGCGACACATCAAGCATATGTCACGAAGAGATTTCTCACCGACACGCCAAAAAGCGTTGCAACCATTGCAACGCGATGATGGGCTAAAGGCGTTGGGAAGCAGCAGCGCCGCTGGAGCTACGGACGGTGAATGCAGCAGCAAAGCCACTGATCGTTGTGATGACTCCGATGGCTGTGGTGACGAATCGGACGGAAGTGCGAGCGTAAAGAACCTAGACAGCGGCGCATAAGTTGGAAAGCAAGCGATGTGGTGCCTGACAGAGTTATTGCCAAGCTTGATACCTGCAAGGCAGCGGGGCTAGTTCAATACTCCACCCCTCCTCTTTCTTCAAGTGTATGTGCGGCTGTTATGGCCGCAAGGCTCGAGTCATAGGGGAAACCATACTTCACCAAACTCTGCTTTCCTGAAGCCTAGATGCTCGATGAATGCCGAGCGCACACACAATAAAGGCCGGTCGCTCTGACTCTGACATTGACACTTTTTTCTCATTTTTGTGCCATTCATAGTCTGCTCACACAAAACGACCCGACGTCAAACAACAATTCGTTGTGATCTGTTCTCGAATTGAACGTTCACCAGTCTCGTCGGAAACTTGTACAAAAGATTGTATCAATCATGACCGCAACCACCTTCACCGTGAACTCGGCTTCGACCGATACCGATACAACGACCTCGAACATACTCCCGCCTACCTCCACAACGCAGAGCTCTGCCAAGATTCAAACCGCGGAAGTTACGGGACTATGGTCAGGATTAAGCGATTCACAATCAAAGCCATTGTGGCGTGCCTCGGAGCATCTCAAACTTAAGCACCGCGGGAGCTTGCGTAAACTATGGTCCAACGTGCATGACACCTTCGGTTTTCGTGGACCAGAGTACAGCCAGCAGCCTACAGTCATCACCACCGGACTTGACACACCACTTATCGTCGTTCAACCTACCACCGACAAGAAGTACAAAACTTGGCGACCGGATGGCGAAGATTCCTCGACAGTCGCGGAGGTCCAGGCGCTGACACCTTGGAAGGATAACCACACGCACGCAAGATCTCACAAATCTAGAATTGCCAACGGCCAAGATACAAATTATCTCACTGAGCCACCTAAACAATTCACAAGGAAGGTGAGGAATGCATACGCAGCCGAGCAACAAAAGGCCCAAATGGATCGACTGCAGCGGATCCTCAACCCAGAAACCATCCAGATGCTGCAGCAACGCGCAGAGGAGGAGGCCAGGTCCAAGACAGAGAGTGCCATACCGACGTGCTCTGCTGAGACGCCAGACCCAGGACACTGGTCGAAACGAAAATTCGGCAACATCACCAGAGACACTGCTGATGCCTTCAAAGCCAGGTTCCATGCTACAGCAGAGAAACTCCACAATGTTCTTGAACGACACCACGTTGAGGATGAAGGAGAAAACCCTGCCAGCGAAGGCAGCAACGAGAAAGATACGGTGTCCGAGCCATCAACCTGACAGAAGGCCCTTGTTAAGCGAACCATAGTCCGTAAATAACACTCAACATGCAGTGTTTGCCGATCCAGCTGTGAGAACCGGTCACCAGGAGACTGAAAGATCTACAAAAATGACCAAAACTTGGAGATTGGGCGAATGAGGAACGACTCAGGGGGCCCATGTTTGTCAGGAGAATTTGTAGCGTTCGAAAAATGCAGAACTAGAGCATTGGCGGAGCCGAGGTGGATGCTGAAGCATTCGCATAGGTTATCAAGGCGTTGGATCAAATAGTTGCATCACACGCTTGATAGTTATGATTGTAGGAAGGTCGGGGAATTGTTGGACCTGCGGGCGGACAGATAGAAAGATACTGCTTGCCGCTGAAATTCAGGATCAATAGCAGTCAAGACACCAACCCATGCCTTTTAGCTATGTGTCATCTGCAATTGTCTTCATATGAGTGAACCTCCGACGCCTCCACCACTCATAATCGAATTTTCTGCTTGTAGTCGATCGGCGCACAGCCGAAGCACTCTCTGATCATGATTTGCAGAACGTCTCGTCACCAATAACTCGTCCCAAGAGCACAATGCCTTTGACGCATATAAAGGGGCTAACAAAGGCGTTGTTAACAGAACCCCCTTTGTATTAATCCATTATTGCTTCAACAGAAAGAGGCTGAGCAGCTAGACCGAATCAAGGTTCTAGGTCCGAGGGATTGATGGGTTCTATCGTCACACGACTGGTATTATATACTAGTGATAGCATGCCACAGATGCACACGGGATCTTCGAAGTTCTACTAATGTCGTGGGACCTCACTGTTTCACGCATAATCACAACATCGCCCTCAAATCCGCCGAGTATGGCTCCCAATGCCGTCATCAACATCGCCCGAGGGTCCCCCATAACCAAAACCAAGCCATCACCAGCCCGACTCAGTACCTGGACACTACCTTTTCGCAGTCTCCGCCCTCAAAACGGCGAAACCCCCTCGGTGCTTCGAGGATCTTGCCTCCATTCGCCTTTAATCTTCCCTGCAAGTTGGTATCAAACCCTTATTGCAATGGAATTTCCTGCGACTACGCGCGCCACGTTTCCGTTCCACCAGCCCGCTCACGATCTGGCTATCGACACCGTATCCGCTAACCGCATTCCACAGCGGCTGGCCGTTGTGGCACCTCGGACCAGCATGTTCGCAAGATGCCCTTCCTCGTCGCATAATGAGTCGACCGAGTCCGGCCGCGATCTGCAAGGTATACAACACCAACAGCCTGCTCCATTTTCGCCCATTGAGCGTGGCCGTAGGCGGCTCATGCAGCATAAGGTCATTGTCGAGGAATCCTTTGCTAAATTCGAGCTGTTGAGCCGAAAGCAGGCACGACAGGACAGAAAGTCGGCAAGGACTGTGGCCAAACAAGAAGCTGTGCGTCCAGGGCCCCCTGGAGAGATCGACCTACTGCTTCTAAATGACCCTGAGGATGCGGATATCTCAGTTCCAGGCATTACCGAGGATATCTCTACGGCATACGAGCTTCTAGTGGATCTCACAGTCGAGAGTATGGACCAACGAGAAGCAGCCGCTAGAAGAGAGACGTACCGACTGCTTCACTTAAAAATGAACCCATGTTCACCGTTGCCAGCCCTACACACTTCATTATAGCACAATGCCACTTCCCAGCGAGCCAAGAGCGTGAGTGCTCGTTGGTGTGATATGGATGTCGCTGGACCTAGACTCTGCAGCTACGGAAGTGTCCGAAGATGTTTCACAGTGCCCTTCTCCACTCGCAAGTACCAAGAGAGGTTGAAGATATGTTCCAACAACCTCCTGTATGTACTTTAAACAGCTACGGAAACGACTGAGATATCTTTCGGTGCTGTCTGCAGTGTTCTAGAAGCAAATCACACACTTGTGCCACAACAAGTCCCAGTTTTAGCTTAAACTCCTCTCCGTGCCTCCTATCTCCCTCCCTGCCTATCTACTCGACCTTCCCTCTATCTAAAGCTCCTCCATTGCATCACAGCTCCCTCCTCTCCTGCCCAACCCATCCCTACCAACCAAATCTCTCCCCCACCAATTCCTCACTCAAATCCCACAACCTCTCCGCCTGTTCCGCCCCAACCGCCCACCCCGGCGCCTCACTAATCTGACAATCCTCCAAATAAGCGCCCCAGCCCTCTCTCCCCGCCCTATCCTCAATCTCCCCCAACGCCGGATCCAGCGCCGCCACCAAAGCCGTCGCCGCCCCCTGCCCCCGGCTTTTCCACGCGAAGAACCCCTGCTTCACGAACCCATGCACGCGCTCCATCCTTTCCGGCGTAAAATAGCGCACCAGTTCCGTCAGGATTGCGCCAGGGTGCAGGCTGACACTCAGGATGCCGTACTGACGATACAGGCGACGCGTCAAGGCGACCGAGAAGAGCACGTTGGCGGACTTGCTCTGCGCGTAGGCGCTGGGTGGGACGTAGATGTCTGTGTCGGGGTCGAAGGAGCCGTTGACGGCCTGTAGGGTCGCGACGAGGTGCCGCTCGTCTTCGGGCAGCTGGTTTTGCGGCCTGGTGTAGTTGATGTCGGAGAAGCGGACGCCGCCGTCACGCATGGCGCTGGAGCTGACGTTGATGATGCGTGTGGCACCTCTAGTGGGGTTGGTTTCTGCGGCGGCGAGGAGGCGCGGCATGAGTAGGTTTGTGAGCAGGAAGTGTCCGAGGTGGTTGGTGGCGAAGTGGGACTCGATGCCGTCGGGAGACAAGGTGCGTTCAGGCACGTTCATGATCCCCGCGTTGTTGATCAGGATGTCGATCGAAGGGATGTCCGGCCAGGAGAGGACTTCGGCGGCAGCGGCTCGCACGGAGGCTTGCGAGGCGAGGTCGATGACTAGAGCGCGATGCGTGACGGTGGGGAAGGCTTGCTGGAGCTTGGTGATACTCTCCTGTAACTTGGAGAATGTTCGGCCGCTAAGGATAAGGGCTTTGGGTCCTTGTGAGGCCTGTAGAAGAGGCAGTCAGATCACGATCGTGAGTCCTCCGCAGAGACAGGACTGTGAAGACGCACCAATGCTTCGGCCGTCGAAAATCCGATGCCAGCTACATTGACGCCAGTAATCAAGATGGTCTTGCCCTTGATAGCCTCTGGGAAGGCTGCGGCGACCTCATTGGCCTCGGTGGTGGCATCGAAGTCGGCATTGGTGGTGGCTGTCATCTTCCTTGCGATATGATTCTGTCTGTTATCGAACGATTAGGTTCCCCTATCCTCGATTCCGGTCGATTTTGATTTCGACGGAGGCATGTTGTATCATTTATACCTTCCTGTCATACGCCACTCAACCATGTTGTGCATCACAAGTCGTCGACAACACACGTATGCCTTGCCATTACTGAGCCGGGTCGATAACTGATCTCTCCGAATCAACGATGTCGACAAAGGTACATTAGTCACCTCTGGTCACGTAACGCCCGAATCGGTTATTTGCCCGATTCCTTGGCCAGCTTGCTCAGCAGCAACGCGCTTCGTATACCATAAGTTCCCTAACCACAAGCGGGAGGATGTGGCGCTCCACCTTCGCCAACGCTTGCGATCAGCCTTTGAATAGGTAGCCATATGTGTAATCACTATAGACCTATGTCTAATACTTCAAGTGCCCACATATCGAGGTCGGAAAGCTTGTCATAAAGAGCATTGAACAACCCTTTTACGCGTAGTAGCGAATTTACGACGAATTCCACGGCCTCGAGATTGCGTAGACGAAGTCTGTACATCACTATTGACTCAAAGTTATCAGAAAAGAGAACCATGGCCACGGGAAGAGAAGCGGACAGCCAGAGAAGAGCTCTATCACAGGATGTTTGGCCTTGTCAATACGGCTAGCAGTATCTATTATCTCAACACCTTCGATTGATCTTGCTAGCATCCTAGTAACGTAAGCGCTTAGAATGCCTTGCAAGGCATACAGTCTCATTACCAAGCCTCTTCTGTAGAGCCGTTCTCATGTCAATCAGCGCCATACTCTCCACAGAACTATCGCACTGTTTAGGCAGCGCTTCGAACCCGTTTCAAGACATCTAGTTCCACCCTCCAGCGCGCTATCCAGCATCAGAGATCAGACGGTGCAGGCCCACCTGCCTTGCTATTTCATCGCCATTTTGAGTGCGGGTCTCTCACACGATGGGATAGTCGCCCTTTTCAGCCTGTGAATACGTATTGGTGTTCACAACCTCTAACCAAATCTGAGGATCTGCAGTCGGATCGTGCATGATCAGGCAACGGTACGCCATAATTTGATGGTCTGCGAGTGGCTTGGGACGCTGCTAACAGTTAGTTTTCACATCCACTGACGGGGTGATACAATCACTTACCGTAAACCGCTCAAAGACACAGTACCACTTGACATTGGACCGCTCGATGATCAAGTCAATCAGCTCTGGAGACATGCTCGTAAAGACCATGGCACCACCTCGCTCCCTCTCGTTGAATTCTCCACTCCAGTGGCGATAGCTTAAAGGCTCCTGGTTCTTCCACATGATGGTCACTTCTTGGAGACTGGTGAGACGCTTGACGAGAGAAAGTTCGTTCCTCTTGCGCAGCCCATCGCAGATGATCTTTCGCACCAGCTTCTCGCGCTTGTGGCGTGTCTTGGTACCAAGGCCAAGATAGGTTACAAGGTAGGAATTGATTTCGAATGTATTCTCGCCTAGGAGAATTGGCAATGCTTCTTCGAAGATTTCTTTGCTGCTGCAAAGGAGGTTGGCACCGAGGTCGTACTTGTGAACTTGCCGCTTCTCGGGGTCCCTCGGATGCCGAACGTTTGGTGAGATGGGCTGCTCTTGGGTCATGAGATGGCGGTAGATGATGTTCTTGAGCTCTGCTGGAATGGTGTGCCATTCAATCGACTTGGTGTAGCTTGCAGCCTTTCGAAGTTCAATGGCGACCTCTGTTCGTTGGAGGAGAAGGTTATGATCACTCGCTTCACTGGTGGGGAGGTCTTGAAGCAGCTGTCGAATGCTGTCGCGTGCCAATTGTGCCTTGGCAGCAACTTCATGCGGCAGAGGAGCACGCGCGGGCGGTGGAAGTGGATTGTATGGTGCTTTCGTCTCGGGAAAGAGAACTGTGTTGGATTTCCTCATGATGTTGGTTCTCACAATACACTTTGGTAGCAAGAAAGTGTGTAGTGCTGCAAGAGACTGCGTAATGCTGCAAGAGACTGCGTGGTGTTGATACTTCAAAGTGGCAAGTTGTGTTAGTAGGCGAACAGATTTTAAGAAGTGCCGCAGCCTGTTCAAGTCTGTCACTCTAAGGATAGTGACAGTGGGTGGACGTTCAGCCTCACATTGTGATAGGTCCAGGCAAAATACGTGTGAACAAACGGGGGTGAATCTTGGCATTAGGTGACAAGAAGGCAACAAGGCGACCGCAACTGGAGTGACTTATGGGGATAAATAAATGCACCAGGCCAGCCTCTCATATGCTCACGGAGAGGCTTCAAGCTCTGTTGGGGCGATGCAACGAGGAAACAAAGACATACTCAGCAGCCCTTTGTCGGCGGGTATTTGAGTAGCTCAATTTACCGTACAATACACTGCCTGATACCAGTCCTGGTCCTGGGCCGTCCGGTTTTTCATTCTCCTTGCCATGAGGTAATCGCTGTTGGAAAGTCTTCAAGATTTCGGCAGGGCGCGAGGCACCCACATAAGAAGAGGACAAACGACGATCTGCAACACATGCCAATTGATGCAAGCTAGCTTATGAGCGCTGTCGTCCATACAACAAGGTAAGATACATGGCTGAGCTTTGGCAGCATCGTACTGCGGAGATATGTGAAACCCTGAGCAACACCTTCTCCCATATCATATTCGTGCAGTTCATTTGCACCACCTACTGGACTTGATCAAGTGCTTCAGATCCGGGGCAGCTCGGGCCAGTTCCATTCCCCTCTCACAAAGTATTCCTTGCTCTTGACGAGGGTGAAGTCGTACGGACCATTATGCCACACCTGGTCGTCGCCCTCGGAGGTCGACAGATCAATGTCAATGTGATCATCATCGTCTTCATCATCAAAAATGCTTCCCTTTGGACCCCTATTACTGTACTTGACCTCGAATCGAAGTGCCATACGGTTATTCTGCCCTGCTGGTGCCTATAATTGTCAGTTGAGCAATCATATAGCAGATGGGATCTGATCTTACCTCGAACGCTCGCTCAGCCACGTAGTAGACCTTGGTAGGTTTCTGCCAGCTATAATAGCCATGGCGGATCTGGTACTTCAAACGAAGGTCGACCCGGTCCCAAGACTTTACCACGTTGTCCTTGATGTTGGCCTTAGCCTCGTAGCCGACCCATGGAAGGGGAGAAACGATAGTGAGCTCCTCAATTTTGGGAAGTCGCATGAAGGCCCCATGGATCGTCGAACTATACTTCTCCGCTCGAACGATGGCTTTCCGGATCAGCGATGAGTTCAGGGAGTTCTTGTCCTCACCAAGACAAGTGCGGAAATGGACACCGATTTCGAAGACGTTCTCGGAACGCAAGATTGGGTGCGCTTCGGCGTAGATGGCCTTGCTGCACCGAAGGAACTGGGCTCCAAGGTCAAACTTGTTGATGTGGCGCCGATGAATCAGGTTGGGCCAATTGATATGTGGCTTTATTGGCTTGTTGGACACAAAGATGAGGCGATAGATGGTATTCTTGACCTCCGCTGGCAGCTTGTCCCAAACAAAGCCAGTGTCTTGTTCTCCATTCTCATTTTGCTCTGGACTATTGAGGATCGCAATGATAGCCTCAGCCTGCTGGTCTGGTAGACTGTTGACAAGTCCTCGGATTTGATCGCGTGCAGATTGAGTCTTCTTAGCAAGAATTATGGTAGCCTCTTCGGGCTCAAGCTTGGCTTTCTTTGATGCTGACATGATGGTAGCTGATCAGGAGACGTGGGCAGTGATATGCGGGTCCTGTCAGGCTGGGCTAGGATTTAGATCAATCAGCGGGATGGAGCAGAGACGGAACTCGTAGATGGAGCATCGACTGAGAGGTCATGCTCATCAGGCGGCTGTCAGCTATCTTACGGAGTGCCTTCAGTGATAGTCGACAGTCGCTCTGCCCTGTGAGTGACGATTAACCTCCAGCAGACGACGAGGTACCAACGGATGGACGGTAACACTCAGGCGAAGGGGTGTGCATGCGAGGGATGAAAGTACAATGTTGTTCAGAGGCAGGTGGGCAGTTGGGACTTGCAGGCACTTTGAGAATGACGCGTGACGCGTGCCTTCCAAACGCACAGTATCAATTTGAGCTTGCTCGAGTCACTCGCCAAGTTGTTTCATTTGTTGAATCGAGAAGTACCTATTATGCTGGCCCATCTCATCTCGGTCCATGCCATGTCCTCGAAGAATCTTCCGGTACATTCGACGAGATGTTCGCGCCATTGTGAGTAGGATTCAATACCGATATCATAAGCCCTGCTCCAAATCGAAATTCTGTGCCACAGGGTATAGTCGATCCATCAATACTGCATCCCGTCTCCCGCGGCGCTCTCGGGAACTACGAACGTCAACGCAGCTGCTCTATCGTTTGATATTCTCATACTTGCAAGAGCTTCATGCAGCTCGTTTGGGGCAGATTGCATCCACCAATTCGTGTTTGTAGTCTCCCACTACGCCAGGCGTCTAATGCCTCTGGCGAGGTAAGAGACTACTCCGGCCAGTCACCCATCAGAGTGAGCCCGTGAACTTGATATTCCACCGATCATTGCCCAGCTCAGGGCCCATGAGCTCGATTTTGTGGTAAATCATGCCCTGCTCGTGAGGCTTAGCATCCGCAGTGTCTGTAGCGCCCGCCCAGAAGACCACCTTGCCGATAGAGTTGTCCGGAAACTCCGACAGATATCGAGCCAAGTACCTAGCCCACCATTGAACGCCTTGCCTTCCACTAAACGATAGCCGATCAAGCACACTGCGGAAGGCCGGAATGGGGAAAGCGACTGTCTTGACGTGCGGGCACTTCAGAGCGACCATGGAAGCGCAGTCGAGACTAGAAGCTTGGATATGGAGGTATCTTCCTCGAGGAAGGACAGTAGCCGCTTCAGCATGGACTTTTCTATTCGTCAAGAGAAGGTTGAGCCCAGGGACTGCTAGCGGCTTGTGGTAGTCTCTCGGCACTCCCTTGATGCGCGGTGCCCAATTCGTGAAGAAACATTTGGCGTTGCACCAAGGGTGGCTGGCCAAGTCTTCATACTCGTATTCGGGGTCGTGGCAGAAGTCGATCAGATCGGGGGTGTCGTCAGCGATCGCAAACTCCCATATCCGTAGCCTGATTTCCGGAGCAAGATCCATAACTGGGAAGTAGTTGGTCGTCGCCTTCTCTCGAGTCATGCCAGATAATGGGAGAAGAAGTTCGTTCATTCTCGAGAATGTATCGTAGTCTCTCGGCGCGTACACTCCGTATCTCTCAACACCATCAAAGTCATTAGGAGACCCCAGCCCTTCGTCGATCTGGACCGAGAATCCTTCCATCAAGCCATGGTAGAACTGTTTGGCAGGCATGCTAGATGCCGCACTAGTTGCAGGCTCTGAATCTTGTGGACTAGTCGACATCTGGGCAGACGTGTTGTTCAGCTGTGATGAATTGGCTGTGGCGTTGACTCCTGTCGATTGGGGTGGGATAGAGAGAACCGATGGTAACGCTGTGCCAGTTGCGTCAAGTTCTGCCTCGCTGTCGTCAGAGGAAGATGGAATGGTAAGCATCGATGGCACTGCCGCGACAGGTGCATCAGTAGGCGTTTCGCTTTAATCGGAGGACGGCATCTTGTGGTCGCAAAGGAATAGTTACGTGTGGTTCTTGAGGGGACCCCTTGCGAGGTCCTAGTCGCACTTTTCGAGTATTATCCAGTGCTTTAGAGCAAAATAATGGCGTTAAGGGTTGATCAGTTGATTGCGGAACGCACGAGAAATGCAAGGTATTGGAAAGAAGGATAAAGGCAGGTATGATGCTCGAGAATGTTGGAGAAGTGGTCCCCCGGCCAAGCCGCTGATTCACTGCATTCCCCACCGGACGCCTTAGTCAGGCAACACCATGCTAATTCACTAGCCTTGAATACTCTTTCTCGATAACAATGGTAGTGAATAGGTGGAATCGTGTCTTCATTAGTGCAGCTTCACAATGTGGACTTGCGATGAAGACGAGGAGTTGCGGCGGTCTGTGGCGGCCGAGAAATAAATTGTTGTCGTCCCGGAGCGTTTTGCTAGCCAACATCGGGTTGACGCATGGATGTCGAATTACGTTATGCTCATACATGCTGCTAGCATGTTCCGCGCTCTTCTTGCTCTCATCAGTCGAGCTGACGTGACGGGCGTGCAAGATCCGGCAGTATCTTGGGTCCATCGGGTCAGGTGTAGCGATCACTCGCGTTAGAATCTTGGGCCGAATCATCGACAGCAGGTCCATCAGTCCTAGCTTAACTGGTAGGGAAACACATGTGGCTACTTCAGTCAGAGTCCGAGATGACGGTATGCCGTTACCTGAAATGTTAGGATGAAACGGGTATGGAACTGGACCCCCGATTGCAGCAGGTAATCTCAGTATATATTCGGGAAGAATCATTGCTGCGAATTATATTGAAATTAAACAAACGGTCTAAGACGTGCCGTTGACCGCCAGTAGCATACTCAGCACATTGTGCTGGCTTGGAGACAAAAAAAACCACCACCAAGATCTAGAAGTAAGTCCGACCCTCGTTCCAGCTCCGGGGGCCGTCTTGAGCACCTGGAGCATTGCCTGCTTCCACTGGCGTTTGAGTGCCGCTGCCTGCTGCCGGAGACTCCAAGCTGAACCGAGACTCGCCTCCTAAGCTGTAACCGACACCGCTTCGGCGCCCATCAAGGCCCGCCACACCAGCAAAATCGACAGGGCCAATCCATTCCCAAACTCGGCCTACTTCACCACCACGCCCTTCCCGTGTTGCAGCCCGGACGTTACTGTTTCCTTCCACTATCTTCCGCACGTTGGTCCAGACCCTTTCGCGCTCGTGCGCGCTGAAGACATTTCGTAAAACGTCATCGCGTAACCCGCCAACGCTGAGGTGGGCTTCCTTGGCTCTGCCGTCCTCTTTCAGTGCGGCTTGTGTAGCCAATCGGTCAAGCGTGGTCGCTACGAGGCCAGGTATTTGCGCTGTAGCAGCTTGGTAGGCAAGAATTCGTGATCTCACGTACGCAATGCCCGCCACGACGAGCATCAGAAATGCAAGAGGGATTCTATACGCTGCCACGGTTCGGACAGCATATCGGCGGACAGCGCAGGTGAGGGGGAGATTGGCGAGGCTGGTGCTTCGGAGGTAGTTTCGGGTTCTAGAATCGACAGCGGCGTTCTGATTAGTCGGTGTTCATCAGTGAGACGTTTAATGGAATGAATATCGGGGACAGCAAGATGCAATGGTGACTTACCCATCGCGAACAACCTCCACTTCCTCACGACCTTTGACGTCGTCGAGCGCTCCCTCAAAAAGCGCTTCAAACTCACTTGGGCTCATATCTCGGCGGCGTTGTGCGGAGACTCTCGCCTTGAGAGCTTCTTCGGAAATTTCGAGCTTCGTTTCGCCCGCCTTGACCACGGTCTTGACCTCCTCTACCACCGAAGATGACTCTTCGGGAGCGAGTTCTTCTCCGCATTCGTAAGCCGCTCGACGCTCTCGGAGCTCCTCTATCGCCTTGTCTGCTACAGCCTTGATTCGCCGCTCTTTTTCAGAATCAGGTTCGCAGGTAGGTGCAACCGGCACCAAGCCACCGAGCGAGAGAGGATGCTGAGATAATACAAAGTCTTTCTCACATTGCACTTCCATATTTGGGAAGCATATCGCGTGTTGCGGGCAGGGTTCGCAGTTAGGGCCAAGGTTTTCATGCACCCAAGGAGGAATATTCGGGTTTGATGTGAGTGACCATTCAGGCGCGCCCACGCCACAGTAGCCAACATTGACCTTTTCTTGCCTGTACCAGGCCGCGAGCGCAGCGAGCACAGCGGTGAGAGCAGCGAGAGATGCATTTTTGGCGACCGGGCTCGATTGCTGTTTCTTCTTGCGCCTAACAAGGGCTTGAGTGCGCCGCGGGACTAGTTGATCCTCAACGGCGACTTCTTGTGCAGCATCGGGAGTGAATTCTTCCGTGGCTGGAATGTAGTCTCGGGAACGCAGTTGTTCAATAGGGAATTGATATGAGGTGTGCCCATCATCTTCGTGCTTAATAGTGGGTGAGGTTGTCTCGCGCCGCCGGCTGGAGCCAGGCCTGCCGGCGGATTTACGGCGAGAGGAAGATTTACGACTTGAGGCTGATGGTGGGCTCGAACCTTGCTGGAATGGATTTTCGTCGGAGAAGGGGGTTCCGCCGTCCTCACGCTTGATGCGACGAGGTTCTTCCAGCTTGACGGCTGGCGCAAGCACTGGTGTTGGACCGGGTGTGCTTTTTCTCGTCTTTCTTGCTGTCGAACGAACTGCCTCGCCATCCGTCTCCGTTTCTGAAGCGCGAGCGCGAGAACTGCTTTTCCTCTTGCTTGGAGTCTTGGATCTGCTCGAGGTGGCTGTCGTCGGTTCGGCAAGGTTCGACTTGGATTTGCGACTCCTGGGAGTCTTCGGGGCGGGAGGTGGCGGCATCAATTCGCGATCATCCTCATCCTCTCCACCCACAGTACTTTCCTGACTCGAAAGATCGGTGATTCCTCTGCTGGTGCGCCGGACTCTGTCCCTCTCTCGGAGCAGCTTCTTCGCCTTGGGTAGAATCTCAGTCTGAATCAGATCTACCAGCTCTGCTTTCTTTGCCGACGACGACCAGGCAACGTCATGTTGTACGAGGATGCCACGAAGCTTGGGAATGGTCAGAGAGTTGAGGTTAAAATCAGGCTGCAGATAGTAGAGTTCGTCATCTGAATCAGCCATATTGTCGAACACGGTCAGACCGGTGGATATTGTCGGATGGAGCTGCGCGAATGACTCCTATTGCGAAAGCATGTCAGGCTAGAAGCGCCTGATTCTGATGAAGATGCAAGCTAGGTTTTTGCACTGATAGCCAGATCGTCAGCCTGTAAACAATGAAGTGACGCAGCATCTTTGCCGTAAACAATCATGCCAAGGATTGAGCGGGGCTTGCTCGGAGCTTAGTATCACCGATCCGGCCGGTGTGGGGAAATTTTTGGTTCGTAACTTCCGCGACTTTGTGCAGCAGAAGATGCAACGACTTCTCGCGTACACAAGATCTGTTTTCAGCCTGTCATGTCGTCTATGCCTCCCGAAGGCGGCAGAAAGGCTCCTACCCGTCGACAGCAGCATCGGACCACCGATGTGCTGGAGAAGGACGACATCGAGCAGCGGTTGGAGAAGGCCCTGTTCGGGGACGAGGCTGGCTTCCTAGACTCGCTCTCTGCTGCAAGACACGAGGAAGGCAAAGCCCTGCAACTTTATGTGAGCGGCAGTGAGTTAGACAGTGCGAGCGAGCAAGACGAGGACCTCGGCGACGTCCCAGACGAAGATGTATGTCCTCGAAACCGCCCAAGTTGACCAACACTGACAACATCGCAGCTTTTCTTTTTAGATGCAGGCACTGACACTCTACCCGCTGCGATCTCTGAGCAGCTCGATCGTACTGGAGAGGAAGAATCGTCTGGAGCCTCACCCGCAGCCTGGTATGACAGTGACGACGATCGGCTTACGATCTCTCTTGCGACGCACACCCGCCTGCGAAAGCTCCGCGATACGGAAGCCGACGATGTGATCACAGGAAGAGAGTATGGTCAACGCCTACGCAGACAATACGAGAGGCTCCATCCCGCACCGGAATGGCTCAGCTATGCTCGTAGAAAGCGTCGTATGTCGAACGGTGCTTCGCACGCAGAGTCCGACTCCGATGTGTCTATGGACGAGTCGGATTCACTTCCTCCTGTGAAGCCCCTCGCCGAGCTTCTCCGCTCAGTCGGATCCCTCACTCGTACATCTAACAACACTCATGATCGAAAGCGGCGCAAGCTTAGGTCTGAAGTCATTGATGTCCAACGAACGAAGGATGTAACGCCAGCGGGGCCCTCGTCCATCGACACTCTCGAGTTTCATTCCGAGTACCCGCTTCTACTTGCCGGAGGCCCCTGTCAGACATTGACACTCTACCACGTTTCGCCTCAGCCTCCAAACCCCAATCCAGTGCTGACTTCACTCCACGTGAAGGGCAGCCCGCTCCACACAGCGTCTTTCTGTACGCCAGCGGAACCATCTGATGAAGTCGACGAGACACGTGTCTTCTTCTCTTCACGACGACGATACTTTCATACGTGGTCACTTTCTGCTGGTACAGTCGCCAAAGTCACTAGGCCTCTCTCCACCTTCAAACATGACCAGAGAACCACCGAACACTTCAAGCTCTCACCATGTGGTCGCTACATGGGTTTGATATCCTCCAGCAAGAAGGGCGGTGGAAGCATCAACGTACTGTCCACGACGTCGATGCAATTGGTCTGTTCATGCCGAGTAGATGCTCAAGGTGGTGTCTCCGACTTCGACTGGTGGCGAGATGGAGAGGGTTTCGCTGTCGTTGCCAAGAATGGCGAGGTCTCCGAGTACAGTGTCGCCGAGAAACGTATCATAGAAAGATGGTGGGATGAAGGCAGTGTCGGGACCACTGTCATATCAATCGGCGGCGAAGACTCGAGGTGGATAGCTATCGGCTCATCGTCCGGTATCGTCAATATCTACGACCGCAAGTCCCCTGCCTTCTCCTCCATGTTGGCTGCTGAACCCACCGATGCTCATCCCAAGGTTACCTCAAATCAAAATCGGCCTTCTCCAGCTCGCAGCTTGGATCAGTTGACAACACCAATTTCTCATCTGGTCTTTTCGCCAGATGGCCAGATGCTTGCCATGGCCTCACGATGGAAGAAAGACGCGCTGAGACTTGTGCATCTGCCATCTTGCACCGTTTATAGGAATTGGCCAACGGATAAAACACCACTGGGAAGAGTATCTAGTCTCGCACTAGGTGGCCGAAACGGCGAATGGCTGGCAGTTGGCAATGAGCAGGGTGGCATACGGCTGTGGGAGATTAGGGATTAATTCCTTCATTCGACGACATCACCACACGGCTGCCGCTTTGGGAGTCTGTCGTGGACTCTTGGTCTATTGGGTCATTTGACCTACCCACGTCTACCGCTCCGTTGACCGACATACCATTGAGCTCCTCTCCAGCGACCAAAGGTCGTCGACGCAGTCGATTTAGCTCGCCTGCGTGTTATGAAAGAGGCTCGTGAGATGCACTATAGCTCGTGCAACGAGACCCTCGCTATCAGCTCGAAGGTTCGGCTGCTGCATCTGCCTTGATTAAACGACTCAAGCATCTCACTTACACAGCGCTCGGCTAGTTGGCCTCGGTCTGTTATCCAAGTCAATCCACATCTAAAGCCACGACGGCCTCGTCTGGTATAGCGTTTTCGGATGGCGGAACTTCTTGGTCAACCTGGCTTTTGCATGCTGCACAAGAACCCTCAAACCGAGCTATCTCGACTGCGAAACCATCAACGGCTGAATCTTGCCGATGCAGAGTGCAATCTTGTTGGATCAAAACTGCGAGAGCAGAACACTAGTAGGTCTATCCAGCGACCCCTGGCCGAGTAAGGACTTGAGTCAAGTCTTTGTTTTCTCGATATGTCCTTTCGTGTGACGGTTATGTCACATGTGCCAGCTCAATCTTGCGGCAACACGGGCTGATCATCGGTGCGAGCTTCTCGCTCAGGGTGTGGTCCACCACCCGGAAGTCTCTGAGCTGGCCGCCCCTTGCTTTCCAGGGTTTTTACACTTGTCACCTAGCATGATCAAGTCATTCCACCAGAACAGTTCCACAGGCTAAGATCTTTTGAAGCGGATACCCGCGCAACTCAGGTCCGAAGAGCAATCTATTCATCCCCAAAGCCGAAGTACGAAAGCTCTATCAGATCAGAATCCAAGCTGCACGCTCTTCCATTGTGCATGGTGGAGACACTTATTCGTGGCCGATCGCCGATATGAGGTCAACTCCTGGCGCTGCCCTCTACTTGATTGGGAGGAGCCCTGCGTGCTTGTAGGGAGGCATGAGCTCAAGAGCGCCCTCCAGCTGGCCTCATGTGTCAACATACTCGACTCTTTCTCAGTCGAATCTTTACGCTTTTCGAGCAACCCCACGCGACGCTGGCCCTGGGTCGCACGTTGGATCAGCAACACACTCACCGTTCCTCCTGTGTATTCAGCAGCATGCGGCGGGTACTGTTGCCTCCATTCATGTGATGGAAATTACTCAGCTTTTCTTTAGATCTGCTGGCCGAGTCGGCGGGTTTTGGCACTGTTGGTCCGCGGTAGCCCCCGGCAGTTGCCAGCTGATCTAGCTGACATTCGACAATTCTACCACATTACCAGTGGAGGCTGGGTGGGAGGGCCAACATCATCGGACATACGCTTTCCCAAACCAGTTACCGTTCGAAAGCGAATGGTAGCTTTCGGGCAGAAGTGTCATATGCTTCTGCTCGGCGTTTCGTACAGCTCAGCTGCAGGCTTGTCGCCGGCTCGATCGCGTCCTCTTCACCAGGCCGCTCGAGAACGACGCTGTATAGCCGGAGCCAATCTCCAGCAGCTGGGCTGTCCAGGGCAATGTGCCCAGGGCGATTACTTGGTCATACTTTGAACGACTGGCCAACATTTCCGGCGGGTAGCGCCATCTCTGGGCTCCACGGGACGAAAGAGTGGATGTTATCTAGCTGGAGCAACATGACAAGATAGCCGCCTGCCTGCGGAGGAGGGATGTGGTCGGGAAAGGGGATGGGTGCTCGGCTGCTGGAAGAGCCACGAGTTGCACGAAGTATTAGATAGCTCAATGCATTACCTGAACAGGTCCTCTATCCGTGAAATTGGCTTTCTGTTGGGCTTTTCTTCTTCACTATCGCGGCCGCAATAGGGCCTGTTGTTTGCAACGCCCAGACGGAGAATATATGCGTGTCTCGCACCTTATATGGTGAGAGCATCTGACGTTCGATCCCATGCTCGATTCGCCGGCAGTATCCCAACTTCCTCGGCGCGACTCAGCAGACGCGGCTCGACCTACGACGACCTCGATGGGAGTTGCTTAAGTGTTACCCCCCATCATCAAGCGAGCCTCACTTATCTAGCTTTTCGCACATATCCAACGTTTCACGGAGCATCCCCCCGCCTCATCCTGCCTCACCGAAAACAGTCAAACTTCTTCGGATCCCGTATCCCATACACATTCCCTTCAGTGATACGCTTGATCGTCAACGCCGCAATCAGCGCCGCGCCCACACCACTGCCGTCCTCGGCTGAGCTCATCACGACGGGATCCTTGCCCTTTTTGTAGCCCTTCTGATCCCAGTCCAGAATCTCTCTCAAGGCCTGCGCGCCGCGCTGCTTGAAGTGCGGGTATTTGTTGAAGACGCTGCCGTCGGCGCCGACGTGGCAGCTCTCCATGTTCTTCTTCTTGCAGATGGCGGCGACGCCGCAGGCGCTCAGGCGGGCGGCGCGCGTGCCGATTAGTTCCGCGAGGCGGCGGCATAGTTCCAGCTCGGGCTTGGAGGCCGTGAGCTTGAGCTGCGAGGCGAAGTGATCGGCTGTCTCCTGCAGGTTCTCGAAGGGGTCTTCTTCGATAAAGGACAGGAAGGAGGCGTCGAGTGTGTAGGGCTTCTTGAGGGCGGAGATGTCCTGGTTCTGGAAGAGGAGGTTCTTGTTCTCGTGCAGGTCCACGAGCACAAGGCGGAAGATCTCTCCGAGGTATAGGCCGGCGATCATCTTTTCGAAGGCTTGCTGGCCGGGTCGTGGGCTAGTCTCGTCGATGATGTGGTCGTACGGGGTTAATGGGAGGACGACGTGGTCGTTGTCGAAAGCACCATATTCGCAGTTGATGGCCATTGGCAGATCGGGTGGGAGGTTGAGGTGGGCAAGTTTGGGAATGCTACCGCAATTTTCCATGTAGGCGGCGTTGCAACCAGTGCCAAAGATACAGCCAATACGCATAGCCTGGTCTGTGTACGCCGAGGCGATCATTGTGCCTGTGGTATCGTTGATGAGAGCGGCAACGGTGATGGGAAGACCTCGAGATTTCAGGGCTGCTTCAAACTGGGGTACCACATCGTTCCCCTCGACACCGTCGATATCAAAGCCCTTCGTCCAGCGTTGGAGCACACCGTGATCAATGTAGTCTTGTGTAGCAGGGTAGGAGAAGGTAAATCCAAGTGGTAAGGTCTCGAGCTCCTCATCCTCGTGGTGATACTCGATGAACTGCTGGACGCAGTCGGCGACGTACTCCCAGAGCTCATCCGCTGTACCGGTCTTGAGTTCCTCAGGCATGCGGTATTTGGACTGAATGATATCGAACTCGCCTTTCTCTTCCGAGAGCTCGATCTCGCAGACTCGCAAGTTGGTACCGCCCATGTCGAGGGCCAGGAACTTGCCCTGTTCGTCACCGGTGGGAAAGTCCATGACCCAGGTGGCGTTCATGGGAATATTTGCAGGACCACTCAGGCCTTTCTCAAGCTCGGAAACGAAATGATCGGTGATCTTCTTGAGGCGTTCAGCGTCGACGGTGAAGAGGCGCTCGAGGTTGGAGATCTCCTCGACAAGATGCTGCGGAACGTCCGCGTACGAACCTGGGCGCGGTTAGGAGATATTCAGACGGTGTGGACGCGCGTGATGCTCACCTTTTCTGGAGGGTTTCCTCCGGGCACCTAGTCCGACCATGGTGTTGCTCTGGCTTGTATAGAGTGATTGGAAACGACAGAGGACAGGATCGACAGAGCAGCAGCGGCAATTTGACCCGGAAGACGAGTTGGGAAGCGAGGAACCTTAAGGAGAGGCAGAAGAAAGCTTTTAAGATGTTCTACAAAGGGTAGTGCGAGATCAGATGGATAGGAACCAGAAGTCAGTACTGACGAAGATGCAGTTCAAAATGTTGATCCCTCATGGCGGGGCAGGGGTTCAACGTTCAACAGGCAGCGGAAGCGGGGCTCGTCTCATGCAGCAGTTTCCGCCGTCCCGCGGCCCCGGCCTGTCGGGTTTCACTTCAGTGCTTGCAGACAAGGCGCCGACATGCCTCGAGGGTCTTTTGCTTCTTCGCTTGCAGCGTGTATTGTTGTTGTCTGGTCTATAGCCTATCGTGGTACGGCAGTGATGATGCTGCTCTTGTCCATCGCTATTCTTGAGCAGCGTTCGACATCATATCTTCAACCCCACTTGAAAGCGACCCATCGGCTAATCACCCTTACTAAACATATGGTGATGAGTAACGAATGGTAGTGGATGCCAGGATTGCCCAGAATAGGCAGAGCTTCACTCCCCGCCAAGAGTCCTCCGGATGCCCAGTTGCTTCGTTTTGACGTCGTAGGTCAAGGACCGATAGTCCGACTTTGCCGGTCTTCTGCTTGCTCGGCCTACTCCCTCCCTCTTCCTGTGCTCAGTTGCTGAATGGTTCCGGAACCCACTCACCCGCAGCGACACCGGATTCAACCACTCGCCACAAATTCTTACCCTCGGCCGGATCAGGGTGACGACGATCATGCGCATATCGAGTGATGATGGCGAACAGTGACAGTCGAGTCTTGCGTGAAGCCTCCTCAAGGTACTGTTCAAGGAACTGATTATCCTTGATGAAGGAATCGTAGCCGCGGCTGGCGAGGTCGTGGGCGATCTGGTCCAGAACATACCGTGTGAGGGGTGTAGCGTTGGCATCGTCGCCGAATTTCTTGATCAGCCAAAGAAGCTCGTCGATTCTGACTTTGTGGGTCCGGTAGTGCGTGCGAAAGCGCTCCACCAACAGGTTCTGTAGAGAATAGGCATCATACTCCCAAGCGAACTGGTATGCCTTCAGTGCAATGTTGAGACCAAGGCGATGCTCGATCTCACCAGGTTCCTCGCTGTACAGACTCTCAACGAAGATACGGAAAGCCTTGGCGGAATGGCTGTCTCGTGGTGCGATGACATAGTCGGCACGAATAATCGTGGAGGGGTTAGCAGGCGTTCCAACAAGAGTTGGGGACTGGTCAGCAGCCTGGCTTTCACCCTGGTTGTTGTCTCCAGCCTGCTCCTGCTTGACGCCGGCTTGCTCGGTCGCGAGAGCAGGACTATCATCGTGGTTCGAAACCTCGACCTCGATGGCTTGGCCAGGCATACCGTGGCGGCCGAAAAAACCAGTCTTATTGAGTCGATTTGCGTGCACGCTGAACTCGTCTCTTGCAGGGCCGACAACGATGATAACGACCTGTCCACCAAAGTCGCTGACATTTGGTTAGTCATCTTATCATCTTCGCTTGAATAGCTGACTTACTGCGAGGCGCGACGCTTCTGCGGAGTCACGGCGGGAGGAGAACTCATCATGAAGTTGTTAAACGTGGGCACGGCCGTTGCGGGTATGAGTACGATAGCGAATGGATGGTGTGACGATGGACCGCGATCAGGAGAGAACTAGCTGCTGGCGTGGCTGGAGGGTCTGGATTAGAAAGGTTGCTGAAAACATGCGCAGCTTTTGTAGCCGGGCGGCGAGCGTGTGGTGGTGACTGCGAGTGAGGTCATCAAAGACTGACGAAACGGTCCGTTTGGCAGCATTCACTTGAGTGGCAGCCCTCTGAGAACTGCAGCCAAGTTGAGTGAGGAGCTCAGTCTTGGGTGACTTTGAGGGCAGATTATGTTCCATGAGATGGTAGGAGGGTACAATTCCGCTCGAGGTCGCAACCGTAATCTCTGCGAGGCTGCCGCTGCTACAGGAGTTTGCGCCTCGTGAATTACGAACTGGACGATTGCTTTCGAGCTGGATTCGCGGCTCTCACAGAGATGGTTTGTCAGGTTTCCGTTCCGCGCCAGTCAGGTGAGGAAAGACGTGGGTCAAGTCGCTGACTGCGTCACTTGTTGTCTTTGATGGTGGCACCAAAATCGCGGAGTCCTTGTTGCTTTTCGATTGTCCGTCACTTTCTTGGGTGAGCTCCTTCTCAAGCCGCTTGCTGGTCTCCTCGTTCAGCTTTAAAGACTTGTCAATCTCTTTGGTGAGCTTGTCGATATCGTGGTCAAGTTTCTCCCCCTTGGTCTTGGGAACTTCCACCTTCTTCGGCTTGCCTTTGTCGGGATCTGTCTCAGCCCACAGAGCCTCAAGCTCGTCCCGCCACCCCATGGCATCGGCAAACTTGCGGACTCCCACGTCACAGTCCCCGAGAAGCAGTACGTCGTCAGACCTTGAACCAAGGCCACCAACCCGCTCCAGATTGATAAGGACTCTCGGGGTCTCCTCACTCACGAATGATGGCAGACTGGCGAAAGGCTGCACAGTCAGACTCGTGCCCATGACAATGGCAAGATCAGCTGTAGCTGGGAGGCTGCGGTTTTGGTGGAACGCCTCTGGCAGAGCCTCACCAAAGAAGACAATGTCCGGCTTGACAAGACCATTACATGTCTTCTTGACGCAGTGCGGCACCTCCTTCTGTGCAACCCTTTGCTTCATTTGATCATCGGGGTACTCGGTCTTGCATTCAACACAGCGCTGCTTGGCAAAAGAGCCGTGTGCCTCGACAATCTTATCGTCCGGCACTCCAGCTTGTCGCTCAAGGCAATCAATATTCTGCGTGAAGAGCTTAAGCAGCCGGCCTTTCTTGTGTAGCAGGCTAATAAATGAATGAGTCACCGTAGGTCTGAAGTTACCTGGGTACAACTCATGTGCCAATGCATAGAACGGGAGCGGGTTGTTCTTGAAATAGCCAATGTCAAACACCGCCTCAGGATAGGGTAAGTTTAGTCTGGCCAAATTTGCATACAGACCCGTGTCAGGGGAACGGAAGTCTGGTATTCCCGCAGATGTACTGATACCAGCACCTGTCATGACCACGATCCGCTTGCAATCTTTCTCCTTGATGTATCGCGCAACTCCGTCGATGCTGCGCGCTATCAAGGTGGTTGGCGGGATGGATTCGTCCACGGGCGTAGAGGATTCGTTGCCCATGTTGAAACCGCGCCGGCCAGTGGCGGGCTTAATGTGCCTTTCGCGCTTTCTACGTCCAATTTTGTCCGATTATTGGGGTTTTGCTGGCCAATACAACGCTCGGAGTGACGGTCTGTGATTCGTAAAGCTTAAGAAAAGCGAGTGGAAGGCAACATTGGGTTTTTCTGGTTCTTTGATAACGAGTGCGGAGGAAATCTAACGTCATTTGAGAAGGCAACCACACAAAACTTGAGCCTTGCGCCCCACTTTTACAAGGCTGCCAATATCAAGACGTGGTCACACTTATTTCAGGTTCCCAATGCTATACATGTAAGACGGGTTGGGATGGTGATCTTCCCGAGGTGAGAGGTAACAATGGCACCCAACGGTGAGGCTCATGTGAATGGCAGCGCCCACTTTGAGGGTCCTGATATATATGGCGCACGCTCGGTGGCTGAAATCAGATCCGCCCTTGCTCATCTCCACCACAAAGAGGCCTCGGTCACGACTCGCCTGGACAGTCTTGTGGCAGCACAGAAGGATTTGCAAAGGGAGCTGGGAAGACTGGATATATTTCGAGCCAATCTCAGCACCCAGGCTTCCAAAACTCGATCCATCAGCAATGGCATGCTCTCAGATGCTGCATCGACGGCCAACAGAATCTCGAGTTCGGTGAAGAGATTGGACCTCGAGCAGGAGCGCGTAAAAGCCACTCTGACCGTCGTTGAGCAGGTGGCAGAACTCAAAGCATGCGTACTTGGAGTGTCGGGCTCTATGGGGGCCGCACAGGACTGGGAGACCGCAGCGAGTTATCTGAGCCGGGCTTCCAAGATCCCAAAGGAGGTCATCAACGGTGAATTTGCTAGTCGCATTGTACCTACGGCAGAGGTGCCCGACTCACCAGCAACGACGCTTGAAAATGCTTCGGAGTCACTGTGCACGCTGTTCTTGAGAGAGTTCGACAAGGCTGTCCAAGAGAACGACGGTGGCAAGATCACCCGCTTTTTCAAGCTTTTCCCATTGATAAACAGATCCGAAGTCGGCCTCAATGTCTATGGACGATACGTATGCCAGGGTGTGGCAGCACGTGCGAGGACCAACATGAACGCCGGCACTGGCGGGAATCAGAGCAAGGATGGCTTCTTCTATGCCAATGCTCTCACGAAACTTTTCGAGCATATCGCTTCTATTATCGAGGGCCACGGTGGTCTTGTCGAGCGGCACTACGGCGCTGGGAAGATGACCAAAGTTATTGAGCGGCTGCAGGTTGAAGCCGATCTGCAGGGCGGCATCATCCTTGACTCCTGGGGCGATGAGAGGAGAATAGACCGTCAGCTCACCGACATCCGAGCATATCCTTTCACGTTCCTCGTACAGAGCTTCGCCGCTCCCGTAACAAGAAATGCAATGAGCACGCCGCGGTCCAACTCGCCTGCGCCAGCTCGAGTAAGCGAAGACGAAGGGGTCGACATGAAGCAAGTCGACTCTCTCCTGAATGAGATGACTTCTATGCTCAACAAGTGGTCGCTTTACACACGCTTCGTCACCGAAAAATGCAAGTCACCAGACGCCAACAACGATACTGCAGAAGAACCACCATTCCTCATCAATTCCGCCCTCGCACGCAAGATTCAAGACCGCATTATCACCCCTTTCAACACAATGACCACTTTCTTCTTCCGCCGCTCTGTCGAGAAAGCCTTCCAGCTAGATGAGCAACCCAGCGACCTCACTCTCGACCCTCGCAAATCTCTCTCTTCCAATCCACCCCACATCACCTCCGCCATCGAGGACATCATGTACATTGTCAACAAGGTCTTGACACAGTCCCTGACCACCGCACAAACCGCCATCATCTCCTCCGTCCTCCCTTCGATCTCCCGTGTGTTAGGTTCCGACTTCATCGGCATGCAGCAGCGCAAGATGCGCGACGAATCCTACCCTAAAGCTGCCATACCCGGCCAACTCCCACCCGAGGCCACCATCGTCGCCTTTCTCGTCCTCATCAACAACCTCGATGTCTCCACCACGTACATCTCGCAAATCATCACCTCGCGCCTCAATCCCACCGCGCAGAGCACCAATCTCCTAACCACCCTCTTCCCCACCCCCGCCTCCCTCACCCTCGTCACCACCCACCTCACCTCCCTGCAAACCACCTTCTCCGACAAAACCTCCACCCTCCTCACCGACAGTACCTCGGTCCTCTTCAACAACGTCCTTAAGCCGCGCCTGCGGCCCATCCTAATGGACGCTTTCCGCGACACCTCGTACGACCTCCACGCCTCAGAACGGGCCGACCACCACGCCGCGCTCGCCGACGCAGGTATCGAGCTCGACGACGACGCCCACGACCCGGGCGTCCGCCAGCGCTTCGCCCACGGCTGGGACGCCCTCACCAAGCCCCTGGGCCGGCTGCTGACCGAGCACACCTTCGACATGCTCCTCGCCACCACGGTGTCGTACCTCGCCAAACTGCTCGAGAAGCGCATCTGGACGTACAGCGGGCGCGTGAACGCCGCGGGCGCCCAGCGCCTGGAGCACGACGTCAATGAGGTGGTGCGCTGTGTGGTGCGGGGCCAAAAGTGGCGGTTTCGCGACGAGTTTGAGCGCTGTCGGCAGATTTGTGTGGTCATGACTATGGAGGAGGAGGAGTGGGAGGAGTGTGTGAGAGAGGATGGTGGCGAGGGGGTAGCGGAAAGGTTAACGGCTGAAGAGAGGGAGAGGGCGAGGAGCTTGGTGAAGGAGGGGGACTAGGGCATGAGGAAGCTGGCGTTGAGTGCTAGTTTGGGTGTTGGAATTTCGATGCGGATGAGATGCATTGAGGGACGTACTCTAGATCAGTTCCTAGCGTCTGTCGCAGTTAGATTACGGAACAGTTCATGGAAGCTAGACCTGAAGTTGGAAGGTATTGGATGTCCCGCAGGCTTCTACCTAAAAATGGCGAACGCTATGGACATGAGATCTTGTCATGCTGGATACTTTGTGCTCAAAGGTCCTCATCTATCTCCGAACTCGCCCTGTAAACCAGTCTTGATGGTATCATCAATGCATCTGCCAGTGAACTTTTTTGGCAGAGCCGACTGCCTTTGCCTTCGTAGCACATGAATCATGCGTGTTCCCGACGCCATGCCTCAATCCTCGTCATCGCTTCCTCGACCTGCGTCACCTAAGCCCGCGACATAACACCCCACGCGTAGATCTTGTTGTTGGTGTAGCCAGAGAACAGAGTCTGGCCGTCGGCGGACCAGGTAAGAGACACGCAGTAAGGCTCCTGGCTCTTCTTGCCCTTCTCCAGACCCTCAGGCTTGAGCTCGTCAACCTTGCTCTTCTTCTCGAGATCAAAGATGGTAATGGAGGAGGTGGTGGCGGCGCACAGCCAGTAGCGGTTGGGAGAGAAGACCAGGGCGTGGATCTCGTCGCCGGCCTGCAGGGAGTAGAGGTGCTTGGACTCGTTGAGATCCCAAAGCATGGTGGTGCCGTCCTTGCCACCGGAGGCGCAGAGCGATCCGTCAGGAGAGATAGTCACGGTGTTGATGTAGCCGGAGTGACCAATGTGGTCGGTTTGGATGCGGCAAGAGGCGAGTTCCCAAACCTATAGTCAATGTCAGCGCATGTTTCATCAGGTGTCAAGTATGCGGTGTATATTTTCTTTTTTCTCAGTTCGCCGGTGAATGTTTGTCTCATGGCCCGAAGGCTCTGAAGTAGCAAATACTTTATGTTTTCAACGTAGCATCCTCGTATTGAAACGACGGATCAGGTGTAGATCTTACCTTGACAAGCTTGTCCCAACCAGCCGAGACGATGACGGGGTTCTGAGGGTTGGGAGAGAAGCGAACGCAAGAGACCCAGTCGGTGTGGCCCTTGTCGGTGATGGTGTACTTGCAGTCGCCAAGGGTGTTCCAGAGCTTGATTGTTCGGTCGCGCGAGCCAGAGACGATCTGACGGTTGTCGGCGGAGAAGGAGACGGAGAGGACATCGTTGGTGTGGCCAACGAAAGTGCGGGTGGTGTTGCCAGTGGACAGCTCCCACAGGCGGAGAGTCTTGTCCCAGGACGAGGAGAGGGCATATGCACCATCCGATGAGATCACGCAGTCGGAGACAATGTGGGAGTGGCCGTGGAGAGATCGCTTGGGCTGGCCGTAGTTCTCATCCTCGCGGGTGAGGTTCCAGATGATTAGGGTCTTATCTCTGGAGCCAGACAGGAGCATGTTGGGGCTGTGACTGCGGTTAGCGACTGTTCATACTGCGACGCAAGAGCGACTGACTTCTCCAGGCTGGTAGCCAAGCTGGTGACCCAGCCGGAGTGACCCTCAAGGGTGCCACGGATAACGAGTTGCTCGGCCATGTTTGCGGAAGTCTTGTCGGCGAGTCGTGCTTCGTGGTGTGTCTTTAGCTGGGTGCTATTGAACTTCAGGATGCGCCGCGGGAGAAATTCACCTGTGGGCGAAACAAGGCTGCTGGAAATCTTGGCTGATAGCCTTGTCTTGGCTCTCGAAGTCTAACATTTGAACGACCGCTAGGGTTAGGGTGGCCCAGCTTCCACTTCCAAGAGTGCTTCACCAAGGTCAGACCAGCATGCTCACATCGCTTTTCCTTCCGTTTCCCTGTTTTATGGACAAATGCTTAGTGCGCTTATCGTTGCTCAGTGCTTCACCATTTGTACATCAATCGAGCAGCATATAGGGAGGTGTTGACATGAATCTATTCGCATCCCTGATCTTGCACCGCTTCTCAGGGATTGGAGTATGCAGCCCTTGGGGTACTATGCGGACATCCCGCCGGAAAAACGAATACTCAGAATCAAAGTGTCATGGGTGCCTTGCGCCTTGAATAACGACCTTCCGCCTTAGGAGAAGACTCCTTCGTATGTAGAGGCACATCCGCGTGGGATTCCCCACTGAAGAGCGGGAAAAATACCCAAACCTTCGCAATCGGCGGCCATTGACCGCTATCACACGGCGTGCTTTGAAATTAGCCGATATGTGTTGTAGATCAACCCTGAAGTTCAAATACTACTGCTGGTAGTAGAACGGCCGTGGCGACTGCTACAAATCCTTCTTCACTTCAGCTTCACGAGACTTCTACATCAAGATGGGCTCCACCGAACAACTACCCAAGATGCAGTATCGCAACCTTGGCCGCAGTGGTTTAAAGGTGAGCGTGATCAGTTTGGGTGGATGGGTTACGTATGGTGGAAGTGTAGGTGATCGTATGCATTCCGCTTCTCCATGCTGCTACTACTCATCAATCTACAGAGATTGCCATGGACTGCATGAAGGCTGCCTTTGATGCTGGAATCAACTTCTTCGACTGCGCCGAAGGTTACGCGGAGGGCAAGTCTGAGATCATCATGGGCAAGGCTATAAAACATTATAACTGGTCTCGCAACGATATTGTGATCTCCACCAAGATAAATTGGGGCGGCGCCTTTGGCGTGAGTCTGGTCTAGCTAGCCTTGCTCCAAACTGACCGTTCCAATAGACCAATCCAGTCAACAACTTCGGCCTGTCAAGGAAGCATATCATCGAAGGAACAACAGCAGCTTTGGAACGACTAGATCTGGATTATGTGGATCTGTTGTACGCTCACCGACCTGATCGTGAAACACCCATCGAAGAGACAGTACGAGCTTTCAACTATCTCATCAATGCAGGGAAGTGCTTCTACTGGGGCACCAGTGAGTGGAATGCGGACGAGATAGCCGCTGCGTGGGCAGTGGCTGACAGGCTGCATATGATCGGTCCTCTCATGGAGCAACCCCAGTACAATCTGCTTGTTCGAGACAAGGTCGAGAAGCAGTTCTCGAGACTGTACAGAGACCATGGCCTTGGTCTGACGATCTTCAGTCCGCTCAAGACTGGTATTTTGACTGGCAAGTACAATGACGGTATTCCCGAGGACAGTCGCGTTGCAACGGCCAACGACAACTTCAGTAAGGGTCAGAGGGCCAGCTATGGCAACGAAGCCTGGTTGAAGGATATCGAGCAGACGCGCAAGTTGAAGCCTATCGCTGACAAGCTTGGTACCGATCAGGCGACGTTTGCACTGGCGTGGGTCATCAAAAATCCCAACGTGTCGAGCGCCATCACCGGGGCCAGCAAGATCGAGCAAATCGGGAAGTCTGTGAAGGCGCTAGATCTTCTACCGAAGTTGACAGACGAGATCATGAAGGAGGTCGACGACATCCTGGAAAACAAGCCCGAGCCGTTACAGTTGCGCTTTACCTAGACCTGGAGGCAGATCGGCAGAACAAAAAACAGGCATCGCCAGTTATTTCTCCCCAGAGGGTTTGTGTCAGGTAAACGCGAGCCTAGAAGACTTTGCCCAGTTGTGAGAAGCCATGCTGCTTGGTACTTCCAAACACGATTTGCTTTGTATAGTCTAGAGCGTAGTCATTTTGATTGCCAGGCGGTGCAGCTGATATGATTTAGGATCGTATTTGTCTGTGCTCTAGACTTGTTCTCGAAGTTGTAAATACTTTATATTCGTGCTTGCCGGCCTAAAAGCGGCATGTTTTAAGAGTTGGGGGATCATGACGTTGTTCGTTAGGACGAAGCTCCACCACTCGTCGCCCTCAAGCTGCTTGATATCAGTTTCGATCTTTCTGCTACTACCTACCTTCGACTATCAGCCACACCTCCCTCAACATGTCGACCATGATGAACTCTTTCAGAGGTGTCGCCAGGGCTGCCGCCCGCCAGCACGCTGCTCGCCCGATCACTCGGCCCCTCTCAACCACTCCAATCTTTAGATCCAAAGAGCAAGAAGGCCGAATCCATCCCAATACCGATGGCTACAGAGAAGACCAGAAGAAGAAGCCTGAAAATCCACACATGACCAACACCAATTCCACGTTTCACAATGAAATGCCCAAGATTGGCGAGGATAAGGCGCCGCCGGAGTTCATCAGCTCGGTCGAACCCGAGTATGTTCCAACCGACAAAAGACCTGAAAACACAGAAAGGATGACTGGTGGTACACAATCTGGTGATCCCAGCAAGGTTAGCCTCTCTGACGACCTTGCTGTTGGCGAGATGGAGGGGGCGACTTTCAAAGTCGAACCCCTTCGTCGCACAGGAGAAGACACTGCCACCATGAGGGCTAGATTATTATGTCCGTCATGACCCCAGCACACAAGCCGTCGCATTCTTTGCAGGACCATCTACTGACTTATCGATAGACCAAAGCAGGAAGCGGGGGACACTAGAGTCCGATCTGCTCCTCTCCACCTTTGCGAGCGAGAACCTCTCCAAGATGACCAAGGCTCAGCTTGAGCAGTACGATCTTTTCATGGACGAGAACGATTGGGATATCTATTACTGGGCTACACAGTCTCCTGCTGGGACACCGACCTCGCAAGAGACGGCCGAGGGCTCAGTCGAGAAGGCGCCTGCTCAGACAGATGCGCAATATCTCTCACCAGCGAATCCTGGACAGACTCAAGCAACGGATGCTTGGAGGCAGGGTGCGCCTCGCAGTGGGGAGTGGGCGCAGACAGTCGGTACTTTTAAGCCTGCATATCGTCCTGTACCGGCGCGTTGGCATGGCAGTGAGATTCTGCGTTTGCTAAGGGAGCATGTTAGAGCCCGCAGTGCAGGAGGTGTTCTGGAGGATGTCGATGTGCCGGCGAAAGGTAGCGGGATGGGAAGGATGCCAGAGCTGGGCCGCCCCTTTGAGTAGCATTGAAACCCGTCATAAGCCTGTATCAGAGGCCCTGTATAAACTGCACATGCTGACTGTTTACCGTTTGCATACCATGTTGCGGGTCAAGGTTGTACGAAGGCGCAGTTAGTACGCTACTCAGAAGTGCGAGGCCGAGGTACGATCGCCCATCGTTGACCAACCAACGAGCGATGTCGGCTTAGTATTTTTTGCAACAGACTTCCCTGAATCATCCACTATAGTTGCAATAGGCATCATTGCCGCCACAAGCCTTCGCGAGATGGAGATAACAACCGATCGGCCTGCGAGCGGATGCCCACCGCTCAATGCTCATTCGCGCCGCCGGTTATCGTCACGGCAGTATGGATCCTGTCCTCCACTTTTGCCAAAGGCTCGTTTCGTCGTACTCTCAAGAAAAAAGATCATACTGCCATCCTCACAATGGAACACGTACGACTTCTTCTCCCAATCTTGAGGATAGAGGTGCGGGCTTAGAAATCGCTCTGATCCCTCTCTGTGGGCCTTGCATTCTTACCAGCCGCTGATTGTTGTATCATTGGTATAAGTAACAGCAGCATGGTTGTCGAACGCGTCGTCACTGCATCACGACGGCAACATATCAGCCGCCAGCATGATGCGGAAACCGGAGGACGAGCCATCGCGCTCTCACTCCCATGAGCTCGATCCCAGAGTTGGATCGTCTCACAGCACCCGAGTGCCCATAACGGAGGCGGAGGATCCCGAGAAGGCGACCGGATTGGAGTCACAGCCAGAGGACGACAAGTTCCTCGTCTCATGGGACGGCAATGACGACCCCATGAACCCGAAGAACAAGAAAAACGCCACGAAATGGTTCATCGTTGTCATACTGGCACTGGGCAGCTTCTGTGTCACCTGTGCGTCTTCATTGTATACCACGACCTACCAAGGCATGTCTCGGGATTTCGGTTCGTCCAGAATCGTCAATACCTTGGGTCTCTCGACCTTTGTCTTCGGGTTGGGGTTCGCCCCGATGGTGCTTGCACCTCTTTCCGAGTTCTACGGGCGAAGGCTCATCTACCTACTCGCCTTTGGAGGGTTCTTCATCTTCCTCATCCCGTGCGCCGTGGCCCAGAATATTGAGACGATGCTCATCGTCCGCTTTTTCGATGGGCTCTGCGGAAGCGCTTTCCTCAGTGTGGCGGGAGGCACGGTCGGTGACATGTTCACCAAAGACACGCTTCAAGCTCCGATGCTGATCTACTCGGCCTCGCCTTTCCTGGGTCCCGCAACGGCTCCGGTGTTTGGTGGCTTCATCAACAGCACGGTCAATTGGAGGTGGAGCTATTACGTGTTGCTCATCTTCGCTGGCCTCGAATGGGTCATGATCGCGCTGTTTGTTCCTGAGACGTACATGCCTGTCGTCTTGCGACGGAAAGCTCAGAAGAAACGGAAGGAGACCGGAGACGAGAGGTGGAAGGCGCCGATTGAGGTCAGTGACAGGAGCGTCCTATGGACTGTCATGCATAGCCTCTACCGGCCGTTCATGCTGCTCTTTTTCGAGCCCATGTGCTTCAATTTGTGTCTGTTTTCGGCAATTCTGTTGGGCATTCTCTACCTCTTCTTTGGAGCCTTTCCATTGGTGTTTGGGCGTGTGTACGGCTTCAACCTTTGGCAGACGGGACTGGTGTTCCTGGGTATCTTTGTGGGAATGGTCAGCGCAATGGCGACGGATCCGATATGGCACAAGAACTACAAGCGCTTACTGGACAAGCGGGAGAGGGAGACGGGAGAGCGGAAGTCAGAACCGGAGTACCGCCTGCCATCGTCCATCTTCGGAGCGTGGTTCTGCGTGCTTGGTCTCTTCATGTTTGCGTGGACAATCTATCCCGGTGGTAAGTACCCAAGCACGATAACGACGAAACCATACTGACAGCGTAGTCCATTGGATCGTGCCAATTATTGGAACATCCTTCTTTGGCTTTGGGATCATATTGGTGTACACCAGTGTTTTCACCTTCTTGGTTGAAGCCTATCCGCTCTACGCGGCGTCGGCGCTGGCTGCTAATTCGTTTGCGAGGAGCTCGTTCGCAGCAGCCTTTCCCCTGTTTGGCGTGCAAATGTATGAAAAGCTCAACTTCCACTGGGCCACCACCCTCCTTGCCTTCCTGACGTTGGCTCTGGCGCCTTTTCCGTACGTCTTCTGGATTTACGGAAAGCGTCTCCGGCAAAAGAGCAAGTATGGGTCGGCATGAACCGGAGGGGATTGCGAAACGAACTGACCATAGTGGAATCGACTATGCAGACAAGATGATCTTGCAGAAACGGGGCAGGTCGGTACCGACGTACGACACTGGCGATTGATTATGCAGCAGACCCGTGAGCCGCACATCGATTCTTATCGATGATTCTCGTCTCGGCGGATCTGACGGACTGACCGCCTATTCAAACGCGCCTCGAAGCGGGCTTTCTGCCCATGGCTTGTCGCGCGGGGTCTTCACGTTGACATAAACTGACGTGAAAGGAGGCAAGATACCTTTCTGCTGGCTACTAGTCGGAGAGTGTCATCCGGCAGTCCGCCACGCGGCTAGCCGCTCGGCAATCTGTGGTCTGGGAGTTCCCTGGTAGAAAGATCTCAAGGCAAACCCAATAGAGACGCACGGAGCAAGACGCAGATACACGACATCGCGGTGGGAGATTAAGCGGCCAACAGAGAGCACAATTGAAAAGAGGACTGCCCTGCTGCCACGGTCGGACAGAGCCTACGCAGCTTCCAGTCCAGATCGATATGCGCGGTGGTAGTCGACGCGCTTCACGTAAAATGAAACCCTGAGCACCTAGAGGGCAAGTGGAACTCTTCAGTCTCGTCTTCAGTTTTCATGATGCATTGATGAGGCGACGTGGTCGTGACCAAGGCAGCGATTGAAGCGGCGGCCACCCCGAGACCCCACGCCAAGACCCCCCGCGGCCGAGCCAGCACCGCCCTTGAAACAAGGCTGAGAACAGGCTGGAGTAGGTTCACCAGTTGAGGTGTGAACAGAGTAGTGGTAGTGACAGAGGCACACACACTGTCAGGAAGAGCCCTACCACAGTCTATCAAAAGCGGTCGCTCCATTCCTGGCACCACACCCGCATAATGGTGGACGCGAAGTGATGGCTAAGAGTTGATGGTCATTGGGTGAAAAGAGGGGTAGAGTTAGCTACCCAGCTAAATATTTTATACGGGCCAGGCCAAGTCGCCCGGGGTTCAGGGCCTCAGGCGACCGCCAGGCGATGGTGGAGCAGCTTTAGCTTGGGCAGCCGCACCTCGGCCTCCTCCCGATCTTGGTCCTTGGTCTTACTACTGCGCGACTCTCAATTCTGCTCCATGCTCGTGCTCGTGCTCGTGTTCGTGCTCGTGCTCGACCCCTTCAGCCCGCATCGGCTACACTCATCACTGGCTATCCTGTTGACAGTCACAAAAGTGACTTGACGCCGACAGCGCAATATTGGTCCAGAACAATACCGCTCCCGCCTCCGCGACCGGCCCCTCCCACCCTGGGTTTCTCCCCTCCGCCTAGCCTCGTTGCTCCAAGCTCCCATACGCCCGCGCCAGCTTGTTGCGCAAACTCACAAACGGCCTCTCAATCGTGTCGCTGTCTCTGCAAAAATACAACGCTGTCTCACTGGGGGCCAAGGGCCAAACGTGAGCACGGTGCGACACTCATAATACCACGACACGACCTCCCACCATAGCCTGCCTCGTCCCACGTCACGCGTCGCACAGCATACGTCCCAGCAGAGTGCCATCACCTCCCTGTTCCTCTCCTGCCACGCGCTCTGCTTCCTTCCAACGTCACCACCTTAGACTCCGCCGGACTCTTTGCCATCCCTCTTCCAACACGCCGGTGCCGTTCCGACCACTCCCTCCACCCCATTGGGCCCCCGGGCCTGATATTGCGCATCCATTCTGAGCAACATTCTCCCTGTAGTCACATGGTGGGTTCCAGTTGGCGATCGTTCTAAGCGAGACAGTCTTGATCGCCGCACCCCGGCCCGCTGGATGTCAAGCTTATAACAGACCATGGCGGCCTCTGATGTCGAGGACCCTCGCTCCCGTTCTGGCTCTCCTGACGAAAGCGAACTTCAAGAAGACATGTCAGAGCCACCTCAAGAGGGAAAGAAGTCGAAGCCTGCCAACGGTGCTTCCAATGCAAAGGACCCCAATCGTCCTAGGCGCAAAAAGGCTCGTCGGGCTTGCTTTGCGTGTCAGCGTGCTCATCTGACATGCGGTATGTACCTGGTACATGTGACCTGTCACCTCCCTTTGTTAATCGCTGAACAGGTGATGAACGTCCGTGTCAACGATGCATTAAGCGTGGCCTGCAAGATGCTTGCCAGGATGGAGTCCGAAAAAAGGCCAAATACCGTACGTGCCCCGCGCTCTTTATGCCCTATCATGCTCATGCTTGCAGTTCACGATGCTCCCAATGAGGCGCTCATGCCCGGTGTCGGTGCCACCATGTACACGCATCCCGCAGCGAAGCGCGCCTCGACCACCACTAACCCCCATGATTCGCAGCAGCAGAGCCAGCCACAGGGAAATTCCCAGCAGTATTTTCCGCCATCGCAGAACTTCAACATGTTCACCCCGTCCCAGCAGATGCCACCCCCGATGCTGCAGGAGCGATCCATGAGCAGCTCGAATATGATGCAGCAGTCGCCCCTGAACACCACTTTCAATATCAGCACCCAGCCTCCCATGCAGTCCCCAACTGTCGAACACACCAATCAAGGTATGCAACCTCAAGGCTGGTCTGGAATGGCTGGCGCTCTCTTTAACGATCCCTCGGCCTTCAACTTTGATATTGCCAGCATGAACTTCACAAACCAATATGGTGCGCTGGAATTCGGCATGCTTGGCCAGATGGCCACCAATGCCGGAGATACACCTCCAAGCGAGTCAGGCACTACGCGAGGTTCAGTCCATCAGAACTATCGCGTGCCTTTGGGCAGCTTCAGCGAGTCCCCCAACAACACTTCTTTCCCTTACAACGACCCCGCCATGATGTCCGACTGGTCCAATGGTTCAGGTGTATATCACGCCCAGATGGGCGGGGGCCAACCACAAGCTCCGCATGCTTTTGCGATCGAGACCAATGCTCAGTTCCACTCACCCGAAAACCATCAGACGCCGCCTGATGGGCTCAAATTTGAGGAATCGCCGCTTCTCACCTCTGCCCATCTGAAACCTCCTGTTGAGAACAACATGTCTCAACCGCTGCAGCGGCCGCAGGTATCGCCTCAGAAACAGCGACAACCAACTCAAATCACTACACCTCAGCTCAAGGCCAAAACCGCATTACCTGCGAAACCTTCCTCCAAACGTCCACGCGACCCCTCTACAATCTATACGTCCGTCACCACACCTCATCCTTACACGCAAAACTTCCACCATTTGATCGCCTATCTTCAGCGGCGCTTCTCATCGCAGCACTCCAAGACGCTCAGCATTGCCAAATCACTGGCCTCCATACGTCCCTCGTTCATCGCCACAACCAAGACCCTCAACCGAGATGACCTCATCTTTATGGAGAAGTGCTTTCAGCGTACGTTGTTCGAGTACGAAAGCTTCATCGAAGGCGTGGGCACACCCACTATCGTCGCACGCCGTACTGGTGAGGTGGCGGCTGTGGGTAAGGAGTTCCAAATCCTGACCGGCTGGTCGAAGTCGGTTTTGCTTGGTCGGGCTCCGAATCTGAACGTCAACCGTGGACACACAGGCCTTACGCCGCAAACGGGCTCGGGTGCAAATTCGGCGTCAGCAAGCTACGGCAACACCAAAGGATTCAACACGCCGCAGCGTACAACTGTCACCGAGGAGGCCAATGGACAAAATGGGGAGAAGAGAGATCGACCCGTATTTTTGGCCGAGTTATTGGATGATGACTCGGTCGTGCAGTTCTATGAGGACTTTGCAAGACTCGCATTCGGAGACAGCAGGGGCAGTGTTTTTCGGAAGGGCAAATTGCTCAAGTACCGCACCCGCGAGGACGAAGTGGCTGCAGAACTCCGGAAGGAAGCGGCGCAGCGTCAGTCCGATGGCACAGGTGCCGATGCGGGAGGAGATGACCAGGTGGGAAGCATGGGTGGTCCAGTGGGAGGCGGTGGACAGGGCCCGCAGAGGCGCGATACCACGAGCGGTGGTGTGAACCCGAAGCTCCGCAAAGAGGGTATTTCGGGGGAGAAGGGGATGCAGAAATTGGGAAGCGCGGACGGAAAAGTGGACTGCGCTTATTGCTGGACGGTGAAGAGGGACGTTTTTGACATTCCCATGCTGCTTGTGATGAATGTGAGTACATCCCCGTCCTTCCCGAGTTAGGTCTGCTGTGGTTGGGACTAGGTGTGGAGTGGTGAAAACGTCGAAGACATGGGTCGATTGAATCTAGGTCAGGGCTAATTTGGTGACAGTTCTTACCTTGCATTTGAACGAACGAAGCGATGTGTTGTATGGTGAACAACGCGAACGAGCGAACGAACAGCAACAGAGCGATACGCCATCCACAGCGCTTGACCTACGGCCTTGCCGGATATGCGACGCGAGCTACCTTCCCACCTACCAAACAGCAAGTTGCCACAGAGCAACACCAAGTTTGGTGCGAAGTGCTTCTGACGTTGCTGTCGATGCCCAGCGTCGCATGAGGCTACGTCTCGACAGGACCAAACGAGGCTGGAGATGGTCGGGCGTGCACATTAGCGCTCGATGCTGTGGACGTCCGCACACTCCGTCCCTTGTGTCGTCTTTGAGGCGTGGACGGATTGGTGGGCTTTGTATGAGCCATTGAAGCTTGACGAAGGACAAGCAACCAAGTCAAGGCTCACATTTTGTTCGCCGATGCTCATGGACTGGCTTGTGAGTGCTACAAGGGGCGTGGGTTCAGCCCCGCTTGCAGTGTAGATCGAGGCCCCAAGTCCCGTGAGCGGATCTCCAAGGCAATACATGTGCATGTCATTGAACAAGTGGCGCGGTGGTCACACTTTTGACTGCATTATGCGAGGAGTGGCTGGCGTGAATTTAGCAGGCCAAGTCAAGGTCAATTAAAAGGAAAAGGAGATGGGAATGGAAACAGTGTGAGGAAATGATGCGATCTGCTCAAGATTCTTCTTCTTTTGCCGAGGGACTGGAATTGTGATTGCAATAAAGTCGATAGTGCGATGAGATCCGAAATGTGTGTGTGTGTGTGTGTGTGTGTGTGTGTGTGTGTGTGTGTGTGTGATATCCCGGTAGCTACAGCGGCCCGCATCGCGTCACCGTCTATCTAGAGAAGGCGCTGAGACTTGCACAGGCCTATATACTGGCGACAAGGGTCTCGGAGATTGTGTGAGTTTCCTCCTTCGTCTCTCCCTCTCTCTCTCTCTCTCTCTCGGCGAGTGTCGTTACATCCCCCATTGAATGGGCAACGAGCTGCATCGAATGCGGTGCGGTGCGATGGCGAACGAAATGCTAGTCGGTTGTGTCGGTCGTGTCGGTAGCTCCAGGCGAAACGTGAATGGGAACACCACAGACCTGGAGAGTGAATGGAGTCGGTCGTATATGTCAACATATATCTTTCTAGAGGAAAGGACGAGGGAGGAGTCACATACTACATTCAAGTCAGTGGACGGACAGCATCATCGAAGTCGTTTGAAGGGGAGAGGAGAGGAATGTGTTGTGCAAGATCTATAGTATGCTTTGTCTACCTCTACCTCTATCTCTAGCTGTGCCTCTACCTCTACCTCTACTTCTACCTCTACCCCTGCCACTGCCTGCCGGCTGTAGCTTTGTTTTGACGTCTTGTCATCATTTGGCCCGTGTCGTGACCCACGCCGTTTCCATAAGTAGGCGAGCGCCCGTGTTGGATGGCAAGCAATCCTCCTCTCTTCTCTTCATGTCCGAACTGCCTCGACACCTCCGTCTCTCGCCAACAGCAATGGCAATGCGCCGTAGCCCTTGATCTGCATTAAAGCTTCCCATCACCCTGCCCGCCACCCTCTCCCTCCCCTTCCCCCTTCACTTCGCCACCAACAACCTCCCTCTCCAACCTCCCCACATCTCCATCTCCATCTTCCCACCACCCAAACTCCCTCAACGCCCGATCCCCCATGAACCGCCGATACCCCTCCCGCTCCAACAGCGACCGCCGCGCCACGTCACAGTCAGTTTTTATATCCGACACCAGAGCGTCGAGCGAGGCGTAGTCGTACTCCGGTCGGATGAAGCCCAGGATCAGGAGGTTGAGCGGCGTGTGGTAGAAGTTGTGCCTGGGGAAGTGGTGCAGGAGGTGGATCTCGATGCTGCGGGTTTTGTTCTTGTACTGTTTGTTGGAGAGGGTTTTGTTAGTGGGGGAAATTGGTATTGGGTGTGAGGTGGAGGTGGAGGTGTGCACGTATGGGCAGATGCTGGAGTTGGGCGATAGGCAGTTAAAGGGGGAGTCGTTGCTGTGGTGATGGATGAGGATTAGGATGGAGAAGGGGGTTGGGAGCTTGGAGCCGTGGTTGAAGAGACAAGAGTGATAGAAAGTCGACGGTTGTGGAAGAGTAGGCGAAGGAAAGATGATGGCGCGACGGAAGGACTCACGTAAGGATTATATCCAATACTTAGCACCGCCGGGTAGACGCCCACACCATCTGCGTCCACACCGCCAATAGCCTCAGTCTGAGCTCCTGCCTCGGCATCTCCCGTTGCCTTTCCTCCACCGACCGTCTGTTCATCACTGGTTGATGCGGAAGATGACAGCGTCAGTTTGCTGTTGTCGGCAGGTTGGGTGGTTTCGGGCGTGAGTTTTAGGCCGACGAAGCCGTAGTAGACGCCGGATTTGAGGTCTGGGTAGGAGGAGAGGTTGGAGGGTGGGATGTTGGCTGTGGGGATGCCGAGCTAGGAAGGATGAGTTAGCGTTGTGTTGATGTCGAGATGATATGCTGTATCCTCGAGACCTCATGCTTCACCACACGTCGATCCAGGAACAAGAAGCCACTTGCTGGACTGTAGTTAAGCTCGGACTCACCTCACGACTCCCCCTCCCAAAGCCCTTGATGACCGGTCCACTCAGCTTGATGGGGAATGGAGGCTCCGGACCAGATTCGGGTCCGGCAAAGTCGTCCCGTGGCTTATCTGGACGTATCTCCGGCATCGTTGCGTGTGAAGTCTGAATATATGAATGCCTGGAAAGCGGGAAGGTGTCGGAGTTGGGGTCGGATGGTAATGGCGGCGCGGCGATAAGGCGTCGAGATTTTGCCTGATAGCGTGGCGGAAGCTGGCGCGGGATGAATGAAGACGGGGAATGGCGCTCTGTGAGCAAGCAGGGGGGGTATTGATCGCGGTGACAGCGAGGACCTAAGAACAAGGTTGAGCTCGTCGTATTCGTGACCGAGACCAACCCATGCGCGTGGTGGGACAAACAATTTAAGGCGTCATGGAAGCACGGAGAATCGGCGAATATAAATTCCAGAGGATAGCGCATCGGGTCTCTACGTTCGACCTCAGCCCAGCTACCTGGTACAGCACATGCAAATTCACGACACGTCATCCAACAACATCGCATTGCCTCGAAGTAACTATGCTTCGATCAGTAGTAGCTACCTAACTCCATCCGAGGCGAGGGCAGTGTGCCAGGCCCCATGGCCGCCTCATTCCGTTCAAAGGCCCTGATCATACCACTGCCCATTCCCCGTCCCAGTCTATGCTCATTGTCGTGAATATTATCATACTTGGTATCGTTCCACGTGCTGTGGCGGAAGAGAAATTCCCTGGCAGATCTTTGCAACTCGTTCGCCATCGCCAATCCTCTCCGTGCACATGTTCAGGCTTCTCAACTACCCTGATCGACTGCGCCTTCATCCCTTCTCGGCATGCAGCCACCATCTACGAAAGATGGAAAGCTCCCTGTCCCTCCTTAATTGCCACACCTAGTCTCTTCTTCAAAACCTCTTGGTCACTGTAGTCTGGCAACTTCAAGTAGTTGACGCAAGTCATGACACTTGGCAGATAATCGTCAGACGAGTAAGGAGGCTCGCTGGGCTTGCAGACGACAGTGAACATGGGTGTCAAACTCTTGAACCCCCCGATTGGCAACTTGGGACTTCCAGTAACGAACTGCAGGAAGTCCCGACGCTGCTCCTGTGTGAGCTCCGACATGGTCTGGAGCAAGTTCTTGACGCTCTTGCTGTCCATGTTGAAACCATGATCGGCCTTGACAGAATCCATCAGTGTTTCGATTGACCAGTCTTCTTCCACACGGCCGAAGAGCATGACAAGCTCGTTGGGTGTAAAGGCCTGCAGCGACGAAAAAGAGAAGACTTGCGAGAAGCCGGCCTGGAAGGCCTCGATTTGGCGCCGCACACCTTGACCAAGACTCATGTTCAGCACGCGATCAATGTAATCTTGAACATTGTCCATCGTCACTGAAACATCGGCTCCGTCCTCGACCAGCTCAATCGAAGGGTACCCAGGCAAGGTGAAGTCGAGCATCAAATCCTCGATCCGTGCGCCCTTGATCGATAGCTCGCTCAGCGCCTGTTCTTTCTGAGCCGCAGGCAATTTCGCGGCTTCAATGTTCGCTCTGGCATTGGCAAACTGCTGCAGCTGAGCCATTGAGTTGGCCAAGTCCTGGTCAATCGTGCGAAGCAGGCCGATCGAAAGCGACATGGTCGATTTGGCCGGGACTTTGAAGAACGTCGGGCTGAACGCAATGTCGATGATTCGAGAATCGATCATCGAACGGGCCACAAACTTGCCCAGCATCTTGAAGAAGAGTAGAAGTTTTTTACCGCTGTCGGCGCTCGCAGCAGCCTCGCTCATTGGCGCAGGGAAGAGACCGTTCCTACCGAACGCAAAGTCCTCGGTGTTGGCAGAATCGTTTTCCCGCCACATCTTGAGCTTTTTCTTCGAAAACTCTTTCGAAACGGTAGAGTAGAACTCAAGAGTTGGCCCCAATCCCGTTCCGACTTCTTGGAAATATTCAACCTCCAAAACACTCGGAGACGCACCATACATTTCCATGACCTTCATGGCCGATTCGAGGATCTTGCTCCGTGAGATCCGCACCTTCTGACGCTGAGGACGGCCCATGAGCGGTCTATCATCACGTCGGCGGTCGCGCCGGTCGTCGTTCTCGCTCTGGTTGCTCTGCCAGCGAGTGATGGAGCGGGAGTAGCCAAAAGATGTTGATTGCAAGAACAAGTGACGGGTCTCGAATGGGAATAGGAAAGGAAACCCCCGGGCGAGGTCCTCGGCCCAATCTGGCAAGCAATTACTCGCGACAATCAGTGGCTCCTCGAGCTGGCGGTTCATTTTGGCCGTCAGCTTGGTGTTAATGAAGGATGCCAGAGGCTCTGGGTATAGCTGAAGTCCGGCCCGGCCAAGAGTCTCGCGAACGTCATCCAAGCTAGCATTGAGCTCGTGCAAGATGCGAAGCAACAATAGTATCGACGATGTGACTGGGTGACCATTGAGAGAAGCTGCTAGCTCGCCATCCTTGCCGCTCTTCTCCTTGTTCATCGCCGCAAGAGTCGACGCTGAAGGCGGCGGTCCCTTCACCTTTCGGAATTTGACTGTATGTACACCAGACCAGACGCCACGCGAGGTCGGATCGTTAGTAGGATCACGATTATGGTGGACAGCTCGGTAGATGGTGGTGTGGTTTGGAATAACGTTTCCATCAATGCTGAACTCGATATGCCAGTCTTGAGGAGTTGACTGCAGTGCAGCTGCATAAGATGGGCGACCAGAGGCAGTAAGAGCGCGGTTGGCGAGGCTAGGCGAATCGCTTGACTCGTTACGTGACGCACCAGGGATGGGCGTCCCTGGCTGTGGCGTAGCAACTCGCGTACCGTCCTCTTGACGGGCAGTGACTTTGCCAGTGGACGCGACCTCCATGTTCACAGCGGCGGGTTCAGGCACATCGTCATCAGACATGTCATCATCTAATCCATCGACGAAAGCCTCGAGAGTCTCATCACCAGGGTCGGGCGTGCCCGTCTCATCTTCAATCTGCTTTTCATCGGGGGCTTCCAGTTTAGGATCCTCCGCTTCGGTACTCGGCTCAGGAGGCCGGGTATCTGCAGTTGTAGCAGTAGAGGCTTGGTTGCGACGAAGAGATCGGCGCCGCTCGCTCTTCTCTTCGGACTTGATGGCCTCCTTTCGTGATTTCTCGTGGCTGCTGGACTTAGCTCGCGATGATGGACGTGAAGACTGAGCCAACTCAGGCGGAGTAGCAAGTGGAATGCCTCCTAGCTCTTGCCCAAAAGGCGAGAACAGGCCAGACTCAGCGGCACCCGAAAGTTGAGCCATACGGGCGTCGGCGAGTTGTGCCAGCATCTCGCGACGTCGATTGAGGGTGCTCTTATCAGGAAGACTGAAACGTGGCCGCAGGTAATCATCCAAAGCTTTGAAAGTAGCAATGGCATGAATAGACACAATCATCTCGCGGTAGCTCGGCGGGATATCTCCGTCTGGCTCAGCAGTCAACCGCAGACGAAGCTGACGGGAGAGCATGGAAGTGGAGCTCGTCCGACTACTCTCAGATGCGTTGTTGTTGACAGTCATGACTTCGAAGTGCTCAGTGCGGCTGAGAAGGTCCTGTAGCTTCTGAATTAGAACAGTCAAAGCGGTAGTCGATGTTGAGGCCGTGGCGGTCTTGATCTTAGCTGGACTGGCCGAACCCATGAATGCAGCCAAGAAATCGCCGCGAGGATTGGCCGCAGTCGTACTTGGCTTCCCTAGAATATCGACCAGCAGACGAATGATGCCGGAATCAAGAAGCTCGGAGCTGGTGATACTCTCCAGTGCATCGCCGTCGAAAAACGAAGCTAGGCGCCTGAAGAGGTCCGACCCTGACGTGGATTTGACTCCAGAGTAGTGGGTCTGAATTTGAGTAGCCAATGCTTGGAGGTCTTCTCGGATTTTGATGGCCTTCTCTTTCAACTCACGGCCGTTGGAGGTATCGTACTTCTCGAGAAACTTCTTTGCACGCATGATGACCAGGTCTTGGATACCGGCGATGATGACGGGTGACGGCAGCTCATCGTCGGAGGAGTCAGAGTCATCATCATCGATGTGGTGATCTTCTCGAATGGCAATCTCGTCCTCATCTGGATCGCCAATTTCATCGTAATCTCTCTCGCCAGCCTCATCGTCTTCTGCGCGGCCCTCATCGTCATCGTCGCTCTCATTCTCGGAATCTTCTTGCTCATCGGCGCCATCGCCCTGCTTCTCGTCAACAGTGTCATTGGTGGCAAGACCATCGTCAGCCGACTTCTTTGCAGCTTCAGGGGAAGCTCTAGCAGACAGAATCTCGGGGTCGATCTCTGGCTCCCGCGCCGCGAGCTTCTGAATCTCGCCAATCACTCCTTCGCGGTGAAATTGATACTGATAGATGTACTCCAAACGGTCGAAAAGAAGCTCGGAAGCTTGAAGGGCATACATGACGAGGCTAGGATGGTCCTCCTGCGAGAGGATCGATGCGAGGAAGGAGGCATATGGCACAGGTCTTAGCGCTTCCTCAATGACAGCGGTTTCAAGGTTGGACAGCATCTTCAGCTGAGCGTTCAGCACCTTTTGGCGCACACTCAAGTTGACAGTGCTTGAGTAAGCATCAGTGAGCGTGGGCATGAGAATGACGGCAAATCGTCGTGTCTCCTCTTTGCAATTCTCTAATAGTTCCAAACGCTTGGCAGCTCTTGAAGAACGCTTGTTGCCGGAATAGCCGCCATCAGACGTGTCATCATCGAACCCAGTGTGACCGAGCTCGTTCAAATCCTCATTCGTTTTGGCGGGCGGCAGGAGCTCGCAGATAACATTCAGTGTTTCGTAGACTTGCTCGCGCGGGCGATGGATCAGAGCCTGCATGATCACAACGCTGTCGATTTTGGATGCCGCATCAGAAGTTTCACTGGGTGGCGACACGCCAGTCAGTATTTGATAGAGGGTATCGACAACCTTCATCTTCAACAGCTCGGCGGACAGATTCGGACTCGCCCTAGCCACAATGGCAAGCACGCGCAGGAACTCGGTGTGGATATTGGCGCCAATCAAGTTGGTCGTACCGGGCAGCAGCAGGCCCAGAACAGCCTTCAGCAGAGCCGGCTCGACTAGCTGCTCGAGTTTATCAGGGCTGTGCTTGAAGCTGTCGATCACTCGTGTCACGCAAAGACAGCCTTGCTCTACCACTTTCTGGTCGTGGCTGACCAAGACGTTCTGGAGAATCGGCATCACATCTTTGATGACAGCGAAAGAGTCGTGAGGGATGTTTCGGCAGCAATTGGCAGCAGTTGTGACAGCGGTGCGTTGAGTACCAGTCGCGAAGAAGTCGAGGAACTGCAGGCAGGCTGTGAGACCTCCCTCGCGAACGATAGAGGCAGGGAAGTCGACGGAGATTTTGGAGAGCGTGCTGAGAGCTTGCTCGGCTACATCGATGTATTGGATGTCAAGCAATTTCTGGCATAGAACAGGGACAGCGCCACCGTAAACAACGTTGGCAACAGAGCCACGCATGGCTTCCATCAGATTGGCGATGCATCGGCAGGCCAATAGCATTAGCTCCGGATTCTCCTCGCCAGTGATGGGGTTGGGTTGCATCAAAGCGACCAACTCTTTGATGTATGGATCTGGAGAGAAGTGGCCGGAGAGATTGTCCTCGTTTGAGACGAGTAGGAGATTGGAGAGTTCTTCCAACGCTACCAGCTGCATGGTGGAATTCTCGTTCCGGCGCAAGCTGGTCAGAATGTCCTTGAATCGTGAAGACATGCCGCTCATCATTCCACTGAGAGCACGTAGAGTACTAGACACATGCCCCGAGCCAAACAATGCCGAGGTGAAAGGGTCCATACCATCGTCATCCGCACCTGGACTCCCTGCATCGATACTATCATCATCGCGAGGAGGCGGCGGAGGGCTCTCGTCGTCTCCAGAAGGCGGCTTCGAAGGCACTTCGTCGTCCGATTTCATGGCGAGATCCGGATCTTTTTTGTTCACTTTCTTCTTCTTGGAGCGGATAGGAGGTGTCTGCGTTGAGGGTGATGTATCTATCATGGTTAGATGCGGAAGTAGTGACTATGGAGGGGATGTACCGGTAGCCGACTTCTTGTTCGTGCGCGATGCAGCACGCTTAGAAGATTTTGAGCTGGCTATTTTGGCAGGTTCTTCAGTGTACTTCGATGAAGATCTTGATAAATCAGTCAGCCGTTGCTCGTTGCCAGAGCTCTCCTTGTCATACCCATTGTTAGACATTGCCGTGTCTGCAGCGGAGGATCTGCGAGTTCTACGCTTTGAACGAGGCTCGGGATCTGGCTGTGGTTGAGAAGGACTGGCTGTAGTTTTCTGTCGCTTGGAACGACGAGGAGGGGTAGGCTGAGCAGGCTCTGCGAGATCTTGGGTTGGGCTAGAGTCTTGCTGCACGGGAGCCTTTCGCTTCCTGGAGGGGCGATCGTCGGGTGGAGGAGGTGCTTCAGCGGGCTCTGCAGCTCGTCTGGCTGCCGAACGAGTGACTCTGGACGACATGAGTGTCGGGCCTAACAACAAGAAAACGTAAAAGCCGAGATAACATGAAGATGAAAGAGGTGGCGGATGGTAGATGTCTCCACCAAAGGCCTGTTCAAATAAAGGCTGCTGCGAAGAGGGGGTATGACAAGGCTGAGTGAAGCAGATGGAAGGCGCTAGCTACCTTGGATCAAAGGGTGAATTCAGTGAGGACGAAGAAGAAGGGGTGATGTCGCTCTGCGAGGTGAGGGAGGATGTATGGTGTCGGGCAGGCGTAGTATCGTGATGCTGCTGATGGCTCCGGCTCGATGGAATTGTGGGTGTCGTTGAAGCATTGGGCACATGCGCCATAATCAGCTCGCCATATTCCAGGCGGCCGCAAGAGACGAAATGCAAAAGGCTGATGTACAGAAAAGGGCAATAATCAGACACGAAGATGCAGTAGGTTGAGTCGGAACAGATGCCATACTATGTCACGGCAGCACGGCACACAGTTTGGGGCAGTCCGCCAGCGCAAGGCGTGTGGAGTGTCAGCCAATCAGCCGGTTCAGCGACCCAGCACCATCTTTCAGCCTCCTACACAGGATTTCAGATGCTTGGATTGCTCGTGGACGGAGCAGATGGAAGGGAGACCTTCGTAACCCCTACTGGATAGATTTGTTTTGCATTGTGCGGTCCTGCGTGCTGACAATTGCTAGTAACTACCGCTCCTTCTATTTCCGCCGAGACTGCTGCAACAAATCGGCAGCCATGCAAGGCTGTTACATGCTTGCCGCAACCTGCATATGATAGTAGCAAGCATAGCCGGTGTCGTTGCCTATTAGACGAGAGGCAGAGTTCGAATTCTCGTGATTATCTACGGTTGTGATGACCAATTCTACAACTCATCAAAGCACGCAACGCCTGCGCTCGGGCTATCCGGCGGTTGGAGAAATTGCCCCCAAGCGCAGCTTAGAGCCGCGATCGGGGCCCTTGGTAGCCAGACCCCTCTTTTTGCACGTTCCAGTTGCTCTGCACTGCCTGACTCGGAGTCTCGATCTTTCAATTTTCTCTCACTCATCAGCCCCCTTAGGTGCTCAAGAGACAAAACTACGCGGCCGCCCTCTCGCTTCTCGAAACCATGTCTCCTTCCCTTCCAGCTGTCAGATGCGAATAGTCTCCCTCCGCCCGCAACCACCGCCCAGCACCAATATCCTCGCCCGAGTCACGACCGCTTCCAGGTCCCCGCACCACTCGCTGCCTGCGGAAGCCTATCTACCTGTACCTGTAGCTCGTCATCTTCGATTCCGACTCGCGTGCTTTCCTTCCGGCCTCCCTTCTATCCGACCCGCACATATAGGGTGCCCTTTTTCGGCAAACCGACACCACCTACGACCTTTCTCTACAGTGAACCGTCGCCACACCAAGCTCCAGTCTGTGCTGGGCGAAGCCGACGAGATGGACGCCTACAACTTCCCTGATGCCCGCCTCAAAAAGAAGCTCGATGATCCCTCAAAGACGCCTCTGTTGCTCGTTGCTTGTGGCTCATTCTCACCAATAACCTTCCTCCACCTGCGCATGTTTGTTATGGCAGATGACTTTGTCAAACACACCACAAACTTCGAAGTCATTGGCGGCTATCTTTCGCCTGTCTCCGACGCATATAGAAAGCAAGGGCTCGCTCCAGCCGAGCACAGGTATGAACATCCGCGTCATTGATGATCTCGCTGATGTATGCAGAGTGGCAATGTGCCAGCTAGCCATTGACAAGGCTTCCAACTGGCTAATGGTTGATACATGGGAAGCCGAGAAGAAAGAGTACTCCCCAACCGCTCACGTTCTCGACCATTTCGATCATGAGCTCAACGAGGTTCGCAAGGGCATAGATGCCGGTGATGGTACCCGCAAGCCTGTCCGAATTGCCCTCCTCGCTGGCGCCGATTTAATTCAGACCATGTCTACTCCTGGCGTATGGAGCGAGAGCGATCTCGACCACATCCTTGGCCGTTACGGCACATTCATCATCGAACGCTCCGGCACTGATATCGATGAGGCTTTGGCCAGTCTACAACCGTATCGCGAGAACATACATGTCATACAGCAACTCATTCAGAATGACGTCAGCAGCACAAAGATTCGACTATTCTTACGACGAGGCATGAGTGTACAGTATCTCATTCCGGCACCCGTCGTTGAATATATTGAGCAAAACCATCTTTTCGGTGAGGACGGTCGTACTTCAAGCATGACTTCTGCCACTCAGCAAAGCAGTGAAAAGGGCAAAGAGCCGGCCGAGCCAGCCGAATCAGCTACGACTTCGTAAAGTTGAATTCTGTCCACTTACGAAATCTATTGCCCATGCCATTACAGTGGTGGCGGTGAAGAACAGCCGAAGAATGGCAGGAAGCAAAGGCCAAGACGTTGCCATATGCTGGGCAAGCTCCTCGATTGGGACAAGCAGGCCCGCACCGTGCCCCAGCGTTTTCTTGGTGTTCAGTCGGAGAACACCAAGAATGCAAAATTCTGGGAACGCTCACCAAGATCAGGGCCAACAGAGCGCCGTGGTCTATTCGAACCAATGTGCATACGAACAAGGGCCATTCAAGCCGTCGCACGGCACGAATAGAAAGAGAAGAGGTGAGCGCGAGCCACGGGGTCCTTGATGATGAAGATGATGATTTCAGGCATGCACATAAGACTTGCGGTCTGTCTGCAAGATTGGGTGCTGTCTATACACTGATACCCATGTTAATACATAACGAAGATACGACGAGCGCGAGCGAGTCATCGCTATGGACATTTACGCTCTTCTGTTTTCTCTCTTGCCGTCTCAGAAGTGATGCAGTTAGAGAAGGAAGCCATCGGTAATTGTCTGCAGAATACATGACACGAAAATTCTTGCTCGTGTAGATGGGCTACTGTCTTCATGACTGTAAAGGAATTTTTACCCTTCCCACCGGCTTGTCAATACCTTGTTATGTGTCCACAGCCCTGCCTACTAATAGCTCTGGCCGCCCGCGAAATCTAGTTCCTCCCGACTATACCGCGCATGTACCTAGGAAACCCGCCCTCTAGACGTCAAGATACGAAAGACATCTGTCACGATGGTAGACACGAATTTCACTCCCGACACGCACCTCGCGCTTATCACCGGCGCTACAGGTGGCATTGGCCGCGCGACCTGCCATGCACTCGCCCGCCTGGGTATCTCTGTAGCCGCACATTTCAACGCAGCCAAGGATGACGCCGAAGTATTAGTCCAGGAACTGACAGAACAGTACCAAGTCCGAGCTGCGTGCTTCCAGGCCGATCTCGGCGACTACGATGCCGTGAGTTCATCCTCGAGTGATGTTGGGAAGACTGGGGCGAGGCAGCGAGGCGAACTAGGCAAACCAGTGGACGTTCTTCCCTTCCCGTCTACGATGCCTCAGTTGGACATGATGACTCCCGTCATATGTTTAGCCTTGTTCTATTCGAGCTCTCATTGATCAACCCTCTCCTCCGCGTAGGTCCACCGCCTCCACGCCTCAGTTGTCGCCACGCTCGGGCACCCTAATATCCTATTCCTCAATGCCGGCACCACCGGTGGCGTATCCGGCGTCAAGAACCTCACCGAGGTCCCCTTTGATGTCTTCGAGCAAACATGGCGCATCAACTGCGGTATCGTTCACCACTCTCACCCCTTTTCACCTCTTCGCTCCCCCTAGCCCGGTCTACAGGCACCGCATCATACAAACTAACCATTCCCCCACCCTTGACCGGGTGCCGGGCAACTAGGCTCTAACATCCTCCTCACACAACTTTGCCTTCCAGCTCTAACTCTGGCCCGGAGCGGTACCACCGCGACGGAGCCCTGGGGCCGCATCATCTTCAGTGAGTGTCTTATGCACCTGAGTCGGACAGCAGTGGCAATGTGTGTACCTGTGACGCATATCTCTGAAGGTACTCTGGCTACCGTTAAACCGGCTCGTGTCCTTTCTTCGTCCTTCAGCAGAACCACTCCATTCCCTTCCACGATGAGGGGTATTCCGACACTCTCACACACGGCCCCCCCCCCCCCCCCCAGTCTATGATACCTATTCACCGAATCCAACCTCTAACCAACAAACCATTTTCCCAAACCAGACTCCAGCGCCGCCGCCTTCACCGGCGGCCTCGTCGGCCCGCACTACGCCTCGTCGAAATCCGCGCTGCACGGCCTCATCCACTGGCTCGCCGCCAGCGTGGCCTCGCGGGGCATCACCGTCAACGGTATCGCGCCCGCGCTGATCGAGGGCACCAAGATGCTGCCGGGGGCGAAGGAGGAGTTGAGGAAGAAAGTGCCGGTCGGGAGGCTGGGGACGGGGGAGGAGGTGGCGGAGACGGTGGTGTGGATGGTGAGGAATGGTGAGTTTCTACTCCGTACTCCTGTCCTGGCTTTGGTGCGATTTGGGGCTTTTGTTCTCAGGTTTGATTAGTGCTGTTGGTCCTGGGTTTGGGGTGTGTCCGCTGACTTTGGGGTTCCTGGGTTGGTAGGCTATGTGAGCAACAAGGTGGTGGGCGTTGATGGGGGTATGTTGGCGCAGTGAGTTGCGAAGGTGAGTGAACATGCTTGTGGCGCTCTCCGCTTCTGGTTGGGATGTATCCATGGAAGAGACGAAGGGGGAGGTATGACCGAATCCCCAAGAATGTGGCTCAACAACTTGAATTTGAATATGCGCAAACAGATCTGCCGAACGAGATGGGACGATAAGAGCACTCGTTTGGTCCCAGGATGTACACAGACACCTACATACGCGTATGTCCAAATTTCCAGGCCATTATCATGAGTTCCCCTAGCCACGCCAATATCAATCACCCGTTTCCTTTTATCACGAAGCCTTGCTGCTACTTCAGCCAGCTATGTCCCATCACCGTCTCATGTCCTTCCCCAGGAAAACGTCCACCAGACACTCCGACCCTCAACTACCCTGCAACAGTCCCCCCGGTACCAACTCCAAAGCTATGGCCATCGTGAAACGCGCCAGCGGCCTGCTGCCTGCCACCAACTCCCGGCCCGGACTGAGAGAATTTCGTCATCTCCTCCTTGGACATGCCCGTGTACTGTTGGTTCCGAAAGTCAGCGCAAGCTCGTCTTAACATCCGGCCCATCATCATCATCGCATCAGCGTCTAGGCTGGAAGGAAGAAAGAGGAAGAAGAGAGGCGTGAGAAAGGAGATGGGGAAAGAGCCCCTACGCAAACCATCACAGTTTGTAGCCACCCGCTCTACGAGTGAGCCTCAAACATCACTACTCACCTTCTTCATGTCCTCATCGCTAATCTCCTTCTTGTCACCGCCGCCCTTCAACTTGTCGATCCAGCTGCGTTTGCGCTCCTGCTGCGCCGTCTCCGGCGCCGCCAACCCGCCGGAATTCTGATTCTGAATTGGATCGTTGGCCTCGGCGAATTTGTCCTTGGCCGTGTGCGACGTGGGGTCAGGCCCACCCACTTCATCGGTGTCGCTCACCCCGTTGGGACGAGATGAGGAAGCAGCGCCGGTTTCGTGCGGGTACGGCGTGTTAGAGAATCCAGCGCTGTCCCGATTCGAATTGAGCGTCTGGTAGGGTTCGAGCTCGACCTTTTCGCCGCCGGGGCCGATGTCGTCGTCCTGCGTGGCTGGTCGGTTGACTCCTCCGGGCACGGGGGCGGTGGCAGAGACTTCGGACTTGTTGCGGATGGTTTCTTCGGGCGCGTACTCGGTCATGCGGCGCTTGCGGTTGTCGGAGGTGTCGGCATCGTAGTTGACGGTGGAGAAGTTGGTGGCTACCTTGCGGATGGGTTGGGGCTGGTCGTTGGCTAGGCCGCTCGGGCCTTCGCCTTTGAGGGAAGAGGAGCCGCAGCCCATTTCAGTGTTTGGTGATGATGATATGGATGATCCGTTGGCGATGTGGAATACGTGGTGGTGGGTGAGTTGCCGGTCTCAGTGACGCGGGAGCTGGTTGCGGTTGCAGCTGTGGAGCCGATTCTGAAGCTCAATGTAGAACAAGCGACGACCGTCGGGGCGCTCTTTGATGTGTATCGCCAGAAGCGTTTTCGGTCGCGGAACCTGTCGCGTGGTGAAAGACCCGATGTAATATAAGCAGCGTCACCCGGGCTTGCCGTTATTCCGTGAAGGACGATCTCTCAGCTATATCTAGTAGTGCCACGCCAGAAGCTCAGAATAGAAGATTCGATGCAGCCCTGAGAGCGCCTGCACTGAACCTGGAAGGGAAGATGGGATGCGAAGCTGTCCAACAAAGAAGCACGAGGGTCGCCAAATCAAGAAAAAGCAAGGATGCAACACTGCCACGCTGCCGCGGGCCGGGCAAACGATAGGTGCTGGGATGGAGCTTCGAATAAGCCCCAAAGATCCGATGGTGAGGTGACGAGGCCCCAAAGCACAGCACCATACGGAGTACCACCACCGAGCCGGGGCGGGGGGTGTGAGCCGTTCTCGGCTATCCATCGGCATCCGGGGAGCGCCCATCTTTAATGCTTGATTCCCCAACTCATGTATTGCTCCAGCTCTGACGGCGACGTTGAGTGCGGTTCATTGCGTCACGCTGATGAATTCCATCTTCAATCTTGATGTTCAACGGTCAGCATCGACGCCAGTTCCGATGAGACAAGTAAAGCTTCACGAAGGGACGACCTCTTGTCTGCGTGTACAAAGTGCGACGCAAATGCGGGGGAGACGATCACCTAAAATAGCTCGGTGGGGGAAGGTCGTACATAGTACCGTGGAATTATACATTGGCGTTGTTCCAACAGCAAGTCTTCTTATGAAGCTCTTGCTCGTTTGGCGGGTTTTCGCGGTCTGGGTTATCATGGAGCAGAAGACGAGGCGATTAGAGGATCACAGTGCCGCCCGAAAGAGACCACTGTCGAACTTGACACGAGCGAAGTACTAGTATATACAATATGTGGACGAGGAACGCGACCTCGGCAATTGCTAGGCGGGTGCGAGTCCGACTGCCACTACAGGCTCCGAGACGTTTACTTCAACCAACAATTCAGCATCGGCATGCCTCATCCGGTAGACTGGCAGATGGCGATCTCAAAAGCGTACGACCCATGTTCGATCTGTCGGGAAAGAACTTTGTGGTGACTGGAGGAGGTCGAGGTATCGGCTATGCTATCACCAGGGCGATTGCTGAGATGGGAGGTAACGTCTCGGTCCTCGACATGCTATCCAAACCTGTCGACGATTTCGAACAACTTTCTAGCGAGTACGGCACCAAGTCGCTGTACATCAATGCAGACGTGACCAAGCAGAATGACCTGGACAGCGCCTTCGAGCAGACGGCCACTGAGCTCGGCAGTATCGACGGCTGGTGAGTAGCCCTAGGCTTGAGGGGCATCTTTAACAAGTGTCAGTGTGACGGCTGCTGGAATTGCCCTTGACAAGCCCTTCCTAGACCAGGGACCAGACGAGGTCAGGCGCTTGATTGATATCAACCTCAACGGTACTTTCTTCACTTCTCAAACTGCAGCACGACACATGATTCAACAAGGGAATGGTGGCAGTATAGTCATGATCGCCTCCATATGTGCCTCAGTTGTCATCCCTGGCCACAAGCTAAGCGCGTACCATGCTAGCAAGGGTGCGGTAAAGACTCTGACGACTGCTTTGTCGGTCGAGCTTGCGCCCCACGGTATCCGAACCAACTGCATCAGTCCTGGTTACATCGAGTCGGATATGACTCGGAAACTGAGAACGGAACAGCCGCACCTGGTGGAGATAATGCAGAATGCGCCTCCGATGAAGCGGATTGGCAACCGGAATGATCTGACTGGGGCAATGGTGTATCTGCTCAGCGATGCTTCATCGTACACGACTGGGATAGATATGATGATCACTGGCGGACTTCATGCTGGAAGGATAGAATATCCCAGTTGAAGCTCAAGTCGGCTTGACACCTCTGTGAATGCTGGCAATACCCAAGCTCAGATTTTCGTACCCCTGGCCAGGAGTCATGAAGCCTGCCTCTTCGATCATGCCCTTGAATTGTTCTTGTGTTGGGAAACGCTCAATGCTCTCCACCAGATACTGGTAACTGTCCCGGTCACCAGCTACCAACTGACCGATCAGGGGAATAGCACCGAAGCTCCACCTCTTGTAGACAGCGTTGAACACTGCGCTATCAACGTGACTGAACTCGAGGCACGCAAAGACACCTCCCGGCTTGAGGACACGAAACGCTTCTCTCAAGGCTGCATCCTTATTGGTGAAATTGCGGATCCCGAACGCAACGGTGTAGAGATCGATCGAGTTGGATTCGATGGTAGGTAATGACTCTGCGTTTCCTTGCAGGAAGCTCAGGCGATCGGTATTCCCATACGGCGTGTTTAAGGACCGTTTCCGACCTTCTTCGAGCATATCCGGGTTGATGTCCGAGATGGTGACTCTCGTCTTGCTATCCTGGTTGATGTTCGTGGCGTGATCCAGCATGCGGAACGCGATGTCTCCTGTACCACCAGCAATGTCAAGTATGCTCCAACCATTACCGCTGTCCTTGCGACCAGGGTTCAATGAACGGACAAAGTGATCTTTCCATATTCGATGGATGCCCAACGACATCAGGTCGTTCATTGTATCATATGAAGATGCTACTGAGGAGAAGACGGCACCGACTGATCACGTTAGTTTCCGACGTTGGATCATTGGACTGTACGCACCTCTGCCCTCCTTGTCGGCTTCTGGCACAGTCTCGAAGCCGAAATGGGTGGTTCGGCCATCTTGGGGAGCGCCGCCCGGGTTCTGTTGTCGCAAGCAAGTGTAAGAGAAATAACGGGCGAACTTCGCGGGACTCGAGCTTTGCTGCAGAGCCCTTCCGGACCGCAACGCATTTCGCGACAACATGAGACACGGCCGGTAGATTTGATGATAATTCAATCAAGATCCAGTGCCAATACTCACGCGTTCATGATGCGCGTACGCAGTACCCAGGACGAAACTTTTTTGAGCAGTTGGAGATGACGGCAGAGACAAGTGGCCCGAGGCTTTCCGTACAGAACCGACCAGCTCCCCCGGCCACCAATGTATATCCAAACAACTATCCCAGATTCCCTCCCCTAGCTTTTTACAATCTGGTCGAAAGGCGGGCAACTGCCATCACACTGCAGCCAACGTGTTTTTGGTCCGTCCAAAAGTGCTCAAGATGTACAGACGTTCCTTTGCATTGGCCACCCGCCGAGCCAGCAAGGGTTTACTGCCTGCCGGACCAAGACCAGTACTAAGGAGATGGGAGAGCTCATCGTATGCGCCCGGACCGGCCCAAAAAGTTGGTGCCGACTCTGTCAACTTTCCGGGAGCTGTCAACAGCAAGTTCACTACGGCAATGAAGTTTCAGAATCCTGCCGAGGAGACGGCCATGCCCACCTATCGATACATGGACGCAGACGGCAATGTCGTGGACACCGAGCGGGAGATGACGCCAGTATCAGATGAGGAAGTGGTAAAGTGGTACAAGAATATGCTGACGGTCTCTATTATGGATCTGATCATGTTCGATGCCCAACGCCAAGGCCGGACGAGTTTCTATATGGTCTCAGCGGGCGAGGAGGGCATTGCAGTTGGCTCTGCTGCGGCCCTCCGTCCCGGTGATGCTTGTTTTCTGCAGTATCGAGAGCAGGGCGTCCTGGTCCAGCGTGGTTTCACCTTGAAGGAGATGATGAGCCAGCTCTTCTCCAACAAGGACGATCACGGCAAAGGGAGAAATATGCCGGTCCATTACGGTAGTGGCAAGCTCAATGTCCATACCATCTCTAGCACGTTGGGCACACAGATTCCTCATGCATCCGGGGCGGCCTACGCATTTAAGATGCAAAACCTGATCAACCCGAATGTCGAGAAGAGGATAGTGGCTTGCTACTTCGGCGAAGGCGCGGCCAGTGAGGGCGACTTTCATGCGGCTCTCAACATCGCTGCGACCAAGTCGTGTCCTGTGGTATTTGTCTGCCGTAACAACGGATTCGCCATCTCCACAGCCAGCATTGAGCAATACAAGGGCGACGGTATTGCCAGCCGTGGAATCGGGTACGGGATCGACACCATTCGAGTGGACGGCAACGACATCTTTGCCGTTCGTGAAGTCATGCTTGAAGCACGGAAGCGAGCACTTGAAGGCCAGTGCAGGCCAGTCCTAATCGAAGCAATGAGCTACCGAGTCAGCCATCACAGCACCAGCGACGACAGTTTCGCCTACCGGGCGAAGCGGGAAGTGGAGGAATGGAAGCGCCGAGACAACCCCATCACTCGACTTCGGAAATGGCTGGAGAATAAGGGACTCTGGAACGAGGATATGGAGAAGGAAGCCCGTGCTTCGATTCGCAAAGAGGTGCTACGTGAGTTCTCTGCTGCAGAAAAGGTCAAGAAGCCGCCAATCCGGGCTCTCTTCGAAGACGTGTATGAAGAGATCACGCCGGAGGCTCGAGACCAGATGAAGGAACTAAAGCGCATTATCGAAAAGTACCCGAACGAGTACGATGTCAACAGCCATGAAGGTGGCCTCAAGAGCTTGGATTGAAGACCCTCCATCGCGGTGGATGCTATTCCTTGCGAAAGCGCTCGGAGCCAGAAAAGGCATGAGCTTCTGGACATCGCGAAAAGAATTACCTCGTGACTCATCAAAGTGATACAGCAGTCCAGCAAGGCAACAAGGCAACAAGGCAGAGATGGTGAACTTCAGCTTACAAGATGCTGCATCAATGAGAGGACGGCATCACGCCACGAAGTAAGAGGCTTGGGGAAGCTATAGGTGTGACCTACACCGCGATGCGCTCTCAACATCCACGAGCAAGCTTGCTCATGTTATAGTCCGCCAGGGCAATGGCGAGGTGCAGTTGAGCATATGAGCAAAATCTCGCTCGAAGGTGCGGGGAAGACGGCAGAAAGAGAGGAAGAGGATCTCAGGCGTGCACGACGAAGAGGCCAATTTTGCTTGATAGAACCTGCGAACCGCGTTGGCTTCAACCAGTGGTTATGACTTGCGCTGACGAGGTTGGAGCCTGCAGAAGCTGAACCACAGTTGACAGTTCCATGCATATTTATTCTTCATTGCCATTGCGGTACGGAGTGACGAGTTCGGTCGGTCTGGCACGTTGGAGCAATTACATATGGTTCGATTCGGGACCTACGGGCTGGTACGGAGTACGGAGTATAGAAAATTCCAACATCTTGGAACAACAAGGACCAAGCCCAGTCAGCAGGTGTCGTGGGCTGTGAGAGGTCCTCGAGATGTGGCTGAGGTGAAACAGGCAAGGTCGATCCTCGGCTTCCGAGCGGAAGCTAGCCTCGTTGAGCCAAGCGTGATCGACGGCGCATATGCCAAGGATCTGAGATTCGTCCAGCCTCGCGCGCCTGCCACCGCATTTTGCAAGTTTTGGATCCTCGATGCCTGTCGACGCGACTCATCGTTGCCACAGAAGCGCAGGCAAAGACCAATTGTAGACTATGACGATGCTTGCACGTGAAGTCGAATGACCCTGCGCTGTTTTACCAGCCACCTTCAAGGTCTGCTAAATAATCCCTCTTCACTCTTGACTGCTCTCTTCGTTCGACAGACTACTCATCAAGCCCCCCAGCCAACTTCTATCCCTCTGTGACTCCAACATCCAACTCCCTGCAGGCATCCCCCAATTGACGGAGCATGTTCTAAGCCGCAACCTTACCATCTCTCCTCTTCTGTACATTACCGCATAGCATTGAGGGCGTTTATTTTGCTGGGTTCACCATGTTGTTTTCATCAAAGACTCTTCTGCCAGTCCTGGCTCTGGCCTCCTCTGTCTCAGCTCAGACATTCAGCGAGTGCAACCCTCTGACAAATCGTGAGTCGCTCCGAATGTTGCAGACGACATGGCTAACAATCAGTAGCTGGAGCATGCCCTCCGAATCCTGCCCTCGGCAAGAGCGCTACTATCCAACTCAACTCTCCCTCCGACTCCTTCACCGAACACGGCTCTATCAACTATGGCTCCGACGGGGCACAATTCACCGTTGCGAAGTCTGGCGACAATCCCACCCTCGCGTCAAAATGGTACATTATGTTTGGCCACGTTGAATTCGTGATCAAGGCCGCACCTGGTCAAGGTATCGTCAGCTCCGCCGTCCTTATGTCAGATTGTCTCGATGAGATTGATTGGGAATGGCTGGGCGGTGATGACAACCAAGTCCAGAGCAACTACTTCCGCAAAGGTCAGACGGTGACTGGCTACAACCGTGGAGCATTCCACGATTCTCCTGGCACTCACGACAACTTCCACACTTATGCCATCGACTGGACTGCTGACCAGATTGTTTGGTCAATCGATGGCACGACTGTAAGAGTCTTAGAGGCGAACAATGCCGAGAATGGCGACTACCCACAGACTCCCATGCAGATCAAGATTGGCTCATGGGCTGGCGGTGACTCTGGCAATCCTCAAGGTACCATTGATTGGGCTGGTGGCCTGACAGACTACTCTGCTGGGCCATTCAGCATGTATCTGAGATCCATCGCTGTCACCGATTACTCGACTGGCAGCTCATACACCTATTCCGGGACTGAAGGCACTTGGCAGTCGATCCAGTCAGATGGTGGCAATGTCAACCCCCAGGGCAATGGCAGACCTGCTTCAGCAGAGAATCCACCCGCAGTCACTTCGACCGTCCCAAATGACAGCAGCGCTCCTCTCGCTTTCGACCCCCATGACTCTGGCTCAGTCTACGCCACCAGAACGGGCTGGCCGTGGGATGGGACCGCTACGGCTTCAATCGTGCCCAGCGGTTGGTCGGTGGACGGGAACGGCAATGCGCATCCGCCTAGCTCGGGCGCTGTAAGTTCGTACTCCTGTGCTCCAAGCACACATTTCCCTACAATACTGACACTACTACAGGTGCCGTCCCCGTCTATGTACTCACCACCGCTCTCATCAGCGGTCTCCTCTTCCGAGTCTGGCCCTGAAGTGGCAACTTCCGGACCTATCACCAGTGGGCCTCAGGCGAGCCCTGCAGCCACCGGAGCCACTCAGCCAGCAGCCAACTCGTCACCGCCCGTTGAGGGTGGATCGTTTTCGGTCTTGGATGGCTCAGCAAGTGTATCTCCAAGTGCTCTCACAGAGAGTACTATTGCCGTACCAGCTACCGAATCCGAAGATACCACTGCTTCGACAAGTGGCTCCGAAGTTGCCGGTGTATCGTCGGAAGTTATTACTCCTGCTTCAACGGGTGCCTCGACAGCGTCTAGTGCATCATCCGAGGCTCTCACTGCTGCTTCAGGGAGTCTCTCAGCGGTGTCCAGCGTGATATCTGAGGGTCCTACTGCTGTCTCAACAAGTGTCTTAACGGGAGTTAGTGGAACAACTGAGGTCTCTGCTGCTTCATCCGTTACTGGTTCCGGGGCGGAAACTTCAGCATCTGCCGCCATGACTGGATCTGCCAGCACGTTATCGAGTCCAGACTCAAGCAGTTCTCCGGCTACTAGCGTCGCTTCAGCGTCGGCTACTTCATCCAGTGCTGATTCGCGATCCATGACAACTTCCACAACCAGAGAGAGCACGGTGGGATCGGAGTCGGCTACTTCCGCAGCAGCCAACCCAACCGAGACTCCCGAAGCACCTTCTAATGGAGCAGTCAGCACCGGCATCTCACCAGGTCTAATAGCAATGGGTGTTGTAGGATTATTCATGGTCTCATAGAAATGTGCCTGAGACATTCGTCAACAAAGCAATGTACAAATTGGTTACTTGGGATGGGTCCGGCGTTTTGATGGACGAAACCCGCAAGCAGGAAGGGCAGCGGATATGATGGTAATGACAACGATACCCCCAAGGATGAAACAGCAATAGAATTAATGCTCGAACGGCTGATAGAAGCAAATGAAATCATCTGGCCACCACAAGTCATGACTCTTCTTCAGGCAGCGAATACCGCCAAGGCTGATCAGGGGAAAGCCAAACCCTGCACACCCACACCCACGTCATTGGGTCCCACGCCCGCAGAGCCCCTCTAATCTACGACCAAAACGCCACTCGTAATATTTTCATATTGCCCTGCTCCGGGCCCTGATTTGCAATCCAGCGATTGTGTTCAGTCCTCGCTCTCACCCTCCAACTACTCTTCCCCTCCTGTCGCCGTTACCTCGCTCGTCTGAAGTCATGGCGTCCACTGCCGACATCACACAGACTCACCCTTACACCTGTAACTCGTGTGCGGTCGCCTTCCGTAACAGTGATGCACAACGAACCCACATGCGAAGCGACTGGCACCGCTACAACCTGAAGAGAAAAGTTGCCGACTTGCCACCTGTATCCTCAGAAGACTACAATGACAAGGTCAAGGCTGCCCAAGCAACAAACAAAGCCGCCGCCGACCAGGCCGCGTATCACCAGAGCTGCGGCGTGTGCCGAAAAACGTACTTTAGCGAACATGCCTACGAAAATCACATCAACAGCAAGGCTCACAAAGTGAAGGTTGCTGCGGGCAACAAAAGCGACCGAGGCTCCGTCAATGGTTCCGTTGTCTCCAAGTCCGAATCGCAGCTTACAGAACCTCAAGATCCCAAGGCACAAGAGGAATTCGACCAAGTGGTGGCGGGTATTAAGAGCACTTCGCTGAAAGACCGCCTGGATTCCGACGGACGACCAGCTGCACCCGCGCCAGATGCCCTGCCGAAAGAAGACCACCCCATGTCCCCCGAAAAAGATGCGGCAAGCGGTGTCCCACCTCTAAACAAGTGCTTGTTCTGCAACTACGAATCTCCCAACGTCAAATTAAGCGTCGCGCATATGTCAAGAATCCACGGCCTCTTCATTCCCGAGCAGCCATATCTGGTCGATCCCGAGGGCCTCCTCACCTATCTCCAAGCCAAGATTCACGTCAACCATGAATGTTTGGCGTGTCACAAGCTTAAAGGATCAACGGATGGTGTCCAGACGCACATGCGGGATAAAGGGCATTGTAGGATTGCTTTTGAAGCGGAGGAAGAGATGATTGAGGTTGGCCAGTTCTACGACTTCTCCAGCACCTACTCGGATGCGGAAGCGGACGATTCCGACACGGAAATGGACGCCGCTCCGTCGAAGAATGGTGGTGTCAAACTTTCCAACGGTGCTGCGGAAGACGACGGATGGGAGACGGATTCGTCGTTCTCGTCTCTGGATTCCAACGAACTCACCTCGGTGCCTGTCGATGATCGGACCGAGTCGTACAATCGGTTACATTTGCACCGCCATCATTCGTCAACCGACCCGCGGCCCCATAAGAATGCTGATGGATATCACTCACATGCCCACCACCACAACAATGCCGTGTTCTACGATGAGTATGAGATGCATCTACCTTCAGGCCGAGTAGCTGGTCATCGATCACTCAAGAAGTACTATCGACAGAACCTTCACAACTACCCGTCTCAGGATGAGCGTATGGCTCGCGCCCAACGACTACTCGAGGATGAAGAAGATGAAGATATGGAAGACGTGGATCCTGAAATTTCGCCTGCCACTCCGCCAAAGGGCCAATCGGCGCTTATGAAGCGGGGAGAGGCTGGAATGATCGGTGCAACAGCCGCGCAGAGGCATGAAGTAAGACAGCAGGAGCTGAGATCGAGACAGAAGGAGCTACGTGCTCAAAATCGGTATCAAGCAAAGCTGGAGAAGCAGCACAACAGCCAGAAGCACTTCAGGGTAAGTCTGATTTCCAACAGAAGTCTCCAACAGCTGCTGACATGTCTTTTAGGATCCTCTCCTGCAGTAGTCGGGAGGTGTGTAAGGATTGGGGAGATGAAGTCAACGATTTATCTGCATCATGCATAACGAAGCATTCTGAGGTGGAAATTGGCATTAGACTATGCATGGCACTGCTATGGTAGATCAAAATGGACCTGTCGTTCTCACTGAGCAAACATGTGCTCACTATTGCTACGACCTCTTCGTTCTGCATCTTCTTCTCCTGCCTATGTTGTTGCTATTGACATCTAAGAATTCTATCGAACAATCGGCAACCTCCACTCCATCTCAGCCCCACTCAAACTATGTGCCAGCACCAGTACCGCCCCCGCCGCCGCGATCCCCAACATCCCCTTCGCTGTCCTGCGCAGCGCCCGCGGCACCAACCAGCCAAACCTCGCCATCACCCTCGCCTTATGCTCCTCGGCGTCATTCATCCTCGGAAACTCCACCTCCGGCACATCCCGTTGTAGAAACGCACACAACGGCTCCCGACCCTCCCCCAACCGATACTCCAGCACCCTCTCCCGCGGCACATTCTCCCTCACCCAGCGATAATGCTCCTCATACCTCGCCCTTGCATTTTCCCTCATCTCTTCCAGCGTCTCCGCGCGGAACCACCCTACGAGGATGCGCTTCATGGCCCCCGCGGCCTGGACGCCCGCCAACCCCTCAAAAACCAACTTGATGAATACCCTGCCCGCGACACTCATGCGCAGGTTCGGCACCACCACTTCCCGCTCCATACTCGCCCACCAGCGCTCGAAGTCGCGCTGTACCACCACCACCCTAGCGTCAGGGTACGCGGCCACGAGCTGCGGGAGGAAGAAGCCCGCGAGGTCCGTCACGGCGTCGTACTCACCGAGGATCTCGTCCCAGTCGGCGCGCCCGAACGCAGGAGGCGTCTGCTGCTGCTGCTGCTGCTGCTGCTGCTGCTGCTTTGAGCTTGAGTTTGAGTAGTCCCCCCTCTCGGCGGCTCCCAAAGGAGGGAAAGAAGGGAACAGAAAGGGAAACGTGGCGTCCGCGGCCCGCTGCAGCGGCTCCCACACGTCCCAGCCGTCTTCGAGGAGGTGGTGCGTGCGTAGGCCGAGGGTGGCGAGGGCGTGCGCCATTGAGAGGGAGCCCATGCGCATCAGGCCGCCGTAGAGGACTTTGATGGGGCCGTGGCCTGCAGGTGGGGGGTTGGGGATGGGTATGGTCTTGAGGGGGCCGGTGGCGGCGGCGTCGTTGGTGGTGATGTTGATGGTGGTACTGTTGGTGGAGACGCCGGAAGAGGGTGAAGCTGGTGAGCCCCAGAGGAGCTTGTGCAGCGCGCTCATGGTGTGGTCTATGAAGTGGCCACCCCGGCAAGGGAGGGGAGGAGAAGAGATGTAGTTATGCTTTCTCTGACCTATCTGGACGCCATGAGGCCAGGATCAGTCCACGGTCGTCGTTACGCTAAGCTTTCTCGAATGATCACCATCACAAGTAGTATGTCTATGCGCTATGCGAGGTACCATAGGTATTCCACCAACCCAACTGGCTGAACTTTGCCCAGGCGCTCTGGAGTAAACGAGGGAATCTCGCAGCAGGAAAGCCGCCGATTGGTTGGGAACAATAGAATAATAGTCTAGCGGGAATGAGACGCCATGATTGGTCGGCGCGATATGCAACTGACGAGCTAAGAAATGGTTCCGAGATGCTCGGTTGCAGATGGGGACGCCTCATTGTCGTTCCGGCCATTACTGGAAGAGAGTGATACGTACTCAGGACTCAGGGATAGCTGGACCTCAGACATCTCCCGGAGGCTGTCTCTGACCGTGGGTCTCATGCGTTTGCTTACCTGCTTTGTATTCCACCGAGAGGTCGCTCTAGTTCTCAGGCTCAACGTCGAGCCAGCCCAGCTCACTAACGTAAGTAGTACTACCACTCTCATGGCATCTCGGGCTAGATATATTCTTCTTCTCTTTAAACATACTCCTCTTGACATACACAGCCCGAAACCCCTCCCTCTTTGCATTCCTCCCACTCGCACTCCCCTCCCGTGCACTCAACATCACCCCCACACACCCCGCCTCCCACGCCTCCTTCAGCCGCTCACGTATCAATGCCCCGTGTATCCCGTAGCCCCGGTACGCAGGCAATGTGCTGTCGATGTATAGTTGCGCGATTGCCCCTCCATCGCTGCTGCCAAAGCCGCCTTCCCCTGCAACGCCGTCATCGCCACCCTGACTGCCATGTAGAATCAACATGCCCGCCGACCCGGCCACTTTCCCATCCACGAGCGCAAAGTACAGCATGGTATCCCGCCGCGCCACCGCAATGCGCGCCAGCGTCTCCAACAACTCCGGCGCCCGTCCATTGCTCCGGAACCCCGCCACGCTGGCCTGCACGAAGCGCGACACCTCATCGGGCCGTACGCACCGGACCTCCACTTCGCCGACCCCAGGGGCAGTGCTCCGCCGCTGCGGCGGCGGCGGCGATGGCGATGGCTTCAGCACTTCCCTCCCCTCTGCTTCCTCCCGTAGTGGGCCCTTCTTGGCTGGTAGGTCAATGTAGAACATCTCGATCCCACCACGGTCCACGTAGCCGCGCTGCCGGAGCAGCGTGAGCGCGGCCTCCGCGTGGGGCGCGAGCGGGCACAGGTCGATCTTGGGCGGCAGGCCCGTGGGCGCAAAGAGCGACTCGACTGAGTCTAGGATGCTGGGAGTTAGGGGCGAGAGCATGGCGAGGCCGCTGGCGCGGTTGAGCTTGTGCGTGTATTGGGGTGCGGAGGTGAGGATGTAGCCTCCTGCGAGGGGCGTGGCGGTGGGGGTAGTAGCGGTGGGGGAGGGTTGTGGTGTTGACGAGGTTGTGTGGGGTGCAAGGGTGTTGAGAGCGTGGATCTGGGCGGCGAGGTGGAGGGCGTCTGCGCGTTCGAGGCGGAGGGCCAGCATATGGAGTGCGGTGGTTGCGGTGGCCATGTTGTAGACGGAGTTCACTGGTTTGGTCATTGCCGTGCTTCTGCAGGCAATGACGACGAGTCTGAGGTATGGAAAATGGGATTACCATTCATGAAGAGTCTCGAAAGCGTAGAAAGAAGATTCCGTACCAATGGTAAACGCGGGCAAGTCTGTCCGTGACAACATGAGTCATGCAGGGCGCGCCTGGCGTTCCAGGCATTTTCATCGGGATCTGCGCATCCACATGCGGGAGGAGGAGAGGTCCAGCGACTTTATCACCGTTATGATGACAAAAGCACGCTATGCACGCGGCAGACGAGTCCAGACGAGGTGGTCGCTGGGTACTAGTATCGGTCAGCATCTGGCGTTGGGATGGGGGCTAGGCAATGAAAGTCTTGGCGTGATACTACTACGCACTCCCTTCGACGACCTTATTCACCGTGCTGTGGCAATGTGCATCGAGCCTCGCTTTAGTGTAAGATTCTGAAACATAAGCCTAGCGGATTCCTAACTTATGAAGAAGTCTCTTGATTAAGGTCTGATATAAACTGACCCCTTGTAAACTAAGGCGCTGTCAGTGCGATTTATGTGGCGGGAAGCGATACGAGCATAAGGCCCCTGTGACTGAGCTGAATTTTGTTCGCCTTCACTCACATTGCGAGATATGGGCGGCTTAAGCGAGGAGCGATAATAATTGTGCCTGTCATCATGTGCACGATGATGTGGGGTATCGCTCTTGTTACCGATCGAGGCAAAAATAGCCCGGACTTCGTTATCCTCGCTTTCTGTAGCAGTTGCCTTTTGCCAGAAGTTTCCTACCGCAAAATCTATCGTCAGATGCGGTCTTCTACCATTATTATCGCGGCAAGACAGTAAGATGTGCCTTCGTGTAGTCGCTGCGCCAGCTTTGACCGTTTCAAAATAAAGGACGTTTTTAATATGAACGCCACGCTTCCATGTCTCAAAAGTATAGGATTCTTCGGTGCCGTAGTGAGACTGTGGATAATCTCGCTCGAGGCCGCGAGACGGGAGATAATATGACGGATTCGACGGAAATAGTGTCGGGGAGCTATGCACAAGGATAGTGTCATCAACGATGGAGTCTGTGATCACTATGCAGAGGCGTCGGAACGCTTGAGATCCTTCTCCATATAGCAGGGGCATTTTTACGTCGAATAGACCCATGAGGCAGTATGCAATGTCTTCCGTCCGGCTAGTGCGTCGATGAGCTGCCCAAGACATGCGGGTTGCAGCTGACGCACGCGATATATCTTTCCGGTTGAGGAGAAAAGCTGGGGCAATTCCAGTGATGTCCTCAATTGTCAGAACTAAGCCTGATCTAGTACCGATGAGTTGCCAATTCTGATCCAGGAAAATGACGGTCTTTGGTGCCAGTAGCTCTTGCAATGTCCAGCCCCGCAGCCACCATTGTGACGTGCGAAAATCACTGCCGTCCGCATCAGGTTCTTGGGCCAAGGATCGAACGTCGGAGAGATAGACCCAGCAGCGTGTCGCCTTTTGGTACCATCTGAACATAGAGTTTATTGCCTCGCTGAGCTCTGCGCTGCTTGCCTTGTCGATACACACAGTGTCTATCCAGACCCAACTCTGTCCCGCGGCGGCAGCGTGCTTGCAGAAGTCCAGGACTTTTTGGTGACCCTGAAGTCCATTTTTCGCTTCGGCGCTGAGGAGGGATGGAGTCAAGAAATTTAATCTCGAAGCTTTATCGAGTAGTAGGTACTGCATCTCCTGGAACGAGACTTCATTCTCTCCCCAACGATGTGAGAGGATCACGTACTCTGGGATATCTTGGTCGAAAAACTCCTTGAAGTGGAGGTCCGTTGTATGTAGAAGCCTCATGTTATCAGATGAGCATTCAAAGAGGTTGAACGAGGTTTGTGGGTGCCGGAAAAAGGAGCAGGTGAACAAGGCTGAGGTACCAGTTCAAGCTGCCGTATTTAAACGAAAGCGTGGTTGCCTATACGATGTTAAACACAGTGAGAAGATTTCCCAATGTCGAGAGTTGACCATCCAGAGAAGCCCGCTGCTTTGAAATCCTCTGAATTGATATTCGGCCAGTGTCCCCCGCTTTGTACGCTGAGGGGTCAAGGACGAGATAGCTGGACTCAGTTTTGGCCAGATTGTATGCTTCACTACTTGCTAGGCAACGACAGAAAGTAATCACCGTCGGGTTTGAAGCAGGAGCGATTGACCACCCAAAGAAACATGGAAGACATAGTCGTGACAGTGAAGAGAGGGGGAAGACCTGAGAAAGAGGGGCACAGCCACCTTGGGCTGTCAACGATTGGTTGCCTCGAGGAACTTTGGTGTTGCTGGACGACCTTCAGATATCTTGTGATAGCGTAACACTTACATCAAAGCATGCTCTTATAACATGCCTGTGAGGCAACTGCTGAATTTTGATGACTACGCTTTGCGTCAACAAGCTCCTCGAGGTCCTGGCGGCGAACTACCTACTGTAGTGTCCCGGACATTCTCAACGAGGGTGAGCTGGGCGACACGAGCAAGCCTGACATGCTGCACTGGACGTTCGGCGCGCAGATGGCAAGGCAGCTTTGGAATGATAATCTTGGCTTCGTAGAGTTGAAGTTGTGCAGAGGAACGACCCGAGATGTCTCTTATCAACGTCACACGCAGCGAGGCAACTACCTCTGTGGTGGAGAGCTCGTGGTCGAATGCTGAGGGTTGTCATCAATACCTCAGGACCACAGCTGAAGGTTACGACACTTTGCTCAACTCCATCCTCAAACTCTCGAAACACGTCTCTCGTTGCCCCAACCCTTGGAGATTACATTGAACCCCATAATCACTATGCAACGTGCAATCACGTGCCGATCCCCGAGACCTAACTTCATGTCTCGAACTTTCATTGCCGGCGACCCTGTCTCCCCTTTTCTCCCCCTTCCCCTTTTGTGGCTTTGGACGTTCTGTAGTATCTGCTTCATCATGCACGGCCACTTCCTGGAACATGGAGTAGGGCGCTGTACGCTCATCCCCGGGTGGAAGTCCAACGGGCTGCCAGCTGGTGGCTTGCGTTTCCGGGTTTATATGTAGACGTCGGGGTTCCTGAAGCAGCAGAGAAACGTGGAAGAAAGCCATCAGAGCCAGTATGAGAATTCAATGTTTTGCGGTTTTCGATATTACACTTACATTTATTATTACATACATTCCACAAACAACTTGTCTCAATGCCTGCCCTGGGGTAACTTGAAAGCAAATACCCCAAATCTTCCAGGATCTCGAAGTCCAACGTAATGGTCTTATCTGCCTATTGGCGCGCCATTTTTCTTTCCCTTATGCTGGACACGAACCTAGGAAGTCTCGAGTCGTTACAAAATCATGTAGACTCGCCCTTAGCATTCATAGCAACACTTCAGTTGTGGTCACCCCATCCACCACCATTGCTGGGAGGAGACGCGGGAGGTGGGCTGGGACCATTTGGCTTGGGCGAGCTAGGCGGTGTCACCGGAGGAACCGGTGGCGCACTAGGCCTTGACGGCTTGGGTGGGCTCGATGACGGTGGCAGAGGAGCAGAAGGTCCTTTAGGTTGATCCTTCCAGCCCCCTTCACCACCTGCTGGCGGCTGAGGCGGTCCAGAGGGAGGCGAAGGTGCAGTAGGCGCAGATGGCTTAGGCGGGCTTGGTCCTTGAGGAGGTCCTTGAGGTCCACTGGGAGTAGACGGCTTAGGTGGGCTTGGGGGTCCTTGAGGAGGTCCGCTGGGTGTAGAAGGCTTGGGCGGGCTAGGGGGACCCGAAGGAGGAGCAGGCCCATTGGGTTGGTCCTTCCAACCGCCCTCACCACCCGCCGGTGGCTTAGACGGCCCGGATGGAGGTGGTGCGCTAGGGGTAGACGGTTTGGGCGGGCTAGGTGGGCCCTGAGGCGGCACGCTGGGCATAGATGGCTTGGGCGGGCTGGGTGGTCCCTGAGGACCACTTGGTGTTGACGGTTTTGGTGGGCTGGAGGGTCCCTGAGGCGGCGCTGGTGGTCCAGATGGAGGAGAAGGTCCCTTGGGATGATCTTTCCACTGTCCCTCACCACCTGTTGGAGGTGCAGGAGGACCAGAAGGAGGCGTGGGTGGCTTCGAAGGACCCGCAGGAGGTGCAGGCGGTTTGGACGGACCAACAGGCGGTGCGGGGGGCTTCGAAGGACCCGAAGGAGGCGACGGAGGGCTGGACGGTGGCTTTGGGGGAGCAGAAGGTCCTTTGGGATGATCTTGCCAGTCTCCATTACCACCTGCTGGTGGCTTAGGAGGACCTGTAGGAGGTGTAGGTGGCTTAGAAGGAGTAGATGGAGGGGAGGGAGGGCTGTTCGGCGGTGCAGGCGGCTTGGAAGGACCAGCAGGAGGGGACGGAGGACCAGCGGGGGGCGCAGGTGGCTTCGGGCCCGAAGGTACATTGGGATGATCTTTCCATCCGCTATTGCCGCCTGCTGGGGGCTTGGGAGGACCAGCGGGAGGTGCAGGCGGTTTAGAAGGGCCAGAAGGAGGCGAAGGTGGACCAGTTGGCCCTGGTGGTTTGGCAGGACCAGCAGGGGGCTTGGGAGGAGCTGAAGGCTCCTTGGGATGGTCTTTCCAGTCCCCATTATCACCCGTCGGTGGGTTGGGTGGTCCAGTAGGAGGAGGGGGTGGACCACTATGTCCAGGCGGTTTAGGAGGACCAGCAGGGGGCTTGGGGGGACCTGAAGGCCCACTGGGATGGTCTTTCCATACTCCTTGCCCGCCTGATGATGGCTTGGGAGGTCCAGGCGGCTTGGGTTGCCCCGCAGGAGGTCCGGCAGGTGGTTTAGGAAGGCCGCCTGATCCTGGAGGGTTGGGAGGGCCAGAAGGTCCGTTGGTATGGTCCTTCCAGCCGCCGTGGTTGCCCGATGGCGGCTTCGGTGGTCCTGCCGGAGGCGTGGGTGGCTTGGGAGCGTGCGCTGGCGGCCCGGGAGGTGTAGAAGGAGGTTTGCCAGGTCCCGGTGGCTTGAGGGGACCACCTGGTCCCGAAGGAGGGCCACTCGGAGAGTCATGCCACTCGTCCTTCTTGCCAGACGATGGAACATCTGGGCGAGAAGGCACATGCGGAGTTTCAGGAGCCTTTGGTAGACTTGGCTTGTCACTAGCAGGAACGTTGGGCACGTTGGGCTTGTCGCTCCATGTTGGGGCTGCAATAGCAGTGCTGGCCAAGGCCAGCACTGCGAGGGATGAGAAACGCATGTTGGCTGAGTAGCCTTGGACGAAGGCAACCCTTCAAACGAGTGACTGAGAGGAAGCAAACGAATGTGTTGAACGAAAGGCGACAGAATATGTCGTAGATGTCGATGAAGAGCAACAAGTGGTGCGGGGGCTCGCAGGGCGATATATACCTTGAGCCATCTCGAGCTGGTCTTGGCCTCGTGTATGACCTGTGACCTTTAGTGGCAAGCCGCTAAGGGACGCTGAATTCGTGGCGCTCGTGGTGGTGGGCCGTGGGCCGGAACATTTGGACAAAGTCGAGTATGGCCTCGTGAATGATGCGGTCGTGCCAACCTTGTCCTCCACTCTGCTGGCATGCGGCGAACCATAGCAGAACCTCAATGGGATCAAGCTTGCAATAATCTCACCATAGCCGACCCACCAAACCCTGTCTTTGAGTTGTATTTCACATTAATTGTGCTGCCGACTCACATAGCACGGACTGATTTGGATGTTTCGTCCATCGTCCGACCGCGGTGAAAGCATTTAGGACGAGCAACACAGCACAATAGTCTTGTTTCAGACTGATTCATAGCTCCGGTGTCGGTTAACACCCGAGTGCTTATTCGTACCGAACCAATCGAAGGCGAGTGGGATACGGTGCACGACCTGAGGTGAGGTCTAGCTCGGTTTGGCGTATCAAGTACGGAGTACTAGACGCTGGCGGGAAGCTCACGCGGAGCCGGACAACCAAATGCGGCTGTGCTGCCTATAGTGTACCGCCAAGTGGAAATTGGCACGATGGGAGCGGCTCAGGGGCAGCAAGCCCATCGAATATCTGTGACTAACAGCACACCCTGGACGAGTATCAGATCGAGGCGTGTGCTACGCCACAAACTCTTCTGTCGAAGTGGTGCAGAGGAGTGGATTGGATCGCAGCTTGGATAGGGGTTCTTGTGATGAAAGTGTAGTCAAACGTGGAGTTGACGACTTGGAGTTGAGCCACCTCCGCATCAAGCTTTTGACTTGACTTCGCTTTTGACGGAGCCGAGCTGTGGGGAATCCCTGGCTCTACAGATTAGTATTCCGAGTCTTCGCCGTGGTTCTTGTGGCCTCTCGCGTCGAACGTAAGACACGCTGTCGCAAAGACGAACATTGGTACGAAAAGACTTCTAGTCCAGCAGATGGTCCGAGGGAAGCGTGATCATGATGTTGAGAGTAAGAAACGCGGCGGCTAGATAGAACACTTCGGATAAAAGGCCCACTATTCTCCTGAATATGTCTCAGTCTACAAAGACCACAAGCGAGCGGCTTCAAGCCAATTCGATTACGTGGGTGTCCTCGTGCGTGGTGATCAGTGCTATGGTCACGGCGTGGGACTGTGGACCTCGCTTGCAGGATGTGAGACCCGAAGTGAGTTGGTCGGTCTTGAGCATATGAATGGACTGAATCTCGGACTCGGCTCGGGCTGCCAGTAGGTCCGAGGCATGTCAAAGCGCGAATGATGAGTGCGCGGAGATGTACCTTTGTTCGGGGCATGCTGCTTGTTGCGGCACGACTGGCCGACAGGACAGTCAAAGCTCTGGTGTACGAGCATATCGAGCCCACCTTATTCGGGTCTGTTGGGCTTCTGGTTTATAACTGAGCAGTCGCATCTTCTTTAAACTCTCCAACGTCGCCAACAACACTGCTGAGAATCTCAGGTACGATCACAGCAGCATCGCCTTCAAAGAACCAATCATCCCGGTCGAGACTGCGGGCGTCCCCTTCGTCCATGTTGATAACAGCTAGTCGTGCGCCCTTGCGCTTTGCGATATGCGAGTAGCCTGCAGCAGGATAGACCTTAGATGAAGTGCCGATAACAAGCATGAGGTCGATGGGTCGCTGGTCAGAGAAGAAAACATCGACATCAGCCATCACATCTTCGGGAAGCGACTCCCCGAACCACACCACGCCTGGGCGAAGGAGATTCTTCTTACATTGCGGGCATTGGGGAAGAGCGTGGGTTGGTATCCTCTCGATGGGTACGTTCTCGTCGGAGATATCGACGCCTTTGATCAGTGCGTGCGTCTTGGCAATGTAGGAAGGTGTCGTTGCCGGGACGTCCTGTCTGGGCTCCTTGGGTGCCGGCGCTGCAGCCTCTTCGGCTGACCCAGTGATGGACGCGCCTTTCTTGGCGATATGTGATTCCAGCAAGGCACTGCCAAAAGGCGCGCCAGGCTTCTTGGTTCCTTTCTGCAGCGCAGCATCGACTGCCGCCTGATTGGCAGGGATTCCTAGCGCTGGAACTATGGGATCGGTGAAATCGTTCTTGCGGATGTAGCTGCAACGATGTTCGTCCCAGCACTTCACATCATACAGGTTACCGTGAAGCAGCTTCAATTGACTGCCCGGATGTCCAGCTCGGGGACTGAGATTGTCGACATTCTGACTGAGAGTGATGAAGTCCGGATTGCGGCGGGCAAGCTCAGCAAGGGCGAGATGGGCTCGGTTCGGCTTCGCATTGAGCGCCATGTGTCGACGGTAGGAATAGAACTGCCACACTAGACCTGGATCGTTGCGGAAGGCATTGGGACTAGCCAGCATTGTTGCATCGTAGGTCCTCCAGTAGCCTCCCGCACCACGGAAGGTAGGTAGACCACTCGAGGCTGACAGACCGGCGCCCAGCAAGGCAACGATGCGCTTAGACTTGTTGAGATGGGCCACAAAGGACCCGACATCGGTCGAAGGCATGTCGGAAGCCTCAGAGTTCTTCTTGGACATCATTGATGACCAATTGATTAGATGCTGATGCAAGGGAAACTGGCTTACCAGGTCCTCTTGCTACTGACCGTGTGCAGTTATGGTGTTATAGGTGCATGCATGAGCCGAGCATTCAGACGGTATGGCAGCCTAGGTAGTCCGCTGTGACTCGAGCGTGGCTGCCTGCTTCACTTGCTTGTCTCATTGAATCAGTCGGGGCCACCATTTGCTGCCTGAGACCAAGTTGGCGGGGTGTACTGTGTAACTGGTAACACTGATGAGGTCGTCCAAGAAATGGGGTGACAGACTCGGCGGGGTGTCGCAACCCCAACGGTGGCGAATCGGAGCCACTTCCGCGTTCACGAGTCAGCGACCGCCACATTTCGACATGTCTTCACATCGACACCAATCTGCGCTTCACCATCTCTCCTCACTTCGCTGCCCCAAGGTATTCCTCTTCACGAAGCGTCTGCTGTCAGAACCATCTACCTGTGCGAGAATTGCTGTCCGGAAAGCCCCAAGTCGTCTCGGATGGTGCACCGAATGAACGCATGAGATACTGCCCGCAGTGGACGTGCACCGATCATCATCGCGATGATAGCGACTACCGAGCCGGAGGGCTCTTTCCTCCCTTACCGAAGGCCGAGCCGTCGTCGAGTCAATGCTCTGGTCTTCCTTACCGAGAAGATTGGGCCAGAAGTATTACCATATCTGATGCACAACCCTGATGTAAATCTACGGGTGGTTGCAGACTGTTCCAAGCAAGAGTTCGAAGGCTACATGGATGGTGACATCTCGCTACAAAATGTACAATGGTACCAAAACTCGCCGCAGGATCCTTATCGGAACCAGAACCAGATGCAAGGTCACCGCCTCGCCAGATGGGCTGATCTGCTGTTCATCGTTATGGACGCGGGCATGACTTCTCTCATGCTGACTGGTTATACCACCGATGTCATATTGCACGTTCTGAGATGCTGGGATACATCCAAACGCATCCTGATGCTGCCAGAGTTGAGCGTGGACGAATGGAAGCACCCACTTCGGAGTAAGCAGATGTCCAAGTTGCAGAGGAAGTGGGATTGGGTACACGTACTGTCGCCTGCTTTGTGGGATTTTGCGAACGAGCCAACAGGTGTCAGCCAGCCTGGTCCTCACCCTATAGGCATCGATGCTTTGCCCGAAATCGACTGGCAATGGGACGGCCCCGAGGGAATTATCGAAGCTATCCATAGCGAAACCCAGAGCATTCTGCGAAAGCATGCCTCCAAGCCCTTTCCACTACCTAGGCTGAGCTCTGGAAACGACGACGAATCGGATAGGCCTCGATTGCCGCCTGAAGTTTGGACCAATGTGGTTGATCATCTGGGAGACTGGGAGCTGGCAACTGCTCTGGGCATCTACCACCACATTCCAATTCCACCTGATTGGAAGAGGTTGGTTCCTCAACCGGGGGCCAAGACGCAAACTCTCGAGTACACAATCTTGACACGACCGCTCTCAAGGATACGAGCTTACTTCACAACTTCAGCCTCCTACAAGCCTCCCACAACGTTGTCGCCTATTGCTACCAGATTGATCTTCAGATTCAGCATGACCAAACTGCTGACGTATTTGGCACTCCAGCAGAAGGACATATTCTGGACCAGCTTTGGCTTGTCACTCCTCCCACACAAGGCAAGTCTGTTTTACAACTCACCTGCCATTCTGCAGTGGTGGAAAGACTGTCCTGCCGTGATCAAGAAGGAGTATGGTCCAGAAGCAATGGATGGTGCTTCCAGAGCTGGCTTCGTGGAAGTATTGGAATGGTGGCTCAATTCTGGGCTACCAATGTCTTACACGGAAAAAGCACTCGAACATGCTTCTGCCAAAGGCCACATCGAAGTACTTGACTGGTGGAAAACCAACAGCGAGAAACTGAACGGTACGTCTCGGGAGTTGCCTCTCAAAGTAGGCAAGTCAATCATACTTGCTGCCCAGTCTGGCCGAGTGGAGTCAATCGAATGGTGGGAGAATTCAGGTATTCCCTATTCGCATGAGGACGGTGTCACAAGACTCGCTTCACAGCATGGCCATGTGGCTGTACTGGAAAAGTGGTTCTCCTTCAAAGGCTCCAAGATGATCTTTGATAACCAGGTTCTCGTCGGGGCAACCAAAAACGGTCATGCTGGAGTCTTGCAATGGTGGAAAGATGTCAGCAAGAAGAGTGGCTTGACCGTGGAGTATAAGACCTGCGACATTGAAGAAGCAATGGAGGATGCTGTAGGTGGTGGCGGTGAAGGTGAGGTTCGGGACTGGTGGTCTCGGAATGGTCTCAACCTTGGAGTCGGAACCGGCGAATGGATGAAGGTCAAGACGCTGTGATGACATGCTTCTGCTTCAGGGTAAGCAAGCAACTTATCTGGTATATAGGTCGGTATTTGAGCGATTTAGCGTTAACGACCTCGAATACTCTGATTTCCCCGAACCACGCTTTGCGACCGTTTTTGATGTTTTGCTAGTGCGATTGCTACGTCTCAGCCAGCTACAACAGGCTGCTTGCTGCTCAAACTTGATTGCGGCAAGGTGCATGGAATCCCGTCTTGGCAGAAGAGGCATCTATTCGTGGTACACCTTTAGTCAAGCACGCTACCCAATGCTCTTCGGATTGCGCCTCTGTAAGGCCTGAACATCATCATCTTACGATTGCTAATCAGCCTGGCTCGAATGGTTTGACTCAACCTGATCTGGTTGAGACTACTCTTTAGAAGCAAGTCGGTGTGTCTTCCCGAGATGACGGCCGCCACATGAGGCACGAGCTTGTACTTCTTCAACAAAGAACAAGTTTTATCGTCGCGAGTCCTCAACTCACCCAGACCGCCATGAGTTCCTTAAGTTGGCTACGTATCTCCCCCAAAAGAGCTCCCTCTCTGTGCTTGCAATGCTGACGCAACGAGCAGGATGGATTCGAGATATCAAGGACTGGAACGACACGCGGACGGCCGCCCAGGGTGAGAGCCAATCACTTTCCAGGACGTGGACTGTTGTGCACTTTCGGTCGCACACTCGCCACTTAGCCAGTGGGAAGAGTTTCGGCGTCGTACAAACCTCGCAGGTGACCGATAAAACGATAGATGAACGACTTACAGCTACCCTGATGCGTGCGTCAGCACCACAGGTTGGCTTGGGAGTACAAGTGCATAGCAAACAATAAGTTCGTTCTCAGATCTCGATGCCCTTTACCTCGGATCCATCCACCTTTCCATTTCTTTGCGGGTGGTTAAGCTTCAGGTAGGATGCCGGGGCTCTACTATTCTATACCATTGGTGCCAGGTGAAGATGCTGACCTAGAATGGGACTTGTCGAATGGCGATGGCAACGCCGGTCCAGTAAGCATCGAGTCGACCATTGCACCGCACTGCTGACATGATGCAGTGGACTATCTATCTCTCGAACGAGACAAGCTCCGCAGGCCATGGCGATTCCATTGGGATATACTCAGGTGAGCGCCCAACGTTTCCATCGAGTCATCTTCCACCGCCTAAGGCATCATCGTCATTCACTGCCACACATATCAATGGACCTGCCTGAAATGGCCGGAAGCCTTGCCTGGATGCTCTGCGCAATACTCGAAGGTGCTGACGGATTCTACGCCAGGCTCGGACGACTCCAAGGCTTACACTTGGACTGTTGATTCAGAACTTAGCTCGGAAGACACGGACTATCGATTCCTCATCTGTGGTTCAAGCTTCTGTTGGATTGATGAGCTTGTCACGATAGCGGATGCTTCATCCTCGACGTCTAGCTCTGTGACAAATGTGTCTAAGACATCTTCGTTATACATGTCCGAGGCCACTTCGACGATATCTGAAAGTCTGTGGAGTGCCTCGGAACCGCCTTCCGAAACTATCAGCTCGACGACGGCGCCGGACGAGCCCAGTCGCACCACAAGTACGAGCCCCTCTATCGAGAGCGCCTCTAGTTCCTTCCTGCCAATCGACGGTGACGAGCTCTTGGCCAGTATACTACCGTCGCCCTCGACAAGCTCCAGAATTAAGAAGTCATCTCTTGCCGGCGTCGTCGTCGGCGCTATTGCGATTGTCGATCTCGCCACCCTCGCCCTCATCTGGCGGTATAAGAAGCGGCACGCCCAACGCATATCTGCTGTCAGTACAACGGCTGGTCCGCATCCCGATGCTATCGATGAGAGCCTTCCCAACGAGACGACAGACGCTACAGCTCAGCTCGAATCGCCAGCATCGTCGGAATCTCGGTGGCTCACATGGAAGCACCGCTTACCTTTTGGACGAGGAGACACGAAGCAGTATTCCTCGCCAAACATGGTCTCCAGTTATCTATCACCATCTGGGGGGCCAGCTTGGGAGAAGGATGGCCAGGAGCTCCACGAACTGCCTGCGAATGAGTGCCGGACATACGCCGAGATAAGTAGGAGGAGGGGTGAGTACAGCACTATGTCAGGTGAATATAGCGACGGAAAGATGGGCATGGCCACGGTGGGCAGGTGCGCGATGTAGAGGAGTTGGGTATCGCGAGGAGGGTCTGGGTTGGCTCCAGGGGGCTTTCGGGTTAGGAAATTGCCGCCGTACCGCCGTACGTGTGAAAGGATAGAAGATTGGGTATGTGTATAGAGAATTCACTCCATCGTGGTCGCATAGATGCACATGTAACCTCCTTTCATGCTTTCCAATGTCGTAATCATTCACGCACTCTCCCATGCGTCCTGTATCTGTAAGGCTCGTCTCAACCTGAATCGACATGTCTGTATGCCTCCATGCACAACCCCGGATAATGCCTCTATCCGCAATGCACAGCGACAGAATAATATGCCTGAATGACTTCACGTGCGCTCCTGATACGCCGGCACCTCTTCTGGATGTCTAGTATCACGATGTCGATCCTGCGGCTCATACACCGGTGGCGGCACCTGCGGAGCACCCATAGTATCAACACCCTCTACCACGCCCGCATCTCTCTCCGGATCTCTCTGCCGCGGTCGCTGCATCTCAATGGGCGCCGCATAGCCCGCTTGCATCCCCGCCACACCGGCACCGGTCGTGCCAGTCTTAGTGAGCCACTTGTCGACCGTGGAGATCTCTCCCTGCGGAACGTGTTTCTTGTGCCACCAGCAGTAGGCCGAGCCGCCCCAGCCAACGACGGCGAAGACGACGGCGATGGTCACGCCGGCGATGACATCGGGAGTCCAGCCCATGGTGTCGGAGGTATGGTTTTGTCCTGTATCACTCGAGCGGGTCGGATCTGTGGATCGGCGGGGGGGTAGCGGGTCTGATTCACTGCCTGATGTACCGCAGGGACGCTGCGCTGGCTACTGATTCACAGGTGAGGAATGTCAGTAGCAAGAAGAACGACATTCTGCGGCCCACGGCTCTCTCCGGATATAATATATTCTCCCTCGCTGCCAGCCGCCGGACGCCAATGGCACCGGACCCTCGCAGCAGAGAAACCTCACCCTCACGCTTCGGGCAGGTAGCATCGTGCCATGCGGCTGCGGGGCGGAGGTGGGCTCTTCAGCCACCCAGAGGCAACGACACCACTCGTAGGGTGCCTGATCTAGGTAAAGCCCGCCCCCTTAGGCAGCTTAGCCAACACCAAGAGTCGCCCGCGTCCAGTAAGCTCCAGGCACCGGACTTGGCGTTGCTTTCAGCCATGCTTGTCCGGGCTTATCTGGACCGGGGGAGACCGATAACTGGTTCTGGACGTGTCCCCCGGTTCGGTTATGGACGAGACAAGGGGGCCTGGCAGAGGAAGTCAAGATCGGCCCGCTGGTGGGTTACATTTGCGGGAGTGTAGCGATCTGAGATAGATCATTTGTGTCTTCGGCGATTGCATTGGCATGGACTGCCTAGGGGATTCTCGTCGGCGGCCACGATAGTATCTGGCGACGAATAATGGGCCTTGGAAGCACAGGTAAGTGTCTGTGAAGACTACTGTGTATATGCCAAAGGATGCTGGTCAAGATCGGTTCTGGAACACGACTCCTTGTCTACCAATAACTTCATGCCTTCTACCACTCCAGCTTCCCCTTCGGCCCATCCCCCGTCGCCTCCTTCAACATCGCCGCCTCATCCAACGTCTGCTCCTCCCCACCACCATCAGCCTTCATCAACCCCTCCCAGACCCCCTTCCCATACCTCTGAAAGCTCTTCGTGACCCCTTCATTCAATGTCAATTGATACTCCATCTCACTCAACACAAACCCCCATTCCCGCCACTCCCCTTCCTCGATCTCAACCCTCACCATCCTCCTCGGCACATCTACCTCTATCGCCCTCCCATCCTGCGCCGCCGCAAAGAACCCCTCATCCTCCATCGTGAACCCCAACAGCCCCAAACTCGGCAAATTCCGCCCCAAAATAAACGCAAAACTGCGACTGATGACACAGACGACACCACACCCCTTCAGCGCACTGACGGCGTTCTCCCGCGAAGAGCCCACCCCAAACGCCCACCCCGCCACCACCACGGCCGTCGAGCCCGCGTACGACCGCACCGTGCCGCGAAACTCCGGGTGCGTGTGCTCGAGGCAGTGCGCTCCGAACTCGGCGTCCGTCTCGCAGTTGACCAGCGTGTGGCCCGGCGCCAGCGCGTCCGTGTCGATCATGTCGCCCAGCGTGATGATCGTCGACCGCATCGTGCCCATCGGCTCCGGCACCGTGCTGGGCTTGCTGAGTTGCGTTCCCGTGCTCGCGGCGCGGGCGGTGGGCGCATGTAAGTCGGGCTCCATGTAGGTGAGTTGCTGCTGCTGCTGCGGGCTCGGCGATGGAGATGGCGGCGGGCTCGCGGCCTGGCGGTATATGTTGTCGAACCAGTCGAAGTCCAGCTCGGCCAGGAAGGGCGCTGGGTCTGCGATAGTGAGCGAGAAGGACGAGGCCGCGCAGACAACGGCGCTGGATAGGTTGCCGAACGCGCCGGGGCCCATGCGGTTTTTGAAATTGCGGTTCTGAGAGCTCAGCCAGGTTTCGCCTTCGGATGCTTTTTCGGCAGAGAGGCCGACGCAGTACGAGCAGCCCGGTGGGCCGCGCGTGAAGCCTGCTTGCTCGTAGACCTGCAGCAGGTTGAGTTGTGAGAGCTTGTCGACGATGGGTAGGGAGCCTGGAACGTAGTGGCGCTTGCCTTTAGCCAGGGGCAGGCCTTTCTTCAATCCGACTTTGAGCACTAGTGCAGCGAGCACGATTTCTTCTTCGGTCGTGGTGCAGGCGCCGATGAAGACGCCGTCGATCTTCATACCGGCCTTCTCGCTGACGGGCACGACGTGATCCGGCTCGGGGTAGACGGCAATGGTGTGTTCGACCTTGCCCAAGTCGATCGTGTACTCGCCAGAATACTCGGCGCCCTCATCCGGCTTCATATACACGCTGTTCTTCCTGTTGGCCTTCCGCCGCCGCTTCGCCACATATCGCTTCGTAACCTCATCTGGCACGAACAGGCCGGTCACAGCCCCAAACTCCGTGCACATGTTGCAGATGGCGAACCTTGCATCCACGCTCAGATACCGGCACCCTTCACCCACAAACTCCACAATCCTCTCGCTTGCCACCGTGTTCCTCTTCAACTGCCTCAAGATATGCAATATGACATCCTTGCCACTGACGCCCCTCCCTGGCCTTCCCACGAACTCAATTCTCACCACCTCCGGGATCTTGAACCACGTCTGCCCCAACGCCAACGCCATCATGACATCCGCCGCCCCCAGCCCGATGCTCAAACACCCCATCGCGCCCCCACTGCACGTGTGGCTATCGCTCCCCACGCACAGCATGCCCGGCTCGGCGCGCTCGCGCACGAACTCCGTGTGCATGATCGTGTAGTTCATGCCCTGGTAGTCGGTCATGCGGAACTGCCGCTTGGCCTTTTCGGCTGTCGACACCATGGCTTCGACGCGTGCATTGCCCCGTGCTAAGGGATGCACCACGTGGTCCCCTGCTAGCCAGAAGCGGTCGTTGCGCCAGATCCCTGGGCTGCCGAGCTCGGTGTGCGTGCGTGCCATGGCGGACCAGCTGAGTTCTGACGCCAGGACCCAGTCGAGGCCCGCGCGTACGACGGCGCCGGTGTGTAGGCCCGAGAGGGGGAGGGGGGAGAGGGAGTGTAAAGCGAAGATCTTTTGCGTGAGGTTCATGGGCTGTGTGGTGGGGAGTGGGTGGGTAATGGTGGCGTTGAATGAGAGCTGTGCGTTGTTCAGGGCCGTAAGGTGTGCGGATAGCAGGAAGAGGACGTCCTCGTAGTGCGTGCTGTCCGGGGTTGTGCTTTGCGTGATGCCTAGGCCGCCATGGGAGGGTGAGTCGATGGTTTTCTCTAATGCAAGTGCCAGAGCGTCTGCCTCCGAGGGGTTCATGGGACGGAGCGTGTCGATGATAGTGGTGAGGGTGAAAGGGATGAATGGTTTGGTGGTTGAGTTCACCGATTGAGCGACTTGCTTCAGCACGTCGTCGTTTAGGCCTCGTGTCACCTGCAGCAGAGCCGTAATGGCGTGCGTGAACTCTTCGGGCGACGAAGCGCCCACCGCCTCGGCTGGTAGCTCTACTATACCAGGCATGACTGTAGAATGTAATCCTGTGTTGTGGGAGCGAGGGAGAGATACGGTAATGCTCCTTTTGAAGTCCTCAAAGCATTCCGTGACGCAAATGACCAGCCGCCGTGCCCGGTTGCGAGTCCGCTCCTATAGTCGGATGATACCAGATGCTGTAAGTGCTCATGGCGCGTGGATACATGAGGGTCTCGGTCCTGTCCCAGGACGAAGAGGAAGTAATTCGTCCGCCACCGGCCAGATAGGAACTCGAAGCCTAATCTAATTCTCATCGGCCTCGGTGAATGGCCCATTGCATGCTTGGGACCCTCTTGTGAGGTATTGCGTACTCGCACCATCTGCAATACTGCTTCCTTTCTGGGTGAGGGGTAATGCGAGAAAGGACAGTCGTGATTGGGTCCTACTCCGATTTCATCCCAAGTCCGAGAAGCGAGGGTCTGGTGGACGCTCGACGTGCATCGGTGATTGCCTGAACGGGTGACACGGCCTTGGAATCATCTGAGCGTAATCATGATAACCTGTTGGAGATATGTGCGGTAGCGGTGCCGGTGTCGCTCTGTCTATGTAAGATGTTCTTCAGTGTAGTCTGAGCCCTTGTCATCTTGCGGGTATATTGCTAAGGATTTACCTGCTCCTAGGGCTATACATTGACAGCCGCAACACAACAGGTATAGAGACTCTCCTCCGCTCCACGTGACGGACCAAAATCTTCGGACTACTAGTACATCTTCACAACAATGGACAATACCAACGGCATCAGCGGCCACAGGCCCCAATCCGGCGCCTCGCGTCTCCGCACCCTTCTCGCCGATGACACCCAGATCCTCGTCTGCCCGGGCGTCTACGACGGCCTGACCGCGCGCCTCGCGATCGCACAAGGCTTCAAATGCATCTATATGACCGGCGCCGGCACGGCGGCATCGCGCCTCGGCATGCCAGATCTGGGCCTCGCGACCATGAGCGACATGCTTGGCAACGCGTCTATGATCGCGGCGCTGGACCGCACGGTGCCGGTGATCGCGGACGCGGATACGGGCTATGGTGGGCCCAACATGGTCGCGAGGACGGTCAAAGCGTATATCACGGCGGGGGTTGCGGGCGTGCATCTGGAGGATCAGGTCTTGGCGAAGCGGTGTGGGCATTTGATGGGGAAGGAGCTAGTGGAGAGGGATGAATATTCTGCGAGGATCAAGGCGGCGGTCATGGCGAGGGATGAGGAGCGGGCCGTGACGGGAGGTGATGTGGTGATCATTGCGAGGACGGATGCGCTGCAGAAGTTTGGATTTGAAGAGGCCATGGAGCGTTTGAGGAAGAGCGTGGAGCTTGGTGCAGATGTGGCGTTTCTTGAGGGCGTGACGAGTATCGAGCAGATGAAGCAAGCGTGTGAGATGCTGAAAGGCACGCCGGTGCTGCTCAATATGGTTCCTGGTGGCGTTACTCCCCAGGTGTCCACAGAAGAGGCGAGGAAGATTGGCTACAGGCTTATGATCTATCCTGGTATGGCGATGAGTGCCGTCATACAGAGTGTGGGGGATGCCTACAAAGAGCTGTATGAAACTGGAGACAAGAAGGTGGACGAGGCTGATGTTAAAGGGGGTGTCAAGAGGCTGTTTGACCTTGTAGGGTTGCAGAGGTGTATTGACTTCGATGCGAAAGCTGGAGGGTCAGCGTACGGAAGTGTTTGAACGTTGCATATAGAATGCAGGCCTGGTTATTTCCCAATTGCAGATTTACTCTCAGCGTATGATCGATTGGAGTCCGACCCTGTAACCAATCCCTCTCCTCCCTGGATTTTGGTAAGCCCCAGGCTTTGACCCGCATCGCAAGGGCGAAGCGAGGGCCAGCAGAAGAGTCCGGAGTACCACTGCTGGAAGTGTCAATGGTCACCCACGTGTCACGATGCTGCCATCAGTTCCTGCACCCTGCATGTCATCGGAGTTTGGGCTGCTATCGGAGTTCCGCAGCCCAATCCACCGGCTTCGGTTACAACGGAACCTTTCTCCACGCAAATACCCCCCAGACGCTCGCTTACCTGAGTGGGGCTGTTGTTCGACAACATCTCGAATCAATGGTCTTGATATCATCCAAACCACAGCACAGTTCTCACTGCGAATGGAGATCGTCGAGACCGGCAAGCCCTAGCGATGATACTTGAGGCAACATCTGGCATTCCTCCAACCGTACTGGATATATAGGCAGAGTGCCAGATGCTTTTCTCCAGAAGGCTGCAAGACCGCCTTGCGACTGAAACACTCCCACTTGCATCCACATACCATGGCTACGATACCAGTGAAGTACTACCGGGGCGGGACGAGCAAAGCTCTGTTCCTGCACGAGAAGGATATCCCTTCCCCCGGACCAGCACGAGATCGTACCTTACAACGCATCATGGGCTCGCCAGACCCGATGCAGATAGATGGAATGGGCGGCACGCACATCGTCACCTCTAAAATCGCCATCATCCGACCTTCGACGCGGCCAGATGTCGATGTCGACTACACATTTGCTCAGATCTCTGTCAAAGACGACCAGATCGGCTACGGTGGCAACTGCGGCAACATCAGCTCTGCCGTCGGCCCTTTTGCCATTACCGAGAAACTCGTCAAGGAGTTTAGGCCTGGTGTTAGTCCTGAGAAAGGCCTGACAGCGCAACTTGTTCGCTTTTACGTGACTGGGACACAGAAGGTGATGGAGGAGCATGTGCCCATCGATGCAGCTGGTAACGTGGTTACAGCGGGAGACTTTAGTATTGAAGGGTGCCCTGGGACAGGAGCACCGATCTTGATTGACTGTAAAGATACGATTGGTGGCGCATGCAATAGAGGCGCGCTACCTACGGGCAATGTCATCGACACCACGACCGTTGCTGGAAAGGGCATCGAGTGTACAATCTGCGATGCGGCCAATATCGTGGTCTTCGCTCGAGCTTCGGACATGGGTATCAACGGCGACGAAGAGCCCGGTGTACTAGACAAGGACACCGGTCTCCTGGACCGCATTAGAGAACTCAGAGGAAGAGCGGCACAGAATGTTGGCCTCTGCTCGAGCTGGGAGACCATCGATCAAGTATCCTTTCTTCCTATGGTCGCATTGGTCTCCAGAGCCACCAGCTCACAATGTCATGTTCAGTCAAGGCTTTTCCTGGACAACAAATGCCATACTGCAATGGCGGGAACGGGCTCAGTCTGCCACGCAGCATGTAGCCGCATCAAGGGCACTATCGTCAATCAGCTGCTGAAGCCTGGCGCCGAAGCCGAGAATGTGCTGAACATCCAGCACCCATGTGGTTTCATGCCAGCAGCTGTAAAGGTTCAACCACAGGCGGACAGCGTGGTGCCAGGTTTCGAGACTCTGTCCTTCATCAGAACTGCCCGACGAATCTTTAAGGGCGAGCTTGATGTGCCAGAAGATATCAAGGGGGTCTACACAGAGGGAATGACGGCGGACAAGCCACAGACGAATGGAATTCATACCAACGGCGGCAGCAGTACTGCCAACACGGCTGGTGAAGGTGCAACGGCAGCTATTGCGACCTTTGCATCATCCTTCACTGCAGACTTACTTACGCCAAATGTGGTTCAGAAGCTCAAGGAACTTCTCCTGGACTACATCGGTGTTGGATGCGCAGCAACAGTATCGGCAGACTCAACGCCTGCCTTCCTCAGCCAGCTCAAGAAGACGGCTACCGGTCAGACCGGGCTCAGCACCATCTACGGCCTGGGATCATCGTTTGCACCTTCAACTGCTGCACTGTACAACGCTGCCTTCGCCCACTCACTAGACTTTGACGACACCTACATGCCAGGTGCTCTTCACCCAGGCGTAACAGTCATCTCCGCTGTTCTGTCTCAGACGCACATTCAAGAGCTGAAGACCGAGGACTTCCTCACTGCGTTGGCCGTTGGCTACGAGACTGTTTGTCGGCTGTCGAAGGCGATCGGGATGGGAGGCTACGCACGGGGCTTTCACAACACCTCAACGACAGGCATCTTTGGTGCTGCTGCGGCGATTGGGAGACTCCGAGGGCTAAATCAATCGACCATTGAGAATGCTTTCGGGCTTGCTCTGTCCAGGGCATCTGGATCCATGCAGTACCTTGAGAATGGAAGCTGGAACAAGCGCCTTCACCCTGGGTTCGCTGCATCAGATGCACTGCTCTGTATTGATCTTGCAGAGGCCGGCGTCGTTGGAGCGGCGAAGCCAATAGAGGGCAAGTACGGCCTACTGAAGTCGTATGCAAAGGGCGCAAAGCCGGCACTGCTAGACCTACAAAGCCTTGGAAAGAAATGGGAGTTCCTGGAGACGGCCATAAAGCCTTTCCCAGCCTGTCGAATGACACATGGCCAGATCGAGATGGCCGCTACGCTTCGACAGAGAGCCCGCGGACGTAAGGTGAAGACCCTGGCGGTCGGGCTGACAAAGCAATGCGTGCCTATCGTGGGAGTTCGCCAGGAGAACAAGATCCACCCTCAGACGGTAGTCGACGCGCAGTTCAGCTCGTACTACCAGACTGCCCTGGCGTATCTCCATGGCGACACGCTCGGTTGGAGTGCCTACGACCACATCGAGGACTCTACCGTCCGCGAATTGTCGGACAAGATTACTGTCGAGGCTGATGATGCCCTGAGCGGCTTGGGGAGCTGGGTTAGAGTCGAATACGAGGATGGTTCTGTGGATCAAGATACGTGTCTCTATCCCAAAGGCGAGAAACAGGCGCCGATCATGTGGGGAGACATCAAGAAGAAGTACATGAGTTTGTCGGAACCTGTCTATGGCGAAGCGAAGGCGACGAAGATCATGAACCTGGTGGATGAGATTGACTCGCTTGATGTGGCGCATTTGATGCACTTACTGAGCAGTAGGAAGTAAGTCGATATTACGTAGTTAAGCTCTTGTGCCCTGGCCTCTCAATTTGATACCCCCAGTCCGCCTCCTTTGTGCCCAACCTCAAGTCGCAGCGAAAGGTCCTGCACGCCGACCTACTGCTGGAGCTGCCATCGGAGTTAAGCATGGGCGATGATGATGGAAACCTTCTGCGCCCCAGGTCGGAACTCTTCATCTCGAAGAGGGAGGACTACGGAAGTAGGTAAAAGTATAGGGCCCGGTCGTTCCCCGCATTCACAGGCAATGCCCGTGATGCCCCGGAAGCTTGGCCCTTATGACCTCTCCGCGATGTCGCTCGCAGCTTAAAACGTTTCGTCTCCTCGCCATCTCCGTGTTCGGCTTTCATCGAAGCGGTGATCGGACTTGGTCAGCACTGTTGCCGCCAGCATGGACGTTGATCCACCTCATCTGAGAAGCTCTAGGGTCAAGGCGTGCACCGAGTGTCGGCAGCAGAAGGTCAGTCCATGATTGAACCTCATTCACTGACCATGTAACTCACTGTGATAGCTGCGATGTGATGCAGGACAGAGCTCGTCGACAGGCTGTTCCCGATGCCGTCGCAGAGGGCTGAAATGCGTCATCACGTCCAACTTCGTGCGCTCCAAACGGAAGACGTATGTCATGTCGCTGATTGCGTCGGCAAGGCTGATACCTACCTAGCAAATCCGAGTTGCAGGCAGAGCTGGCATCGCTGAAGGACCAGCTGCAAAGCCCGACTCATCCTAGTCCTGGTCAACCGCCTAGCCATGTCCGTGTCTCATCCAACTCCGACCAAGCCATCGCTTCTCCTATGGAGCAAAGGGTTCATTCAGCTAGCACCGAAGCCTTCCAGCAACAGCCCACACGAGAGATCTCTAGCGTACCCACCCAAGACAGCACGAGCTGGTCGACCTTACCGCGGGTCTTTGGCGACGTCGAAGTCAGTGCTTTGGCTATCAATGACTGCTTCAGGATCTTCTTCACTCGCTACTGGCCTCAATGTCCAGCCATTGAAGGTGAGATCAGTCCCAATGACTGCTACAGTCAGTCGCAGTATCTCTTCTGGACTATCACGACAATCGGTTCTAGGAGGTACATCCGGGACCCGACCTTACTATCGCAGTTGGCTCCTCAACTCATCAATTCCACCAAGCATGCAGCATTCTCCCGCGAGAAGTCTTTGCATACTATCCAAGCTTTCGTGCTACACTGCGCATGGCCATTGCCTTACAATTCGCTGAGTAAGGATATTACCCATATCCTTTCCGGCATGTTAGTACAGCATGCGCTGAGTGTCGGCCTCCATATCTTTGGCGTCGGCCAAGACTTCTCCCGCATCAAGCTACAGAACGACCGTGCCATGATGTATCTTCGCGCTCGTCTGTGGGTGCTGTGCATCGTAGTCTGTCAGAGGATCAGTTGTACCGACGGCGTGCCTCCAATGTACATTCCAGACAATTACGACCATGAATCTCATCAAGCCCAGTCAATATACGCCCTACCGCCAGCCTTGCGATTCCAGAAAACTCTCAGTCGGATACTCACTGAGTCAATTCTAGAGCTCGAGAGATACGCCTTATCCAAAGCCATGCCACACCGTGCGGCTGTACTCAACCCGATCATAGATGCCGCGTCTCTGTCGTTAGCAGAGTTGGAACCGGAATGTCCTGGTGAGATCGAACGATACTACCTCATCTGTGCAGAATTACAGATCGTGGCGTTTCATTTGTTGGGCCCTAAGGGCTCTTTCCAAGAGTCAAAAATCATCAAGATGCATGAGTTGGCCTGCAGTGCAATTGACATCCTTGACAATCTGGACAGTGTACAGTCCTGGGCAGTTGACGCGCCCTCAAATGCACTCAAATATCTCACGCTAGCAGGCTTCACCCTTCTGAAACTCTCACGATGCCATATGCGAGACCGACTTGACTTGGCCCAAGGAAAGATGGCGTACTTCACCGCCATGGCTATCTTCAAGAAGGCAGCCGTCGAAACAGATGACAGTATCGGCCGATTACCAAAGATCATGACACAACTTTGGACAAGCAAAAACATTTTCAAGAAGGCTGACGGTTCGACTGATGCATTGTCCCTCCGGTGTGGAAGCCGGCTAGCAATGAGCATAGTTTACGATTGCTACTGGTGGTGGCGATCCGAGTTTGCCGGCATGCCGAATCCCTACGAGGAAAGAGGTAGGACTCGCTGTCGTTGGGTTGTTTAGTACTAACGTGTTCAGATCATAACACATTGGAAGAGCAGCTGACGCCAGAAACCTTTCAGAATATGGTCTGGCTACAAGAGTCGTTTCCAGAGTTTGCGTGGCCGACCATGCAGGATCTCGCGTCTCTCGAGTGGACACCTCAATCAGCCGCAGCTCCGAGTACGTTTCCCGCTCCTGGGAGTGCCATGCCGGACCTCAGCACCATTTGGGCCTGATCGGCGAAAGCGCTCAATATCGGACTTCCCCCAGACTGCCAAGGTTTGCCGGTTATGGCTGATATAACATGGGCCGCAAAAATGCAATCGTCCTGCAGCATCGACTTTCAAGACCGCCAGATCCTCAGACGTTCCAAGATGACGCTTCAAGTACAGCACGCTGACCCCGAGAAGAAGCTCACTGATCATGTAGAGCAGCCACAAAAGCCAGAGATAGAGAATGTGGAGGGGGAAGTCATCGACAAGAAGGCTCAACGTCGGCTAGTCCTCAAACTAGACCTGATCATACTTCCATTGCTGGCTCTATCTATCATGATGGGTTATCTGGACCGAGGAAACATCGGCAATGCTCGCCTGCTGGGCATGGCGCACGACCTGAAGCTATCTGAACAGCAGTACCTCAATTGCGTGATGATGTTCTTCCTCGGATACATGCTTATCGAGCTTCCTGCCGGCATGGCCCTGCGGTACATCCAACCACGATATGTCTTCGCAACGGCATTGATTTCCTTTGGCCTTTTCTCCACGCTCATCACCGTGTCCGGCTATGCGGGCATCATGGTGCTGCGTGTGCTTATCGGCTTGGGCGAAGCATTCGTCAACAACGCGTACCTCTACGTGTCACTTTATTACATGCAGAACGAGCTTTCGCTGCGAACAGGCAAGTTCAACGGTCGCCCTCGGAATCCTGCTAACGAACGCAGCTGCCGTCTACTCAATGACGCCTGTTGCTGGCGCCTTCTCCGGCCTGCTTGCTTACGGAGTTGGAACAGGTCTGGAGGGAGCTCACGACATTCCTTCATGGAGATGGCTCTTCATCATCGAAGGCGCAGCCACCATTGGCTTTGGTTTCATTGTGCTAGCCCTTCTACCAGGATTGCCAGAGACTGTCGCCGCCAAAGGGTCATTCCTGTTTCCTCATGAACAAGAACGTGCACTCATCATGCAGCGTCTGAGAATGAGTGAGTCCCGAGACATCCGCATATGCACTTGCTGATGATATAGGCCAAAATACAAGCCATGCCGGCTTCCAGAAACACCAAGTGGTCATGGCCTTCAAAGACCCAAAACTGTACCTGGGAGCCCTCCTCCTTGCTCCAGTCGGCATCGGTATCGGGGCATTCAACGTCTTCCTCCCGACATTTGTGAACCAATTCGGTTTCGATCGCTTGCATTCGCAACTCATCTCTATCATCCCCTACGCCTGCGCCTTGATCAGCATGATCTTCATTTCATGGCTGTCCGACCGTCTGGGCCGCAAAGCTCTTGTGTGTATCTGCAGCTTTGCCGTTGGCATGATTGGATTCATCATCCTCATCACCGCTACAGGCAAGGTGGTGCTCCTGGTCGGAGCTTGTCTGGTTGCGATCGGCACCTACCCCGGGCTCGTCATCGGTATCGCCTGGACGTTGACAGTACATGGTGGCTACACGAAGAAAGCCACGTTCATGTGGGCGTCGCAGGTCATGATCCAGACGTACAGCATCATTGCCACGCAGGTTTACCGGAGCCCTCCTCGTTTCTTCCTCGGTCACGGCATCGCACTGGGGTTGTACGTGCTGGGGATTACGTCGGCAATGACACTGTGGTATCTGGTATCAAGGCAGAATAGGATGAGAGAGGCCAGAAGACTGGAGTTCGAGCAGAAAGGAGAGGTCGATCCGGATATGGAGAAGTCGTTCGAGGAGCTGGGTGACTTCCATCCCGGATGGCGATATACGACATAAACTCAGCTCAGGTATAGCCGAGTCAGTCGAGGAAAAGGCCCATTGGTCGGATCTGGCGGAGTCCGAATCGTGCCTCTAACTGGGATATCTTGAAGTCACAAGATGTCCCCGGGGTCGTTGAAACTAGTTCTTATCTGCAAAGTCCAAGAAAACCTGCGCCTTGAAAAGAGTGACAGCCATATCAACGTCTTTCCCACGACAGTTCCTACGGCATTGCTGTGTGTAGATTACACTGACTGCCCGATGTGCCGACATTTGTATACGTCGTTGGGCAGTAAAAAGGGTCTAGTGCTGGAAAACATTAGGTCTGCCGCCATACATATGCTTGCCAGAAACCTCTACGTGCTGAAAGTGGTGGTGCGGAAGTAGCCATAGGTAGGCGTCATGTTTTGAGTCTATATCTGCGCAGTAGAAAAGAAGTATAACCACGCTAGCTAAATTCTGAGAAGGAAGATGAACTAATATTGAGACTGTATGGACATGACTCAAGTCGCTGTTTAACGCTTTTGGTGCTGGAATATTGGGATCGCATGATTGGGCTGAGTCGCTGGCTAAACGCTAACTTTTTGGAGTGTGGTGCATTAGTCTCGGTCGCTGGAGAAACAGTGGGCGTGCATCGGAACGCCAAGAGTGTGATATTGTAGTCGATCGTCATTGCAGTGACAGACTCTGACTGGTCGAAGCTCGGTTACTGGAATTGACCAGAAGAGATCGATACCCCCAGTTTCGGAGAAGTCAGAGGGTGATTCAACAGGGTAAAGTAGACCATCTATATTGGCTTCGACATGGCGATGTCTAGACGGGACTGTCTGCTGGGCGTGCTACTTTTGGTGTCAGACCTGTCATGCCCCAGGCTAGAATAGATGTTAGCTTCTGAATGGTATTATTCGCACTGGATGCAAGTAAAACTCACAATGGCTGCCCAAATTCATTGCCACATTGGTGAAGACCGCCAGCGAGAGAGGAAAGGCCGCGCACTTGTTGGCGAAGAAGCCAAGGAAGAACTGCAGAAGATGCGGCCGTAGATGTTTGGAAATCGTCACGCTTCCAGCAAACATCACCGTCGGAAACTGACTGACGACCAGTAGCGCAGCAAGTGCCAGCGCGCTAAAGGTTCCTGCCTTGACTTCTAGCACGATGTTGTATATTAGCATACCGGTGTTTGCCACCCGGTAGTAGACCAGAGTCATCCGCAGGAGCTCGACCAGTGCCACGTATCGCGTCCAAAGCGCCATATTTGGTCCGAACAGGTAAAAGTAGTTGTTGAAGTAGGCGTTAGAGCCCCATCGACGGCGTTGACTCAGGTAGTGTTTCAGAGACTCTGGCGGAGCTGTCTCGCTAACCGCGTCCTGGACAAAGATCGTTTTCAGGTGGGTCCCTTGTTTAAGCAGGCAGTAGGTCAGTCGGCGATCGGTGCCGAGATACTGTACCTGATGTCGCAGTACTGGAATGCATTCGACCGGCCTGGCGTAGTGTTCAATCGCTGGTCCACATTCTGGACGAACAGCGATCATGGTAACGCATCCGGGTAAGCAGGTCACTCGGCCCCAGAAACTTTCGGCACGCCGCCGCACGATCTGTCCAAATGCGTACTGATAATGCTGAAATATTTTCCAAAAGGTGTATTGGCGGTTCTTGACCAGCACGATACCACATGAGGCAATCGCGTTGGGAGCGTGTGAAATAGCATCGGCGAGCTTTTTGATAGCCCCTTCGTTGAGGGCGCTGTCCGCGTCTGTGCAGAAGATCATGTCGAATCCTTCGAAATCGGGCTGGTGGGTAAGCTCAGGGAGAACAGAATCGTACAGCCTGTCCTTTATCAACTGTGTGCACTTGGGAAGCGAGGCCCGTGCGTAGTTGAAGAGGTCGAAGCACAGGATCAGAGAGTCCTTTTTGCCCATGTTCTTCCGTTTCTGTACGATGAGAACTGGAGCCTTGCCGTAGAAGCCGGCAACAACATCTAGAGTATTTGGTTTGCCCTTGAAAGAGACATGCGGGCAGTCAAAGGTGGTAATGGTGCGCGTCAAGTACCTCGTCATGTCTCTTGGCTGCCCGTCAAGGATAATGCAGAAAACTTGTTTATGCGGCTCCGTCTTATTGTTGACCATAGACTCGAGGCATGAAAAAATCTCCTCTTCCGTCTCCGAGTATGCGGGAATCAGGTTCAAGATCCATTGAGGAGCCGATTGCCGTTTGGGCCAGATTCGATCGTACGCGGCCCGGCCGCAAACTGCCACAAGCGAGATCATTGCTGATAAACAATCCTTGCTCTTGACGAAGAGGAAAAACGTGAATACCCATCGCGAGTTGGTGGCTAGCAAGGCTGCCAGGAGACAACCAGAGTTGAGCAAAAATACTATCGTCCAGAAGATCCCTCGCTGCGTTCCTATGTTCATTTTGGACAGCTCTCTGTGGATTCTTTCTCTTCGAGTTTCAGTTGCTGAGCCAGTGGACCGACGAGGTGAGAGTTTTGGGCGAGGATTGACGACAGTGCGCTCCGACTCTGTTGGTGAAGTCGGCCCAGACTCCGGCCCCCAGTTAACTGTACGCCATGGTCGTGTATGAGCTGGTGTTGGTGTGGTAATGACATTGTTTTCCTGATAGAGGCCATTATGGGAGTAGCAGCGATCCATGGTGGATTGGTAAAGGAATAGGTACCCAGAGCAGGCATGGATGGTCTAAATGGTCGAACATGGAGACGCAGGAGCCGCCAAGCACAGATCTCAGGTAGTGCTGAACAAAATTCATCCTCAGCATCGTGCATGTCTGCTGGTGGTGCACAGAATGGGCATTCAGTGCGGCTTTGCTGTTCGAGAGCAGTATCCAGACCACCCTGCCCACCACTTCCCAGTTACCATAAGCACGTCATCGAATGGAGCCTCAGTCTAGATACCTGAATCATGTTCTGTTCAGCCAGGTGGAGAGAGCCGACCAGGCCCAACGGCTGGAATTTGCAACCGAAGCCCGGTGTGGTAGACGTTGGGGAAGGCTATAAGCGAAACAAAGTATAAAAATCAGACGACCAATTAAAAAATTTCCCGTAAAATTCTAGACTCTCGGCATTTATAGTCCAGACTGTCGATAGGACGGCGAACATATCCGGAGGTGCTCGGGGATGTCGGTAATGGGGTCCGAGTTGGTGGTCCGTCCCTGCGAATCGCTGATGCGGCTCCAAGTGGGATGGAGATCATATCCTGTGGGCGACTCGCATTCAGGGCTACGGCACTCTTCTCTGCCTGAAGGTGTGGCATCGGTCAGAAGAGCTTCGGGCTCCGAGATTTGAACTAGTATACTGTCACTCATCTGCCACGAAGCCCTAAGAACGTCCGAGGATGGCACTCGAACTGTTGGTAGACCTAGAATGCCAAGACTCGCCCGGTATCCCGGCGGGCATTCTTTACGCTTCCCCTTTGCCAAGACCATGGTGAGGCTGCAGCTTGAACCCGGCTGAGGACATACGCCACAGTGGAACGGCAAAGAAGCCGGCAAAGGAAGTGTCCCATCACTCTCGGCTCGCAGATCCTCGAAACGCTACGACATATATCTGTATGCATTATACGAAGTGTTGAGAGCCTCATCCCTTGGCCAAGCATCGGGTCCGAAAAAGTCTGAGCTAGAACCTAGTGAAAATGTCCGGCAAATTTAATTTGGTACACCCTCAGCCAATGCGATTCTGGGTAAAGACCACACTTTGCGGGTCCAGGCTAACTCCAGGTGCCGGGGAACCCTGGAGGCTAGTGTCTTCAGAAGGACAAGAAAGTCTATAAATCGCTTAGACCCCCAAGATGTTGGCTCGGCGAACCACAGCAGCCAGAGTCTGTTGGCTAGAAGCCGCTAAGAGGTATAGCAGTAGCAGGGCTGGAGGGCTGCAGTCTGAGTGGTGTGTACGTGGGCAAATCTTGGTGAAGCAGGCCAGAGGGATGTGTTATCCCTCTCTTGGATCTGAGAAGCGACTTGTTCCAGACCTCGTCGGCGTCGATTTCATTGCAACCATCAGTTTCTTGTTCTTTCTTCTATGGACATCTTCATCTCATTATAGCTTGTATCGGAACGCCGAAGTCGTAGCTGATATGTCCATGGGCCCTGATGTCTCAGACTAGTTCAGTCCCTTCCAGGCTCTAAGCCTCACCTGAGAACAACAATCATCTTAAGCCTCGACCGAATGACTCCAAATCTAAAAGTTCGGGTGCAATGACATTAAACATCCATGGGAATACCGTGAAGCCGGCGAAGGGCCAAGTTCCGATAACTGGTTGACAGTAAAACACGTCGTACCAGCAAGTGGGTGAGGATGTACGAGCGGACGACCATCCCGGGGGTTAACTCGGCGTTCAGCTCGAACCGAACGTAAGCGATCGGATGCGCTTCACCAAGCAATGGCCGAAGAAGTACCAGGAAAATACGTAATGCCATTGTAACAAGTCCGCGTAATAGGGGGTGTGTAGATCGGTAACCTCGGTGAAGCAGGCCCAACCGCAACATCGTGCTGTCGAGGCTGACATACCAGCTCTAGCTGGTGAACGTTAGTAACTCCACGTTAGTTGGCAGGAGTATGCCCGCGTCTTGCGGCATCGGCGTGCGCCGAAGATTTACGATGGGCCATTCCACGGATAACTCCACCGTGAAAATCTGACTCGTGCTGGACTAGCCAACCTCAAACTGCTTACACGCTATACGCTATCCCGTAGACAGTTAGCAAAGGGCTTCATGCAAAATTGCAACCACTTTGCCCACTTTTGCCAAGGACGACCTGCTCTCGCCACAAGACTTGAATTCGATGCAGTTTGGTCTACACCCTCAAGATATCGTCTTCTCTATATCGCCGTTAAGCTGGGGGTCTCGGTAAGAGAGTTCTCTCATCGAATTCTCCACAAGTATAACAAAGGTGGTGTACCTCAAAGCACTGTATCGGTCGAGACTAGCAGCTGGGCCGGTCTCTATCCTCATTTCCTAGCCTCACCTGAATCCGGACCACCTATACCGGGCACCCATACTCCAGGGACGATCGACTTTCGCGACAGGTCCCGGGACTGTGGCGTCCCCAGCACACAACCTCTATACACCATCCTACCTATGTCGCGATCAAGCTGGAAGTCTTCATTGGGGACGCCTTCCCCCGAACTCCACAGGCGCAATGGAATGTGGTGTCCTTCAGCCCATCATACAGGGCGAGACTACGGGCTAGCCCCGTCTACATTTTCATTCATCAGCTGCACCTGGGACCGGACTATGTATATAAACATGCATCTTTCTGACACGGAAGTGATCAACATCGCTCACTTCTCAGCACAGTGGAACTACTAGAAGCATCCAAGACCGTCAAGCAACTTTTGGTTATATCAGCCGCAACCCCTCTCTCAGTCTCTAGTCAGCAACAAGCTATGACGTCCACTCCTACTAGCACTTCTCCCATCGTGGCCGTCGTTGGCGTCGGCTATGTTGGTGAGCACCTAGTCCAAGGCTTCTCGAAGCACTATCCCGTCATCGCCTTCGATGTGGACCCGGTTCGCCTCGAGCAAGTCGCGAAGAATAAGACTAAATATCAACTCATGACCACACGGCTTGGGTCCGACCTTGCCCTGGCCACACATATCTTGATCTCAGTTCCGACTGGAGTCTACAGCGATGGCACAATCGACACCCGTATCCTACGCTCTGCTGTGGACAACGTGCTTTGCAATGCTCAATATGGTGCTACGATCGTCATTGAAAGCTCGGTGGCCGTTGGCATGACTAGGTCTTTGTTTGGTGACCGCCACCACGAAAAGGATCTGAAAGTTGGCATGTCGCCTGAGGTAAGAATGTTCAAACCTTCGCTTTACACCAAGCTAACCTATGGCAGCGTGTTGACCCAGGGCGAACTAATGTCGAGTACGATTCTATTCCCAAAGTTGTCTCTGGCATCGACGATCGCTCGCTCACTAGCGTCTGTTCGCTATATTCAAGAGTCTTCCAGCGATTGGAGCCTGTCTCAAGCCTGGAGGTGGCTGAGCTCACCAAACTATATGAGAACTGCCAGCGCATGGTGTCCATCGCATACGCCAACGAGATGGCCGATGCCTGCCACAGTTTTGGCATTGACCCCCTAGAGGTCTGCAAAGCTGCTGGCACCAAGCCGTTTGGCTACCAGCCTTATACTCCCGGTATCGGGGTGGGCGGACACTGCATCCCTGTCAACCCATACTACCTACTCTCTAACAGTTCCTGGCCCTTCCTCGAGATGGCCACCGAGAAGATGCGCGCACGACCAGCAAATCTTGGTGACAGAATCATGGCCGAGTTATCAGCAACTAGCCAAGGAACTTCTTCCCGGCCCCGGATTCTCGTCGTCGGTGTCTCTTTCAAGAAGGGTCAATCGGTGCTGAGCAATGCTCCAGGTATCGATCTCATTCGCCACCTGCTCGGCACATATGATGTCTATGTTGAGTTTGTTGATCCACTTGTCAATGCCGAGAGCCTCGAGTATGTTCCAAAGCTCGACCATACTACCGAGTGGACCTCAGCGTACGTCGATTCTCACTTCGACTGCGCCGTCATCTGCATGGCCCAGGAGCACGTAGATCTCAGCATCCTGCAAGAGCTGCAACACACCCGTGTCTTCAACTTTACCAGCGCCCTACCCTGGTCCAGCCTCAGCCCTGTCCAGGCAGCACCATTGTCTGTACCCGAGCTGGAAGAGCCGTCTACCCCAGAAGAGATTGAGATCTTGACACCAGCGCTAGGTCTAGAGGATCACAATCCTCTGGTGACTGTACCGGAACAACCCACTGTTGGCCAAGACTTGATCAACAAGGTCCTCGACAGTCTTACCATCGCCAAAGAACCTGTTGTCGATATTTCGGCAAGGGAGATAGGTCTGCTGCCAGTGTGACCTGGCGGTGCAGTCAGCGTCCACTGGCAGCACGTGTAGCCTGACCACAGCCTTAGTGAAGCAGCATCAACACAGGCCAGCGTGGAATTAGCATGGTATGGAGCTATTGGGATTGCTTGATGGTTGTATGGTTCTGTACGCGAGTTTATCAGGTAGGAATAGCAAAAGTAATGAACGGTCAAATTTTGCCCCGAACATTGTCCTGTTTGAGGTCAGGCAGAATGCCTTCTTCTTCTAAGAGCAGCTCGCGGACCATCCCAGTCACTGTGATGCTTTGGTCAGGTCATTCCGAGCATGTCATCTTCCGCGATATCTTCCTCGGTGGCCCTTTCGCCCGCAGGAGGAGCGCCCTCCATAGCTAGTCATTCAGGAGGCAATGTCTGCTCAGTCAAAACGCAACCCCGCGCAAAGTGTTTTACGAGTATCATCGTACTTACGGAGCTCCCCGAGGCCAAGCGCAAGCGTGAGCCCAGCTCCAATAAAGGCCTACTTGTGCACGACATCGGCTGGTTCCTCACTGCCCCAAAAAGCCTGCAGACTTTGCTTGATTCCTTGGCACAAGGAAAGTATCTTGTAACGTTTTCAATGTCGCCGTTTGCGTGATGCCGGCTGATCATGGGTCCACTTGGCCACGACAAGTGAGGATGAGGACCCTGAGCCTGATAGCTGGTGTCGGTATACCTCAGATGGGGTGGCTCTGTAAGTACCGCCGGCTTTTTGGACAAAGCCTCTCCAAATCCCCGAGGATCGGCAGGACCCCCTTCCCCGCAATCAATTTACGACCTCAACTGCCGCGAGCCACATCCTGATGATCGCCGCCTTGGAGATGCTTCGGCGATGCTTAGTGGCCGGACAATAGTTTGTGGGGGGAATGGCTCAATCCTACTTAGATGGGTCATTCTGTAGCTGGGGACCTCCATTTGACGGCTTCTGCTGAAAGTTGGAGAGACATCAAAAGGAGAGGGCACTGCTCTCAACATCGCCACATTCGATCTTTTTCCCCTGAGCGTCCCAGGTAAAGTCATATCCTGCATCATGGAGCGAACAAAGTCACAAGCAAGATTCACTGAAGGCCTCCCACCATCTAGGCAGGACTCTGACGAGCAGCGCACTGACGAGAAGGGCATCGGCGAACATGTCGAAACGCCCGCGCCCAAGCTCGACAAGCACGGCTTCCCCCTCTTGCCTCAGCCATCCGACAATAAGGACGACCCACTGAACTGGTCACCCATGCTGAAACTCGCTGTGGTGCTCCAAGTCAGCTGGCTCGCCTTCCTAGGCCCTATGGCCGCCGCTGTCGCCAACCCAGCCTTCGTCGTCATCGGCCGCGCCTTCGAGATCACGCCCGTCCAAGCCTCGTATTCACTTACCATGTACATCTGCTTCGCGGGCGTGGGACCCCTCCTCATCATCCCCTTCGCCAACCACTATGGCCGCCGCCCGGTGTACCTGGTTGCCAATTTAGTTGCTGCCGCCACTAACATCGCCGCCAGCTACAGCACCACATGGTCCGGCCTGCTCGCCACCCGTGCCTTCAACGGCATCTTCGGCGGCACTCCGCCTGCCATCGGCGCCGCCACCGTCTGTGACTTGTACTTCATGCACGAGCGAGGTTTCTACACCGGAATCTTTACCTTCTTCCTCACCAATGGTCCGCACGTGGCGCCGCTCATGGGCGGGTTTCTGGCGCAGTACATGGGTTGGGAATGGTGCTACCGTATTCCCGGGTTCATCCAGCTAGGGACGTTCGTCGTGACGCTCTTCTGCCTACCCGAGACGCTCTACAGCCGCAGCACGTCCAGCGTGACGCACAAGCCGCACTCGTACTGGGAGCTCATCACGTTCCGCGCCACGCTGCCGCAGCGAAGGCTGAAGTTGAAGGACTTTTGGCGGAATATCTATATGCTCAAGTATCTGACCGTGACAATACCAGGGGCATACTACATGACGAGTTTTGCATGGTACGTTCTTCTTGGGCAGAAACACGCCCTCGTCCCCAACGCAAGTTAACTCATGTTTTCAGGGGCTCCATCATTTTCGCTGCCACAGGTTCGCAGCTCTTCCGCGAGTTTTACGGTTTCACGACTTCCCAGACGGGGTTGATGTTGAGCATTCCACTCCTCATCGGCTGTCTGATCGGCGAAGCCAACGCAGGCTGGCTCATTGACTGGATGGTGGTCCGGTACGCGAAGAAGCACGATGGTGTGAAACTCCCCGAAGCCAGGCTGGATGCGTTGTGGTTTGGCCTGTTCGTACCGATCGGTCTGATTATCGAAGGCGTGTGTCTCAGCCACCACAAGACGGTACACTGGGTGGGCAGCGCTTTCGGAATGGGCATTGCGAATTTGGGCCTGCAGGCTGCGACAACGGTGACCTATGCATATACCACAGACGTGAGTTTGGGACGAGCGCATGTACCAGGAGACGTTGAATCGCTGACCAGAGACAAAATACAGTGCTACAAGCCGCAGTCCGCGGAGATCAGCAGCCTCCTCAACCTCTTCCGATCGACATTCGGCATGATCGTTTCGTTCTATGCGTTGGTCGCCCCCAGTACGGAGTTGTGTGATGCAAGCTGACGGTGATATAGAATCCCACTGGGCGAGGAGATAGGCTTTCAATACGCCTGGCTCATCTTCGCCCTAATCAACATCGCCCTGTTCGTGCCGTTCATGGCGTTGAAGTGGGTGGGTCCGAAACTGCGCGAGAAGCCGTGGCAGTCGCCGCCAACGTTCAACAGGGACCTGTAGGGCAAGGGTTGGGTCGTTCGCAAGCATGGCTTCGCCCCTTCTCGTGCACAGAGAAAGCTAGAAGGTGATGGTCGCATGGTCGAACCGGTCGCAGGAGCAGGATATAAGCCATCCATCAGGTCTAAATCTTCCGGGGCTTCGTTCGCAGCAGCCTGTGTTTAGGTGAAGCTCGAGTCAACAGTAGCGTCGTCGCCAAAATATCCAGACGCGATCCCGTCCAGGTCCTGCTCCAATAGACCGTACAGCGAGACATGGCCTGAATACCAACCCATCAAACCAGGTGTGACGGCTGGCTGCTTTTGCTGATTGAGGGCATTACCCCCTAATTCGTAGCCCAAATACGTGCTATTCTCGCTGTTCAGGGTCGGGGACCGAGAGCCCAGGAAGCTCAGCGCGGCGAGATGTTGGTCAAACTCCCCAGTCACCGGCTCCGGAATGCACAAGGCAGTGTTGGAGCCTGTGCAGCGCGATATATCGTCCGTAGACTGCTGGCGCGCCTTAGCTCACACGTACGCCCGAGCAACACTGACAAAGATGGAGCACAGCTGATGGAACTTCTCGATGCCCCCCCGAGACGCGCACTGCCCGCTGCAGGAGCGCAACGAAGCGCTCCAGCAATTAAAGGTCTTCCCACGACGATTGTGCAGATTTTCTCCGCGTACGGCTGGACATGACGCTAGAGGCTGCAACGGAAAAGCAGTTCACCAGGAGTGCAAGTTTGGCATCTGAAGCTATTGGTGCGATCAGGATCGTCAACATGCTCACACTACACTTGAACAACCTATCCTACATGAGTACGGCGAAACATTGGATGGCATTGTAGCAATGGTCACTCGGAATCTGGTAAGCCCCTTGCATCTCCACCACTGAATCACCACTAACAAGTCTTTCTATCAGATGGTAACCCTCATCCCTTACAGCTTTTCCCAGTCGTCAGACTTCCTCGTTTTGGCCCTGGGTTTCTGGTATGGCTGCCGTCTAATCGCCAACGGGGAGTATACTGTAACCCAGTTCTTCGTAGTTTTCACAGCACTCGTCTTCGGTGGTCAGGCCGCTGCATAGCTGTTACAATGGACGACCTCGTTTACCAAGGCAAGGTATGGCGCGAAGTAGATGTTATGGTTGCGGACAATCCAGCCCAATATCCGCAAGACTGTCGAAAACCGAGACCAGGGACCGTCAGGAGATGATACCTCAATCGATTTCAGCAAAGTAGAGTTCAGTCACAGCCAATGGCCTGCCTCGAAGGTGCTATTGGGTGTGTCCATGACAGTCCAGCCAGGCTCGTACGTGGCATTCGTTGGACCATCGGGATGCGGCAAGAGCACGATCATCTCTCTAGTGGAACGCTTCTATGATCCAGCGTCCGGTCGCATTACTTTGGACGGAGATGATGTTGCGCGCATGCCTCCAATCTTAAACCGTCGACACATGTCTTTGGTCCAGTAAGGACCACCGTTGTATCTCGGCTCTGTGCGTGATCATATCGCCATCAGCCTCAACTATGAGCCTTCGGAGGCAGAACTGGACGAAGCTTGTCGGCAGGCCAACGTGCAGGAATTCGTATCGTCGTTGCCCGAAGGCCTAGACACGCCTTGTGGAGCCAAGGGGATCCAGTTCTCTGGAGGTCAGCGACAACGTCTCGCGGTAGCCAGGGCACTTATTCGGAAACCCCGACTGCTTCTGCTCGATGAGGCAACCTCTGCGCTGGATACACAGAACGAAAGGATCGTGCAGGAAGCGCTCAACCAAGCCGTCTCGAGCAGGACGACCATCGCCATCGTCCATCGGCTGAGTACCATCCGACATGCAGATGTCATTTTCGTCATCGAAGACGGCAAGATTGCGGAGATGGGTACTCATGAAGACTTGCAGAGGCGTAGGGGAAAGTATCATGCCATGTGTTTAGCACAGGCTCTCGACTGCAAAAGCCCTTCGGACCTTAGGGCCATGCATTTATGGATTCGTTCGTAAAGAGTGAAGGAGTCAGACACATATAGCCGATGTGCATTTGTGTCCACTCCGCAAATCAGCCTTGCCGTTGATAAACTGCTCGTTGAATAGAGAACGGCGTTGGGCGTGGCAAGTCGCGACGGCACTCACACTACAAGTCTTGGCGAAGTCGATCTGAGGGCGACGAACAACAGAATCTCTTTTAAAGTGGCTTCAAATTTACATCACTGAGCTCGCGCTGCAGCTTACTTTTCAGGTACGTCGAAGCGTAGATCTCTTGAAAGTCTACTTGCGGTCTAGATTCGACGTATCTATGGTGACATCATGACGTTTGCCAACCGTGCATGAACTTCTCCCCAGCTGATCCTACACCCAGAGAAACAGTCCTATTCCCAAATACAGGCAGCAGAGGCGAGATCAGTAAGAGACAGTACATAGGCCCAAATGCCACCCAAAAGAGCCAACAAGAAAGCCAGCGCAGGCGACGAGCCCGAGCCCGGCTCCAAGCGCAAGGCTGACGACTCCATCAAGGAGGAAGATCCCGCCGAAGAGGCCGAAGAAGCCGAGCCCGACAGCAAGAAAACCAGAAAGACCATCAACCCCACACTCCAATGGCTCTTGAGCGACGACGCTTTCGCCCTCGCATTCCCCACCCTCCCGGAGGGCCACGGCGAGATTGACTGGGACGACACAGTGCGGCGTAAGGAGCCGCCGCCGGAGGATGCTGGGAAGCACGCTGAAGCTGAGGACAATGACGATGATCACGACGAGCAGAAGCACGAGTTACTCCTCACGTACCCGGACTCGCACTTGACGCCTTTCCAGAACCTGGTGGCGGCGCTGATCCTCAGCAAGCCGCTGTCGCACCGGCTCGGGATGCGGACGATCAACACGCTGCTGAACGCACCGTTTGGGCTGCGGACCGTGCGGGATCTGGATGAGGCCGGGTTTGAGGGGAGGAGGAAGGTCATGTGGGAGGCAAGGACGCAGCATAAGGAGAAGACGGCCGCGCAGTTGGGGGATTTGGTGGAAGGGGTGCAGGAGGTGAATGGTGGGGAGGAGGGAGTAGAGGAGTTGAAGGGGTTGAAGAAGCAGTTGGAGGGGCTGGAGGTGGGGGATGCGCAGAAGAAGGTGGAGGAGGTGCTGTCAAAGGTCAAGGGGATTGGGCCGACGGGGACGGGCATCTTCATGCGGAGAGTGCAGGAGGATTGGGACGATGTCTTCCCCTACGCGGATCAGAGGGCGTTAGACACGGCGGTGCAGTTCGGCTTGATGGATGATGGACAGGGGGTGGAAAAGCTGGCGGAGCAGCTTGATGGTGATAGAGCCAAGCTTGTGAAACTGTTGGATGTTTTGGTGGGAGTTCAGCTGGAGAAGAAGCTCGACGAAGCGCTGGAGAAAGCCGGCGTTGAAAAATAGTAGATATTGGCCGCCGGCTGCTGGTATGGTAACGCGCGGGATAGATCGGTTATAATGCGAGTTGGAGCGCATCGAACTGATTGGTCCATCCGCCAGTGAATTCACTTCTGTCACGGCTGAGCTCGTCGTAAATCCGGTCCGGTGGTTTCGTGCTCTGCTTGCTGGGCGAGCTTTGTCGACCAAGGAGCTCCTCAACCTTCCAAGCGATCCTCTCCGCCCCCTGCCGTGCACCAGCCAAGTTTGCAGCACCAGGGCCCAGCCTCAGGGCGGCTAGTGCGCCGGTGAAGAATAGTGGCAGATCTTCTTCATACATGAGGTCATCGCCGATGACCGGATGCCCGCCAATAGCGGATATCGGGTAGCCACTCCGTAGTTCGTCGAGGAATGCGATGTTCGTGAAGTCAGGCCTGACGCCTGTAGCATAGAAGACGTGATCAATCGGAGGTAAATTTAGATGGGAACTCGTAGTGAGATTCCAGCCACCGCAGTAATAGCTGCCGTTGTCGATTGTCGTATGCGGGCTTATTGACAGTTTCCCAGCTCGCACAAGCTTCTGCAGCTCACGGTCAAAAGCTGGCGTAATGCTTCCTCCATTACGAGCTTGCTTGAACATCTCGGCGCGCTCGCTATCGGTGTCTGCCGACCAGAACTCTGCCATTCGTTGATTACGAACCTTGGATACCCATTCCAGGTCGACATCGAAGTGTTTGAGTTTGTATTTGCCTCGAAGCAGGAGCCAGACGTGGGTGACGTCGCTGGAGATGAGCTCTACCGCAACTTGAGCCGATGTGAGGCCTCCACCGACAATGACGACGTATGTAGCTTGGCGAGACTTGAGCTTATCAGCCAGTGAAGCTGGCAACTCGAGCCCGTTGGGGCTGAAGATGTGAGAGGCTGCCGAGTGAGAAGTAGCCGTTAGCTCAAGACGGTGATCTTCGGGCAGGCAAGGAGCAGATGCTGGGCCTGTGGCGACTATGACGATCTTCGCCATGTACATGCCTTTGTCGGTATCGACACAAAACATCCGACTGCTGCTAGGACCTCCAACGTCATCGTAAGAGATGTTGCGCACTGAGGCTTTGTGAACAAGACCATGCAGTCCATATCGCTCCACAATACTATCGCAGTAGTCTTCGAAGAGTGCTGTGCTTGGCGTGTAGTAGTCAATCCGGTCTCGTCCGTCCACCCTCAAATGTCGTTCGACCTTGTGCTGACGGTTTCGTTGCTTCTTCTGGGCATGCTTGCTGTACTCTTTGCCCGCGATGTTTGGAATCTCGACAAGTTCTGATTCTCGACCTTGCTCATGCGCATACGCTAGCAGTCCATCCCTGTCTCGAGGATCTGGGTGGAAGAAGAGTGGGCTCCGCAAGTGCTTGATGTTGAGCCTTTGAAAACGCGACTTCCATGCTCCAAGCCATTCATCCGACGAAGCATCTAGCACAGCCATCGAAGGCCTGTTGGATCGTTTGACGGAGTTCTCGTCGATTTCGTAGCCACTGTCGAAAATGCTCGAATTGCAGTGCTTTCGCTTTCTGGCGGCTTCGCTTTGGAGTGTCGTCATCTTGAACCGTTTCCAGTAGCGCGCATGCTCATCGTCGGTGAAGAGTGCCGAAGGGGTAGATTCCGAAAGTCGAGCTGCAACAGCAAGTCCACAAGGACCTGCTCCGATGATCAAGACATCAGTGAACATCGTGGTCAGCTAACGGGATACCTTGGTGGAGAGCTGTCGAGCATCATATTTGATTGAGAGCTGCAACAGGTATTTGAAGGGTGGCCAGAGCTGAACCGAGTCTGGACAAGGTCCTCGAGCCTTGATCGAGTCGTTTGCAGCATGGACTGAGGACGTTAAGTACCCACATTTTAGAAGTCTCACATGATTGGTTGACGGACGGCTGGTGGCTTCGAGGACCGACTTTTTGGGCTGCTATGGTTCACAGGCCGAGCCACCAGGATGTCTCCTCTACCTCAAAAGAGCCAGCAGATACCATGTCACCTTCTCTGCTTGTCGGCCCGACCAGTACTTCGTATTCACCTTTCTCGCGCATCCACTGCTCCTCCGCTTCGTCCCAGAGACTGGCTGCGTATTTGTCGATGCTGACCTCGATTGTCTTCGTCTCACCTGCCTTGAGAAGAACTTTGGCAAACCCGTGAAGTTCTCTTAGAGGTCGACGAATAGCACTGGTCTTCGCGTGGATATAGACTTGGATCGTTTCCGTGCCATCGATCTTGCCAGAGTTGTGTACTTCCACCATCACAGCATCCTTCAACACTGCTTTTGGCTTGATTGAGAATGTAGTATACGATAGTCCATGCCTGTATGCTGTCAGCAATGCCATCAGAACGTAGCAAGATGCTTACCCAAAGGAGAACAGCGGTGGTCTCTCCATCTCATCGTAGAACTTGTATCCGACGAAGACGTCTTCTCCATACATTACCCTACCTTGTGTGCTGCCCCAATTGAGGTATGCGGGATTGTCCTTGAGGCTAGCTGGCCAGCTCAGAGGCAACTTGGCGCTGGGATTGACGTCTCCAAACAGCACATCCGCAATACCGTTGCCAGCTTCGTTTCCTCCATACCAAGCGTGCACAACGGATTTGGCCTTGCTGATCCACGGCATACCGAACGGAGTTCCAGACTGCGTCACGAGTACAGTCTTCGGTTGTGCTTCCAGGACTTTCGAGATGAGCTCGTCGACGCCCGGAGGAAGCGAGAACGACACTCGATCGGATCCTTCGCACTCCCATTCTTCGGTCAATCCGGTGCACATGACAGCGTAGTCGGCTTCCTTTGCCAGATCGCAGGCTCGTTGGATAGAGACGCTTGTGTTGACTCTCCTCGCTGCGCCCAGTCTGAATCCACCTCCACCGAATGTAGTCACTCCAATCTGCGGGCTAGTCGAAGTGGCGGAGCTACCGAACTCAATGATGATTTTGTACTCTTTGCCACCCTTGAGGTGTCTTGAGCCCTTCTTTTCCGGTGTGCCTTTGCCGAAGAACGCGCCTCCAGCATTTTGTTTCTCTGTTGATTCATCAATTATCAGCTCGCCATCCAGATAGACGTTTGCCGTGCCGTAAACAGACAGACCAAAATCCCAAAGGCCTGACTCGTCCGGTGTAAAGATTGCTTCGGCAGTGATGAAGAAGAGATCAAAGTTCAGTTGAGGGTGCTTGTAATCCATCAACTGGCAATATGCAGTCTGAAAGTGCTCTTCAGCGACCCATTTTCGATCCGGGGTTCCAACGGGTGAATTGTAGAAGCGCATGATACCTCCAATATGAGAGCGGTCGGGTCGCTGGATGAGCTTGCTAAGCAGGGGAAGCATCTTGTACGCTGGCACACCGACTTCATGCGTCACTTCAACACCAGCAGCAGCATAGCGTTCGGTCAACGCTTCTGAGAGAGTCACGGTGTAGTAAGGCTGCAACACAGCACTGCCGCCACCAGATATGACTGGAAGTTTCATATGCGATCCGAGTAGGGCGACCTTTTTAGCGTTCTTGGGGAGCGGAAGGAGACCGTCGTCGTTCTTCAGCAGCACAATACTCTTCCCACAGATCTCACGGTTCAATTTTCGATCTTCCGGTAGATCTCGGGGCCCTTCTTTGATATCAATCTTCGCCCCACGCTTGACGAATTCCAGCACCCGTCTCGCTCTTTGGTCGAGGACAGACTGTTTGATGAGACGTGAGCTTTGAACAAAGTCGCCCAGTCGCCCACGCATCTTTGGAGGTCCGGGCATTTCAAGGTCCATGCCAGCGTTCACAGCTTCAGTCGTTGAGTATGTTCCATGCCAGTCACTCATGATCAGTGGATCCCAGCCCCATTCTTCTCGTACAATACCGGTAAGGATTCGAGGATCGTGTGCAACGTGAAGACCGTTGATCTTGTTGTATGAAGTCATCAGAACGCCAGGCCGCGCATCCCGAGCAAGAATTTGAAACGGTCGGAGGTAAACTTCTCGCAGTGCTCGTTCAGGAATGATTGTGTTGACAGCTCTCCGCTCGTGTTCCTGGTCATTGCAAACAAAATGCTTTGGTGTCGCTTGGACGCCGGTGCTTTCACATCCCTTGACGATGCTCGCCGCGAGGTGACCAGATAGGTGAGGGTCTTCGGAGTAGCTTTCGAAGCCACGGCCTCCCATTGGTGAGCGCTGAATGTTGATGGTGGGTCCCAACCAGCAGTGGGCGCCCTTAGAGATACATTCATCCCCCAGTAGCTTGCCAGCCTTGAAGAGCAGTTCTTTGTCCCATGTTGCGCCTAAAGCTGTGCCGCATGGAATACATGCTGCCGAGACTCCGCCGAAGAAGCGTGTACCGCGGATGCCATTGGGGCCGTCGCTGCATCGGACGCGTGGTACATCGAATCGTTCAAGTGCTGCTGTATGCCAAAAGTCGGATCCTGCTAACGTCAACTTGTGTCTTGGGCGCGAAGGACTTCGGCTGACCAGACAGTAGCATCCACTTCTCGATGTTGGTCGCGTTCTTCACGACGTGCTCGATATCAAACGACATTTTGGCACAGTCTTACCTGGGTTCAAAGCTCTGGAAATCGAGCTCGTGGGAATTTGTGCTTATAAGCCACGCTGACGAAGTCTTCCGGATAAAACCACCTTCGGCTGCACCGTTCTTTCGACCTGTACAGTGGCTCATGAGACGACTCGAGAGTCCCAAGATACTCCATAGTGGAGCTCTTGGAAGTTATAATCAGCGATGAAAGGGTGACAGGCACCCTCGTGCCCCGAAGATGTTCCTGGTACGGTGAGAGGCGGACGAGACGGAGGCTTGCAACTGGATCGCCGGCAGAATTGCGGCTGCTTGTAATTTGCCGCCTTGGCAGAGGCTCATCTTCTGGTTGACTTGCGCCACCGTAGCAAGACGGTTATCGACTTTGCGTATTGGCTTCCTCTCTACTACCCGACCACAACCGAGGGGCCGGGCGCTGAAGATCTCATGATGCCCATCCCGAGACTGCTGAAGCGGCTTGATATGGGTGAGGTCTCTATGAAGGAGCGTGCTTTTCTTCGGCCCTCCGACACTTAATGTAAGTAGGAGGTCAACTCCTCGAATAACCCGTGGAACATGTATCTCACCACAAACCTCCCCACGTCGATGACCGCCCTCGTTGGAAGCAAAGCGAGACATTATACGCAGCAGAAGATGCGAAGGAAGCTTTTGACACGTGGCAGTAATTCGATGGGCTCGCTTTTCCGCACCTCCAAATACATCCATTCACATCTACCGCCTCTTTTCTGGCCACAGCGACGAAATGATTCTCGGAACTACTCAAGTTATCCTGCTTGCGACTCACTCGTCGCATATTGCACCCAAATTCTGGCACAAGCACACATTCTTTGTGGCCGAAGGCGATCGAGACTCTCTTGGGATTCTTCTTTCCCCGCCGCCAAGGTAGGAGCCAAGCACTTCAAGCAGTCGCCAAGATGGCGGAGGTCTGGGGAAGGTGCCAACTGACTTGTTGATCGCTGACTCTTTTCGGATGAACAAGCGAAGACTCTGGGGAATCTCCAACTTGATCCCTGTCTCGTCGGTGTTACTCACGCTGGCAGGGGTGGGAAGAACGGGCAACGGGGCAAACCCATCCTCGGATAGAACTTCGGTGGCGTCCATTCTGGCCGAGGTCGTGGGGCGCAGTTTCTTCAGTGTCTGGAGGATATGAAGGTCCTGTAACGCTTCTCCTTTCCCACCTCTTTCCAAACCAAATCTCTCATCATGACTGAAACCGACAAACCATTCCAAGCCCACATTGAAAAGGCGGAGGTGACCTCGGATGCATCCTCTCATGAGGGTGGAGAGGCCCGCGATTGGACTCCCGAGGAGGAGCGGAAGCTGGTCTGGAAGATTGATTTTCGCGTGTTCCCTATGCTGTGCCTTGTCTTTGGTCTCTCACTCCTTGATCGGACCAACATATCTGCAGCATACATCGCCGGTCTCTCTGAAGATTTGAGGCTCGACATCGGCGCCCGCTACAACATTGCGCTTCTCATCTTCTTCATTGGCTATGCCATCTTTGAGCTTCCGTCCAACTATGTTATCCGCCGAATTGGCGCCCGGTGGTGGCTCAGCTTTCTCATTTGCGCATGGGGAGCTTGCGTCTTGGGCATGGGCTTCGTCCACGATTGGAAGATCATGACGGTTCTTCGCGCATTCTTGGGTGTCTTCGAGGCTGGACTATTTCCCGGCTCCATCTACATTATTGGAAGCTGGTATCGTCAATATGAAACGGCACGACGGGTCTCACTCTTCTACATGGGTTCTCTGCTGGCATCAGGATTTGGACCCATCTTTGCATACGCACTTTCACTCATCCGGGTCGGAGACGGCATGTATGCTCGTGGCTGGCGGTGGATCTTCATCATCGAAGGCATTGTCACCATCGCCGCCGGCGCCGCTGGCCCATTCTTCCTCGTGGAGTTCCCAGAACGGGTCACGTTTCTGAATGCTCGACAGAAGCACATCGCCTTGACTCGTGTCCGCCAAGAGAAAGAGAAGACCGAGGTTGTCCATCCCACTGCCAGACAATCGTTGAAGATGCTCATGGATTGGAAACTCATTGTCTAGTAAGTCTGCCGCAAGCCTGGGTCCATTGTACTGACCATAGTAGCTCCATTCAATACTTCATCTGCGCATCGAGTGTGTACTCGCTCGCCTTTTTCAAACCGATCATTCTGCGACAAGGTATGGGATTCAGCTATGCCAAAGCTCAGCTCCTCTCATCGCCACCATACGTCTTTGCGATCATCGCCAGCTTGGCTATGGCATATGTCTCAGACAAGATCAGGATGCGATGGCCCATTCTTTGCGCTCAAGCATTGACAGCAATCACTGGTCTCCTCATCATTCTCTACGCTGGCCCACCAGGAGTGCGCTACTTTGGACTGTACCTCGCGATCTTCGGTTGCCAGGCCAACATTCCTGGCTCGCTCGCTTACGGACAGTCAAACACTGCGAAGCAAGAGAAGAAGGGGGTGGTTGCCGCTGCCATGATCAGTGTCGGAGCCGCTGGAGGTATCTGCGGAAGCACTATCTTCAGGAGTCAGGATGCTCCATATTACATGCCGGGCATGTGGTCTACGATTGCGATGCAGATGCTCTACATCGTCATTACACTGTGCCACTCGATGTATCTCAAGCGGCAGAATAAGCTCGCTGATGAAGGAAAGCGACCAAGTCTTGAGGATGTCGAGGGGTTCAGGTACGCGCCTTGATTTTGTTGCAATGGCGATTCTGGACGTGGGGGGATATGGTCAGCAGTTCCACCGGGATGCTGAGCCATCTTGCGTGGCACGCCAGGGTTTCCTCGCATCTAGCATGAAAACGCGGCATTGCACAATTCAGAAGACCAGATGATGTGCGAAAAGGACGGGCAGGCATTTTCGAGGTGCGAAGAATAGCTTACCGTCGCAAGACTGGTTAGTAGATGGCAGCTGATCTATTTGAACCTGTCTGATCTTTGTCACAACCTAGCACTTTTTCGTACCCTTGCGAAACCGTCCTTCGCCTTTGCATAGAGTTCCTCCGGAGCAAGAGAACGACGAGTCACTTTGTGGTGGAAGGTAACCCGCATATAGTGAGTTTGTGCTGACCGAGTGCTTATACCGCGAATTGATACCGCAACCATGATGCATGTACAGAGCGCGTAGCGGAACACGACATTTATATTCCCGGGCTTTGGAAACTTGAGGGGGCCGGGACCACAGATCCCAGCTCGGAAGGGAAATATTGTTATCTATACAGTTGTACCTCCTCGAACTACTGATGTGACTTGTGTACAGTAGATGAAGTTGAGGATGGTGAATGGGAGTACCTGCATTGATGTCGACTCAATATTCAAGCGCCAAGGTGCAAGCACCGAGGCTCAAATGGCCGGAATTTGGCGGCATGTTCGCTCCCTTCAGTCCAACTCCTTCCACTCACTTCTGTCCAGCGCTTCGTCGCTTAGTTCTCAGTGGCCATTCGAGTGACTATTCGCAATTGTGACGTCTTGCCGCGCAGCGAATTCCTTGCGGTACAGATCCTCCATCTCGCGCCGAACTGCGACCGCCTGCGTCTTCACGCTCCATTCGACATCTTGCCAACTCAGGCCATGATCCTTCTTGACATCCTTCTTCAGGACGAGCCCATGCGCAAGCCCGATCGGCAAGCCTTCGATTTCGAGAGAAGCCGCCGCGGGCATGAGCTTACCATAGACCATGAATCCACCTTCGCCGTCGAGCTTCTCCCCAGCCTTTAGATCGCGTTTCGCCGTTGCAACGGTGTCCGCTGCAAAAGTCTGACATTGTCCTGTTGGCTCTCCTCTGCACATGATATTGGCAACCGAAATTCCGAGCTCAAGACCGATAAGGTGGTATGGCTTGAATTGTGCCGCGTACCAGCCAGACTTGTCGGTCTTCATACCATACTGGGCAAAACAATCCTTCTGATATTGTCCAGGAGCTACAGGGTCAGCGAAGAGAAGATCTGGAGAGAAGCAAAACAACCCACCTCGAATCACAACGTACACGCCCCACCGCAAATCGTTGAAGACCCATCGGCCGTCCGTTTCCATACATGAGACAACTTCAACGGTACCAGAGTGCTCGAGCTGGCCCCCTTCCGCAGCAGGCTTGAGCACCTGAGGTAGGTCGTGTGTGCCACAAGGTGGAAACTTTAGACCGGTACTGGGCGGTGTCAAGTCGCAACCATTGGCCACAGCCGACATCTCAAGGGCAGACTTGGTACCGTCGAGGAACGAGTTGAACATCTGCTTGTTGAAGTCACCCGTTGCCAATTGCTTTTCGGTGAAGCCATAATGCGACCAGACCGTGTCAGGCGTCGAATAGTGGTACTCAGGTAGGTGCTTTGTCCCTTTGCCAGCACAAACCACGTCAAAGCCTGCTGCTCGAGCCCAGTCGACCATTTCGGCGATCAGAGCAGGCTGGTCTCCATACGCCATCGAATAGATGATACCGGCCTCCTTGGCTTTGCGCGTGAGCAACGGGCCAGCGAGCACATCTGCCTCCACGTTGATCATGACAATGTGCTTCTTATGCTCGCAGCATAGCAGTGCATGCTTCACGCCCGCAGCAGGATTGCCTGTAACCTCAAGAATGACATCTATGCCAGGTTGAGCAATGAGCTTCTCGGAGTCGGTGACAATGGCCGTCTTCCCGACCTTGAGCCCTTCCTCGAGCGAGATCGTGGCCGTAGCGTCGAACTTGTCCTCCGGAAACCCCGTGCGTTTCAGCGATGCCAAAGCGCGCTCTATCGATAGATCTGCAATGCCGGCAAGTCGTACGCCTTTCGTTCGGTGTGCTTGTGAGATGCTGCCTCTGTTCAGGTCTGTTCCATGCTGTTGACGATCTTGCCACTTACTACATCGACCCAAACTTTCCCGCTCCAATGATTCCCACCTGGATCGGTCTCCCTGCAGCCTCAAGCTGGGCGAGTTTCGACGAGAGGTTCGTCATGTTGTCACTTTGTCAAATGTGTCAATCTGTCGAATGCGAGTCTGATGTTCTGCTGCTTTATATCACAGCCGAGGAATTCACTGCTTGTGATGAGGATATACTTTTGGACTCAATGTCGTTGGAGAAGTTCCTCCAGCTATTTCGTCGGACCAAGGACCGTGCTCCCCGGCCTTCGACCCCTCACAAGAGCTGGGCGTGGGGAAAGTTCCACAAGTTATTGTGGTATACGACAATGCAACGCAAAGGCTCACAACATACATGACTTCACTTTCGTGGCCTGTCTACACGCCCGTGTCCTTCTTTGCATCGGCGTCCTCCATCTCCACCACATCTGGCCCTTTACCACTCCTCTCGTCCAAAAGCCCCGCATTGACCTTGACATCCTGCCTCGCATCCTCCTTGACCGTGCATTGGTAAGTTCGGAACTGCTTGACGCCGACCCGGTTCTGGAACATCTCATCCAGCTCCTCCAGCGTGCGGCCTTTCATCTCCGGCATGAACAAGTAGAAGAAGGCCACGCAGAGGAAATTGCTGCCTGCCCAGATGTAGCAGTATTGTGCGCCCCTGTGTGTACACGTCAGCATCGTAGACGTTGCGGTGTGGGGAGGACTTACCAGTTCAATTCTGTTGGGTTGATGAAATATGGCGAGCAGAAACTCGTCAACCAGGCGAGCACATATCCCAGGCTCGTCGCTGTGCCTACCGTCCAGGCACGCAGTCTTGTGCTCACCACCTCAGTCGCAACGGGGTAGCTCGCCGCGCCGACACAACCGTTGTAGAAGAACTTGTGCAAGGTCAAGAACGCGACGAGCGAATTGGTGGCGGTCACCGAACCGGGCCCCGCCGTGCTGTACGCGATTGCCGTGCCCAGCTGAGCAAGACCACACGCCGTTGCGCCAATAATGAGGATCGCGCGGCGGCCCACGAGGTGGCGCATGGCGTACATGCCGAGATTGACGCCGAGGAAGCCCATGCATGTGGTCATGATGGAGTACTCGAAACCTTTGGTCACGCCGCCCTGGATGAAGAAGTAGGTCTGGTACGCGATCAAAAACCAGATGCCCGACGCGGTCTGGCAGGCGATCATGCCATAGCACAGTAGTGTTCGCCGCAGGTCCGTGCCGCGGAACATGTCGATGAAGCCGACGCTCTTGACGTTCTTCTTCTCCTCTTCGACGCCGCGGACCATCTCGGCCCACTCGAGCTCGATGCCATGCTGGTCGGTTGAATTGCCTCGGAGCATCTCGAGAGAGCGGCGTGCTGCTTCGTCTTTGCCCTGATGGATGAGGAAGCGCGGGCTCTCGGGGACGAAGAACAACGCAATGCTCAAGAGCACGGGGACAATGAACAGGCAACCGATGGGGATCTGGTAGGAGCGTTTGTCGAGCCAGACGCGAGTGTAGTTGACAATGACGGCGCCGATGATGGAGCCGATGTTGACCCACCAAGCGAAGAGAGCAACAATGACACCGCGGAGGTGGGCGGGCGCGGCTTCGGATGTATAGATGTTGGAGAAGGTGACAAGGAAGCCGTTGGATATGCCCAAGACGAGGCGACCAAAATAGAGGACGTTGGTGTTGGTCGTGGTGATCATGATGATGCACGATACGACATTGAGGAGGCACGCAAGCCACAGGCCCATTCGACGACCAAACCAGTGTGAGAAGAAGCCGGCAAGCATGGAAGACAGGAACGAGCCCAGAGTGAGTAGTGAGGCGATCAATTGCTGTACGACCGGATCGATACCGTAGCCTGTGGGATTTGACGCGTCTTCATATCCGAAGACGCGTAGGAAGCCAGGCATAGCTTGCAGAGCGCCTATGGCGGCACTGTCGAAGCCGTACTGCATGTTGGCGATGGCAACGACGCAGCATATGACGAGACATTTCCAGTTGGTGAGCAGTGAGCTCTCCTTGGGTTTGATGGCAACCATGATTCTCGGAGATGGAAGAGTCAGGGACAAGGATATGTAAGATCTCGCACAGCGTTCGCTTCACCGCGCTGATCGGCGCTTGAATCTGTACAGATGGACGGATTGCTAGGGGCGGGATAGCATGTAGCAGTCCAGCTTACTAGCCACGATGCGAGACTTGTATTGCATGCCAGGCCGTGGGGCTTGGGATATGTTTGGTGCTTCGATAAAGGCATTGGGGAAGCTCGCTTGCATGAAGCCGAGCCAGGACTCACCGTCAAACCCACTTGAGAGGTGCCGTCTCCGCTAGAACTTCCCTCCGCCCCACCGCCAAGTGGTTTCCCCAATGCGGGGGTGGAAGACCGAGGGATACATCCTGGACGAGCGTGTAGGCGAAGAGGCATAAAGAATGGCCAGGGTAAGCCACAAGATCCGTTTCCACACGAAAGCTGGGCTAGCACTCTTCGTGGTCACTAAGACTGCACTGCAGAGGTCCTTGGCGCGCCGAGCTCTGCGCAAGAATTTTCGGAGAATCACTTAACGGAAATTCGATCCTCAGCTACGCCAAACCCGAGGCTGGAATGCGGTTACGATCGACTATCGAGCGGCCCATCGCTTTGAGGCGCGGTCGACTGTAGATGCTGCAGATTTCTTGGAGGTCATCTCGTCGTGAAATTGTAGTCGGGTAGCGCAACTACGGTCAGGTCTAGATCGCGCTCACCATTACCAGGGTATTCACAAGCATAACTCCAGTTCCTCGAGATCGACTACAATGAGAGAAGAGGTTGAGAGAAGACGATGATGAGGTGGGTAGATGAGCACAAGTAGCCAGGAACGTTTACCGCGTGAAGAGCGACTCCGATTACACGGACTTGGCGCGATCGCGTTTTGATGACACATCACTCGAGCGTGTATGGTGGCATCATGTTGCATCGGTTCTCGCCCATTTGAGCAATGATCTCATTCCCCAGGCTTCAGCATTTGGCAGCACGTGCCGCCATGGCGAATCAAGCAACAGTACCTGCGGGCAGATGCCTGCTCAAGCTGGCATGCTTCGCCTCGAGTCGAACTGACTTTCTGGGGAAACAGAAGTACACGGCACGGCTGTAACGCCATTTCCGGAAAGCTAAGCATGCACCGCCAGGCAACATCCTTTCGCCCCTTTTGATATAGATGTGTCGCTGGTAGTCTGGCGTTCAACTTCCTCTGCAGCCATGGAGCAAATCAACAGCTCAGACACCCTTTTCGGGCCGGCATATCAAGGCCAAGGGAGGTCTTTCGACTTCACGTTGCTGTTCGAAGACACAATCTTGACCATTGTGCCAGCATCAATTTTCCTCGTTGCTGCTGGAGCTAGAGCAGCCTGGTTAGTGAACAGCCCGAACAAAGTCGTCTCATCACTGAGTAGATCAACCAAGCTGGTGCGACAGATCTCGCCTTTCAAGGACCACGGCTGACCTCTCCAGATACTGCTCTCGGCCTTTGCTTCTATTCAACTGACAGTGCTCTTGCTTCGCGCCACTAATCTTGAAGCCGCTACCAAAGCATCCGTCTCTGCAGCGGCCCTCGACTTCGCCGCTGCTTGTGTACTATTCATTCTCTCGTGCTTTGAGCACTCTCGCTCCGTAACACCATCGACCATCATCGGGCTGTATCTTCTGGTATCCTTCGCGTTCGATGCGGTTCGCGTGCGAACGTTCTACCTCATTGGAGGTTACGCGGCACGCGGCATTGCACATCTGCTTTCACTATCCCTGGCTGCCAAGCTAGGCGTACTGGTCACGGAGGCTATCGAAAAGCGCAGTATCCTCCTCGACCCGTACAAGGAACTTCCACCCGAACAAACCAGCGGCATATACAACAAGTCTGTCTTCTGGTGGATCAATCCACTTCTGAAAGTTGGATTTGACACCAATCTTCGGACCGATGACCTCTTCAATCTGGACGAGACCCTCGCTTCTGCAGAAGTCCACTCTCGCTTCAAAACAAGGTGGCACGCCGTTCGCGACTATCGTCCTAACTCGTTACTATTCGTGGTCGGTGATGTTCTGAAATGGCAGTTGATCATATCAGCACTGCCTAGAATCATCCTTTCCGCCGCCAGATTTGCCCAGCCCTTTCTTGTCCAGTCGACAATTCATTTCGTCAGTCACCGCGACGAACAAGATCTGTCCATTGGATGGGGACTGACCGCAGCTTGGTCCCTTGTGTACTTTGCCATAGCCATCCTTGGAGCAGCCTACCAACATCTACTCAATCGATGCTGTGCACAGATCCGTGGCGGACTTGTGTCCTTACTCTACGACAAAACGCTCGATCTCAGCATCGCCGCCAAAGACCCCAACGCCGCCTTGACACTGATGTCTGCTGACATTGAGAGAATGGTACAATCTCTTCCACTTTTTCATGACGTCTGGTGTGGCATTCTCGACCTTGGAATCGCCATGTATCTCCTCTACCTCAACCTAGGCAGTGCCTGCTATGCTCCAGCGATCGTCTATGTGGTTCAGCTGGTCGGCACTTTAATTCTTATGCGAGTCATTGCAGACTTTCAAAAGCGGTGGCTCAACGCTGTTCAGAAGAGGGTATCGTTCACTTCTGCCCTGCTTCATTCGATGCGGAACGTCAAACTGCTGGGTTTGGCGGCTGTGGTCAAAAACCGAACGCAGGCCCTTCGTCTTGACGAAATCAGGCTCTGCAAAGCCTTCCGGGTCATGGATGCCTGGCGAGTTATGCTGCAGAATGCCTCCCAGATCTTTGCACCATTCGCGACCTTCTTTCTCTACTACCTCAGAGCTAAAGGTAACGGCGAGTCCTTGGACATTGCCACAGCTTTCTCTATTCTGACCATCTTGAGAGTTATGGATAATCCTCTCAATATTGTCATCTATGCCAGTGTCCAGCTCGCATCCTCAATGTCATGCTTCCAGCGCATTCAGGAGTATCTGCTATCGACTTCTCGCAACGACGATCGGCTGTCAATCCAAAATGTTTACGAGTCCGAGGAGTATTGGGATTCGGTTCCGGCAACAGACAACATTCCAATGCGTAACATGAGTGTCAGCCGGAGCCCTGCCGATGAAGCAGTGTCGTTGAAGAACTGCTCTTTTGGTTGGGAGCAAGATGCAGAGCCCGTCATCAAAGATGTCGATTTGTCCTTGCAAGCCGGCTCTTTGACAATGGTGATTGGACCTGTTGGATGCGGCAAATCAACTTTGCTGAAAGGGCTACTCAGTGAAACGCCTCTCTCGCATGGTTTCGTTTATGTGAGGAACAACTCCATCGCATTCGCGGACCAGGAGCCCTGGGTACAGAACGGCACCATCAAAGAAGCCATCTATAGCGCTAGTGCCATCCCGCCTGACGCAGGCTGGTATGACGAGGTCATCGATTGTTGCGGCCTCCGAGAAGACATAGGTGCACTTCCGAAAGGCGATAGAACTCGTATCGGAAGCAAGGGCATCTCATTGAGTGGCGGACAAAAGCAGCGCCTGGCGCTGGCACGAGCGATTTTCTCCAGAGCAGAGATGCTACTTCTCGACGATGTCTTCTCCGGCCTCGACAATGACACCGCGGAGCACATTTTTCGAAGACTTTTCTCTCGCAACGGCCTACTCAAAAGGCTCCGGACGACCGTCGTCCTCGTTACCCATGCTGTTCACCGTTTGCCGTATGCTGACGTGATTGTGAGTCTCGATCAGCAAGGCCGAGTCTCAGAAGTGGGTAATTACATCGCACTTTCAAACAGCAACGGCTACGTTCACACTCTTGATCTTGGCCTGAAGCAATGGGACGACGGAGGAATGGATGACTTTCCGAAAGAGAAACCAAAGCCGTCGTTGAAAGTTGAGGAAACGCAAGAGCAAGGTACAGAAGATCTCCTACGCCGAACTGGAGAATGGAAAACGTGGAAACACTGGTTCAAATCATGTGGCTATCTATCGAGCGCCCTTGCTTTCATGGAAGGTTTCATGTGGATGGTCCTCACGCAGACTCCTGGTGTGCTGGTACGATTCTTCTCGCAAGACGATTCACTACAATCCGACAGTTCCGCAACGACTTTCATCATCGTCTTTGGAATCACGAGTGCCATGGCAGCCATTATGGTGCTCGCAGTTGTCTATCAGGTTTTGCTGGATATGCAACCACGAAGCGCCAAAGCCTACCATATCACTCTCCTCGAGACTGTTTTGAACGCCCCACTCATCTTCTTCACTCGAACCGACATAGGCTCGGTGACAAACCGCTTTAGTCAGGACCTCAGCCTTATCGATCTCGATCTTCCCTTCACCTACGTCGACTTTGGTGAGTCGATTCGGCGTCGTAGCATGTACCCAACTGATATCGTCTCTAGTGCTCTCCCTCGTCTCCGTCATTACAGGCATCGCTCTCATGGCGGCCTCTTCAGGCTACTTCGCCATCACCATCCCGGTCATGCTCGGTGTCATGTATGTCATCCAGAAATACTATCTGCGCACAAGTCGTCAACTCCGGTTACTGGATCTCGAAGAAAAGGCCCCGCTCTACACACAGTTCGGAGAGACAGCCGCTGGCCTGGCGACAGTACGAGCCTTTGGCTGGTCTCCTACCTTCGCGGAGAAGCATCTCACGCTCCTCGATCGCAGCCAACGCCCTTTCTACCTGCTTCTGTGCATTCAGCGCTGGCTGGCCCTAGTGCTGGATCTTGTGGTCATGGGCCTCATCGCTGTATTGTTGGTTGTTGTGGTCCTAAACCGCAAGACCATGGACCCTGGCCTCGTCGGTGTTGGGCTTCTCTCCGCTGTGACATTGAGTTCGAGCTTGACCAATCTCGTCAAGAACTGGACAGAAATGGAGACCAGCATTGGCGCCGTCAGCCGCATCCGAGACTTCGTGCGCACAACCGACCACGAGCACAAGGCCATCGAATGCGAGGATGTACGATCAACATGGCCTGAGAATGGTGAGATACGATTCCAACGCTTCAGTGCCAGCTATTCCATGGACTCGCCCATCGTGCTGAACGACATCGATTTGGCAATACGGCTGGAGGAAAAGGTCGGCCTCTGCGGCCGGAGTGGTAGCGGGAAATCGTCAGCATTGGCATCGCTGTTTCACCTGCTCGAATTCCGGGAAGGCAGCCTCGAGGTCGACGGTGTTGATGTCGCGTGCATCCCACGCGAAACGCTCCGGAGCAGGCTGAACGTGATTCCGCAGGAACCGTGGTGGATCACGACAGAGAATGTGCGCTTCAACATGGATCCATGGCATGCTCTTGGTTCCAGCTCCAGCGCCGACATAGATGCGGCGTACGTCTCGGCTTTGTCCCACTGCCAGGTTTGGAATGTCATTGAAGCGAAAGGCGGGCTTGACGCTGTCATGACGCCGGACTTCCTCAGCCATGGACAGCGACAGCTATTCTGTCTTGCGCGAGCTATGGTTCGACAAAGCAGGGTGGTGGTGCTGGATGAGGTCAGCGCCAATGTTGATATCAAGACGGACGAATTGATGCAGCAGATCATCAGGGAGCATTTTGACGGGTGTACGGTAATTGCGGTGGCACATCGGTTGAATACGATCGATGATTCTGATAGAGTCGTCGTTCTGAATCAAGGGCGTGTCGTAGAGGTTGGACAGCCTCGGGTATTGCTGAACATGGAGGGAAGTGCTTTCAAGGACCTACATGGCATCTGAGCGGAGAACGGCGAGGGAGCGGATAGCATGGGAGGTTAAGATGAGCTGCTTACACGATTCTAGACGACTGCTCAACAACGTCTGAAGCGACCTCCCAGATCCAGCATGCCGCTCAGGCAGTGATATGCGAGTCTCTTCTTTTAGGGTCATTCGCAATCACGTCACCATCGACCACCACATCACCTTCGATGTAATTCATCTCCTCTTCCTTGTCGTTCAAATGGTGGAACAGAACCCAAATGGCGATTCCCACGAGGAAGGTACCAATGCACAAGCCAACATACATCCACAAGATCGCCGGATCAAATGCCGCCGGCACGAACGCTTCACCAAGGGCAGAGCCAACCGCATTTGTCAGCAAGAACAGCGATTGCACGAACGACTTCATCCGGGGTGGCGCCTTCGTGTATGCGTACTCATAACCAGTGGCGGATGCAAAAATCTCTGAAATTCCGATCAACATGTACGCAGGTGTCTGAATGGCAATATGCACATTGTTTCCCTGCGCAACTCCGTTGGCATCCACGGACGCATCGCATAGTGGGTGACCGTAGCAGGGGCCGGCGCTGTAGATGAGATGTTGGACAATGGCGGCATACATCATGGCGAGCGAAGCGATGGTGAAGCCGGTGACAATGCGGGAGATAGGCTTGAACGGGATGTGCAACTTGCGGAGTAGGGGGTAGACGAGGCGGTCGAGAACCGGGACAAAAACGATGATGGCGATGGGGTCGAAGTTCTGCATCAAATCGTTCGGGATACCGTGGCCGCGCATCTGGAGGGCTTGTGTGACGAAGTTGTTCGAGAATTGGCCGTAAACTACCGGGATGTCAGTGAGTGAACATATTCCAGTTGGGGGGAGAGGGTCGAGGACGAAGCTCGAGGTGCGGAGCCATGTGACTTACCGACCCAGTAGATGGGGTAGAAGCAGAAGACCTTGCAAGCAATCAACGCTCGTTTGAGCTCGTCAACAAACTGGTCGTCCCATTTGACGGTCTTGTTGCTGCCTTTCTCGCGAAGGAAGGCTTGCCTGGGAGCATCCAAGTTGCGGTACCGAATCATCAGACCGATGGCTCGGAAGGAATCGGTGACGATACTGCCTTGTGGTGGACGGTCGACGTACATCTTGCGGCCGAGGACAAGGACTGTGACACCAACCGCAAACATACAGATGCAGAGGGTGTAGGCGGACCAGAAACCAATGTCGCGCTCCATGTAGGGAGTGGCGAGCAGCGAGAGCGCGCCAATATTGATCGTCCAATAGAATATGAGATAGATGCGCTGAATAGTGACATATGGATCAATAACGACACGCTCGCCCTTCTTGGTTACAGCGATTTCCATGGTACGGCGGGTGTATTGCTCGGCGATCAATGGTGCGACGTTGGCCTTGATACCGCCAGTGCCAAGACCAGTGAGGAGGATGGAAGTAACATAGCCTCCAAGGCCCGCGCCAGCTTGGAGCGAGCTGGGAATCGAAGTGCAGACGAGAATGAGGAGGCCGCACATGTAGACTCCAGCGAAAGTTAGGATCGTCTTGTACTTTCCCAGGTACTGATCGGCAATCAGACCTCCCAAAAGCGGCGTGGTATAACACCAGAATGTGTAGAAAGTGGTGAGACCGGTGGCACCCTGGTGGCCAAGACCGAGACCACCATTCCCAAGGCTACCATCGAGCGGCTTCTGAACATAGTTCTGGAAGATACCCTGACAGCCATAGTAAGTGAAGCGCTCGCAGAGCTCGATCACAGCCACCAAAAAGACGGAGTAAGGAAGACTCTCGCCGACATGACGTAGAGCCGATTTCTCGTATTCATTCGGCTTGCCACCAATGGGGGTTTCGCTTTGGTCCTTCTCAGAGCCTTCAGTTGAGACTCGGTCCTGGACCTGCTTCTCGACAGCCGAAGCTCGTCGCTCCTGCTCAACGGTAGCGTGTAGCCTGAAAAATTAGAAGAGTCCTCGCGGGTGTGGATCAACTCACTGTGCAACGTCGGATTCGTGTTCCGCCATGGTGTTTGTTGAGGTCGACGGTGACGGCTGGAGGAGTTGAAGATATTTAGAACCTGCGCGACAGTCTCAAACATGGCTAAGAAGGTGGAGTAACGAAAAATGCAACGTGGTACCACACCCGTAAACCGAGATAAGTGAGTTACATCTTTGAAGGGCACGAGTCGATGTCGTCCCACCCGCACCAAGCTCCCACAAGCAATTCCTTGGACGATCTTGGAGGGCTTATCGTGGTTTAACTTCTCTTTCGGCTAAAATAAGCCTATTGGGCTGCCCCCGTTCGCAACCCTAGACCCACCAAGACCCCTCGCCGGCGTGGACAACCAATCCGTATCCAAGTCGTTGGGTAATAGGTTGGCGGACGGAGTAGACCGAGGGCCATGCGTTTCCGGGTGCCACTTTCGCAAGAGGCTGAAGTATCAGGGCGGCTCTTGATGACGGAAGTCGGCATCATGCATGATAAGACTCAGGCTCTGGGTGTGCTGACGGACCCCTCGGAACGTTGCCACCGCTAAGCCGGGGTTTCCGGCTTCAGCCCCACCTACAGCTCTAATACTGTAGGTAGGTCGCGTGTCTGCGGGTCGAATGGTTTGTTCTGGAAAAGTCTGCTTCGACTTCCTGGCCCGAAGAGCGGACAGTTCTGATGGGGAGTGGCCTTCGAGCGTCTTCACGCACGCCCTAATGTGTAAATGGGCTTCCCGCAGATTGTCACGGAGTTTCATTCGCCCAACTCGTGTACAGTAGGGCTCGGCCTTGGCGTTGTCCCGAGCGCAAGGCTGGATTAAAATCGCGCGATGGACGATGTTCCTGCGTGTAGTCTATGTCGCCAACGGTGAGATTGGAGGAAGTGGATGAACTGGCGTCATGTATTTCAGAAGCGAATTTGCCAGTTTCGAGGCTCTTGCTCTGGTTTAGCATTACCTTGTCAGAGTCGAAACCAGACGATCTACTGTGTCAGTGTCAGTTGCGCCGGGCAGTCGCAGGGAGACTTTGATCCGCGGGCCAGTCTACGAGAGTTGCTCAGAGATAGTCATGCTTGATGCTTCTCGTGTTCGAGCGCTGAGGCTGACCTGAGCCTGATATTCGATGGTTAAGCCTTAGCCAACACGTGCGAGCCTAGATGAAGCAGAGCGTCTTCAAAAAGCTGCTGACAATGTTATTCTGGACAGCATCTACATCAAACCGTCTTTCGAGGTGCCTTACTTCACTCGAGCATCAGTCACGCCTCACTTCATGACCTAGCGCCAAGACTGCGAAATATTCCTCCAGGTCGCAGCCTGCGATCTTTTGTCTTCTCTGCCACACCGATACTGCAGTCATCCAACTCAAGGTGTTGTTCCACCATGTCTTCAGGCCTGCCATCATCTTACAACATGTTTCATCAGACCATACTCGACCCACAGCGTCGTCGATCGACCGATACGGCCACAGGCCAAGAAGATATCGACATCGACATGGAGGCTGAACAATAGCACCCTCAAAACCAACTCAACGCCCGAAGGGCGCCAAATTGGGCAAAGCCCTACTTAAAACTCGACGCGGAGGCAGCCAAGAAGGAACGCGGCGAAATTGCCGTTGATTCCCGTGACAATGTCCTGATAACCTTCCAAGATGACATGACCAAGACCTGCATACCTGCCAGAAAGTTGACACTTGCCGACTTGGCCCAACTTACACTCAAGGCGCAGCATGCTGCAGAAGCTCCATGGATCTACGTGTTTGGCCTTTGCCGTCCTGCAGACAGCTTCAATACCAAGTCCTGCCCTTTGAAGAGGATTCCGCCGTGACTGAACTCTCTGTGCTTCTTCCGATACTCAACCGACACCTGCAAATCTTGCAACCGCAGGCTATGGCAACTGCCTTTATCCCTGCTCGTCGAAACTATTTGACCTTTGTCCTCTTACAGATAAGAGAGGCTGGTCGTACCATTGCCGCTTGCTCTACTGAGGCAGAAGAAGTGGTGGAAAATGGCCTGAAAGCTTGGTGGCGACTCGCGCGACCATACTTGAACCCCACTTCACCGAGGTATGGGACCGCATCCAAGCTGTATCCCTCGAACCCATCCGTGATTGCAACCCCATCGACGAAACCCTGCAAGCTCCACGCACTTTTGCGTGTTAACACCTTGAAGAGTTGGAGAGCGTATCACACACGTCTCGGTGTCCAACCCGATGCCTTGCATCTGCGCCCATGGGCCCCCAAGATGCCCGCCGACGGTCAGACCAGCGGCGACATCCTTTTGGCCTCGCTCCTCGCGTGGACCACATTTCCCGGCATTGTTTGGAGGGATGGAGCGGCAGCTGTTGCTACCGTAAGGCGACCAACATACATGGCTGGCGTAAACGACATCTCGATACGTCCACACCCCAAGCAATGATCATCGACCCAGCCAGGTGACGCAGACATCTGTCACTCGGCGCTTCGGTTTATTGATGCGCTTCACGCCAAACCCGGTTCGAACGTTGCTCTAGTCTGCATCAGTTATGATCAACATTGCTTGTCGTCCGGCGGTTCGGTCTCTGGATGCGCTTCATAGCAAATCCGGGTCCAGCGTTGCTCTGGTTCGCTCCAGTTCACCAACATTGCTTGTCAGCCGGCGCCTCGGTTTCTTGATGCGCTGTACACCAAACCATATTCCAGCCTTGCTCTGGCCTGGTGACGGTCTGGACTCCAGTGCAGGCAAGATCTTGCTAAAGCCATATTTGGGCGTCTATGCCACGCTGCTCCAGTCGTCAATATTGCTTGTCCACCTTCGAATCTCGGTCAATCCACGTTCTCTGTCCGTCACACGCTTCATTCAGCATCGGCAGACACCGCCGGATGGATTCCAACCTACTTGACCGGAGACAGGCTGCTCACCGCAAGACTGCATCCCTTTGCCACTCAAAAATCTTCACCAGGGCAGCAGCGAAGAAGTAACAACCAGAGCAGAACTGAAACCGGAGACCTGGAGAAGCTCCTCTAGAAGCCGAGCAAGCTCGCGGAGTGCCCGTGATGGCTGCGACGGCCAATGGCGGCAGTGACCTGTTCTACGTATCTCCGAGCCTCGATACCGCTGTTGTTGTCCTGATATCCTTACCGGAATCACTGCCAAGCGAAGGACTCAAGCTGCTCGGAATCGCTACGCAACGCTCGGCTGTCCTTCCGAGGTGTGGCATACATGGAAGGCATGTATCCGAGCTTGTTCGGCCATGATCTGGCAATGTTGGATCTGATTCGGCCTGAACATCTCGATGCGATAACGGCTACTGGCTGCGTTAAAACATCTCTGAATGGATGCTACCTCCTTTCAAGGACCTGTTGCTAGCTGCTCATGCCACGGTGACGCATTCCTTCGGAGTTCTAGCTCGCGGAATCATGAAACGTGGAGTGGCAGGCCTCGTGCCGGAGACTCTGGGAGACCGATCGAAACATGCACGGTGTTGCTGACTTCTCAGATACTACACCTGCGGCAGTTGGCGGGGTGGGGAGCAAACTACGCAGAAGTAGCATGCAACGTCCGGTTGACAAGTGCTTCCGCCTCAAGTTGCGGGCGCTGTAAAAACGGCCGAACAACAACTATAACAGGCATCAAGAAGCCTTGCAGCGCTGCTGTTGCCTGTCAAATATCCTGTCAATGCTGCAAAATGTCATCGCCGTGCTCCCACGTCGTCGGGCTTTCCGGCTCCCAAGAGGAGGTCGGCTGCAATTCGAGCTGGAGTCTCCTATGATGCGGTTTCCGGGTGTAGGGCACTCTATTTTGATCCTCTCATCTGCTCGAATCAGGCGGGCAGCCCAGCGATGCTCGATACCAAGTCATTTACTGCCTAGTGTCCTGAATGTTGACTGACAGCCCCAAGCCGGCATTGGTACTTTCAGAGCATCAGTCGATCTCGGAACGCATCCCTAGACTATATCCTGGCTGTAGTGGAGGACCAGGGCGAATGTCTACTGCCTTCGAAACCGCGGAGCGTTCGCGGGGATGAGCATACGGCGCCCACTGCACCATTTAGACGTCCGGTGGCATGGAGCAAGATCTACACTACTCTCATGATATCACTGCACGAAAATCCATTGAATCCCCGCTAATGAGCTTGCGATATTATCCCAGCTTTCAACACGGTTTATACAGCTAGCCCATTCATTGACCTACCAAATGCCATCCACAAGACTCAAGAAGTTGGGTTCTGCTTGGCTCCAATTCTCCAGCCAACCTTCATGTATGTCTCACAAGGCCCATCAGGATGAGTAGACCATTTCACCAGATCCTCGTCCAGTTCCAAGTCACCTTTCTGATAGAAGACAAGCACCGTACTACCACCATAGTAGAAACCACCCAAACATTGCCCTCGTTGGATCTGTGCTCCTGGTTTCTCGACACCATCAAAATACTTGATGCTTCCGACCAGCATTGCCCCAACTGCTACGATAGCGACTGATGACCCAGCCTCAATTTCAACGACCATGATACTGCGTCTATTCTCACAGTACACGTTAATGGTGCCACTCTCGTTGATTGCTTGGGGATTGACCGTATAGTAAGTTCCCGGTATCTCCTTCACGCTCTTCACTGTTCCGGACACCGGACTGTGCCAACGGTGATAGTCCTGAGGAGCGAGGCGTGCGATGACCATACTTCCCCCATCGAAGGACTTTGCGAGATCTTGATCTTGGAACAGACGCTCCATAGTGAAATTCGCACCTTTCACCCAGAACTTCGTCGCCACCTCAATGGTGGTAAAAGCTGTCAATCTACAGTCTGCAGGACTCGACGTGACAGTTGTTTGGTTGGGCTCATCAATTGGCCGTGCATCGTCCTTCAACCTTCGCGCGAAGAAGTCGTTAAACGTTGCATACTTTGTCGGATCCGGCTCCACGAGCTCCGAAAGGGCGTTCTGTAGCCCAAAACTGTCAATGAATGGTTGAATATGTGCTTTGGAACTAGGATCGTCGTATTGCCTCCCCATCTTGACGCTTTGCTCCCGTAACATCTCAAGGACTCGTTTGGTGCCGAGGAGCATTTCCTGGCAGGTGCCATAGTAAAGCAAATGCATGCCGAGGCGGACATAGACTGACATGACCTCCCATGCTTTTTCATCAGTGTGACGGTCTCGGACCCAGTTGCCGAGGTGATAAGAAGCTTCCATACTCTCGATGTAGCTCCATGAAGGAAGCCAAGAGCTCAGCCACGAGTGGGAGGTGTTATGATCAGCCGGCTTATGCAGGTGATTCTTTGGGTCCTCCCCTTGAGCGCTCTTGCTCGTAACATAATCAAGCGCCTGGAGCGTCTGCTCGAGACCCTCTTCGTGCAGCTGTGCTGTTTCGGACATCTTGGCGAGCGATTGAGTGTTCTGTATAGCATTAGATGAGGCAATATGGGTCATCGAAGGAAAGGTAGAAGTGACGTCACGATATACTTTGAGCGAAATGGACAGAGGGATCGAGACAGAACATTGATATCATAGCTAGCTAAGCAGCTCCAGGAAAACAATCGTCAGGCATGCGTACAGGGCTGAAACACGAGGATGTGGCCGTTGCGCTATCCGGAGATAGATATTCCGAGTGATGGCCGCTTTGACACGCGTGTAGCAACAGCACACTTACATACTCGTCATTCGATCTGGATCCTGGACAGTGTGAACGCACAGCAATGTAGCCCGTGTCTACGTTGCTATGACCTTTGTGCAGACAGAAGTGCTTCGAACATCTGGCGAGGTGTGCCTTTAGGTGCTGCAAGGTCCAGAACCTCCTGACTTGTGGTGGAAGCTGTACACTTTCCCTCCCACGTCGTTTCAAGGGCGTATTGGATCGACATAATAACGTTGGTTGAGTGAACAGAAGCCTCGGCCATTTGCTGGACAAATGACATGTCTTTGTAGTGAACCTGCTCAACTTTGGTGCCAATTCGTTCCTCAACCATATCGACAATTTGCTTGCCACTTATATCTTCCGGTCCACTAATGGTATACTTGCCTCGATTGTAGGGCTTGGTGTCTTTCTCGAGCAGTAGATGTGCCGCTAGACGCCCGATATCATCAGGGTCAATAATGCCAACAGGTTCGTCCTTTGACGCCATCAATCTCAACGGCTCTTGCTTACTCCCTCGCTGATAGCTGCTAATGTAATGTACAGCGCTGAAGAGGTACGTCGGACCAAAGGCATTCGGCTGAAGTGAAGTCCAATGTAGATCCTCGAATTCGCGAGAGCTTAGAAGGGTCTCAACAGCCCAATGTTGTCGGCCATAGTAGGTCCGGCAGTCAGGGCGAACGTTGGTAGCACCTGTGGAAATGCGAACAACGTACTTCACACCGGCATTGAGAGCATTGAGATGGAAGGTCGATTCTTCCGCAAACTGTGTCGGTTCAAGGTGTGGAGCAATGAATGCCCTCACGACATTTCGCTGTTTAAGCCAGTCCGATGTGATTTCGACCCAATTTTGCTCGCAAACTTCCACGGCTGGCAGTTGAGCAAGTGCTCGGGCTGTTGGAGTCTGTGCTGATCGAGTCAAAGCAATGATTCTATGCTTAGAAAATTCTCCATTGTTCGGAATAAACTCGGATAGTGTTTCGACGACACTCCGGCCGGTATTGCCTGTGGCACCGACGATAAGAAAAGTTGGATTCATTTGGGGAGAACAGAGAAAGAGAGTTGTAGCTTTCGCACCGAGTGACTATGTACTTTTTCCACCATCACCAGGAGAGATGGGTTGATGTGTCAGCACTTGTGTCAATTCCTGTTGTACTAAGCATTTATGCACACGCGGGTTTTGAATGAGCCGCCGCCGTGTTGGCATTCGTCGATAAAGTTTAGCGGCACAGAGAACAGTAAAACTTAGCGACCACCACCTTGCTCAAATTCTTCACTTAGTGCGGGTACCACATCCAGCACCTTTTGATTTAGACTTAATGGCTTTGAGGATTTGGTCTCAATGTTCGGGCAGAAGCACGCCATGGTTCAACAAGGAACACGCTGACGCGGTTGAGGCTCGAACAACGCGACCCTTGGTACGACTGAATCACGCATAGCTTCCTAACTACAAATTCAGCTGTACAGAACATACTCACATTGAGAAAAATGGCCACCTCGAAGTGCCTCACTATATTCAGGTTTTCGGATGGGTTATGACAGGTTATCACGAGACTTACATTATGCTCTCGGACTCCAGCTCAGCATGTTGATTTCAGTCAATACTCAGCGATTGGGATGTATGCTGTCTTGACTCGAATGTCTAAGCCGCGCCCTTACTGCGAGTAACCCGAAGGAGAGGGGCCATGCTTAACAGCACGACTACTATGCCAAGGCTTACTTTGGTTAGGCCACCATAAGCTGCTATCTGCTTGCATAAGCAAGACCAACGAACTTCACCCCGCGTATCGCGATAGCGCTATTTGTTCATCCAACATCTGTTACCATCGGCATCAGTGACTTGTGTCTCTTGCTAACTACCGTTCTAAGACCAGCAAGATGGATTGCCATTTATCTGCGAGTGAGATCGGGGATGGGCTCCCTGTATTGATCATACATGGGTGGGAAATGAATGGAAAAGTCGAGGAAGTGGACTTCGAGCCGGTTTTCGCGAAAGTACCAGGGTTTCTCCGGATTTATGTGGACCTTCCAGGCATGGGCACAACACCAGCAAACAACGTGAAAGATCTGAACGACATGTGTCTTCGCCTGATGCAATTCATTGATGCTCGACTTGACAAGTCGAAGTTTTTAGTTGTGGGCTCATCGTGTGGTGGCTATCTCGCACACTCACTCGCTCAAAGTACATTACGCAAGTCGTCGGCCTACTGTTACGAGTTCCGCTTCTCGAACCAAACAATAGCTTACGGGATCTCGATGCCTTTCAGCCGCTACTTCGAAACGACCAACTCATGTCGTCTTTGTCGGCTGAGGACAAAGCACTTCTCGGGAATGTTCTTATTCAAACGCCTGCCTATAACAAATCTCTAAAGACAAAGTACAAGGAGGCGTACCTTCCGGCAATAGAGGGGACCGACAAAGAAGTACTAAGCTCGATTCGAGAAGACCCGCAACGGTATCAACTACCTCTTGCTGCAGATGACGAGCAGACACCATTTCCCGCACCAACACTCATTCTGTGTGGTCGACAGGACGAGGTTGTGGGCTACCGAGACAGCCTGCGCCTACTAGAACTCTACCCACGATCGACGTTTGTTGTTCTCGACCGTGGCACACATGCTCTGCCTGTCGATGAGAATGAACTCTTTGAAGCACTCGTTCATAACTGGTTGACTCGTGTTCACGAGTGGCGCGGATGACAGTGAGAAATTATGGGCTAGACCTGATCCTCAAACCACAGAGCCCCTGTCTACGCTACTGCGTATAAGCTGGCAAGCTTTGGTAGCAGATCAGGGCGCACATATTTCGAGATGTGGACATGGAAGCTCTTCGATCCGGAAAAAACATCTAGTCCCCCCGCCAGTCAGTGTGCTGAAATGATGGGGACTATGGAGATGATTACCCCAACCTAACTACCAACTTTACCGAGGGCTATGGAGTAAGCCATAAATCCACGGAAATTGGATTGCAAGCCTACCGCGCCGATGCGGTGTTACTCACTCTTTTGCTCTCGTACCTTTTAAATACTTTGCATATCATCCTGGAACTCCCCTCGGTACTTTTCAAGAACTGTCATAGTATGAGGCTCGAACAACACAATGCTGAGCCGTTTGCGTGGATCTGCGCTCGTATGGGCAATAACCCTGAGCTGCGCCTCCTGTTACCTCTTGTTCGGATATGACCAGGTACCACTCGCCGGCAGTGAGGGGACATTTCTGTACTAACAACCCTCCAAGGGCGTCCTCGGAGGCCTGGTGACACAACCAAGTTTACTCAACGCTTTGGGCAACCCTTCCGCAGGCTACCTCGGTACGATCGTCGCGCTGTACAACATTGGATGCTTGGCTGGATGCGTTATCTCCGCCATCTGGGGAAATGTTCTTGGTCGCAAGCGAAGCATTCTTATTGGGTGTTCAATCATGGTTGTGGGAGCTACCATTCAGACTTCTTCATTTGGGGCCCCTCAAATGATCGCTGGTCGCTTAATCACTGGTGTTGGTAATGGTAAGCTGAATTCAATTTTGTTGCACGAATCCTGGAGTCAACATTGCTTCTAGGCATGAATACCTCGACGGTCCCGGTGTATGTTGCAGAGACCTCGAAACAGCACAGACGAGGAGCCATGATTGCGCTACAATTATCGGTCGTTATTGTATGTCTAGGTCGTCACCAGCACCGTTAATGAGGATCTGACGTTTTAGATGGGGATTGTCCTGGCCTACTGGCTGGATTATGCAAGTGTTCGCACGCTCTCAGGCGAGGTAAGATGACACTGCTGACAATGAAATACACTGCTAATCGCTGGCATCATCCAGATCGTCTGGCGTTTCCCTGTGGGCTTCCAGATTGTATTCGCACTGGTCACGATGGCAACGCTGCCCTTCCTACCGGATACACCTAGGTAGGCTGTCAGCTCAGTTCGACTCTACGACCATTGACGAGATTAGATGGCTGTACTCCCATGGGAGAAAGGCAGAAGCCATCGATGCCTTGGCGAGACTCATGGATACCACCATTGACGATTCAGCGGTACAGAACATCAAAACCCAGATGGAAGATGCTTTACAGCTAGAGCACGCCCATGATGGAGGCTCGTTGAAGACTCTCTTGTATGATAAATCGCCTGTTCGGAAGACCCGGCGCCTGGTTCTCTGCTTCATGATCTATTTTATGCAAATGTTCACTGGCATAAACGTCATTGCATTTTACGGTTGGCACTCCCTGCTCTTGTATGTGAAGACGCTGACACTCCGTTATAGTCACAATCGTGCTGGAAGTTAATGTCGGTCTGTCAAAAGAAACGAGTAGTCTCGTCGCCGGTTTCGTGCAGATGGCCTTCTGGCTGGGCACACTACCACCCATCTACATGCTTGACAAATATGGTCGTCGCAAAACCATGCTGTGGGGTTCTGTTGCTCTCTCCATATCCATGATTCTATTCACTATTGGTATCGCCTTGAACACACCAGCAACAAACCGACTTGCGCTGGCCATGTTGTTTGTTTATGAGATTTCTTTCGGGATGTCTTGGAACAGCATGCCGTGGTTGTATGCTGCCGAAATTACGCCGCTGGAGATCCGCCATATTGGTGGCGCCGTTGGGCCGTTCTCTGAATGGCTTTGGACCTTTGTAAGTTCTTTACGCCGCCTAACAGGCTTTGCTAGCCCACAGTTGCTAAACTTCCGGCTAGGTGATTGTTATCATGACCCCAGCCGCGGTTGAGAACACTGGTTGGAGGATATACATTTTATTTTGTGTCATGCTTGTCTTGTCAATCCCATTCGTCTACTTCTTCTTGCCTGAGGTAGGATTCATGCTATTGCACAAAATCATTGCACCTATTGACAGAAGCACAGACCGCCAACAAGACATTGGAAGAGATAGACTTGATCTTCCTTACAACGGAGGAGAAGGCCGACCTAGAACTAAGCCTCGCGCATCCTGATCAGGTCGCAATCGCGACACAGTACACCGGAAGTGAGAACACCGCTACAGATACGAAGTACACGGAGGCTACTCAACTCAGGGCTACCAAATCGCCTTAACTACACATACACTCAAAACCATTTCGCTAAATGATCGGAGTTTAGCCATTGGCACCAACTCAGTACACCAAACACATCGATTCTTCGGGAAAGTTGAAGGGAATTTATCGATAAGATACTCTCTATGAGCAACATCGGTGTTACTCGTCGTCAAAAAGTAGGACGTTTGGTTGGCTGTTGTTCAGCACTATTTCAAGATTCCTCGGGTCGGTCGAGTGGTGGTGCTATTCTGTTGTATCACCACAAACTGTCTCTTAGTTGAAGCGAACACACCTGCGCGTACTAATGCGAGAGCGTCATAGATCCATTTAGTCAAGATATGACAATCATTCTGGTCTTAGAAATTGCCAATGGGGTATTGCCGACTGGTCCGCCTGCCCGCTTGCCCGCTGCACCCCGTGATGAAATTCTATGCGGGGTACTCTCGTTCTGGACCCCGCGTTCTTGGTCAGTTGCCGACCGAATCCCTTTCGGATGGGGGTCACTTCGTTTGCCTCCGACCCCAAATTAATCCTTGTTGCATTAACTCCAGTTCCCTTCCACGTTGCGTAAAGGTAAGATTGTCGATTCAGATCCGCCTGCATTCGCCCAGATATCTCTGTAGTTGTACAACTGCACGTGGGTTGGCGAAATCGCGTGCTGCATCAGAAAACAATAAAATATGGTGCGAGAAAAGCACCCTCCAGCTCATCGTGGGAAATACCAAAGAGCTTGTTCAAATTGCAAACGAAGGAAAGAGCGATGTGATGGGATGCTGCCGTGTGCGCGATGCGTCTACCGCAACGTCGTATACGAGTGTCAACCTGTTGTCCCAAAGCGGCGTGCCTCGTCTTGCGCCGGAAATGCCCAGACGGCACATTCTCTAGAAACCAATGTCGACGCTGGTTCAGTGGGTACAACAAATCCCAGACAGGGGGTGCTGAATGAGCTGGATCTGCAAGCTACCAATCAATGGGTTGACCCCTGCCAGGACTGGGCTTTTGGCGACTCGCCTACGGCGTCCATGCATGGTCAGATGTCCCGGATGCTACGCGACCCGCTGGGCAAACACATGTTCATCGGCGACTCAGCAAATTTGTCCTTTCTTCAAAGCATCCGGAAGCTAGTGGAGTGTTCTATAGGACAGTCTAGTTTCACAAAAGACCCTCTTCGATATCAGATGGTTGAAGACACCCCAGTCAGCCGATCCAGCTTACTACAGGCCAACACGAGACAGCTTGCGTCTACTTTCACCCTCGAACAGGCTACCTATCTCATTCGACGCTATTTCCTGGCCACGAGTTGCGTTCTTGACCTATTCGATGAGGCAGATCTGCTCGAAAAATTGCCGGCGTGGCTGGGGAATACGAGTTCTGCAGAAATGGATATGGTCACGCCAATATACTATCTCGTCTTCGCTGTAGGCGCACAAACATGTCCCGAGGACAAGGACGAGCTTGCCGAGACTTGCTTCAGCCATGGTCGCTACTTCAGCTTCCCCGAAGACCCCAGTATCTCTACCGTCCAAGCCTACGCTTTGATCACAATGTATCTGCTCAACGCCTCTCGGAGAAACGCTGCCTTTATGAATTTGGGGACTGCTGTGAGGGCCGCGTATGCCCTTGGTCTCCATCGTAAGGAGATTTCGGCACTCTTTCCCCCGGCCGAATTTAAGACCAGGGAGAGGCTTTGGAGAGCGATCCGGATCCTAGACCTCTTTATGAGTGCGTCCCTCGGACGACCGCCATCAACGTCAGAAACACGCGATACCCTGGCTGCAGAAAACTACTCTGCCTCCACAGACCTGTGCGCGATGTTCGAGACGATTCTGACCGAAGTCTATTCCAAAAGAATGATCTCACTCGCAGCGTTGGAGAAGGTCAGCGAACATCATAGGAAGTGGGCTGCATGTTTTCACAACGGTCTTGCTGAGGATGGCATACAGCCAACGGATACACTTGATGGTGGACTATGGCCCAATATCGGACTTTTGCATGTCAAAGAGGCGTACTACTGGACTATTATGCTGCTTACGCGCCCGTTCCTAGTTGAGTCCGTGTCATCTTGCATTACTTCAGCCAATACGACGCCGATGGAGTCAGCAAGAAGTCCTAAGACGTATGGCAAAACCCAGGTGTTCGTCCATGCCTGTATCGATTCGGCCATTCGAACGCTGGAACTATTACGGATTCTACTTGACTATGACGATATTCCCAAGCGACTTCCCTTTATCGTCAACTCAATTTTCGTTTCAGCACTTGTACTCGGCCTGGCTCACTTTGGAGACGTGGACAAAGTCTTCCCCATACAGGTTCACCTCAAACTGGCACATCGACTTTTGGATATGTTCCCCCATGATGCCATTGCCAGAAGGAACGCGACCATCGTCGACTATCTGATGCATGCTTGCGATGTTATTACCGAGAAGCGCACCGAGCTGGGCCGGAATCGCTCCAGCTCCTTCGTCGAAGGAATGTTTGGCAGAATTGATGAAGACCAGATGCCACGGCGAACAATACACCAAGAGCTCACTGGCCAGTCCGGCAAACACGGTACACAAAAAGGCAGCATGGCGCCCTCTTACCATGCTTCTCATAACCAAGGTCAAACGAAAGGAACCGTTTTTACAGGCACGGAATTGGAGGATCCTGAAGGTCGGAGCGAAGTTGCTGACCCATACATGGAAAAATGCATGATGACTCAGGAGGAGTTTGAGGCGGCGCTGCAGCTCATGTCACCAACGACTCTATGGTTCGACTCGTACGACGAAGCCTTCCCTCTTTTCTCGACAATGGGCACCGGGACCCGAGCCAACCTAGGATGATCCAGAATATTTGGTCTGTTCCGATCAGAGGAAGCAGAGCAAGAAGCGGACCATAAGCGTTGGGGCTCTTGACCACAAGGATTCCTTTATGTCTCTCTGTGTATGTGCGATCGCGGGAAAGATGCGGCGTATCAGGAGTGGTTGGTGTCCGAGCTATTCTTGGTTTGGGCTGTGCTGGCACGTAATAATGACAATGTATTTCTCCCGCCTACGTCGACTGTGAGTCGGAAAAAGCAGCGTTGCTGTAGCAGGTATCAAGATCTTAGGTGTGTTTTAGGGGCTTTGTATTTTCCTTGGGAAAAGTGTTGAGGCCACATCTACTTTAACGACCGAAAGAGCTTTCAATACGAAACACTACAAACGCTCAAAGAAGTCTGCCAATTGTATTGCTGAATCCCTCTGTATGCTTTGTGCTGGGCTGCCACGAGGCAATCGCCTTGAGCCTAAGCTTCTTGCTGCTCTAGATATGCCCGCTACTTTTAGTCGCCTGCGGAATCATGAATCCAGCGAAGAAGCTGTCAAGGTCGTCATAGGCATCCATGGGACCCACGTACGACACATGTTGATCTGGTCGAAGGATCACCGAGCATCCTTCCGGATTCACCTCAAGATTCTGGTAGATCTGTCCGTGGCCCTCGTGATAGGACTCGTCGTCGACAAAGATCTTCCAATAGTCCCACCCATCGACTTCGTCATATGGTCGGAATACTTCGGGGAAGTCAAAGACAGAGACATCTCTTCGAGGCGCCTTGTGAACCACCAGTAGTTCGAAAACGTTGTCATAGCGACCGGAAGGCGGTGTGAATCGATTCAGAAACGACTGAGGCCGGGCGAGTTGCGCTCCCAGAGTCTTCAATTTCGTCGCTTGGGCGGGCTCTGTGACATCGCCAGCGAAGATTATCACCCGCCAACGTCCGTTAGAGCGAAGCAGCTCTTGTAAATGTGAAGGTCGGGCATCAGATTGGTTCAGGACTTTGAAACTTGGTATGCGCTTCCCCACCTCGATCTTGGACGCGAGCGTCTGAACAGAAGTCACCTGGAGGTTTTTGTTTTGCACCGCGACATCGGTACCGTCCCCTTGCTCTTCAGAGCTTCCCTTCTTAGCTACAATGATGCTCGATCCGTAGTCGACAGCTAAGTTCCTGGTCAGTATGTACTATACTTCCTGAGAATGAGTCATGGCCATGAAGCAGCGATGCTGTGCAGTCGACGCAGCTGTAATGGCCATGAAGGACTTACCGATTCCACTGGCAAAAAGGTTGCCTTTCTCGAACGCTTCTTTGAACTCTTGCATACTAATTCCTTCCTCGTCCATAACGTCTTGTGCAGGGCGCCCAGAAAACAAGCGAGAAAATCGATGGTCGAAAGCAATCAAGTCTTGGGCGATTCGCCGTCTTTCTGATTGATATGTTTTCAAAATTGTCCGGTTGGAAAGACCTTTGACGACACTGGCAACCTTCCAGCCTAGATTAAAGGCTGGATGCGAGAGAAGACGCGAGCGTTAGACGATTGGACATTGTTAAAGCGATGGAGGAAGGGCTTACCATCTTGCATACTGACATTCATTCCCTGACCAGCTTTAGGACTATCAATAAATGTTAGCACCGACCTGTTGCATAGGGACCGAGGCAAAGCTGTGGCTAGCAACGCCACAACTAACATGCCTTGCGATATACTCACCTGTGTGTGTGCACGGCGTCCCCAGCTAGGAAGATTCTTTCATCCATCGAGAACTGGGTTCCGACTCTTTGTCCAATTTGGTAGGCGGTCCACCAATCCAATTTACGGTAGTCGAGTTTGTAGGGGGCTATAATGCGTTGCGCGGACTGTAATATTGTCTGTGGCGTGATCTTGGATCGGTCCGCCTTTGCACCGCCTTCGCCGATTTTGGCTGTGGTTGTGAGCTGTATATAGAGCCTGACAAGCTTATTCTCACGGGGAATCACCATCACGCTCCCGGCATCACGAGAATGAATTGCACATCTCATCCTAATATCAGGAAAATCCGTGATTGGGATAATGTCCAGAACTCCCCAGATATAATCCGTCGATTCGCCTTCCAGTTTGAAGCCGAGTTGGTTACGGACCCAGGAATGGGCCCCGTCGGCACCTAGCATATACTTAGCCCGCACCACCTCTTCAGTGTTTGCCTTGTCATTCAATTTGGCCCCGTTTATTAGCTCCGCTGTGTCATCCGGGGCTAAATTGCTCCGAAAGAGACCGTCTTGTATGGAGGTGCCGTTTTGTGAAGTTGCTGTTTGTTTAGGAGTTGCTTCTTCTTCGCTGAGGTGCCGCAACGTCACTGTGATGGGATATGCATCGGCATCTTCAACAAGCGACGTATCGACCTCGAGTTTAGAAGGCAGCACCCCCCTTTCGACCTGAATGTCACTGCAGCTTTGGATGGCATCGAGGAAGAAGCGCTCAATACGGCCTTGGTGAAGGACGACCTGTTGGAAGCGACTAATCCCAGGGATAGTATCTGGTATACGATCACTCCGTCGAATGATCCCTTCCTCATCCGGGTTCCAGAGGCATATCTCCAGCATATGGTTTGATTCCATCCACGCTCGGTGGCCAAATTCGAAAGAGTCAAAGATCTCGAGAGTTCGGCACTGCAAGCCGTCCGCCTGTCCGTTGAAGATCTGGTGGAAAGGTTAGCCGTGATAAAGCCTTTGAAGAGCACGGATGTTGGTGAACCTTAGAACCTCGCTTATCAACGATTCTGGTTTTGATGCCGTATTGTGCCATCCACATAGCCATCATGAGACCGGCTGGTCCAGCACCAACGATCAAAACATCAACTTCGTTCGCATTTGCTGCTTTGTTGGCAGCAGTTTCGGCGGTCATGATGGACAGAGAGCGCACACAGTTCTCGATAGTGGGCGAATGGGTCAAGTGGAAGGAAACGACCAAGTCTGTGGGATAGCACGGGTTAATGTGAAAATGAAAGGGCACTTTGCTTCCACCAACCAACCTTTAAGCAATGGTCAACCTTGTCTGCTGAATGGTCGTCTTCTACGCATCCGATCTCCACCATTGCTGTGCAGCAATAACTCGACTCATTTCAACATGGGTCTAGCTTACGCAGATTTCGGAAGCAGGTCACCCAGATTACTTGTTAGGGGCGGGTAGTTCTGCCGAGAGCTTCCTTGACGCCCGAAGGTGGATATGGAAAGGTGGAACATCTGGATCCGACTGATGTTGGAAGCCGAAATGCGGGGGAAAAATGGGTCGCATCCGGTTGCACCAAATCACAAAATGTACAATTCCCGATATCGCCTTGCCAGCTCGGGTTTAGGCGACCGACCGACAGGCCTTGTGATTGGATTTCGTCGGTTCCTCAAGGCCAGTTTTACTTTGCTTTCGGCATCTCAGCCTGATCCCGAAGCTCGGGTACCATCAAGAGGCAAAATTCCGAAATAGATGGGATTGACTGTTTGAGCGGCATTAGCCCGATTGTGTCATGTGTGTGTTGCGAAACGTTGTCGCCCGAAGAGTCCTTCGAAAACTGGGTTTGCAGCCAACACCTTAACGGCTGGAAAAAGGGCTGCTATGGAATCAATGGCCCCACAAAAGACATGGGTGCCAAGAGCTGTTAGCTGCTCATTATCGTTGACAAGAGCATAAGACCAACCAAGCACATACTGCTCTTTGCGAACTGGTTAGTGAGCTCTTCAACGACTACGAGTCCGCATCTCAGGATTGAAGAGACGGGAAACTATTGTTGCACATGATCTATTAGTATGGCCCAACAATCGAAATATTCGGAAGGCTGGCTCGGTGTATGACACATAGCACCGCTCTTTGAGTTGAAGCAAATTGCTGACTATCAATAGCTGGAGCAAGCACTTGGTATGCGGCCTATCCTGAAGGGAAGTGCTCTTGAAATGCGTAAGCAGTACAACGAGCTCGGGAGAGTGCTGGCATCACAATCCCCTTCCCCGTCCACTGCAGTCCAGGCAGCTGACCGTGACGTCGATGGCCTCAAGTTGAGGATCTACACGCCAACGCATGTGGGATCAGGGGAACTCCTACCTATTGGTGTCTTTGCTCATGCTGGAGGGCTCGTGATGGGAGATATCGACAGCGAGGATACGCTATGTCGAGCCGTTGCTGAGAAGACCCCAAGTATTATCATCAGCGTGAACTACAGATTGGCCCCGGAACACAAAAGTCCCGCTCAGCTTGAAGACATGGCTAATGCTCTGAGATGGGTAAGTAGATCTGCTGGTGTCCTTTTGATTGCCTTCCTGAACTGATATCTTGGGAGTAGGCCTACGGGAATGCCTCTGTCTTTGGAGGGGATAGAAGCAAGTTATTTACCATCGGGACCTCTGCCGGTGGAGGCCTTGCGCTCGCTATTAGTCGAATGACCCTACTGGGACAGTCCAGCCTTCCGAAGGACGCGGTTAAAGGGGTCGTTGCCCTGGCCCCTGTCACCATGTACCCTGCCAAAGTACCAAAGAAGTGGGCACACCGATATCTTTCGTACTTCGAGAATGGTGAAGATGTTCCTATTATCAATAGGTCCGCCATCGATGAGCTCTTTACCGCTGCTGTCGTCAGGGAGGCCGGCGAGAAGTTTTTTGTTGGCCTGGACGAATCAACCCATCGGCTGTTTCCCCCCACATACATCGTGACTTGTGGAGTCGATCCGTTAAGGGACGACGGGGCAATTCTGGCAGAATCTTTCAAATTCAACGGCGTCAAGGTCAAATATGACACCTACGAGGGACTGCCGCATATGTTTTGGATGTTTCCAAGCCTGCCCGAGACCTCAGCGTTCATGAGCAAATTATTGGACGGAGTCAACTATGTACTTCAGAAGCTCTAGTAGAATGATATCTTTACTGGAAACTTTTCGATGTTGACTTCCTCCCACCCAGGAACTTGGTTGCCAGTTATTTTCGTGATCAAATCAAGCAGGCTAAGCATGAAGCTGTGCTGTAGGTGGGGTTCACAGCCCTACTATCATGTATGGTGGTCTCTTACGTTTGTTTTGAGCTAGAAAACTCGATGAGCCATGGGCGTCTCGCTTCGGAGTATGAAATCCCGAAGGATGTCTGCTCTTTCGGAACCTACAAATCATGGACCGTAAATCAAGGCAGAATACATGCCTCCCGAAGCGTAAGAGAGTTTACGACTCGATTCTCCGAGCCGGAAGCGCGGTGGCGTCTACCCTTTCGGAGCTTGTAGAACCCGACGGTCGAGGAGCGATTTATGCTTCCCTGTGACCGAGAAAGACGATGTTCGGGTGGTTGCTCAGCTAGAACAGACGCGGAGGCTCGGAGCATACTCTAATGGCCCTGTAGACCATAAAGAGTGACGCAAAAGGATACGATGAAAAACCGCCGGGTCCGACCTTTCACAGCAGTTCATAAACACACCATCTAGCAGTTTATTTTAATCGGACTATCATCTACATCTACAGCATTATTGATCACTATTACGCCTGTGGTACGATATGTCCAATTCAACACCACCAGTGGCTGATTCTGCGACGCGAGATGTGGAGGAACTTGACGCGCTTGTCGTTGGGGCTGGCTTTGGCGGAGTCTACCAGCTTCATCGATTGCGTAAGGAAGGGTACAAGACCAAGTTAGTCGACTTCGCCTCTGATTATGGCGGTGTTTGGTTTTGGAACCGATACCCAGGGGCACGTGTCGACAGTACCATTCCTCACTATGAGTTTTCAGATCCGGATCTATGGCGTACATGGTCGTGGACACAACGCTTTCCCGGCTCTGCAGAGCTGCGAGAATATTTCCATTTTGTTGCGGATAAATGGGATCTTCGAAAGGACACATATTTTAACACGCGGATCAGCGCAGCCGAGTGGCAGGATGACCTGGGAAGATGGTTGGTCACTGCTTCTAACGGGAAGCAGTTCGTCGCAAAATACTTCCTCTTGAACACCGGATTCGCCGCAAAAAGGCACATCCCAGACTGGAAGGGTATCGACAAGTTCCAAGGGACTTGGATTCATCCGTCATACTGGCCCGAAAAGGAGCCTGATCTGAAAGGCAAAAAAGTCGCGGTCATTGGCACAGGCTCAACAGGTGTTCAACTCGCTCAAGAACTCAGTAAGACAGCTGGTGAATTTGTGCTCTTCCAGAGGACGCCAAATCTTGCCCTGCCGATGAAGCAAGTCGAATATGGCGCTGATGAACAGGCTTTCCCAAGGGAGAAGTACGCTGAATTCTTCCTGGATAGGGTTCAGAGTTTTGGAGGGTTTTCGTTCAATTTCCTCCCTCGAGGTACATTCGATGACACCCCTGAGCAGAGAAAGGCTACTTTTCAACAATTGTGGGACGAAGGTGACTTTCACTTTTGGCTAGCTACATACTATGACATGTTGTTTTCTTGGGAGGCTAACAAGGAGGCCTATGAGTTCTGGCGGGACAAGGTCCGAGCTCGGATTAGGGACCCCAGGGTTAAGGAGATTTTGGCTCCTGAAGTTCAACCCCATGCATTTGGTTGCAAGCGAATCTCATTGGAGAATGGGTTTTTCGAGATATTCAACCAATCCCACGTCTCCTTGGTGGATATGAAAAGTACACCCATCGTTGAGGTGACTGAGAAGGGAATCAAGACCACCGAAAAGCTATGGGAATTTGACTATGTTGTCTGTGCTACTGGATTTGACGCCATCACTGGCGGGTTGAACGATATTGATATTCGCGGACGACATGGTCGAAGGCTTCTCGACAAGTGGAAGCAAGGAGTCCAAACATACCTGGGACTCGCAGTTTCTGGATTCCCCAACATGTTCTTCACCTACGGACCCCAAGCACCAACGGCACTATGCAACGGACCCACTTGTGCTGAGTTACAAGGACAATGGATTGTGGACCTGATGAATCATATGCGCCAAAATGACTTGAAGTCCTCCGATGCTCAAGAAGATGCCGAAGTCAAATGGGCCACGCTTGTCAAGACTATCGCCAACTCTTCATTGCTCCCAACAGCGAAATCCGTAAGTCTATATCAAGGTCTCTCCCATTCTAGCCTCTTCTAACGCAAATTAAGTGGTACATGGGAGACAATATCCCAGGTAAAGTGAGAGAACCTTTGATATACCTAGGGGGCGTTCCCACGTACTATAAGGCGATCAATGAATGTGCAGTGGATGGTTATACGGGCTTTAATCTGTCATAGGAATCTATAGCTTCGGGCTTTGCAAGCTACAGTACCTCACGTGTCTTGAGAATGTTGAATACATCTGGTCGGCATGTGGCAAACGAAATTGGCCATAGCTGGTACCGCCCTCGTTGAACAAGCTATCACAATGGTCGTTAACTTCTGAATTGCGGGGATGTTTGCGGCGTCCCAGCGACGTCTACTTAGGCTGAACACTTAGAACAGGCCCTAGTCACTATGACTCCAGTTTGTCGCCCGAGAACAACATCCAAACCCTGTCGGCAGGCCGTTCTTCCGACTTAGAGCACCGTTTTATGTTGCGAACGGATTTCAGCACGAGAGGTCTGCCAACATTCGATATGTGAGTATCAGCGGACGATAGCGCTTATCAACTTATCTGTATTACTATGGACCTAAGCTTCTGCAAAAATTTTACTCTTAAAAAGAACGATTATTTACGCAACAAGCGATCCTTGCTTACTCAATTTGTCATGTTGCGACGACTGTGGGGGTGTGGATGGTCCTCCACGTTAAGGAGCCCTTTCCATTTCCAACAATGTTCCCGAATGCTTCCTTCTTGTGGAGCACGGTACTATACGCATCACTCTTCGGCCTGTATGGCGATCTGACGTGTCGTCGGCTGAGGCTTCGTCATCTTAGGCACCACGATACTAAGGATGCCATGCTTGAGCGACGCCTTCACGTGCTCCCTGTCCACTTGATTAGGGAAGCTGAATGAGCGCGAGAACGACCCAACGCTGCGTTCCGAGACCCAGTAAGTGTGGCTGGTTTGCGGCTTGCTAAGCTGCTGGTTGTTGGCGCCCGAGGTAGTGGTAAGGTCTGTGCTACTACTCTTGGAGTTGTCGTTGAAAGCCTTGTCTGAGTTGTTGACTTGCTGTTGCTCCTGACCAGAGGTTGGCTCGTTACTCTGCTCGCGTCGATGCTCGGTATGACCTTTGACGGTCAGCGTGTTTTCGTCTACGAACTCGATGGTGATGTCTTTTTGAGCAATGCCTGGGAGCTCGCCTTGTAGTTCGTAGGCTTGAGGCGTCTCTTTGACATCGAAATTCGGCGCGAAGAAGCCGCCACTACCGCCCTTTGAGGAGGGAAGGTTGTCAGAGAGGCGTTGTAGCTCATTAAAGGTGTCGTTAAAAAGAGAAAAGAAGGGTACTAGGTCATCTTGGTGGGTTTTCCTCGAGGGGTGGTGGAACGGTGTCATCCTTGGGAACAGCGACATCCTGGGAGTCGTTGAGTATCTCTTGTTGGTGATTTTATTGCTAACTTGAGGCTTTCGGATTCCTCTTGTGAGTCGTTTGCTGGCTATTTGCATCTTAGTGAAGTGGTCGTTGTTGGATTGTCATCGACCATTATATAGCTTTGAGGCAATGGTGAGGTGGGCAACACGATGGTCACGCGGTCGAACGATCGAAATTTCGACGATATTCGATCCAATATGTCTCGACTGTTGTCGAATCTTCGAGTGGCTTTATTGTATACTACTCGCATGCTAGAATATTCGAGAATGACGTCAGTCTTTTGATCTGTACTGGAAGTGGTCCAAGCTGTTCTACATGCCGTAACGCCGATGGCTTTCGAGAACATTCTGTCATTTGATCATTAATATTAGCGATACACAACAACACCATTCATTACGACATCCCCAATCACATCAAAGATTCTATCGCTTCTAGGCAAGGTTGCTCTAGTCAGGGAGGCCTTGGGTTATATTAGACCCGCAGTTAGTTGGCTATTCATAGAGAAGAGCAGAGCATTTCCTTCTTGGCTTTATAGGAGATAGACCTAAGTGTTACGACTAAGGCCGTTATAGAGGGCCACAGCCGCGGGGGGCGCTGGCACCTACACAGCTAGTTCGCTGTGAATTACTTTGGTAATTGTGGTAGCCAGTGACTTAGTCCACGGACCCACCCGCGACCAGTCGTCAGACTCGCACCTCAAAGAAAGCCAGAGACGGTGCCGCTGTCATTGACGACGCAGATGAGAGTGTCCCGTCGGACGGGTTAGGGTTAGGGTTAGGGTTAGGGTTAGGGTTAGGGTTAGGGTTAGGGTTAGGGTTAGGGTTAGGGTTAGGGTTAGGGTTAGGGTTAGGGTTAGGGTT